TGGGCTCGTCGAAATCGGAGAAACCTTTCTTTTTGGAGTCTTTTCCAGCCTTCTTCTTGTCTTTTGTGGATGTGCCCCAGGAACCCCAGATGTCATCTTTCTTCTCTTCCTCGGGCTCAGGCTCAACCAAAGGCTCGGGTTCAGGCTCAGGCTCAGCAATGGTGGCTGCTGCGCCTTTCTTCTTGGCTTCTTTCTCCTTTTTCTTCCTCTCCTTTGCCGAGAGGCCAAAGAAGCTGTCATCCTCCTTGACCTCCTCGACCAGCTCGGGCTCAGGTGCAGGAGGAGGTGGAGCAGGTTCGTCGTCGAAGTCGAGGAAGCCTTTCTTCTTCGTGTCCTTCTTTTTCTTCTTGTCGCTAGAAGTGGCTGTTCCCCATGTGCCCCAGGCATCGTTGTCCTTCGCCTCTGTTTCTTGGGGTTCAGCAATTACTGGCTCCTCAATAGGATCAAGGAACATGCTCTTCTTCGCATCCTTGTCCTTCTTTTTCTTGTCCTTTGAAGAAAGGCTAAAAGCTCCCCAGGTATCGTCCTGTGGTTCTTCCGCCACAGGAGGTGGTGGCGGCGCTGGAGGCTCTTCCACTGGGTCTTGAAAGCCTTTCTTCTTCGACTTCTTCTTGTCTTTGGTGGAGAAGCCCCAGCCATCATCCACTTGCTCTTTCGCAACTGGCTCCGGCTCAGGCGGTGGCGGTGGCGGTTCATCGTTGAAGTCCATGAAACCCTTCTTCTTGTTCTTCTTGTCTTTTGTAGACGTACCCCAGCCACCAAAGCCCCACGAGTTGTCTTCTTTGACTTCCGGTTCCGGCTCCGGTTCCGGTTCTTGTGCCGGCTCGGGTGCTGGGGCCGGTTCTGGCATTGGAGGCTCTTCACCTGGGAGGAGCAAGCCCTTCTTTTTGGCTTCTTTTTCTTTCTTTTTTCGGTCCTTAGCTGACAGGTTTTCCCAGCCCGTAGTATCAGCGTAGAGTTCTTTTGCCGGTTCAGGCTCAGGTTCAGGTTCGACCTCGAGAACTGGATCCGGAATCGAGGGTTCAGGGCTTGCCACCTTACCCTTCTTTCCCTTCTTGTCCTTTTTGCCAAAGGAGCTCCAAATGTCATCTGTTTCAACAGGAGCCTCGGGAACGGGTGGAGGTGGAGACGGCTCTTCTTCAATGATTGTACCCTTTCTACCCTTCTTTTCCTTCTTCCCCTTGGTCATGGTCTCATCCGCTGCGGGCTCGCTCTTCGCGTCAGCCGTCAAGTCCACGGATGCTGACAGATCTTCAATGCCGGAATTCTTGCTTTTCTTGTCCTTCTTTTTCCCTCCCCACGCGGCAGACATCCAGTCATCGCCGTCTGCAGCTGCGGGCTCTGGCTCAGCTGCTGGAGTGGGCTCGGCTAGAAAATCATCGTTGTCGTTGAAATCGCTGAACATGCTCTTCTTGGCCTTCTTGTCCTTCTTGCTCGTTCCGAAGCCCCAATCGAAGCTGTTATCCGTTGCGCCAACGTCAACAACTGTATCCTTGGTTTCGACAACGGGCTCCTCGGTGATGCCTTTTTTCCCCTTCTTTTTGTCTTTTTTGCCCGTCGAGAACGACCAATCGTCTACTACAGCAGCTGGCTCCGGCTCGACAGGAGCAGGCGGTGGGGGCGGAGGCTCGGGTTCTTCATCCCAGGAAAACCCCTTTTTCTTTTTGTCTTTCTTTGATGTCGAGGTTCCCCATGCACCCAAAAGATCGTCGTCCTTCGAGCCAGGGTCAGCCACCGCGGCCTGTTCGTCAGACTTGGCGTCCTTCTTCTTCTTGCTGTCCTTTTTGTTGACGGTGGAAAAGCCCCAGGCATCGTCCGTGGGTTTGGTGTCACCAAGGTCACCGTCGAGGCCGAGATTTTTATCTTCGCCATCCAAATCGCCGAAATCAAATCCGAAGGATGTGGTGGTCTTTTTCTTCGACTTGTTGCTAAAAGACCAAGGATTGTTATCTCCGAGGCCTGATGCCTCTTCCTTTTTGTCGGCGTCTTTCTTAGCGGTCTTGTCGGGTTTGGTCGCTCCGCTGTCGAGGGACCCGAAGTCCCATGTTTTACCCCACGCACCAAAGCTCCCAGTATCCTTCTTCGTGTCCGTCCCACCGAAGCTAAAATCCAGCTTCGGGGCTGTGTCGTCGAGGCTAATGTCCTGGAATGTTGCCGCCGCCGGAGGTTCGGGGACAGACGGGGGCGGGTCATCGGCGCCCTGAGTAGTTAGTATCTCCTCCAGCTGACACCTGGATTACTCGAGGACACACCTTTTTGCCTTTCTTCTTTTTCTCCTTCTTGGTCGTAAAGCCTGTTGTCCAGTCATCTTCGGCAGCAGCATTGTTGACATCGTCGGCCCAGCTGAGTGAATTGGCAGCAGCCTGTTCCTCCTCTTGCTTCTTCCGTTGCTCTTCCTCTTCTTGTTTCTTCTGCTCCTCCTCTTCCTGCCTCTTCCTGTCCTCCTCTTCTTGCTTCTTCTTGCTCTTCTTCTTACTTTTCTTGCCGCCACCCATATCCCATTCGTCTTCGTCGCCCCCACCTCCATTATTGTGGTCGTCCCCACCGTCACCAGCACCACCACCGCCGCCTTGGTCACCCCCGCCGTCTCCAGCACCATCCCCACCATCACCAGCAACTCCGCCATTTCCCTCGTTATCTGATTCGAGCCATTTCGCCTGCTGTTGAGCCTTCGCGGCCTTCTTCGCAGCTTTCTTGCCTCTGGTCTGTATGCCGGTTGTGTCACCGAAATCTATGCTGAAGTCCATTGTTGCGACTGTCTTTTCGGACGTCCCAGCATTAGATACGGGTCGGGGTTGGTCCCAGCGGGCGACGAGGCGGGCGTACGCAAGGGGTTCGGACAAGTCCTTGGTTGTGAGCGAGTGTTGGGTGGGCTGTATCTGCGGGCAGCTTCCATAAGGCTCGGGGACGTCTGCAAGCTCTTGTAACAAGGCTGCGACCAGCGCAGCCGCTTTTTTATATACACCGTAGTCGGGGATTGTATGCTATGGTCTGTGTTAGGCGAGGTCGCAGTGCCAGGGAGGAAGTAAGAAAGGACGGGATCTCAAGGTAAAAGAACTAGAGGCAAGCCTCGACGCTTCGCGTTAGGATGGGGGATGTCTTGCATACCCGTTGTGCTGGCTTGTAGTTCTCGAGCATGGCGGTGTGCATGCCATAGCGCCAATCGGCATTTCGTAAGGTTGGAGAAATAAATGCAGCCTCCCCCATCTTGTAAACTCGCGGGCATTCCATGTCAGCCCTTGGCGTCCTGCAATAGTTCGGGATCCTTGGTGGAAATAACGCGTTTTCGCGGCCGGCGGGCGTCGTGGCGACGAGAGTTGCCATGCTGTGTCTGTAGCTGGGCGATGGCTGGAGAACGATCAGAGTGTGAAAGCATTTGCTGCGGTGGCGGCGACGACGACGAGCGCGCAAAAATCGACGGATTCAAGAGACGAGGTGGATGAGACTGAGTCTACAAAGCCTCTGGGGTCAGCGACAGAGAACTGGGAGCGATGGTGGTCGAGCTGGGTAGGTGCAGCAAAAGGAGGTCACAAGGTGTTTGGGTTGCTCATTGGTGTGCAAAAGCGAAGCAGCTGCCAATTGGCAACAGCAAAACCCCCAAGGAACGCAGAGCGAGTGGTGGGTGTGTGTGGGTGTGCCTGGGTGCGAGGGCCAACATGCGCCCCCTTGCAGTCACGCTTTGCAGATCCCAGCGGTTCAGCGAGTCGCCTGGCCCGAACAAGTCAAGGGTCAAGCCAAAACAAGCCACCCCTTTCTCGGGATCTGTGTATCTGCCAGTTATCGCCCACGCTATCGATACACACAACCCGCCAGCAGAGAGAAAAGGCGAAATGAGGTCACTCATATACCCTCACCTTGGGTCAGCTCGATCGAGTCCGACAACGCTGAAAATTTCGGTGCCCAAAGGACCACATTGAATGCATCAATTGAATCGCCAAATAACGGGCGGTGTTGACGTGCAGCGCGCCGCAGCGAATGACGCGCACAGCCAGCGCCGATGGTCCTGCAGGCAAGCACTCGATGTGGCGACGAATCGCTCACCGCTACAATCGCGAGGTCACGCCTAGGCAAATAGGAAGAGGGCTGATGGCAAGCTTGCCGATGATGGGCTGGAATGCGCGAGACCAGCAAAATAGCAGGACTTCAGCGAGCCCATCGACGTGGGCGACGCACGGGACGTGCTAGTTAGTGACGTGAACCAAAATACCACCAGCCCGCTCCCGAGGCACGGACACCACCAAGCGATTTGGCGTGGGAGGTTTGTTGCCTTAAAGCACTTGTTAGAATGCCGCAATTGGCTCTTTCTGATTGAGAAGCGGGCGGGCCCACATAGCTCGTGAGACTCGCCCCCGATGTCATCCGAGCCGCCGAACGAGCGTGAACAGCAGACCTTAGCACCGCTCACAGATAGAGTACATGGTGATCGTGCCGGGGGGCCGGGCTGGCAATGCTATATAGGTTGCCGTGGATGCATCACGAGTCCTGTGCTAGGATAGCCTCAGTTAAACATTGTGACGGCTCGAGCTACAACGCGCATGAATGCGACGCCTGAGCGGCCGATGCAGCGCACGATCTTCTGTGACTGGTCAACCACTGCCGACACCGCCGATGCAGGGAAATGCAAAGCCCAACGCAGTTCATCGGTCGGAGAAAACCACCCCAACTTGTTGCTGCAGCGGCTCGGCGACGTGCCATATGCTTAACCAGACACCGGCCGCCATCCTCTTTTGGAAGTCATAATCCTTCAGGGATATGGGCAGAAAGTGCCATACCGGCCTTTGACCGTGAATGCCTGTGGACGCCATCAGGCCTGACGTGGTGGCCAACAACACTTCTTTGGCGTACCTAGGGCATAAGTAACAAGCCCTTGATAGAAGAGTTGTGGTCATCCTCAAGAATGTGCGGTTTTGAGTTGGAGATTGTTCGAGTCATGTCAACCCTCGACTGATCGCCAAGCTCAAGAAGTTGTCATTCGACTTTGTCTAATGCCTGTTCTGCTCTCAATCATCTTCGTCGGAACTGTAAGCGGCCAGGCCTAGGCCAGCCGGTTTATGTTTGAGCTGGTCTTTGCTAGGCATAGCTTGGACATTGCTGTCCCTTCCTTGAGGGGCTGGATCGCCTTTCGCTAGACCGCTTGGATTGGAAGATTGTAGCACAGATCTATCGTCATCAGCCGTTGACAATTTTCTCAGCTTGGTACTCGGATCGTTAGGCTCGCCATCCTTCTCTCGACGTCTTTTGTTCTTCTTCTTCGTTGCCCAAGCGCCTCCATCCGTGGGGCCACCAGGTGCTCCATCGAGCGTGCCTTCAATTTGTGCTTGCTCAGCAGCAGCACGCTGCTTCCGGAACGCCTCGAGTTGTTCTGCTGTTTCTTGCTTCACTGCATCTTCCTTTGCTCTGCTCGTTTCCAGTACAGAATCGAGGAAATCGACCTCATCTTCGTCGAGCGCGCGGAACTGGTTTTTCAGCCGCGCCGCTTCTTCAAAAGCGTCCTGTTTCGCAGCTAAGTGGCGGATGGCACTACCGCGTCAGAATGCAAGGACGGCAGGAATCATATATGACAGCGCCTCGCCTACCTTTGTTCGCCTGTAGAACCTCATAGAGACTCTTGCCTCCTTCTTGCTTACCCTCCTCGGTTGACCTGGGCTCTCGTGCGGACTTGACTTCCTGCTGCGCCTTCAGCCAGCCATCATCGGCCGGAGCTCGCGCGTCGGCATCGGTCCCAGCTGAGACAAATCGGGACATGGGCGAGAGGACGAATGAGATCAGTGAGTGAACTGGGGAAAGTAATGGGTCAAATTCCTTGCTGGGATAAATTCAGGTACGCATCAGGCGGTTTAGGCGCTGCGTGGCAACCGGCGAGGTAAAAGTGAGAGTCTGCAGGCTCGGTCCGTGATGTTGAAGGCATGAATGGGCAAATTGGTAAAAGCCAAACCTGATGGCAACACGCCCAAGAGTTCGGCAGCTCGACAATATCCGCCCAACTAACCCACTTGAGCGCAAACTCATCGACTTACGTTGCTTGTGCTTTGGAGACCCCGCAATTGATACCTACATTACTCGTCGCGATGGTTCATCGAAAACGCCTTTATTGGATGCTCTGACTTTTGTTCCTGGCACTTCCAGATCTGATCAGACGCCGGAACTTCGATGTTATGGCTGGGGTTCGCTTGCAGCCGACGGCCGAGCCTCAACCGCCGGCGTGAGCACCTTCTTCCGTGCTGGAAGAGGAGACACAGGCGCATTCGGATCAATTATCTTCATTTAATTATCCTCTCTGACCCTGTGAATCCTTTCAGCCTAAATCACGGCAACAGATCTAGAAAATTCCCAGTCTCTCAGGCCCTGCGTCAACGGTTTGACGGTCCATTACCCGCCAATTAAGCCTCGGGTGAATAGCTGGAACCACTGATCGGGCGTGCATGATGGACTGCCGCTCGTGCCCCTCGTGGTCATTGCGTAGTGTGCTGTTGCATCGATGTTGTAAGAATCATTTGCCCCACCATCCGTCCCCCAAGCAAACGTCCACCGGGATATAACTGCAACTATATCATCCAGATGATCCGCGAAGGAAATTTTTAATCCTCCTGCTTTCTGCTCACATGTCATACCTTCGCCTCCCCATCTCCGCCTATAAAGGATTCACAGCTTGTTCTCCTGTCGCATTTTCCAAACTCGCATTTAGACAATCTGCAAAACCTATCTCATCAACACCTCGATTTTTCTCCACCATGACGACGTCACAAGAAGGAAAGGGCACAAAGTGAGTCTTCCTCCTGGCCTTCTAGTGCCGCTACAGACAGGTACAGATACTAACCTACAAACCTTAGGACTGTGTTCACGTTGAACACTGGTGCCAAGATGCCCGGTGTCGGCCTGGGCACCTGGCAGTCAAAGCCCAATGAAGTCCGTGAAGCTGTAAAGCACGCTTTGCTGGCTGGCTACCGCCACATTGACACGTAAGCGAGATGGTCCAATCGATAGTGCCCGTTATGTTCCTGACACAATTTCAGCGCCCTTGCGTATGGCAACGAGGCAGAGGTCGGCCAGGGCATCATCGATTCTGGTGTTCCCCGTGAACAGATCTGGATCACCACCAAGCTCGACAACCCCTGGCACAAGCGCGTCGAAGAAGGTATCGCATCCTCACTGAAGGATTTGAAGACCGACTATGTCGACTTGTACCTCATGCACTGGCCCAGCTCGTCGGTCCCAGAGGACCTGAAGAAGCACTATGATGACTGGAACTTCATCGATACATGGTGAGCGCAGACGCATTGGTCAGCTCGATTGGGGAGGCTAACCTTGCGGTATAGGCGCGAGATGCAGAAGCTCGTGGGGACCGGGAAGGTTCGAAACATTGGCGTTTCCAACTTCGTCATTTCCAACCTCGAGAAACTTTTGAGCGCTCCTTCGACGAAAATCGTGCCCGCCGTTAACCAGATCGAACTTCACCCTAACATGCCTTCGCCAAAGACTCTGGCGTACTGCAAAGAGAAGGGTATCCACAATACTGCATACTCCTGCCTGGGCTCTACCGACTCGCCTTTGGCCAAGGACCAGACCCTACAGAAAATCGCTGATGCCCACGGCAAGAGCCCCCAGCTAGTGCTGCTGCAGTGGGGTCTTCAGGTCAGTAACCCTCTTTTGGAGCGACGTCAACCCTGAGGAGCGAAGCTTATTCCCTGGCCGGTCTCTGTGTTTTGAGGATTACAACTAACATGTTTTTTCCAAAACAGAGAGGTACCAGCGTGATTCCCAAATCTGTCACCAAGTCGCGCATTGAGGCCAACTTCCAGCTCGACGGATGGGAATTGACACCAGAAGAGATGGACCAGCTGAGCAATATCAAGGCCCGTTACAAGGTCTGTGGCGACTCGTGGCTCCCCATTAAGGTCTTCTTCAATGAGGAGGGCGATGGTGGTGATGTTCCCTCCCACTAGATGGCGGTCCTGATACTGGATGTTGCGCGCTCAAAAGGTTGGTCCTCGCTGGGACACACAGCAGGACTTCTTGATTGTCGACGCTTTCCACCAGGCAGCTTGTGTAGATACAATTTCTGGCGTACAGAACACTTGCGACCCTTGCAGAGAGACATAAGGGGAACGTGATTGCTTTTCAAGACTGTTCATCTTAATTCGCACCATGTCTGCCTTTATTATTGACGTGACCGTCGTCCAGGGAGCTTGTGTGGAGTGGTGCACAACCGCTTCGTCTCGTGCGGAGTACGAATTACATACGTAGGTACGGACTACAGCTGGATGCGGACTTAACCACGTTTCGTGGCATGGAACTCACTTGATTCGCAGGATAGGCGGCCTCGACTTGATTCGTGGTCTAGATCTGCTTATATAAGGGAACTAGCCGATCACAGTTCAGGCGTGCCAGATGTGCAGGGACCTGCCAGGTGGGTCTAATTAGGCTACAGCTTTCATTCCCGCTTCGTACTCCGTACGAAATACGGAGTAAAGCCCACCAGGATGCTGCCCTCGGTGTAGAGGATCCTGCCACTCCTGCTCGCTTCCTTCTTGCGTTCTACTCAATTGGGCATTCTCGGAAAGCAAAGCCATCTGAGCCACTTCCAAGCACCGTGCCCCCACGAATTGGAACCAAGGCTTTCCATCCCGGCAGGATATCCCTCTCTGGGGACTGCTGTGTATCGTCTGCGGTCATCTCTTGACCACTTACCACTCGCTCCACCAAGTGTCGTGTTCAAGTCTCTACGCACGAGGATACGTCTCCCGCCCGCCTGTGTCTTCATTGCCCATAACATATCACTATACCGTATTAACCTGCCACGAACCACCATCGAGCTTACCTCTGCCCCAAATATATTCATGGCCGTCACCGGATACACTCTCCCGTGTTAGGGTGCAAGACGACCGTCGCAACTCGGTCACGCCGCTACGCTCCTACTACTTTCTGAGTCGGCCATTGATCGGTTACAAGAGCTTAAAATGACCTCCAGCAACGGAATTGAGCATGACATGGGCGGCCCGGCTGGGGAGAGCGAGCCATTTGAGGGCAATACCAATGATGCTGTGCCTCGACCGAAGAGGATCGCGTGCATTTTGTGCCGCAAGAGGAAATTAAAGTGCGACTCCAACAAACCGAGCTGCGGGACGTGTTCGCGCTTGAACCACCATTGCGAATACTCAGAAGAGCGGAAGAAGAGCGGTCCAAAACGAGGGTATGTTAAACTGCTGGAAGCGCGTCTCAAGCAGGTTGAGAACTTGCTCGAGACAAGAGATGCACCTTCTGAAAGCACTGCACGTGCGCCCGCACCCCCGGCGGCAGCGGATGCCTTTGCACCTATGCCGCCCTTGGACATGGCCGACGTAGTCGACACTTCCATGTCCGGGATAATGCCAGACAATAACTTTACAGATCCAACGCTGGTGGGCTTATCTGATTTTACCATGAATGCCAACGACGACTTCTCATGGGAGATGATCGGGCTCGGTCTTGAGGAAGCGTTGCCCTCGCGGGAGGTGGTTGACGAGCTGTATGCCTGACGACGTCCTTCGAGTTCCTTTGTTGCTGACTTCGTTAGAAACGAGATCTACTTTGAAAAGATCCATCCCTCTTTACCAATGATTCACAAAGCGCGGTTTCTGGCCTCCATGGACCTCGCACCCCATATGCGCCCGGCTGTTTGCCTAAGATATATCATGTGGACTCACGCCTGTGCCATCACGTCCAAATATTCCGCTTACACCGAGCACTTCTATGCACGGGCTCGAAAATATGCCGAAATGGATGAGATGAGAGGACATGGCGAGGGCATGATTACTGTCGCCCACTCACAGTGTTGGACTTTACTGGCTTGCTATGAGTTCCGAGTCATGTACTTCCCACGAGCCTGGATGAGTATCGGGCGGGCTGCGAGGTTGGCTCAAATGATGGGTTTACATCGACAGGATCGTGTCGGTCTAGACGTGAAACAGACACTACCGCCTCCCCGCGATTGGACAGACCGTGAGGAACGGCGGCGGACGTTCTGGATGGCATACTGCCAAGACAGATATGCTAGTATTGGAACCGGGTGGCCGATGGTCATTGATGAAAGAGACGTAGGTTGTTTGTTGCTGGAGCTACCCTCATCAAACTGACGTAACTAGATCCTCACCAATCTGCCTGCCAGTGAGGAAGCGTTCGCCAAATGTCAACCAGAACCGACGCTGCAACTGTCTGACATCTTGAACGGAGACGGCGCGTCTTCTCTGTCCTCATTCGGCGGCGTTATTCTCATGTCAACCATATTTGGGCGGAATCTAACACATCTGCATCGGCCTTCGGACCAGGACAACGACCACGATCTTAACGGCGCTTTTTGGAAACGACACCGGTCTTTGGATAACATCCTGCTCAACACGTCTCTATCCTTACCTCCGGCACTTCGTCTTCCAGCAGGCCTCCACGATGCGAACACTGTTTTCCTCAACATGAATATACATACAGCTACCATTTGCTTGCATCAAGCCGCCATATTCAAGGCGGACAAAAATCGACTACCAGCTCAGATAAGCGCCGAGTCAAAGCGGCGTTGTATTGTCGCGGCGGACCAAATCACCAACATAATGAAAATGATATCTCACCTGGATATGTCTAGTGTATGCTGAAATCCTTAACGGGTCGGACTGGAATGCTAATGCGGGCCAGATGAACCCCTTCATTGCGTTCTGTCTTTACGTGGCTTCACGTGTATTCGTGCAATACCTCAAATCTCGACGGGAGGACACGGCAGTTAAATCATCGTTGCACTTTCTGCTTGCCGCGATGCAAGTGTTGAAAACCAAGAATCCGCTCACCGAGTCATTCCTGGTGCAATTGGACGTCGACCTGGAGGGCAGTGGGCTGGATATCCCGACCAATTACTCGCGGTGGAAATTTGGTCACCGTCCGCCGGTGGGTAAATAGGACATTGCTTTGCAAACGATGCTGACACGGGTATAGGGTGAAATACCTGCCAACACGGATAGCCTCAAATGCTCGCCGTTGTTTGAGATTCGCGATGATCAAAGCCGCAATGTAGCCGAAAGCCTTCCCGGAACCGGGACTAAAGGGATACATTCGCCCTGGCCTACGGATCCCAACGCTGCGACCGGGGCTAGCAGTTACCCCAGTCTGTATGCATTTGAGAACTCCAGCAATAACGCTCAGATAGGTCAGGAGAATGGGTTTGGCTTCTCTATACAGTCTGTCGGTACCGACACTTCCCCGGATACCTCGAACCAAGACGGCTCGGGTTCAAGACAGCATTCGAACCACCCGACCCCTTCGACCAGTTCGAATCAAAACTCGTCGCATACGTCCTATACTTCGCCGCCAAACCAATCTGGCAGCAGTAACCCCGCGAACAGCGCGCAAGGACAGTCCTCGCCGGGTTTCATCTATTCGAATACCGCTTTCAACATGAATCCACCGGGTCAGCTACCGCTAGGCGTCTCGCCGCAGCAGTCCAACCTGAACTTCGGCTCTACTGGGGTGACTCCGGGTCCGACAGGCATGACTCCCATACCTGACGCGCTCTGGCCGGCAGATGGCCTACCTGACGGGAACGAATGGATGTTTTCGTGGCCGGGGTCGACGCCACAGCCACAGTGACCCCTTAGACAAACGGTGACTGGTCGAAGTCGACGAAACGATGAACGGTGGCATATCTCACGGGATGAAGGGAAAAGTGATACCCCGCGTCACGGATCTCAGCTCGATCTTAAGGTGGTGCGGGCTGATTATACGTGTACACAGTATGCAATATATCGGCAAAAATGTCGAGATTTGAACAGCCCTAAGTCTCCGAGCTTGAATGACATTCTTTTTGCGAGATCTATTAGCTAGTCTTTTCCCCAGTTTGAGTCACCCCGCCGAGCCTGATGTCGCCTGAGATATTCTAATCAGCTTTTTCTTGGAGCGACCAGGCCGTCAGCATGATGCTGGTTCCCACACTAGGTTTGTCTGTAGGACCAAAGTTCTTATTATTGCCATTCGTTCCCCCGATTTTCGAGCCTGAAGTACCTGGGTAGCGAGGACAGTCTGCATTTATACTACTGGTTGTACGGACTCCTAGCGCTCAATCTTGGGCTAGTGTCAGTAGCAGGACCACAGAGCCAATGAGAGGAGTTTCCGTCTCGGTCTAACTGCCGTGTCTGGAGTCCCTTCTTCAACTCTTCGATTGACACGGAGTAATTGATTATTCATGCTTTGCTTCGTGTCTGCTACTTAGCAAGACCAAATCCTTCTCGCAGGTGTCATGTTACGACCCTAGATCGATTTCCTCCTGGCTGCACCGACCGCACGGAAATCCTACGCCTTGCAATAGAGGCTCTTCCGAACGCAGCCCCTCAACTCGACGTACACTTCTCCCCATGGACTCCACCCTCCTCGATGTACTCGCACGTAGTCAACCCCAGAGCCGAAGCATTCGTCATGGGCACGACCGTGAAGTTCTGATAGTCGATATTGTAACAGGGGCGTCTCTCTGAGCACGAGATGGCATTGACCCGTGCCGACTTCGCCGCTGTTATGTTGGTGGATCCAGTGAAATTCACAAAAGCCACATTCGATACCTTCACGCGCGTCAGTGCTTTATGGCAGGCAGCTCAGGAGTTAAGGCACTCACCAGCATATTAGAAGTCCCAGAGAAGGTGCCGTTCTTGGGGTTGCCGTTGCTCTGTGTAATGGCAGTCGCCAGATCTGCTCCTTGGATATTGAAGTTGCTGAACAGAATGTTTCTCACGTTGCCCCATCCGCCGCCATTCGGGAGGCCTGCGCTTTCATAGCTGGAATCTTGGGGCGCCTGCTCGCCAATCCAGGTTTTGATGTATGCGCTGTTGTGCATGTCCTCATTGTACCGGATGACCGTCACGTTGTCCACAACCACGTTCTCCACTGACGAGTCTTCTAGATACTGACCGAGACTGCCGATGGCGATTCCGTTCCCGCCTCGACAGGTCACATTGTATACGCTGACATCATAGCTTCGGGGCTTTATCGCAATGCAGTCCTGTTTGTGTCAGATTCGGTCGCTATGGCTCTGGAGATAACACTTACGTCTCCACCTTGGTACACGAAATTCGACAAATACACGTTTTTCACGTCCATGGTGTCTGCATGACCGTCAGAGACGCCAACCGATTCTTGTCCTTGACGTACCGAACCCATCTGTGTTCTGAACCCAGTTGGAACCCCAGGGTGCTTTCGTCGCAGTGGCATTGCAGTACAGTTGATCAACCCAGATGTTTGTGCCGTTCATGATGTTGAACGCCCACAGCTGAGGTTGCTGAATCGAGAATCGGCTGACAGTTACATCCGACACGTTCCATAGCACAAATGGCATGGGCCGGCCGGGCAGCGTATGCCCAGCTTCGGCCGTATACCAGAGATCGCCATTTCCATGGATGCCTCCTGTTCCAAAGCCGTCAATACGGATGCCATCTCCTGTCAGAATAAAGCCAGCATGGTGATTCTGAAACGCAATTGGGTACGAGTTGTTCCGCCAATAGTCCAGGTCGTCCGAGAATTGCCAGATACCACGCCATTCAATTGTGACATCGTTTACAACGGGATTGAGCTTGGTCGCTATCCAGTACGTTTGGCCCTCTGGGAACACAACCTTTCCCCCGTTGCCACAGTCTTTGAAGGCTTTAACGATTTGAGGCACGTCATCTTGCTGTCCACCCTTGGCAGCAACCGTGCAAATCCTTTGGCCGGGGCCATTCGGAGCTCCAGGGCCTAGGGCTAGAGCTGCTGTGGGGAGGAAACAAGCAAAGATTCTGAACAGAGCTGATTTCATCGTGTGTTTAGGTACACTTGGTGCTGAGGTGAACACTGACGGATTTGCATCCACGATCCTACCTTTCAATCCACCTGGCACCACCTCGGATTGCACTGTCACCAAGCATCGGACAAGCTTGAAGCGAGCGTCTTGCAGAAGATGACGATCCTGAGGATCTTCATGAGACTCCTCACTCATCGCAGAGATATCCGACTCAATAGCTTGCCCAAAGCTTGTTCTCCGCATCCGTTACCCCATGTTTCTGTGGCTGGATGCCACATCATAACGCAATCCAGGTCGATCCCGGCGGGCGAAATGCAAGGTACCATACGACTTCGGGCTAAAATGGGCCGAGATGATGGACGAGAGAAGATGCGGAGTGGACTCACACCGTAATATTTGAGCACCAAGATAAAACGCTCTCCACTGCCCCCGCCATAGGTGAATGCCTTCGTTCCCACTGCGACTTGGCGGTTACTCAAGTGGTTGTGGGAGACTTCATCACCACGAGATGGTGCCGATATTGATTGCCTTGCTTGCGGCCACGGTGAAAGTTGTTGAGAGTCAATGTTGGCGCGACTATCCCTGCAGTGGTCCCAACAATGCCGCATTCCCAGGTCCGTGGGATCAAAACAATTACGCCCCGGAATCTCGGTTTGTGTCGCCGAGGTGGTCCCTCCTATGGCCGAACCTGACCTCAGTGCCGTATGCGAAGGCGCAAACAATCAGCGGCAATGGGTCATTGGTGACCTATGACTTTGGTAAAGAAGTCGGTGGCATCGTCCGCTTCTCATACACGAGCAGCGGCGCAGGGACGCTTGGTATTGCCTTTACTGAGTCCAGGAAGTTTGTCGGCTACGTATCAGACTCGTCCAACGGTCTGTTCACTGGGTCCGATCTATGGCTCAATGTCACTTTGACGGGCCAGCCAGGCCAGTATGTCATGCCAGACGAGGTCTTGCGAGGTGGCTTCCGCTACATGACGCTATGGTTCTCGACCAACTCAAGTGCCACGGCTGTCTCAGCCCAGAATATTACCGTCGAGCTGGACTTCCAGCCTACCTGGTCCAATTTGCGAGCATATCAAGGATACTTTCACTGCAGCGACGAACTCCTCAACCGCATTTGGTATGCCGGCGCATATACCTTGCAGAGCAATGCCGTCCCTACCTACACTGGCCGACAAGTGCCCATGCTTGCTTGGAACTGGGCGAACAATGCCACGCTAGGCCCCGGCTACTCAATTATTGTGGACGGCGCGAAACGCGATCGAGCAGTCTGGCCAGGTGATATAGGAATTGCCGTGCCTTCGGCGTTCGTCTCCACGGGGGATCTTGAGTCGGTCCGGAACGCCCTCCAGGTGATGTACGACTATCAGAACACGACGACCGGCGCATTCGACGAATCTGGCCCGCCTCTCAGCCAGAAGAACAGCGATACATACCACATGTGGACCATGATCGGGTCATACAACTACGTTCTGTACACGAACGACACGGCGTGGCTTACCCCCATATGGAGCAAATACAAACACGCAATGGAGTACGTGGTCGGCAAGATCGACCAGTCGGGCCTCATGAACGTCACGGGCACGAGAGACTGGGCGCGCTGGCAACAGGGCTTCCACAACACCGAGGCGAACACGATCCTCTTCCAGACGCTCATGACCGGCAGCAAGCTCGCCACCTGGATCGGCGACCAGGCGACGGCAACGAACTGGAGCGCAACGGCGACTGCATTGGCAAATGCGATCAACGAGCACACGTACGACGCCTCCGCCAACGCCTACCGCGACAACGACACAACCACGGCCCTGCACCCGCAAGACGCCAACAGCATGGCGCTGCTCTTCTCGGTGGCCCCACCAGCCCACGTGCCCGGTATTGCCAGCACGCTGGTCGAAAACTGGACGCCCATCGGCCCCGTGACGCCGGAGCTCCCGTACAACATATCGCCGTTCATTTCGTCGTTCGAGCTGCTCGGCCGCCTGGCCGTGCGCGACACGGCGCGTGCGCTCGAACTCCTCCGCACCCTATGGGGCTGGATCGTCAACAACGCGGACTCCACCGAGTCGACGCTCCTCGAGGGGTATCTCGCCAACGGCAGCTTCGCGTACCGCTCCGACAGAGGCTACGCGTACGACGAAAGCTACGTGAGCCACGCCCACGGATGGAGTTCCGGGCCGACGAGCGCGTTGACGCACTCGGTCTTGGGACTCGATGTGCGAAGCCCGGCTGGGCGGGAGTGGACGCTCGCCCCGCAGACGGGGAATCTGGCGTTTGCGGAGGGAGGCTTCACCACCGTGCTGGGCAAGTTTAGTGCAAAGTGGCGGGTACAGCGGGATGGTGTGCTCTTGACGTGGGATACGCCGGTCAACACGTCGGGTAGGATTGTGTTGCCTGTGGATGGGCAGGGTTCTGCTGGCACGGATAGCCCAGAGGTTACTGTGCAGCTGAATGGAGAGGACAAGACCGTGCGAGTGCAGTCGAGTGCCGTGAGTGCTTTTGGTGAACATCTCGGTGAGATTGATGTTCCTGGTGGGAAGGGGATGGTTTCGTATCCCTTCGGGTAGCGTACACGGCATGGTTCACAGTCCTCACCGTATCAACATCATGACAGTAAAGTTGCGGCCTCCACCCGTTGTGGGAATCTCTTCAGTAGACCAAAAAGTAGCCTTCAGGGGCCTTGCACGAGATCCAAATCCTTTGTTCGATCCTATCCAGGTGAGAAGTAGGAAGACGCTCGAGGTTGGGAAACAATGTAGGTAGGGAAACATGGCAAGACGTGGTTAGGAGCCACCTACCTGTTATGCGAATGTCAGGTGCTTAGACAGGTGGCTGTAGCATGCCTTTTGCTACAAAAACTCCGTCCCGATTCTTTGATTAAGCTCTGTCCGTGTTGTGACCAAAAAAAAACGAAATCTGAGAGGAGTGGGATTCGAACCCACGCGGGACAGAGCCCATGAGAAGACTGGTATATCAGTCCAAGTAGTACACTTGAGTCACACGCCATAACCGCTCGGCCATCCTCCCCTTCAGACCTTAGACAGGTCGTGTCGGTGCTGGTGGGATTTTCCAACAACAATATGCGTACAAAAAGTGGTGCTAGAATTCATATTCAAAGATAGACTTCCACGTGACTTAAACCTATTTGAGGGTCGACCCTATAAATTACTCATTAATCTTGGCAATCTGAAGCTAGATGATTCAGTCGAGGCCTAATACGGAGGAAAGCGCGATGCGGGGCGCCTACATAGCTTCGAACCCATTCACATTCCTTCCATGGTCGATAGCTTCAGCGAGGCACATACCTCGTACTTACAATCGGATTACATTTCTGATGACACAGCTCTGCACAATCCCTTGCTACGAAGTCTTGGTAGCGATCGATCAATGCAAACACAGCACGAATCTGTTACGATGCAGCACAGCCTGCAGAGATGCCTAGAGGGATTCCGAGCCAATAGGGACAGAAGCTGGCTTCCTTCGTTCTTCTGCGCTTATCGCTGCCCCTGTGCCGCTCCTGAGACCACGAAGAGTTTGCTTTCTAGGAGCTCCGATACTCAGGGACAACTTTCACCTCCGGCTCTGGGTTGTCTGTCACTAACCGCATTCGTGGGGTGTCATGGCCGTGTTCAAAATTTGCGGAACTCCTGTCACGCTTACACTTTCCGTCCAGTCCCTTGACGCCGCGGTGGCGATCCGTCAAATCGCTCACCAGCCTCTGCGCATCGCTGGCGGTTAGGGATGGAAAGACTTTTTCTGAAAACCAGAAAAAGCACGAAAGCCTGTGGCGTTGCGTGATGTCAGCCTGGTCAGATGATGGATGCTTTGGTGTTGTACGAGTACTGGATCCCCTGCCACGACATGTGGTCCTGACGTGTGCGAGTGTGAGTTTGTCTTTGTCCCCCAAGGCGAAAAAGCAGGCTCTGCAGCACGGTTTCCACTTCTTTACTGGCACCACTGGCAAGGCTGTGGAGTGGAAAGAGTGGACAGCCGCCGGATCTCTCTTCCTGCTTCCCAGCCAATTAACTCATGTCAGGCGCTGATCATCCGGCAAATCCGGACCTTGGTGTTGGCAGCCTTGCAAGCAGCCACACTTCCGGATCAGTTCTCATGGGCTGCGAATAGTACGGATATCGATGCCGACCTCACACGACTGACAGGATGGTGGGTGGAAAAGGCCATTTGAGGCTACAGCGCAGGCTAAATGAAGCACCGATGAGCAAGGGTGACATAAATGAATCACTAAGTCACATAAGCCTCCTCCCAGTGTCCCTATCACGACGACGTCACGCCCTTCTCGCCTTCAAACTGCTGTCTATATAGATAGCTAAAGGTGAATTTCTTTCATCAACACTTCGTACACTTTCCAAACACAGCATCCTCCCTGAAGCCAAGGTCTCATTTCCAAGCCAGGATCCCCGATATTTCCCTTCCCAACACATCACAAGCACTACACAGTATGCCTCGCTTTGGCGGATTTGGCGAACGCCGCGGCGGTCCAAGCACCACTGCCGCCACTACAAGCGATTATGGTGCCCCAGCTACTCGCTCAAACCCGGCACATCGTCCAGCCATCCTCGCCAACCACTGGCTACATTGGATCTCGTCAATCATCGTCCTCGGCATCTCAGCCTACTTCATCGCAAACTACAATCACAACACCCATCTCGTCTACTGGGTGACTATTGTATGTTCACATGCTTGACTCAGTGACGAAGTCGCTAGGAAATCTTACTAACCGCTCACTCAGGCTGCGATCGATGCCCTCCTTTACCTGCCGGCACTCGTCCTTCCCGCCCTCGGCTCGTACAAGGGCTACCTGGCGCCTGCGGCTTGGATCTTCTCCTACCTGTGGCTGACGGCCTTCATCTTCTCGTCCCAGGACTATAACTTCAATTCCTTTGGATGCGCTCGTTCCCCATCCGGTGTCAACAAGTGCGGCCTGAAGAAGACTCTGGAAGCGTTCGCATTCCTTGCTTTGTAAGTTGTAGATGTGCCTTTTGTTGTGGATCCCTCGGGCTTAGGCTAACGCGTCGGCGCAACAGCTTCACCAACATTGTCGGACAGATCCTCGAGGGATGGCTTTGGGCGAAGCAGCCTTTCAAGCGCAACAACGCACACGTCGAGAAGCATGGCGTTGGCAGCACTAGCACCGCCGCTACTACTGCGCCTACCACTACCGGGCCCGCAGCTGTCTAGGGTATAACGCCAGGTACTGGTGTTGTTTGAAGGTTGGGAAATGCAAACCCTGGTCCCTACGGTGGCAATCGACCATTGGGGGGCGTCGCCATGGCGGAGCTAGGTTCTCAGCGCACATCGGGGCAAGCGATCAGAGTGGATCACGGAGCAAGGAGATGTACCACGAGTGTAGGATATAGTCGAGGGTGGTGAGAAGATAATCAATGATAGTTAAAGGGACTTTGGTTCGCACAGCTCAACGCCTGATGATAGGTAGGTAATTACTTAATAATCTGACATAATTTGATGTCGGCAATGAAATGTAATATATTTTGGAGTATCCAATCAGAGTCATCTGCGACGTCTTGGTAAGCGTTGATCCTTCAAATGGTGTGGTCGCCGTCCTTGCTTTTCTATGGTGGTCTCCCTCCAAGTGTCAAGAGCGCTAAGTGTGGTGTTTCCTTCATTCTTCATTCTTGATTTTTCGGTTCAGACTTGACATTTTATTCACGCCGGCTTCGCTCAGGTCGGGGATAGTCCTTTTTAAACGGCATGCCCGGCTGGCCGGTATGCCGTCTTGATACTCAATTGATTCCTCTCTCGATCTTTTCATATCATTCTTGACGGCATCAACAAAAAATTGACCTGACCGAACATGCCCTCACACTTCTGCCGCTCGTTGGAGTTGTTATCCTTTTGGCCAGGGAATACGAGAATATCTGAGACCTCGCACGCGACTCGTCTCGGCGCTACCACCTTGTTCACACACGTATAGCCCTGTTCTCGGCCTCTTTTGGAAGCTACACACGCATCTTCGAGATTCAAGAGCTTCGGTCGCACGCACGATGGGCCAGCTAGACTCCGCAAGCGGAGGTTGAGGGCTGACTGTTTTGTTACCCCTTTGAGCCTAACCTATCTACCTCCGATGGTGATGATGGTGAGTTCAAACATATCGCAACCTTGTTCTATACTTACCCTTGCTCGCTTGCTTACTGAGGAGAACTGCGTCCCGATGTCGTTCCGATTTATACCGCCTCTTTGTACGTTGGCAGTCTCTGGGTTATGCGTACTGTGCTTGTACCTTTCCTTGGTCGACCGTTACCTCAAGAGGAATATGTTGGCTTTGAGCTTGATTTACGAAGCAACAGTACTCATCACCCCTCGCTCTTTGAATGTGGACAAAGTCTTTGGATGTTTGATCATGGAGATGTCCGACAGTGCTTCGGCAACTGTCCGAGGCTTCTCAGCGTCTGCAGCAAGCAGCGGGACTGCGAAAGCTATGCTTATCCAATCTGATCAGATGGATTTTGTCAGTCTAATCTGATGAGCTGCGATGAGGCCACGCTGCTTCGCAGCCAGACGGCCACGGGTGGACCACTACATGCCTCGAACGAGGTCTGTTATAGTCCGATGCGAGGGCCGCTTGGCAGATGCCAGACAAATGCCTGGGTGTTGAGAATTATTTTGTCTGGGTGCTCGTGTCCAGATCCGCTTTTCTCGCTGATTTGTGCCTATGCACGAAAGCCACTTGACAGTCGTCCAGTGTCCAGCAACGACCAAACCCTCGACCCAGAGGAATGCGGCTTCAATTTTATGCCATCGTGCATCACGCTATACACCAAAGAAGTCAACTCTCCGTGACGACAGAATGGGACCTTTAAAGATTCGGATTGAGGGTGAGCGGCATAAAAGGAGTACCATGGGCGCTCAGAGGTGGCTTTCTTGATCGGCCTTCCGCAACACTGGGTGTATGTCCGCTTCAAACATTGCCTTCAGACTTTCGGGTTCGAGAACTTCTTGCTGCTGAAGCGATGAAGCGCAGTTCAAGTCCGTTCCTCGTCCTTCTCCTTCTGCTTGTGGCAGACAAGCTGAATGTGTTGGCAATGTCCGCTTCAGAGATGGCTGCCAGCAACGAAAGCCAACTTCTATCATGCGCTGCACCACCAGTCACAAAACATCTTTCCGACAAAGTCCACGGCATCTGATGGGAGTCACGGTCGTCTTGATCTTCCCCCTCGGCTCGATCTGCTGGAGACTGCTCGACCGCGGGGTCAGTAGAAGAACGCTTTTCTGAATCCATATCTGCTGCCAGCTCTTGGGGCTGGCAATGCTTGTCTCCGGGTTCGGCGTCGGGGTTTGGGTATGTATTATCCACAACTCGGGATGTGCGGAACTCTGCTTTAATTAGTCTATCCATGTCCTGTAACACAGAGGGGATCTCACCATGCCTGAAACAACCGCCATCATTGGACTGATGGTTAGACTGATTGTTGACGCATGCGGGCTTAGGTGTACAATGACGAATGGGGCCATGGAGTTCGCGGCACCATCCTCACGGTTCTATTTATGCTCCAACCTGTTCTAGGCCAGTGCCACCGCTTCCTGTACAAGCGCAGATCGCCGAGCCGAAAGTTCAGCCCTTGGTTCCGGAAATCCCATGTCTGGCTTGGACGACTGCTCATGGCTACGGCCATTGTAACAGCGCCACGGGCGTCGTCTGGCCAACAATACTACGGGTGGAGAGAAAGGCCACAGCGCTGCCGCCGGGGTCGTCGGCTGGATCTACATTACGATCGTTCTGCTTTGGTAGTGGAACAGAAACAAGCAGGATACCAATGAGGCAGGTCATGACGGGGTGGCAGGACATGTGGAAGATGAAAGCGACCCTGCTGTGGCCGTGGGACAGGTATAATAAGTTCTAGGCCAAGCATGGAATCCAGATCCTGAGTAACTAGGCAAAAGAGACAGACTTAGGTAGACCTCGATACTAACATTCCGCTCAGCTCTGCTGGCAACAGGTGAGTAAACTGTAAACAAGGCTTGGAATGCGCCTGTAACACCCCGTATGTCTTCTGATAGACGTGCCCCACATCGCTACTTCCTCCGGGATCAGAGCCCCTCCAGCGACAGGATAACACGTGACGTAGCCTCGTCGCGTTGAGTCTTGCACTATGTAGGTGTGGCCTCAGCCTCGTCACTGGTGAATGCTCGTACTGATCAAAGATTGTTGATGCATTGCATCGTCTGCTGCTTGTGCCGCCACCACAAATGTTGACCGCGCTGTTATGGCGTCCATCAGTCAGCGCAAGCAACTCGGGCGCGACAAGTTCGGGACACAATTCAGTCTGCTAAAGACCCAGCAGTACACCGATCCTGCCACCCGTACCGCGGTACCGACCATGTACGTACCCGTCGTCTGCACGTAAATGCATGCGAACCTGTCCCATTCACGAGCGGAGAGTTCCTGACGACAAGACACATGATACACGGCGGCTGATTTGTTTTCTATGCGCCCTACAGCCACCGAACTATCTCATGGAACGCATCAGGCGGATTGATCGCAACGGGGGCCAATGACAAGAGTATCAGAGTATGGAACGTGGAACGGACAAGCCCGCGCAGTCAGATCGAACTCAGAGGTCATGGACACGCCGTTGAAAAAGTCCTGTTCAACCCCGTACGGGAGTTCGAGTTAGCCAGCTGCGCGTCGGACGGGACAGTGCGCTTCTGGGACACGCGGACAAAGACCTGCGTGACCAAACTGGACGTGGGCGGAGAACCGTTCACACTGAGCTGGAGCGTCGATGGAAGCGTACTGCTGGCAGGAACGAAGGTGCGTTGGATCCTTCAGACTATCCTGGCCGACACCAATAAATCGGACTAACACCCAACACAGGGCGACGTTCTCATCCCCATCTCAACCGCGATACCCTCGTCGCCACACATCCTGTCTCGCCACAAGCAGAACCAGCAAACCAACCAGACGACCTTCTCCAACGCATACCCTCCAGCGGATCTCATTATCACACAAGGAGATGGCTCTGTCAAGATCGTCGACTACCCGTCCATGGCCACCCTATATACCATAGCCGCACACACCTCATCCTGCACCGCCATTTCCTACTGTCCCAATGGCAAATACATGGCTGTGGGCGGCTCAGACGCCATGATCTCCTTATGGGACACCACAGACTGGGTGTGTCGCCGGACGGTGTCCAATGCTAGCTCCGGCGCAATTCGCGGTCTCAGCTGGTCGTGGGACGGTCGATATCTCGTGGGCGCAAGCGAAGAAATGGGATCTGGTGGTGGGGAGGGCCTCAGCTCGGGCTTTGAGATATACCATGCCGAGAGTGGCGACGTGGTCCATACGATCGCGACAGGCACAAGTGGGATTCCAGCTGTTGAGTGGCATCCCAATCGCTACTGGTTGGCTTATACCCAGATTGAGGAGACCAGGCAAGGCAAGTCTAGCTTGAAGATTGTGGGTGCAGCTGGAGGGCCGTCAATATGAACGCAGCCAGGCGCTTTTTCAAGCATCTGACTTGAATCTGTCTCTGCGACGGATCGATTCCAGTCGAAGCCTCCAGAAAGGCAGTGACAATAGCACACCGCAGTAGTCCGGTCCGTGCTATCAATTGCCCTCGCACGGCAGTCACTGAATACGATCGTCGCACTCGACGCCGTGGAAATCTCACGACTACGAGGGATCACTGCATCTTATCCGGCCCACGCCTGGAGGACGCTCAGGCGACCTGGCTTCCCATGTGAAAGAGAAGCACCACCGAGCTTTTGTGCCGTATTGGTCCTCGCACGCAGGCCAGTTGCAGTGTGTAGGCTCTTGGATTGCCGGTTGGCGGGCATGGCGGGCTAAACTCAAACAGTGACGAGCCGTATCAACAGTCTCATTCCATCGACCCTTCTCACCCAAAAGGTTGCCGTCGACGCAGCAGTGTTCGCATCTGGCTTCGAATTCTCGGGCGGTGGAAACTGGAAGGAGCTTCTCAGAGCAGAGGCGACGCAAATCAGCAGCCAACCAATTCGGACGCCTCCTCTGGACGTCTACTGCGCCCGCGCCTTTCTCTCTGCTGCGTTACATACCTGGATCAAAATCATTTATGTCCTACTGTACCCAATCCCACTTCCGGCTGTCGTCTTGTCGATTCGTTCCGTCCGCGTGATCCTTCTCTTCAACCGAGTTTCTGAATGAGCACGGATTATAGTCCTCGCAAGGGACCCGTTAAGGCCTCCATCATCTGTTTGCGTCGCGACGACACTGCGCTCTTTCTGCTGACACACTCTGCTATCCTGTTAGCTCTTGCAGTTGCGAATCACGTCTCGGCTTGGCGCCTGCGCCATTCAAGATCCAGCGTACGAATTCGTCAGTCTGACTTTGAGAGGCGTCTTGGTTCCGGAGGACAAGGATGTTGCTCAACTAACCGTCCACCTGCAGATTGAAATAAAGGTTGTCCTGCTCATGCAATGGCTGACGTTACTGGACTGCCCCGGCAGCAATTATGCAATCACTGAGATGTCCTGCTGCAAAGCTCGAGAGCAGTCGCTGGCCGCATCTTCAAGCAAAATCCTGTGTCTGACTGCCACACCTCCAGCTGCATTGCTTAACGCGGCATGCGCTTGCAGCCCATATCATACCCCGCAATCGTGGTACGTTTCAGCCTTGGGATTAACCTACCATGATCACTCAGTCTCACTCTGCTGGCTCGAGTCGGGAAAAGACCACGGACGACCAATACGGATGAGGCACAGCCCAACTTAGGATTGCGAAAATCCGAAGAGTGTGAAATAGGAGGTTCGCCGAGCTCAAGGATTGTTACTCCCAACGGGAGGACCGGGATGGAGGACAAATCTGGGCGACATCTGGGTCCAGATGTATGGGGTCCCACCAAAGCGACTGACGAACAACGAAGGCTGCGGCCAAGGCATCGGAGTGCTTTCGCTTCCTTGCCTGATGACCCCTGGCCTCATGCGAAATCTCATAGGAAAAGAGATTCAGAAGTCAAATTACTCCGGGCCGATGCAGAACTTGCAGAAGCGGATGCCGTAATTATAGTGATGGGCCCTACTGGTGCAGGCAAGTCGAGGTTCATTCGTGAAGCAACAGGTGAAGACGTCGAGGTTGGCGACTCGCTCGAATCAGGTAACCACCTTGCTGCATGGCATCTCTGGCCACGAGTTCTTATGCGAAGATTACAGTAACCAAGAGCATTCGAGCGTATCATCTGAAGCTCAACTCGGTCCATATTGCCCTGGTCGACACTCCAGGGTTCGACGACACATACATAACTGACGCCGAGGTTTTCAAAGACCTTGCCATATGGCTCGCCGCTCAGTACCAGACACAGGCACAGGTAACTGCGATTCTATACATGCAACCGATCACGGCAATGAGGATGAGAGGCAGTGCTCTTCTCAACCTGACGACAATGAAGAAAATGCTGGGTGTACAGAGCTTCCCACATCTGATCCTGGTCACCTCAATGTGGGATTTAATAGACCCAGCAACGGCAGAAAATCGAGAAAAAGAACTTACTAAGAGCTTCTGGCACGACTTGATTAGTGAAGGTGCTAGGGTTGCAAGGTCCTATGGTGATCGCGCATCCGTCCTCCATGTGTTGGAAACGATCAATGTGCAAGGTAAGGATCTAACACTGACCATTCAGCAAGAGCTTGTGGATGAAAACCTACCGCTGGGGCGTACTTCTGCTGGGACGTTTCTTGGCCACGAGTTCCGGCGGCAAGCAGACATACATAATGAGAGACTCCGTCAAGGGCACACAGAAAGCAGACCGGCCATTCTTCAAGAGCCCACCTTGGATGATGGATCCCAGTCGGTTACCGGAAATCTGGCAGGGTTCCAGAAGAATCTCAGGGAACTACAAGTGCTTGATAGCTCCACCATCACGGATGCAGCATCACTATGGCTGGCCAAAGATGCTGCACAACTACAAGGCTTGATCGACGTACCGGCAGGAAGCAAGGGTGATACAAAGGCAAGCAACATACCAACCACGGACTACAGCTCGATTTTCCTAGCTGGAGATACCATGCGACCCAATGATTCCCAGCAATCGATTTACGAAAGCCTCAGTGGCGACGATTTTCGACTCGTCCATCTCCGAGCTGGGCAGGGGCCGGTGCCCGTTGAGCTCTCGCTCATTGTCGCCAATCTCAAGCATCCTCCTCAGTATGCTGCACTCTCCTACGTTGTTGGACAGAACAACACCAGTGTTACAGTCAACTTCAGGCGGGATTACCATGTATTCCCGATCGTGATATCGGACGCCCTCGAAACTGCCTTGAGATGTCTTCGACGTCCATACACAGATATACTGCTCTGGGTCGATGCGTTGTCCATTAAGTAAGTGCAAATACCCTGAAAGCTGTAGACAATGACTTCACTCGAGCTTTGTTTCGGTTACCGCGACCGGGCCTCTTAGTCGCTCGATCCGGGTCCTAACGTCTCGGCAGCCAATTCGACCTGCAGGAACGAGCTCGTGAAATCCGGAGAATGAGTCAGCTCTTCCGATCGGCCTCCAACGTTTGCATCTGGCTCGGGCCAGCAAGTCCGGAAGTCATCCACGCTCTCGACTTTATTCCGCAGGTCCTTAACTTTGCCCATCTTGAAGAGCTTGTTAGGGATGTGGGCAACAAGCAAAAATGGCTGGAACTTACGAAACTCATGTCTCGACCATACTTCCGACGAAGGTTCGTCGTCCAAGAAATATTACTCTCCCGTAATGCCACGGTTCACTGCGGAGACCGCGCGATTCCGTGGCACGACTTCGTGGATGTTGCCGTGTTACTCCGATCTAAGTGGTCTGAACTGCAACAGCATCTGGCTTTGACTCATGAAGACAACTTGGAATTGGGAGACGCGCAGCTTCTGGGTGCAGCTTCCTTAATCGAGGTTTCCCGGCTGATCTTCCGCAAAGACACCCAGGGAAACATCCTCCAGCGTCTATTGGATCTGGAAACGCTGCTTTCTCTTTTACCGACCTTCGAAGTCACTGAATTGCTCGATACTGTCTATGCCATCATTGACCTTGCCAAAGACGGTCTCGGGTCCCAAACACTGCGAGTGGACTATGGATTGCAGCCTGAGGAATTGTTTCAGGACGTAACAAAATTGGTGATAGAGTCATCCAATTCTCTCGACATTATATGCAGGCCGTGGGCGCCAAAGTGTGGGGTCCCGTCGTGGATACCTACCATCACCAAGTACACATTCAGACGACGTGCGGCCAACTTCCAGTATGATCGACAACAGGGGGTGTCGCTGGTGGGAATGCCACAATCACGGCCATATCGCGCTTGCGGGGAAACCACGCCTCAAGCCCACGTCAGTTTCCGAATAGAAGGCATCCAGCGGATATTGACTGCCTCAGGTATCCGTCTGGGTGCGGTCGGGGAACTCGGTCAGAGGTCAATGAACGGAAGTCTCCCAAGAGAGTGGCTGGACATAGGTGGGTGGAAAGATATCAAAGACCCTGTGCCCGGCCCATTCTGGCGAACGCTAGTCGCAGATCGCAGCTCCGAGGGGAAAGCCGTGCCGGAATGGTATGAAAGAGCCTGCCAGTTTGCCTTCCGACAAAGTACCAGGGATGACATCGACACCAGTTCCCTCCTGAAGACCCTCAAATCTACTCACGTCCATGAATTCCTGAATCGTGTCCAAGAGGTCGTTTGGGGCCGGACTTTGGCGGCCATCGACGTGAAGGATGAGGACCGTGTTTGCCTCGGCTTGTGTCCGCCTGACACAAAATGGGACGATGTCATTGCCATCCTCTATGGATGTAGTGTTCCTGTTGTTCTTCGAAAGGTGCGGTCGTACTTCAAGCTCATCGGCGAATGTTTTGTCTATGGCATGATGGACGGCGAGGCGTTCATTGGGGGCACCGGCAGTGCGACGGAGGCGTTTGCTCTAATCTGAATGTCGATTGACACCCCCTCTTCACGCGATGGACCAGCGTGACGGCCCAGGCCACATCCGAGCGTCCGCTGAGCAGTGAACAATTGCGAGATCACTCAAACGCACTATTCAGTCAAGGGCGAACAACCGCTCCGGAGCGAGTATATACATCGCTCTGTGACTACCACATTTCATGTGCAGCTATCCAGTTCATCCACTCCAAAGATCTGAATCTTGAGGGACGGTTATCAATCAACTATTCGGCCGAATTTCGGAAAATCTATCGAACTCCGCGACCTGCTTATATACAGAAATATCTCTTCTATAGGACTCTGCGGACATGGCTGAAAAGGTTCTATCCGAGATACCTACTTCTTCCGACATTTCGAGATCGACGGAACTCACGGAAGAGAAGGGCATGCCTCGCATGCCCGAGCGGGCGTATATAAAGGTCCCATATAAGGTACCGTATAGGTCGCCCACTCCTCCTCGCGCGGAGCCGTCGACCTCAGCTGTCGACATGACTTCTACGCTGGTCTCATCCTCCAGCGGTCCCGGCCCTGCACAGTCGCAACCTTGATCCAACACAGAGACGGATGCTCACCTTCGCGGCGGGTGGGATGAGGAGGAGTGCTGCATCTGTTGCGTCTGCAGTTGCCTCGCGTGCGACCAATTTTGCCACGAGACCAGCACGGGGTCATTCCTGCATTGAAACTGGTGACGGCACGTGTATGCTGATAACTGTATAAGGACTGTTTGGTTAGACGGCGCATACCGAGAGCTGTCGTACCTGGCCATAGTGCGGAGGGGAGCTTGGCCAATACGGGTTGGATGTGAGCTGTGACAACCTGAGAATCTGGAGGCGAAAGGCAAAGCCGCGTGTATTCTGAGCAAGCAGAGGGCCAGCAACGTAGATTCTGGGCATCTCTTCTGCTTTGAGGGCCTAACCAGGATAAAGGCATGAGAGTCTGAGCCAGATTTGTGTCCTATACCTACCTCCCACCGATAGTGTCACGGTGGACTGCCACAGCCTCGTCACTGCAGGCCAGCCTCGCCATATGGCAGTCACCGCAAACGCTGCGCCCCGACTGGCTGAATTACAACCCTGCGCATTACGCCACAAACTGCGTAGGGGCACGAGGGGGTCACTCTTCATAGACCTCTCTGTTTTAGACTTCATATCATAATACAACGCTAACAGTTGAGACATTTCAGCTCTGCCGACGCGGCCTGATAGATGTTGAGCGGAGTGGCAAAGGAGCGGTGCTGTTTTACTGCTGAGCACACGTGCAACTCAAGCCTGTTAGAGCTGTCAGAATGAGCTTGAGTGACTGTGCAAACCCCATGACAACTGGACGCCGCGTCGCAGCTGGTTCCCACGCATATTGACAATCACTCGTCCGCCTCAGCAGACCGATCAACTGGCCCCGAGTCATTCGAGTGGCTCAGGACTGCAGGGGATGCCACCAGACTCGGACACCAGATCTTCTCCTGCGCGGCGCCAGATCAGCCGAAGCAGGAAGGGATGCGCAACATGTCGTCGACGCAGCAAACGAGTTCGTCCACCACGAGCCGCTATCTGTTATCGGACATGCTTCCTGTGGCTGGCTAACTTGATGGTAGTGCGATGAAAGCAGACCCGCGTGCCAGGCTTGTCGACGCCTCAGGTTGGATTGCGTCTATGACAGTGACTTTATTGTCGTCAACCCTGGGATTCGGGCAGCGAGGAACCGGCCAGACAATATGTCAAGGAATCGCCCACGAGCTGCTGCTACTGCCATTCCTCAGTCGCCTTTGCCGCTCGCTCGAGCAGACCTTTCGCTTTCCCAGCCGGACATGGTTTACTTTCAGCACTTTGACCGCCAAGTAAGAGCGGCTCTTCCTGCATCGCTGCACAGCTTCAACCTGCAAGCGCGGGACTGTGCCTTCCTTCAGTATTCCATTCTCTGCTTGGCAGCGTCGAATCTCTCCACCCTCGACGCATGCTTGACGCAGCGCAATCTGGTCGGCGATGCAAGAAGGTCAACTGCCAGCCCGAGTCCGAATATCCTCCACAGCTATCATGCCCAACAGTACTGTGAGCTTGCGACGGGGCAGGAACAAAGCCATGAGCCTCAAGACACGTCGCTCATTCTCATCGGCAAGGTCCTTCTCGCCTATTACCAGCACGCTTCAACGGACCATTTTCGATTCCGCCTCGCGGTACTCGAGACTGCCGAGTTCGTCCGCAGGCACCGGCACGACATCACGAGGTCGCCCACGGGCGATATTGCTTTGCAGTTGTGGTACCGTCTACGTACCTCGCACCGCCCGGCAGAATGGTTGGAGCTAGCGGCTGGTAATGACGAGTCCGGCTCGGGGAAGAAACACTTTGCTTCGACTTCGGAAGACGAGGACATATATTTGGCTTGCATCGTGGGGCTATCTCCGGACGATTTGCTGCATGATATCATGCTCAAAGCCATGGAGCTTAGGAGAAGAATGGTATTCTATCATTGCACGGCCGCCGTGCAGAACGGTTCTGAGAGGTTGCCAGTCCACGTAACCGAATCCAGTTCTATTGCCCCCAGTCACTTGCTCGCGTTACTTGATATCCAGAGAAGAAGACTTGAGGTCTGGAAAAGCAGGGTCGCGGCAGAGAAGGCAGGTTCTGGGTGCCATGCCACTGCAGCGGGCATCACGTCGCCAAATCTAAGCGTGTTCAAGCTCATGGATCACCGACACAGGATGAACCACCTGTCCTGCCTTCTGTGCAGGCTCATCTTCACCCGCGCAACCGCTTACGAAGGGGCAGCGGTCGACCAGGACCTCAATAGCGCCATTCTACACGAGGTTGTCGACACGATTGACGGAATCGACCCGACAATATCCAATCTGGTGGATGTGTATGGGTACAGTCTCTCCGAGATCCTGTTGCAACTCTCATACAACATGCCATCGGCGACATACTTCGACTACATCTTGGATGTTGTCTGGCCCCGCCTGGAAGTATGCGGGCGGGGCTATGAAAATTCTCATCTGCCGACTCACCTCGCCAAGAGAATCATTGCTCTGATGGCGGAGGAATGGCAGTGTTCGCGCAGGATCCTACTGGTGGTGCTGGCGGCATCGCCGAACACGCCCAAAGCAGTGCTGTACGACATTCATCATTGTTTTGATGTCCTGCTGTATGGCTATGACCTGGAGCAAGGAGCCTTTTTCGTCAACAAGGTGTCACTCCCCTGACGGATGACCGGTGCCCGTCTGGCTAAGATCTCATACCCGCTCCGAGATTTAAAAGCCACACATCTCCCAGTCTCTGGTTCGACTCTGCCAGACCGCCGTGTATCACCACCTCTGTGTCCCCAGCAACATCGGCATCGAACCACCCTCTAGGGCATGGCTTTTCACCTCCCTCGACCATGAGCTTCGTCCACTTCTGCGAGTGAATGGCAAATATCCACACATCATCGAGCATTTTTCCAGCACCCTGATGTCCCAAGCTGCTTGGGTCGTGCTCTCCGAGCATCGTGATGAGGCTTGGTTGGCCATCCACAACGACCGCGAGAAGACAGCTCACGCTCCGGGGCCCGGGCCCTTGGCTCCCATCTGCATCAAATTTGACCGTCTGCCACGAACTGGTCTTTGGATCGAATACGTCCAGCGCTCCACCTTGTTCGGTCTTACCATCAAACCCATTCATGCGATACAGCTTCCCTTGAGTATATGCAATTGACGTGCCTCCACGTTCCGGAGCCGGTGCAGCAGGCAATTCCCGCCAGGTCCGTTCCGCAACGTTGAAGGCCCAAAGGTCACTTAGGCGCCCCTTTTCGGGACAGCCCGCATGGATGAAGATGGTGTCCTGCCCGTCGTTCGTCATGGCGTGGTAGCTGCGCCCAGCAGGCCGTGGACCAGCAGGATCTCGGGGCTGGACCTGCGACCAGTCTTTGGACGTCGTATCGAGAACCCAGAGTGCTCCGTTCTCCTCGATGGGTGCCATTCCTACGCCTCCACGGCCAGAGAAGACATAGATCTTCCCGTTGAGAGCTGTGGATGTGGCTCCCACTCTTGCTTGAGGGGCGTTATCGGCCGATGCTGACAAAATGCTGTCGATGCCCGCGTCTACTCGCAGGTCAATCTTGTCATGGCTCTCCCACAGGAACTGGTGACTACCTACCCTGCCTCTTAGGAATCCGATATACGGACGACTCTACCGGCTCGCGAGGCCGTAGTTCGCCCCCGAAGATGTATGCCGCGTCATTCACGACTGTCAGGGTCTGGGACGATCTGCGAAGAGCATCGCTCTCACAGATTTTGATCCATATCGCGGTAGGAGGCATGGAGTATATCACCGGACGAAGGTGCAAGTCCTCAATATCGATGAGGAGGGAGCTGGTCAGGCGACGTATGAAGCAGCTACCTGGTTTTTGTAGAGCTCCTAATCAACTGCGAGCTGCTCATGGCCAAGCAGGTGACTTCACTCTCATACGGGCTACAGGGTGCCATGATAATCGCAGATCATCACTGCTAGGCGTAATTTTGACTCTTTGCAGTTGATAGTCTCCTCGCGATGCGTACAGCCGGTAAGTTATCCTGTCGTCCATTTGCTGAGATGCGTTACTCCTGTATGATGCTGTACCGGCGTAAAATGTCCCCGGAACAGCGTAGCGTCCTAGGTCATCGCGATGTCGGTGCTCGTCCATCTTTCTATCTAACCCGGACACAACCGTTACCACTCCACGACCACTTCTACCAAGACACCAAGCTCTTGACAAGAACATAATAGCAGGACACGGTGTAGAGCTGACGAGTCATCCTCATTCTACCGTCTTGATTGCTGAACCAGCAGCCTGACTCTGGAAGCAGTTCCGCCACCTTCTTTCCATCGACGCTTCTCATTAGGCCTCAGGACCTCAGAGAACACCTGCCCTTGATATCCGTGCTGCCATGCCTTCCTCCGATGCCGGTCGGCCTACTCAGCGTCCCTTATGTAGATGCGTTCCTATTTGCTCCCTGACGTACTGTGGATCTTGACCGCCGGGGAACGCGTATCGTTTGGTCAGTTATTCTTAAGCCGGCAAATCTGCAGGCCGTAACGACAGCTTGTCCCTGTGCACGAAGGATCCCTCGCTGAGCATATTCGACTCCGTCGCGTCACCAAAGAATCTTCGCTGGAGGTCTCCTCCATCGCCACGATGCCAGGCCCGGACAGCAACGCAGCGCACAATGCCGTCGAACTTTCCACCATTGAAGAGGCCGCGCCGACAGAGGTGGAAGCAGCCATGATCTACCAGCCGGAGGACGACCCCGAGTCTGAGCCTGACGTGCCGCCACACATCACGCGTCGTCTCTACGTGTCTCATTCCTTGTCCACCTGGAACTCAAGATCGTTTGAATTCGGCGCTGTGTTGTTCCTGGCCACTATCTTTCCAGAAACACTCCTACAGCTATCCATCTATGCTCTTTTACGGTCTGCCTCTGCTATCGTCCTGGCGTCAAGCATCGGATATGCAGTCGACCAGAGACCGCGACTTCCTGTTGTCAGGTTCTCTATCGGTAGGAGGCTATATCGCTCCTCCATGTCACCAAGCACACTCTAACAAGCTGTGTCTCGACAGTCGTCGCACGCATCGCTGTCCTTCTGTCGTGTGTTGGTTTCTGGGCACTATCCACCTTTCACGCCATAGCGACCTGGGCAAAGTTGGCAATCTTTTCCATGCTGGTCCTACTTTCATGCGTTGAAAAGCCTTGCTCGATCCTCAACCTCGTGGCTATCGAGCGCGACTGGGTCTGTCGACCTCTTACCACCATTTGCATATACATCACTAAAGCGGAACATTGCAGGTGGTCGAAATCGCTCAGCACGACGAGCGGAGTCTGCAAAGTGTGTGGCTCTCCCTTACAAATCACTTACCGGGCTGCTCTTTGCCATCCGATGCAGTAACTAACATCTCCTAGGTCTCAATGCCAGAATGCGGCGTATCGATCTCGTCTGCAAGCTTGGAGGTCCTCTGGTCATTGCGCTCATCGACGGAGCATCGAGAAATGCAGCCATATTTCTGGTCTTTGCGACAAATGCTGCTGCTGCTCCGATAGAATACTTTGCCATAGCCCAGGTACGTCAAGGAGCAAAAGCGTTGGTGTGGCTACTGAGAGTGGACAAGGTCTACGACGGAGTTCCCCAGCTACAGGCTCCAAAGATCCAATCTGCTTCGAGAAGTTCCGATCACACCGTCCTCATTTCCGCGAAGCAACTACTGGCTCCATTTCGTGATCTCAAACATTACTGCCAGCATCCAGCCTTCCTACCATCTCTGTCGTTGTCGCTCCTCTACTTTACCGTCCTTAGCATGTCTGGCCAACAGATCACATACCTTGTCTCGGCCGGCTACACGTCATTCGCCATCGGTCTTGTGCGTTCGGTATCCACCATGTTCGAACTGTCCGCGACCTGGATTGCTCCCCTGCTGATGCGCAAGATCGGCGCAACCCGAGCTGGCATGTGGTTTCTGAGTTGGCAGGTTACTTGGCTTGGCGCCGCGGTGAGTTTCTTCTGTGTTGAGAGGAAGCCCATCGTGGCGGCTTCGGGATTAGTGGCCGGGACGATTTTGAGTCGCATGGGCTTGTGGGGCTATGATCTCTGTGCTCAGTTGATCATTCAGCAGGTACGTGTGGGTAACGAGGTTGCTTGCCCGAGAGGTGGTGTGTATGTAAAGAGGTTGACTCAGAGCTGGCTAGTTGGCTTGCATCAGACCATAACATGTTGCTGACAAACCCCTTCTAGGAAGTCCAAGGTCCCCATCGTGGCTTTTTCTCCTCGACGGAAGCAACACTGCAGAATCTATTCGAACTGCTCTCCTATGTTACGACGATCGTCTGGTCATCGCCACGCCAATTCCGATATCCGGTCCTATTGAGTACTGTAGCAGTATACACGGCGGCAGGGCTGTATGCGTATTCCCTAAGGCAAAGGAGGGGCCATTTGGTACACCTTTCGGGGTGTGTGAAATGAGAGCTTCCTCGAGTCAATGCGGTATCCACGCACTGCGGTAGGGTATATCTTGGTGGTTCCCGGGATCGAGGACGATGTCTCGTAAAATGCTCAATTCCAGTATCAGGCCTCCAGGCCATTGCTGTCGGAGGACAAACCGACCGCTAATGAAGCGGCATTAATCAACCCCATGGCCCACGGTACAGCAACAGCATGGACCAGTACCGTGCCGTGCAGTGTCAATGTGGTTCTAGCCCATCAATTCAAAGTCCTGGTGTGCATGAGGACAGCTGAAGGGGGTCACGCCGATTGCCCTGATAGGAATTCCCTAAAATGGCAGGCAAGAATCAACTTGGCTATTGGCCCCGTGTGTCTCGGAGATCCGCACAGTCCAGGAAGTAACTTACCTACCCCTCTGAGAAGTCGAGGTATAAGACGACCATCAGCATCACAGTCTCCTTGATAGTGCACCTTTTCTCTCAGAAGTCTGAAATCTAGCATTGGGTGGCAGACAAACTACATACACACCCGAACAAACGGACGACCACCACCACCGCCAAGATGGCAACCATGCACGAGATCTTCTCGGCCTACCAATCCCGCCTCTCGGACCTTGAAGCATCACAATCCACTAACCCCTTTGCCAAGGGCATCGCCTGGATCCAGGGCCGCGTGTACCCGATCCACGAAGCCCACATCCCCATGCTCGACCAAGGCTTCCTGCACAGCGACCTGACCTACGACGTGCCCTCGGTGTGGCAAGGCCGCTTTTTCCGCCTGGACGACCACCTTGCGCGGCTAGAGCGGTCGTGCGAAAAGATGCGGCTTCGTGCGCCTCTGTCAAGACCGGCCATCAAACGCACCCTCTGCGCCATGCTCGCCCGGTCCGGCATCCAGGATGCGTTCGTCGAGCTCATCGTCACGCGCGGTCTCACGGGCGTGAGAGGACTCAGTGCCGACGAGGTGGCCAATTTGTCGAACAACCTGTACATGTTCATCGTGCCGTACGTGTGGGTGATGAGTCCCGAAGTGCAGCTCGCGGGCAATGGGAGTGCCGTCATAGCGCGCACAGTCCACCGGACGCCACCCAACTGCATGGACCCCACGATCAAGAACCTCCAGTGGGGGGACCTTACTAGGGGGATGTTCGAGGCCAACGACCGTGGCGCGGGATACCCTTTTCTGACCGATGTGGACGTGAGCGAGCCGAAGGGTGAGCGTCAAAGCGACGTCAACATCACCGAAGGCTCAGGCTTCAACATCGTCATCATCAAAGACAACACACTCTACACGCCGCGCAAGGGCGTCCTCGAGGGCGTCACCAGGCAGAGCGTCTTTGACTGTTGTACTCGGCTGGGCGTGCCGTATGTGCTTGACAAGGTCCCCCTGCGGATGGCTTACGAGGCGGACGAGATCTTCATGTGCACGACTGCGGGCGGAGTCATGCCTATCACGCAGTTAGATGGGAAGGCCGTCGGGGATGGGAAGGTCGGGCCCATCACGACGCGGATTTGGGATGTGTATTGGCGGTTGCATTACGAGGAGGAGTTTAGCTTTGCTGTGGATTATGAGGATGAGAGGGGCCTGGAAGGATTTGAGAACGGGGAGGGAAAGGGGATGAATGGACTGACCAAGGCGGAGAGTAAGGGAGTGAATGGCTTGAGTAACGGGGTTGGCAAGCAGGTGAATGGGATTACCAACGGAGAGGGTCACGCCAACGGCAAGCTCGTCGACGGGCCGGCGCAGTGACAGGGTACAGAACACGGTACGGTGCTCGCAATGTATGGTCGTGATGTGACCTGATATGATGGCTTGCTATATGCCGAAAAGTCCACACTGGCTTATCTGTGGCTGTGTGGGTGTATCTGGGAGGGTCATGCTACCGTCTACGCATCGACAATGGCAATGTCCAGCAGAGCCTCAGGCATGAGCTGCAGCTACAGTAGATACTGTGACGCCACTGGGCCACTGGGACCGATGTACCGCTGGAGAGAACTCTGCACTATTCTCTGATCAAGAAATTCAAAAATGTTGTGGCTTCGGCCATGGTCAAGATTCACGATCAAAGCGATCACCGGCCATGAGGGTCCTGCTTTTCCACTGAGCGCTGCATTTCACATGCTTCTCAGTCGTTCGCCCTTTCTCAGTCGCCTCGTCCTTTGACGCAGCGGCGGCTGAATGATGACTCCGTCCGTAATTACTCCCTCAAGAAGCTACAGTAGAAGCCCTGCCTGTTGGTCTCCTCAACTATGTAACTCGTCCTTCGGGCCGCGGCCGGTGGCTGCTGAGTCACTTGGTCCTTGATTATTACTCCCTCCCTCACTCACTCGTCCACCCACTCGGCGGCCTGTGACCCACAGTGGCCGAGGCTGAACAACTCCGTGATTCCCCACTCGAGAAACTTTAGAAGCCTCATCGGGCTCCTCACTCACTCGTCCTTCGATGCCGCTGCTGAATGACTCCGTCCATACTCCCTCAGAAAGCTAGACGCCTTGTTCCTCCCTTCTGGATGCCGCTCGGACTCGTCCTTTGCGACACGTTGGCCGCCACGCTTCCCCCGGCCGTGCTTGAAGTTATCAATGATGACGTAGACGGGCACGACGACGATGCTCGTGATGAGCGTGAAGACGAGGTAGAAGAGCGGCGCGAGGAGCGCGTTGATGAGGCGGTTGAGGATGTTGGTCGGCGGGAGGGGTTCGAATTTTGGTAGAGCCGGAGGTTGAGACGGGGACGGCTTCTTGGTATGTTGTTGTTGTTGGTGCTGGTGGCGTTCTGGTTGTGGTTGGGAGGGTGACATAATTATCTGTACCGGGTATTGCGGTATTGTTGAGGCTCTGTACCTTGGTATGTAGTGGCGGTTACCCGTATGTAAAGCTTTGAACTGGATTGACTTCGAAAAGAAGGACGGTCACGGACTGATCACTCGCTGGCGTGCCTAATTTAACTACACAAGCACCACCGAGTGGTACCCTCGTACCTTGGGTGAGTAGCGGGTGAGTCGTGTAAGTCATCGTTGTGATATTGGTGATGTCATTGGCCAGGAGACGTTGTAAGCACCTAAGGACTGCTCGCGCCGCCCCGGATCAATTACAGTAGGGACTCGTACGTCCATGGGCCCAAGGGACGAGAGACAGTGACGGTGGTGATGCTGCTTCAACGCCCGGGATAAAAGGACCAACGCTGCCCGTTACAGTGGTGATGCTCCCGACCAATCGTCCCCCGTCCCACGTGACCACAGTTGGCCCCCGCAAAATGCCCCGCGCATGTAGTGATACTCCCGTTCCAAGGCTCCTACCAAGACTTCTTGTGCCCGAGGCTGACGAGTCAACCAGGAAGTCAGGAAACATGTTTGTCATAGGTAAGCTCTTACCGTCTCCTCCTTCTCCAGATCCTCGACCACTCTCTCCATTTCTACGTGGGCGCCACCGCGTGTGTCCGACAGAGCATGTTCCGCCGACGGGAAAATCGCAGGTCCGCGCCCGATCTTGGTCCCCATTTCTGGGAGCTATCCTGGACCGCTCCGACGTCGTCGAAACACCCGAAAACGGTCATCCCTGACCCGTCGACATTCCGCGACTCGATTACCCCGTCACTGGAAAATGCAGAACAAGGCTCTAGTCGAGCCTACCCGACCCCGGGCCACCTCGCCGCGAACCTGGCGCTTATCGAGTGTTTCCTGAACTTCAAGAATGCCGTCACAACCACCCGCAATCTCGACATACTCGATGTTCCGACCTACTCGAACGCACAACCTCCAGAGAAGCGGGCGACCGCACCTGAAGGCGCACAGGCAACCCAGCGATGGAACACCGTCGTCAGGTTGGCCATTTCCCGCTTTCACATCTGGTTCGAGAACATCGAATCTCTCCTCCGGCACGCGGCCGCCTACCACAGATACGGCGCCAACAGCAGCGCCCACCACGCAGCCATCACGGCAGATTACCTGCCTCCTCTGGACGTACTGATGGTGTGGTACGCCTACATGAACCATCCGTCTTCGTACCGCGACGACAACCTGGCCCACAGTTCTCCGAAACTCCTGGAGATACCCATGCCTTGGGAGGCGATCCTTGCCGTGATCGACCTCGATACCTGCACTTACAGGCCCCCGTTGGCTGCGCAGAAGCTCTTCACCACCACCACGACTCAGAGTGCAGATATCTTGGTCTATCTGAGGGATCCTCCCCCGTACAGCAATCTGGAGCCACATATGGTCTTTTCCGTCGATTTGGCCTCTGCCGTGCACGGCCTTTTTGATGGCGCCAACTTCATACCGCAGATGCACGCTCTTCTGTGGCTGCGTTCGCCTTCCCTGGAAGGGACCCTCGCCCGAGCACTCGCCCGGTATACGGCCCTGCCTGAAGCCACGGGCTTGCGCGCCTCGACCTGGTTCGCCCGTGTCAAGGCGGACCTTGCCCTGGAACTGGTATGGCGGACACATATGCTATACCCCATGGCTTTTGCCGCCTATAGTAATGGGGTATTTGGTAGCGACGCCCTTGTGGTGATGGACGGTGAGGAGCCTGACCACGAACAACCCGACCTCAGCAGTAGTAGTACGGAAAAGCTCGATCTCACTCAGACTTGGAGTGAGGGTAACGCTGATTCGGAGTTGTGCTATTGTTGGACATGTGAAAGAATCCGGGATGAGGTCCCGAATTATACCTACCGACCTTCGTCCGCGTCGACCAATATGAGTCCGAACCGTGGGACGCCGTCGTCTTCTAGGAACCCCGTGTTTCCAAGAGAATCTGCCGATGTCGACCCGCTTCTCTGCTTAACGACAGATCAAATATCTGAGATCAAGGCCGACGTTGCCTTTCATCGACACGTGGAAGCATTCCGCCAGAGCAATCCGCCCGGCACTCCACTTCCCACCCGACCACTAACGGCTCGTGCGATGGCGAGACTCAAACAGGAACAGGATTCCAAGGAACGTGCAGGCCGGTATTACGGAACAGGGTATAAGGTGGAAGTGATCCGACCCGCAGTGTACGACCCTTCGACAGGGGAGTTGTTGAAGAAGGAAAAGACCAAAGTGACGAGAGCGAAGAATGCGAGTGCGACAGGAAAATGGGGTGGAGGCTTGCTGGGTATTTGAACAACTCACCAGTATCTGGGCTCAGAAACCTCCACGACCACATTGCCTCAAGATTTCGGAACCTTATACTGAAGTCGGCCTGACATGCCCCGCATGTCATCGCCATGCAAGGAACAGGTAGGTGAAGGGACGGCCACGAGGTAGACACTCTCGTCTTGCCGATCAGTATACCGACATCGTCCGATATGATAACTGGAAGAGACGCAAAGTCGACGGCGGTCGTACTCTCGCCAGTTCGTGGCCGGTATGGCCGATGCGGGAAACCCGAACCGAACGATTCGGAGAAGAGGTATTGTTGGTTCTCGCCATGATATTAGAAGGCGGTAAGGTTGAAGTGTCGCGGCCGGGAGATGGGATCGTACATCAAGATAATGCTTTGATGATTTAGTGGTAACACCCAGGTCGTTCTTACTTCTTGGGAATATCCCGTGTACAACAACTCAGGCATTATTCTCGACCGGCAAGGGTGGAAGACTGTCAGTCATTTGCTCACGGTGTCGCGACAACCTACCTAGGTAGATGGTCCTGGCGCCATCCTGTGTGCTTGTGCTGTCCAGGCTGAAGGGTCAATACGCTCTCTTGAGAGGTGAGATATATGGTGAGATCAGGATTTGTGTACGGGGTACGGAGTAGCCGAGGCCGAGTACTAAGCTGGCACGAGCAGTTTGAGTAGGGCAACGAGGCCATAGGTTCTGTCGTCGCCGTGAGGACATTGTGCCATTTTTTCCCGTTTCTGACAGCAGCCAGCTGCTGGGCGCAGCGCAGAGGACGTGACTTCTGCTAAATGAGCAAAGATTTGATTTCCACCAACACTGCAGTGAGCGGACGGCACTGGGGCCAGATATAGCCCATACTGATGCCCGTTGAGCTTCAGAACCCCTGCAAAAGAATAGCATGAGCGCGTGGATAACAAAATGCAGGTGCGGTGAGTTGGATGTCAGGGAGAGATGGGTCGAAGTGACCGGAAAGTGAAGCACGGGCACGCGGATTAAAGCGGCGCGACCCGGTGAAGCCCAATGGCACCTAGTTGCTTGCGGCTGGCATGTTGTTTTCGCAATCTGTTGCAGCTCAAGTTCTATAAATGACTTTGATGTTTTCAACGATCTCCGCGTCTCTTCAGATTATTGGCAAGCGGAAGAATTTATTGCCCTATGTGCTACTCTCGTGCTACACCGGAATACCCTATGCTATGCAAGATCCTGCTAAAACGCTATCACTAAGTCACGCAACGAATGTCTCGTACCTGCGGTCAATTCTCATGTTTGCTGCTTCGCCGTGAATTCCTAGACTCGATCTGAGGCAGCCATCTCTGCTGACTCCCGCTGATCAGCCAAACCAGGTCCCGTGAAGAATCTGCCGCTTTGCATTTCCCGAGGCTGCATATCAAATCTCGCAGCCTCCCACCCTTCGTCGCCCACATAGCCGGGTCGTCCAACACCCAACCAGAACGCACGAGCTCGACTACGAGCGCCCCAGGCCCAGCCAGATCCTCCTTGGATGGGCAAATGGTACCACCGAAAGCCGAGCCACGCAGTGAAGATGCCCAGAATGGAGCCCGAAATGATGTCGAACCCGTGATGGCGATAGTCGAACCAACGCGAGGTTGAAACAAACAACGCCGCTGCAATAGGGATGAATGCAATGATAAGAAGATATATTGGAGGCGCGGCTGCTTGATTCCGAGGCGGATGGCTTCGGGAAGAGGAGGTTGATTGCGAATTCTTTCTCTCTCGGGCGTCGCGGTCGAAATCCTCGTCGAACGTCGAGATGTATCGCATACTGTCAGAGCCGGGCGACAGGAACGGAATCTGGACGGCGAATTTTGCACAGATGAACAAGCTGAGGTAGAGCATGCCCGCCCAGATGAAGCTGGAGTGGCCAGATGGCCAGCTAGCGAATGCGTTTCGCAGCTTGGCTTGGTCTGTCTGTCGGCAGATGCGGGAGTCGACAACGATCGGCACAGCAGAGTCCAAGGACGTGCCGAATCCGCCGACTTGATATCTGCGTATGGCTTCAGGACTCAAGTCCGGGTCGCACACAGCCAGCAGGAAGGGTCGAGGTTTGCCCGCGAGGTCTTTCAGACCCTCGGTGATGACAAAGGCGCCTGCCAGGGCGACACCGAGGCCCATCCATGCTGCATTCCATTCCCAGAGCTTTCTGCGCCAGATCAACGCTTTCGGTGTCCTTCTATCGGCCGTCGGACCGGGGACGAAAAGGAGGGAGATCGCTGCTGTTATGACCCCAGGCGCGACCACCGCAATAAGTATCAACACAGTGACGGTGACAGTGTCTTCGCTATACGGAAAGGAAATATTCGGGTCTTGAAGCGAAAAGTAGTGTTTGTTTCCGTGAATTTTCGACAAAACACCGCCGACGGCAGCGGTTCCTCTGATGCATCAGTCAGCCTGCATTCAACAGTAGGGAGCGCAAATGTTGTGACCTACAGGATTAGAATCCAGTCAATCACATAAGATGCAATCAGGCGTTTTGAGACATGCCTCGCGCCTGAAGCGACGCTGTGGACGGTTTTGGCCGCAGGAGCCATTTGTGGTAAGTGAGCACGCGACACACTTCGGTGAGGGGGATCGGAATCCCAAGAACCCAATATGTACTTTAGTCCGTCCTTTGTATCCGTAGAAATTACGCCTCTAATCCTGCCGAGTGAAGCAGGAGGGCTTGGCCTCCTTGTCGTCGTACAAAGATGGTAACATGTCCCGAAGGCTTCCTGTCGTCTGGACGCTGCTTCAGCTCATCCGAGACTGCCTCCACGCACGGACGGGCCCACAACTGACGAGAGAAGATGGAGCGGATACGTAATCTAAGAGGCGCCCGAAACTACCTGGTACCTGCAACGTTGCCCTGGGCTGCATAAATTCTTTTGCAGGGCACAAATTCTTCCCGCAGATGACTCGCAAGGGAAACTGCGCGGCTGTGCACACCGAGCTTTCGAGTTGGGCCATTCAAATCGGTTGGGTGACACGACGGGCCACACATTCTCCTGGCTCACTACGCGGCCTCCTCGCGTTTTGATGCCTACCCAGAACTTAGTGGCAAACATTCCCACTCGCCTTTGTGTCAGCGCCGAGCGTCTTCGAGTTTCAGCTCGGCGTCCAAAATCTATTTTTCGTTTTAACGACATTACATGGACACGCCCCGGCCATTCAATTCTTCCCATCCAGATCAGCGTAGAAATTCCACCTGAACGTTTCCGACGGGTCGTTGAACCTCATCTTCTTGTCAAGCGCATCGACCTTCTTGACGTCCTCTGCATCCAGCTTGAAGTCGCCTTCAAAGTTCGCCTTGATGCGTGCTGGCGTCTTTGATTTGGGAATTACTGCTTGGCTATTAGTATACAGCACGTACATCGGGACGTTCCATGGAGCGCTAGGTGCTGTGTGTGAGAGAGCACTCACCTGAGTGGCCGTTGGTGATACCCCATGCGAGGGCGACTTGCGCACCGCTCTTGCCGTATTTCCTTCCAATGTCTGTCAAGGCTGGGTCGTCGATCAGTTTGCCCATGTTCTTGCCCTTGTCGTAAATCTCGTTTTGATTGCCGAAGGGAGAGTACTGGGTGATGTGGATGCCTTTTGACTTGTGAAACGCCGCAAAATCTGGCTGGCTGAGGTACGGATGCATTTCGAATTGATGTACGGCTGGCACAATGGAGGTTTCCTTGAGGAGTCTTTCCAATTCCGCCTTGGAAAAGTTGGATACTCCTATTGCCCGGCATTTCCCGCTCGCAACAAGCTTCTCCATCGCCTTGTAGGTGTCAACATAGTCGGAGTCGCCTGGAATGATCTTGTCGTCCTTCTTAGGCATCATCTTGTCGCCCCGAGCGAACGGTGAGGGCCAATGCATGAGGTACAGGTCAAGGTAGTCCGTTTGGAGGTCCTTGAGCGAAGCATCGCATGCTTTCTCGACGTCATCTGGATGATGTGAGTTGTTCCAGAGCTTCGTCGTGATGAATATGTCGCTTCTGGGAATGCCACTCTTGTTAACGGCTTTCGCTACGCCAGGCTCCGTGCCATATCTATTCCAGGTCAGAAACGAAGTCTCCACAAGGACAGGCAAGATAATTACTCACATTCGCGCTGTATCAATATGCCTGTAGCCTAGCCTCAATGCTTCAGCTACGGCGTCTTCCTGTGCCTCTTTGTCCTATTGGGCATTGTAGACGGTGAGTAAGTTTCGTGCTCTGTCAATGGACTAATTTGTCCGGCTTCACACCGGCTTGAGCGAAGTCAAGGCTTACCTGCCACGTTCCGAAGCCTATAGCTGGGATCTCTGCCCCAGTGTTCAACGCAAACTGTGTTTTCGTGTATCCCACCAGAGATCTTCTTTGAGTACCGATGTGGTGTGATATTTGACTTAACCTCGGCACAGACCGCCTGGTACAACTGGACAACATGGTCCGTCACTCGTGATAAGAGGAATGATTGAGCTTTGTTCTAGGCCAACCTATGGTAGAGAGTCATGAACCTCAGAATTGTGGTCTATGAGCAAGACACACAGCCGAGCACACTGATCGGTGCATTCGCCGTTGCTGATGTCATTAGAAAGCTATCCCCGGCGACGGATAAGAAATCCGCTCCCCCACGGCGCGCTTCCTTGCCGTCTGGGTTTCTCATATTGGACTTGGTTCTTCATCCAAGGTACCAGGTAGGTGCCAAATGATCAATGTCTCTGTTGGACTGGACTTGGACCCCAACAACTACTAGTCTGCAGCGGCTATTGTTGGTCAATTGTCTAGTCTCCGCCTACTACGCAACGGTTAAGCTACGACGAAGAATGAAGCTCCTGTCACTTCTAAGCATATCGCAGCCACAATTTCGTCAATCATTCGTTCGTGGATTTGCTGTGCATTTCGTCTATGAGACAGCAACTCGCTGAAACTATGCTACTGGCACGGGTAGTGACGACTTCACTAGGATGCATTGGCTTTACCTCCTAGGATTCGCCAGGTCCAAGCTGAAAAGACAATGGCTTTGTCCGAAGCCCAAGGATTGACGAATTGCTTGGGTCTGATGACACCCTCCAGCCACATTCTAGCAAATCATTTAGTCCTCGAAGTGGCCCCTGCTCGGTGATGGTGTTCTATGCATCCGCATCTGGCTCTGCATTCTTTGCCCGTTGTCCAGGACAATGTCCGCAACCGTCGCTACGCTGGTCACCTGCAAACATGAGGCACAAAGAACAGCCAAATCGACTATACACCTTTGACCTGCTGAATCGATTCGTCTCTCAGACTTCTCTTGACACCGCTTCTCCGGCCGCTTTCCGAGGCAGATGACTGATCTATATACCGACCAAGAACAAATCCGGCCCGTTTCGCGCTTCTCGACTTCGACTTCAGTCAGAATGGCTGCTGCCCTCGAAAGTCGCCGGCCCGTCGTACCCATGCCGCAGTGGTCAAACATAATCGGTTGCGCAAGGGCTATTGTTGCCATCCTGGTCCTCGCATTTACCGCCGCCGCCACGGGTATTTGGGGCGGCGCGCCAGGATTTGGTATCGCTCTGTTCACGGTAAGCTAGCTTTTTACGGTGTCCTGTCGGTTACCCCTGCTAATCCTTTGGGAGGCTTCTGTCACACTCCTTGTCTTTGCCTATTATTTTGTCGCCTTGTCTCGCAGACCTGCTCTCTACAACCGTTGGACCGTTCTTGTCCTCGAGAGTGTGGGAACATTCCTCTGGCTGGTGAGCCTAGCGCTGCTCTCAGGCTGGTCTGCCCATCACCGTGGAGGGCCGCCGAGTGGCTACGGCTTTTGGCATGCTCCATTTGGACCTTCGGATGTCGGGCTACAAAGTCATCCGCGACACAGCAACAGAAGAGTAGGGATTGCATTTGCAGGAACAGCTGCTGGACTCAGTGGTCTTGAGTTGTGAGTCTAGCTCTCCGCGCCTGCGACTACCTTGATTGCTGTCTGCTAACACTGTCGGTAGCGCGCTCTTTGCCGTGACATTGGTCACTTTCGGAATGGGTCTCCATCGTCAAAGAGAGGAGGAGCTGAGCCAAAGGGCAGCCACATTGGCCGGCATTTCGGCGCCAAACACAGTTCACCAGAAAGAGCAAAATGAAGTAGTAGATGGACAGAAGCCGGATCCGGTGGTTGTTTAAGGGGCACGACATGCCTCTTGCGAGGAAGTAACATTGGATAGGTGTCAAGGATCAGTCACAGCGGCCGATTTGGCCGGCAAAGGGAGAGTCACCGTGAAAGACATAGTGCTCATGACAGTCGTAATGAAATACAGATCCGACTAATATTGAAAGCTGTACATGTGCGCGGTGTTCTGTTGTCACTTCCTCGCCGTCACAGACGCACTCTTCTGGCAGAGATGCCGGATTTGACGGAGATGCCGGAGGAAACAACGGAGCTCAGTGCCTGCCAAGGCTTGATTACATCCTCATCCGCATTTTAATGAGGCCGGTGTGAGCAAATCTTCCCGTTGAATCTGTGCTGTGGACTCTCCAAGCATCATGAGCCGCGTGCTGCAAGGATGATTCGACGGCACTTCGGTTATCTGTATGTACAATATCACAGGTGGAGCTCCACATATCCCGGTGCACGTCTCCGACACTTGGGTGGTGTTCGTTGTTACGCTCAACGCTGGTGAGGTACCTTTTCTCTCTGCAGTTCCTCATTTATGCCACTGTTCAAGGTCTACTTCGACCTCGCAATTATCTGAATGTCTGTATATGTTCGAGAATCCCTCCTCCTAACCACATTTCCATCAAACCCCTTCGCACTCGTCATTTCCCTTTCTTCCTCTTCATAGATTTGGGCTTCGCTGCTTCACCATCAGCCACTAATCCGATCACAATACCATGCTGGAATCGGACGTCTCGTACAATGATGGGACCCCAATCTCCACTAACCAGTCGGCGGAGTTTGACCCTGTCAACCCGTTAGAGGAGGTCGAGAAAGCTACAACTGAGCCAGACACGGAAGAGGAGTCCATGGACGCAAGAATCCAACGACTAGGACGAGAACGACCTCCAGTGTTTAAGACAATATGGTCCGAAATCGCATTCGTCTTCAGCATTGTCATGTCCCAGATTATCACCGAATATTTTGTCTCTGGCTTCAACGTGTTATTGCCAACCCTCATAGTCGACCTCGATATCCCCCAAGCATCAAGCGTTTGGCCAGCCACGGCGTTTTCGCTAGTCATTGCAAGCACGTTACTTGTCTTCGGGAGACTTGGTGACATATATGGCGGCTACCCGGTGTACATCGGAGGCTTGACGTGGCTGCTCATCTGGAGTATCATCTGCGGGTTCAGTGTTTTGCCGATCATGATGGATATTTGTCGTGCGCTTCAAGGCCTGGGCGCCGCGGCCTATCTTCCTACCGGCGTGATGCTTATAGGCAGTGTCTACCGGCCCGGTCCACGCAAGAACATCATCTTTGCGCTTTACGGGACATCTGCCGTCTTTGGATTTTTCGTCGGGATTTTCTTCGCAGGACTAGTCGGCCAATTTCTCTTGTGGGGATGGTATTTCTGGTTTGGTGCAATTCTTGTGGGTATTACTCTCATCACCTCAATTCTGTCTATACAGAATGACTGGCGTGAACGGCGACAAAACAACATACGGATGGATTGGCTCGGAGCTGCGACGATAGTACCCGGTGTGGTCCTCGTCGTCTTTGCGATCACTGAATCGGCACATGCAGAACAACGCTGGCGAACACCGTACATTCCGGCGCTGTTCTGTCTCGGATGCATACTGCTATTCGCGGCGGCCTACGTGGAAGGCTGGGTGGCCAAATCTCCGTTGCTGCCCGCCGATATCTTCACGGTGCCTTGCATGACCCAGCTTGTCATTGCGATGTTGTTTCTGTACGGTAACGTCGGTATCCTCCTTCTCTACGGCACACAATATTTCCAGAATATAATGGGCGCCACCCCCTTGCAAGTGGTGGCATGGTGGACTCCAATGGTGGTGGGAGGACTTATCTTAAGTATGGTGGTGGGATTTATCTTGCACCTCGTCCCTGGTCGCCTCCTTTTGATACTATCGTGTCTCGGAGCTATAGGAGCGGAGTTGCTCCTCGCTTTAGTTCCGGAGGGAGGGAATTACTGGGCTTGGGTCTTCCCGTCGTGCATTCTCGGGACGGTCGGTATCGATCTGGCGTACAATCTAATGTCTGTCTTCATAACGACACAACTGCCAAAGGCAAGACAGGGCTTGGCGGGTGGGTTGATCAACTCCATCCTACAGCTCGGAATTGCCCTCCTTCTGGGTTGCAGCGACATTATTCGGTCATACACGGTGGATGAATCTGGGCTGAAGGATAGCTACAAGAACACTTTCTGGTTTGGCGTGGCTTGTGGCGGCACAGCTCTGGTCCTGGTAGCGATTTGGGGAAGGGTACCCAAAGCAAAGAGCGACTTGACGGCGGATGAGAAGATGGAGCTACAGCGGGAAGCCACCAGGCTGTCAGGAGCATCCGGTGAATAGCCAGACGCTGTCCAGCGCTGATGTGCGTTTGGCGCTCTGTTTCGAGCATAGCGACGGTGTTAGCGACATAGAGTACAAAGCGTTTTATATGACTCCCTTTTCACACACCCAACTGATCCAATTATCTTTGATGAGAGGACTGATGACAATCGATGCTCGAATGTCGCACTGCCAGTCGATAGGCCCCTTCAGGTTTAGCGTGCGGCATCTGGAAGCGTCCAACCAGATGTCGGGCTCCTGCTGCCCGGTCAGCTCAGGCGAATCTCAGGCGGATCTCACCTGCCACCTTGTGCTTCAGGTGCCACCAACACCTCCCACCAGTGATCTGCTGTTCTCGCTGCATGAACACCCAGAATTCTGTAACAGCCGCCGGAGCCTCGGGTTCGGAAGAAGCGTTGATATGGTATGACCTCAAACGTACGAATCAGCCACAATCGCCTCGAAACTAGTGCACACACTGAGTCTTTGGGACGCTCAGCTCAGCCCACCGCCTCACGACAACCAAGAGTGAGCAGCACGAAGAGGCAAAGCGGGAGGAGAACTCGACTTTCTCTGAAATCTTTTGCGCTGCCCACCCCGACTGCGATGCGCGATTGGAAGTTCACTGGCCCAAATCCTAGAAGCTCTCCGTAGCTCCCAAGTGTCAGCCTCGAGCACGAAGCTGGTACAAACGCCACAGGACCTCGACGCTCCGCTCGTCCCCCTGTCAACATTCGCTGCGCTAGAAAGGTAGTTATCGGTGGATAATTCCGGTCGCCCCGCTTTGTCACCGCCATGCGAGACTGTTCCTTTGTGTTGCCCACCGCGAACGGAAGGATTCACAGTTGTGGTTATGGGTGATAGCGTGGGCGAGCATGGCAAGAAGAATCTAATCTCAAGCGTTTGGACTGCCTGTACCCATCTGCTCCGGTTGCATCGGTCGAATGACGCCCAACATTCGACATCACACATAGCCCTTAAGCCAAACAGGGAGACAGTCTCTCAAAGTCCACCTGGCGAACGAGTCGAGACCCTTGCTGGCCGAGCACGCAGGATGCAGACGTTGCATCAGGTTGTTGAAGACGGTTCCTTCTGGCTGTTGCCGGACCGAGATGTCCTGCAGTTGATAAAATCGGAATTTCCCCAGGAACTCGAACGACTGAAGAACGCGACCTTTGTGCGGAGCTCTAACGCGCCTCGTCCCCCAGGGCCTTCTATTGCCGAATTGCTATACGGACAGGATTACCCCGAGATCAACCGCACTCTGGTCGGCGTGCTCGCGCTTCGCTGGCTTCATAATGACGACTATGATCGTTTCATCGGCTCCCAGGGACCCCCGCCCATTGTGCTGAAGCGCGAGTCTTTCGCATGGCTTCGAAGTCTCTTCGACAAAGGTCTCCAGTCCACGGAGGACACATACACGTTGATCGTTTCGATGGTCACCAACGATCTGGGCAAGGACCCGGCCCTCGCTGACGATTATGCGAAGAAAGTGGGCATCGACATCTCGAAAGTCAACCACGACATGATCCTATACCATGCAGTCGAAGAGGGTATGGTCCCCGCGCTAGACCGCCTGACGAAGCAAGCTAGAGACTATCTCCTGCTGGGCATCAAGCTGGGTTCGGACTTCAACTTCGGCCAACTCGCGCAGGCGGAGAACGCCCCGGCCTCGCTGTCCGGTCTGCTTGACATGCGCGGCCACGATCGCGCCTTTGAAATGCGCTTCATGGAGCAAGTCCTCGACCTCGCGGGCGCGGCTGGGCACGAGGACTGGACCTGCGCCAAGAAGATGATCGAGCCGATCTTCCAGTCGTACCGGAACGTCTATGATGTCGCCCACGGCATCATCTACGAAGGAATGCCGCTCAGAGAAGGGTACGACATCATCCTTCGTCGCAAGCTCGCATTGCTCCACTGGGGGGGATATTCGCGCCACTTCGACATCACCCGGCCGGAAGATCGGGCCCTGATGCGTCTGTTCTGCCTGGGCAACACGACGGACGCGGACAACGCAGATATCTTCTACACGGCGTTTACGCAGCGGATTCCCTCAGAAACACGATCGCAGCTGACACACGGCTTGAACGTCGATGGCTCGGTCGACGAACCGGCCGTCCAACCGACTTATCTACCGGCCATGCTGACGAAGGCGGTGGGAAACACCGCGACTGGGTCGCAGGAGGACAAGATCGCCGCCGTGGCTGCACTGTTGCGGTTCCTGGGCCGGTGTTTTGTCGTCGAGCCCGAAACTCTGCAGAGCCTGCCGCGTGGCGTGACGGTTATTGAGCGGGACGTGAGGAAGCTCATCCCCGTGCTGGAGAGCGACGAGTTCAAGCGCAACCCAGACGTCCTGGACAAGGAAAGCATACCTGAGGGTCAAGTCGCGAACATGGCGCCCGGGCTGGAGGCCATGCGGTGGGAGAGAGAACGTATGATGTAGCAGGCACTCGGATTTTAGCATGGTGTACTGGTGTTGTGTTTTGTCTTCCTGGGGCGATCTGATTGGAGATGACGATAGGGATAGGGTAGACCGCGACAGACTTTCGCAGGTCCGCCGGATGGGTATTGGCCATGCAATACTTCTACTTTCTCGGTAACGTCTTTGGTGCCAACTGAACAAAGGGCCTCTTGCAAATCATGACACCGGACACTGGGCACAATACGTCAGGCTGAGCTCAGGCCACCACCCACTGGCACTCTCATCTAACTCGTCGCTCAACCTATCGATGGACCTCCACCTCTGTTCTGAACATGGTCCATGCTGGGGCAGCAAGCGCGCAAGACCACTGTCGCACTACTCGCTATAATTCCCAGCCATCTCTGTCCTGGAATCTGTGTCCCTGTTTCGAGGTCTTCCCTAGTTCTGCGAACACCGGTCCACGCCCTCATAGCCTGACCATGATACTCCATATTACTTATGAAATTCCTTTGACACTGTTACCAATGGCGAACAGTCACCAACACCCTCTTCGTGTCAGGCTTGTCGTCCTCCACGGGCCCATCGAGATCGAGCCCCATCTTCGCAAGCGTATCCCAGACGAGTTTCCTCTTCAGACCTTCGCGCACGGGGATCCTCTCCAGCGCCTCCGAACCGGTGAAGTACTTGACAAAGATGGACCAGTAGCGCCGGATCTCAACGGCCTCGATGTCCGAAGGGGACGCGCTACCAGCAGGGGAGGTAGCCGGGTCGGGTGGGGAAGAGGTTCTCGGCGACCCCATCGTGGACGCGATGTAGTCGAGCCAGCGCGATTCCTCGGGCGACGCGCGCTGCGGGGACACCACCAGGCTGGCGGCCTTGGGGTTGTGCTTGAACTGCTGGGCGGCGGCGCGCATGCTCGTGCCGTCCGTGGAGATGGATTGACGGCCGTCGCTTGAGGGCCGGCTCAGCATGCTCGGTCGCTGCCTAAAGGAAGAGATTGTGCCCGTTGCAGGTGTCGAGGGGGTGCCGCCGGCGCCGCTGCCGAAGCTTCTCGCCGCGTCGCCTGCGTCTCTCTCGACCGGGGTTTTCGCGCCCGCTCGGGCTTCGTCGCGGTCTCTCTCCCTCACGGCTTTCTTGACCTCCGGGCCGACGCGGACAAAGGCGTACGTGCGGAGCTGCGTCACCCAGCCGTCTCGCATCAGCCAGGCCAGGGCTCGGTAGTACTCTTCCTTGTGGTCTCTGCTGGGAATCAGGGTGCCGTAGGCGGCGGGGGTCCCGCTCAGGGCGCTCAACATTTTCGGCAGCGAGGGCATCATGGGGAACGTCGCTTCGTATGTCTTGCATGCGGACACGAGCTTGCTCATGTTGGCGTTGGGAGACACAATGTACGTGTCCCGCTGGTGGAGCGGCGGGATTGCTATCGCCCGCCGCCAGTAGACGAGGTGCCGGGCTAGGTGCGTTATGTCACCCAGGGCTATCTGCGAGGCGACGGAGATCTTGTAAAAGGACTTGGTGGGTTTCAGGTGCGCGATGAAATTCGCCAAGGGCATGGCCAAGGAGCCACCCGAGGTTTGAATGTCCTTGAGGATCTTCTGGGGGTTCGACTTGAGGAGCAGGGTGAAGTTCTTGGATAGCTGCAATGGACCCTGCAAGGCAGCTGCGTCGAGCTCGGACGTGGAGGTTGGATCGGTGGCAGTGGTAAGCCAGAGACCCGGCTGTAAGGGAGGCTCAGACAGCGAAGGCAGGTACGAGCTCGAGGTAATAGGAGGGATCTGGAGTGAGACGGACAGTTTGGGAGTGAGTGTGATTGCAGCTATCTTCGACTCGGAGATATTATCAAACACCTTGGTGATGGCAGAAGCCAGGGAAGATCGCTGCTTCATTTCAGTGTACAATACCTTGGACGACGACTGTTGCTGGAAATGTGACGACCTGATGGATTGCAAGAGTTCAGCCTGCTGCCACACGTAATCCTGATGAGCCTGCGCCCACTTGAGGACTTTGGACAACTTCTTGACGACATGGTCATACATCTCCTTGACCCGGGCTGTGTGCTCCAGCGGGGAAGGGTCCATGACAAACACGACATGGAACATGGTCAACTGGCTTTTGGGAGTCTCCTTCGACTTGTGACCCTGTTTGGTGCTCCCATGGTCGGTTGGCAGGCCTTGTTCGCCTTGCTCCTCATCGTCATGGCCACTTTCACTAATGGTAGAGTCAGATGTAATGCCCTCATCTCCAGCCTTTGGAACCCTTCTTCTCTTCTGTCTTCGCCAGAAGCCGTCTTCACGAGCATACACTGGCCTGCCCAAGAAGGTCAGGTCGTTGATTCCGAGCTCAAATTTGCGTTTGTGCCACACGCGCCCAGGGGCCAACAAGCTCACTAGACCGTCACCTCCCAAACCCAGCAGTGGCTCCCACGACGGTTTCCATTGACCGTTGTCTTGTGTCCCCCTTTTGGATAGATAGTTGCTTTCTTCATCGTCGGAGGTTGGTGACTGACCTTCTTGGTCTTGCGGGGCACTTCGCCCATTCCTCAGCCGGCTGGTGAAGAGATCGAATTCGTCTTCGGACGACGACTCTTCTGACTCACTGCTGGAGGTGTCTTCTTCATCCTCGTCCGTGGAATCTGTGTTGTAAGAAGGTCGTTCGGCAGACAAAGGGTCGGGAGGGTAGTGAAAGACAATTTCGGCACCTGAGCCGGTTCGCGCTTGGACAATGACAAGGATGGCAAGCAAAGATGGGTTTGGAGACGTTGTTGCTGCCGACATGGAGACTGTTTTCTCTAGCAACCGGTGCCTGCCACCGCCAGACACGTCTATTTGACGCGATGACTATGCCATTTGGTTTGTTCAGGGCATCTAGATTGTCACAGAGTCAATGGGTTATGGCTTGAACGCGGTGCATAACTTGTCCCACGTGCTTGGAGCTCGGCGTTACCTCGTGTACATTCGGCTTGTCTGAGGGTACTGTGCCGAGCTAGTCAGACCCGAATAATATGTGAATGTGCATTAGGTGGGACGGAGTACACGCTGGCTATTTCCTCGCGAGCATGAGTCGAGGATGATGCCGGGTCCTATCGTATTCAGAAAGCGGAGAAGGAGGGCTTGGAGTCATACCAGCTCCCACGAGCAAGCTATCGTGAATGGTGCAGGTGGTGATTGGAGTCGGAAGGGGAAGCTGCAGGCAAACGCACCAAGTCGTCAGTTCTACAGGGGCCCTCAATTAGCAATGAGAACAGACCGAACAGGCAGGCCTAGCAAAAGAGCAGCCCCTCACTCCGTCACCTCTCACTCCAAGCTCGCTCCCAGCTCGGTTGTTTGCGGTGTTCTGAGTGTCGGGCGGGAGCACTGTTGGATTGCCGTCACTGGGCCGAAGCGCAAAATGCCGCGCTAGGAAAATGAGAAATTCAGTTCACTGCGACTTGACTGCAGTGTCAGTGCCTAGTTGGCTTGACGCTCCATGCTCCACGAAAAAGACTTCTCTTTCGATACCCGCACACTTTCTCCCCTCCATCTTCTCTCCATCCCGTTGTTATTGTGATCCTTCTTTCCTGATCCTTTGCTGTCGTCCAGCGTTCTCGCCCACCCCTGCGCTTCAGGCGCGCGGAAAGAAAGACGGGAATAAACCGACTGTACTCCGTACGCCTGTGCCGCTCAAAAGTTTTTGGTGGCCGCATCACCTCATCCTCTGCTCGTCCTCGGACAACGGACAACATCCCAGCAACACACGGCGAAGTCCAGCGTCGAGCCGGTTCACGCAGTGCATGGTCCGTTTTCTCAACCAAATATCCTACAGACCGTCTTTTCCTCGGCCTGCCGGACTGGCGGCTCACTTGAGACTCGTGCACCTGCGCCAACCCAACTACTGTCTAGTCCTCACCTATTCCGCTTTCGATACCAGGTAGCCCAGCCAGTTTGCGGACGACTTCAACTCCTGGTCACTTCAAGGCCAATTGCTTCTGGTCCTGCATATCGACCCGTCAAGTTCAGTTGTTGGAAAACGACTGGTGAAAGATTGCCGCACATTGGTTGCGCATCAGGAACGCAATATCCGCTACCAGGAAGTGGATATCAGCCCACCGAACCTCCGGTCAAGGTCACCCTTGTGAAGTGTCTGACTCCACTGCCACCGTCGCGATCGCAGATATCTGCACAGCACATCTCGACTTTACCTCATCATTCCGCCATCCGTCACTGAGGGTCAGCTAAAAAGAAAAGAGGACAAGGACAAGGACAAGGCCGCAGGACAATTGCTCATCATAGGGACAATCTCCAAGGCTCATATTGGTCTCTCAATTACGCGGCCAGCTTGTTGCTGGTGTGGGGTCTGTATTGTGGTAGTGGATCAGGAGGTGTAGTGTGTTGTCGTTGTCGACATTGTCAGTGAGAATGTCTTCATCTTCAGGCGCTCCTGCGCCGATTTTTTCATATGCTCAAGCAGCAAAAGGTCTTGCTTCAGCAGCTTCCACACAGTCACACTCAAGGACTGAGAGCCCTGCCGCGTCCGACAAAAGTGTTAAGGATCGCTCCGTTGGGGACTCAACCAACACAACCACTTCACTCAAGTCTCCACGACTGAGATCCCAGACAGGCGACAGAGTCGGTGGAGAAAGTGCCGTGGGCATTACTTCTTCACCTGCAGAAGGTCTTGCGGCAGCCGGTCCACTAGAAACCGCGAACAAGGAAGGCGCAACACATAATCAGCAAGCCCCGTCAAATGACAGCGCGAGTTCGCCCACATCACATGGCGATGGCCACTCGCCTCAAGATACACAACAAGGTGAAATTGCACAACAGTTACCCAATGGTCGAATAGCCTCTTCAGACGAGTCGACCGGGCCAGCTACGCACGACCAGGAGACCCCCAACCTGAGTGAGAAGAAATCCAGGGATGGTGAAGAAGATTGGGAAAAGGTTTCAGTGCCGTCGCTACCAGCAGCAGAAGCTCAGTACAAAGCGGCCCCTATTCCATCGGTCAATGTTTGGCAAGTACGAAGAGAGGCCCAGGCCGCGAAGAAGAAAGAATTCCAGAAGGCAATTGTTCCGGCCGCTCTCAATGGGACCAGAAAGTCTAGATCTGCTAGCGAAGATCTGAAACGCAGCTCCAGCACCAAAGAGGTCGGTAGCATTGAGAGGGAAAGCAAGAATATTGAGAGCACCACAGCCAGCCATCGACGAGAGATGTCATCTGCTCGCTCCCATCGACCCAATTCTCAGATTGGTGAAAGAGCAGACGCAGACGCGCCACCACCAGTGATTGATACCAGTTCATGGCCTACTCCAGAGAACTCAACCTTCGACGACCGTCGCAAATCTGCGTCTTATGACAGACCCGAGAAGCTAGATGCCAAGCCGGGTCCCCAGAAGTCACATGGCAACAAGTGGGTTGCCGTGCCGTTCGTTCCTACGGCAAAGTTCGAGACACAACTGCCACCAGCGGCAGCTCGCCGTGGCGGTCGAGGCGGCATAAGAGGAGGCAGGGACAATGGCGGTCGTGGTGGCGGCTTCGCAAGCGCCTCAGCTGAGAAGCAAGATGTATCGACCTCTATGGGCCCACCTCCGCTACCAAGACAGTCAGGCGAACAAGACCGAGGCCGACGGTCAGATGCTCAGCAAGGTGTTCGCGGTGCTTCTGTCCCTACCAACAGCACGCGACCTGCAAGTGGTGAGGATCCCGTTAGCACTTTTCGCAAGTCTAGTACAGTTGAACACAAGGAACAATCTGTTTCTGAGAATGTTGCAGGTGTCCCGCCAACAGTTCAGCAAACTGTCGAAGATCAAGCCATTGGGACTGAGCAGAGCTCAAGATCGTCCTCAAGACATACCGGCAATACTAGTAATCGACGTCTGAACGGCGAAAGAAACACCCCAGTCGACCAACCAGCTGGTGGCATTTCTCAGTCAAAGGAACCCAATCTAAAGTACTCGCTCAATACTGACCGAAACAATAAAACCCCTGCGACGGGCGCTTCGCGTGGCAATGGTGAGTTCGGACGGGATCGAGGCTCTGGCAAAGTTCGCGATTGGTCAAGAGACAAACCTGAGTCGGCCCGAGAAAAGGTCGAGTCCTGGCGCGATCGTGAATCATCAGGCGATCAGGGCGGCCGACGTGGAGGTCGCTCGGAGCGCGGACGTGGCAGCTATCGTGGCCGCGGCGAACACTCTTACAACCAGCCCTTTACTTCCTCTCATGCTTACACGTCCCCTTTGCCCCAGAATGGGTTTGAGCCGCCATCGAGATCTACCTCGCGCACGGACGCTCGTTCAAGGCAAGCATCGCAGCCGTTCGTACCAAGTCAGGCTACGAACACACCACGCGCAAACCCACGTTCGCAGTCGATCCCTATCGGTATGATGTTCCCAGGCTATTACAATGGCATGCCGGCCATGCCTCAACAGGGTCTCCCATCCATCCAGACGGATATGTCTATGTACGGGTACCCCTCTCAGATGCAGATGCAGCCGAGCATCATGAGTGCGATGCCGTACAATGATCCCCTCAATTCATACGCGTTGCTATCCATGGTTATGACACAGATGTAAGTCCAATGGCTATCACAACTGTCTATTCGCGTGCACTAACGTCGCGGCTAGTGAATACTACTTCTCAATCGACAATCTCTGCAAGGATCTGTTCCTGCGGAAGCACATGGACGGTCAGGGCTACGTTCCTTTGAGCGTTATAGCCAATTTCAAACGCATAAAGACTCTTACCCAAGACAACTTGACGATAGACAATCTCCGCTACGTCTGCCAACAGGTGAAAAGCGTCGAGTTCTTGCCTGGAACTGACGGGGACGATCGTCTTCGTCGCCGGGAAGGCTGGCGTGATTTTGTGCTTCCCATGGAAGAAAGATTCGAGACCGCTCGCAACGACGGACCTTCCCACAACGCCGAGTCTTACAGTCGCCAACCGCAACAGGATCAGGCTGGTGTTTTCGACCCAACCTTTGGCTATGGTCAATTGCGCAGTCCGCCATTAACCATGCCAACCAGCAACGGTGCATTCCAGGCAAATTCTCCACTGTCCTTCTTGCCTGCAGGTCTCGAAGAGAACCAGATCGCTCTGGGACAGCCGGTCAGTCCGTTCGATGAAGGTTTGAACGGCGTTGCTGGTAGACCACCGGTAGCAGCCTACTCACGGATCCCGGCAAATGCGGCCAGATCACCTCCTCCCAATACTACAACTCCACTAAGCAACATTGTCAATGGCCATCACCGCCAGAGTTCTCGTCCAGATATCGAGGAGAACGTCTTCCCAGATGACCAAATCCCAAATGTCAATATCCGGATGCAGCCACATACTCTTAGTGGTGCAGCCCCATCTTTTCCTGGAATTGCTCGCGTCGGTTCAGGGGGCTCTTCGAGTGGACGCAATGAAGCGAGCAATGTGCCCCCTGAGATCAGCCAGTCTCGTCTACCAGGCTTGCGTGGTGGTGCGTCCAGTCCCCAGCAGTAAGTGACGCTCAATATCTATCCCGATTCTGCTAATCGTTGCACTAGGCTCGAGCAATTTCGGGGTATGTCCTTTGACAGCTCAAACAACGCGCCACTCACAGAAGAGAGCGTCATTTACTTCACAAAGGATGGCCATGAGACCCAGCTGCCGCCACCCCAACCTGGACAATACGACCAAACCTATCTGTCCCTCCATGATGTTGCCTTTCAGCAGCGTCAAATGGGTATCAAAGATGCTCTGGAGCCCCTTTATAATTTCTGGACGGACTTCTTGGTCGATAAGTTCAACCTCGGAATGTATCAGGAGTTCAAAAACACCGCCGTGAGCGATCTCCAAGAAGGCAGCGACAGCGGCATGTCCCATCTCGTGCGCTATTTCGGAAAGGTCCTTTCAGGGCCTGTTCCCATTAGTGAACGTCTTGCTGAGGACATGGTACACCTTTCACGAGAAGAACAATCGGAAAAGCGTCCAGTCCTCCAGGCTATGCGAGCTGCCTGGCGAAACGGAGCGACCAACATGAAAACAATCAAGAGACTTGGTGACGTCCTCAGTGCGGAGGAGAAAGCCGAGCTCGACAAGAGTGGCTGAGCACAGAGCAATGCCTCTCTATCTCTTCGACCAAATTCTCCATCATGTCATTGTCCCAGTCCCACGTGCAGTGTGCATCTCTACTATTGAAGATGTACTTCCTTCGACCATTCAGAGTCACGGTTGTATAGTCCGACATTCACAACGACCTTTTGTCAGAGCACGTCATATCTCAGACCACCCATGCTTGTCAACGGATGATTGGGTCTCAATACGCTTCATTGAAGCAGCGACATTGATTGAGACTTATCAATTCTTATGAAAAATCCCACGTCATATTGTGCTCAGTGTGGCTTGAGATGTGGGAAGCAAAGCAGAAAAGCCACTTTCATTGTTGGCCAGAAATTCCAAAACAAATCTTACGTCGTGGAAGTCGATGAGTTGAGCGCGTATGCGAGTACTGAGCCAGAAATGGTACTTGTTATCGCGAGCGGCGTCTGACTGAGGTCGTGTCCGGCCAGGGAGACGTCACGGCTGGACTATGATTCGAACAGCATCATACCCCAATTGCTCAGTGTATTTCTTACTATTGTTCCAGTTCCATGGCTATGCTTTCTTGCTTGAGAGCTATGTCGTGTCTCTTGCATAGACTTTCTCATACCCCTCATGGGGATGGGGAGAGGGGTGGAGGCGATGAGAGGAGGGAGGAGATGTCTATACTGTGCAGAATTTTCTGTGTGGTGCCAGTTGGGACAGGGATCTCCAGTGAGGCCGGGATGGCTTTGTGAGGAATGGGATCGTGCTGCGGTGTGTTCAGGTACTGCTGCAGGCGTCAATAGCGCCCAGTCATGCCAAAACTTGCAAGAGATCCGGCATCGAGCTTGACATCGGCCACCTGGCATACCCCGAGCAACGAGAACCTGGTCACAATATGTGCCATGTGCCGCTTCCTCCTTGTCATCGGATCACAGTTCAATCATTGGGCATGAGCGACAGAGAAGACAAAAGTTTGTACACAGTATCACGAGACCAGGAAAATCAAGGGACAAATGCAATTGCTCATCTTGTGATCATAAGATCTTCCCTTCGGTCTTTGAACTGTTTGCTTTGCATCTCGTTCTGCTTCCTGATTTCCGTACCTTTCGACACCCGCAATCAGGTCTGAATTTCATCCGGTCCAGGTCAGTCATAGCCCGGTCCTTTCCACGTGTACTGCGACGGTCGACGAGCAGGAAGCGCACCAACTCTACCCTGGCAGAACCTCTACCATCGGCTGGTGAGATGAAGAGAGACCTGGGGTTGTGCAGATCTTTGTGCCGACCTCAGTGTGAGCTGCGGGCACCTGAGGGCGGTACGCTGAACCCATGCTTTTGTGCTCCAACATGATCGGCCATGGGAGGCACTCCTTCGTGGCAGCCTGTTTGGGATAGCTGTACCCTGTAGTTCGAGTGGCCTTCACTCGACTCCTTTCGTGTTGTCTGTTCTTGAGACCTCTCTCCCTTTCTCTTCTTATGTGCATGCTCTTTCTTCTTACGCTCAACTTAGGTCCAACTTCCAGAGGCCATCTCCAAGATAATGCCCAGCACTCATCGCAACACCCTTCTTCTTCGCCTTCATCTCCTCTGTGCCCACCTCAAGTTGACCAATCAGGCAGATTTCTTCCTTCCCCTCGGCTTCGACGGCCACGATCTCGCCGGGTTTCACTTCGTCGTCCTTGTCCGGAAGCCAGCCGCCCTTGGAGGTCAAGCCGGGCACCATGAGCGTGGCGCCGGATAGGACGAACCGAATGGCGCCGCGGTCGATCTTTATGCGCCTGAAGGCGTGAGGGTATTGGTGTACGAGTTTCAGGTGCGGGATGATGGGGTCGTCCATGTGTTGGTAGAAGAGAGGGGTGTCGTCGAGCACGTACAAGGAGACCCGGTCAGGTCTGCAACAGGGTAAGAGGGAATATGTGTCGTGCCACACGGGGAAGACGCTCACAGTTTTACGAGATCAAGCTGACTCTTCTTGGGCATGATGTCGTCAATGTGCGGCTCTAACTTCGGGTACGTCTCGAGCACTTTAGACCTGATGGCCCGCTGCACGGAGGACTTGACTTTGCTCTTCGGGCCCGCAGATAAGCTGCGTGGTCTCAGTTCTGTTTTGGAGAGAGGACCATGTCTGTACTTACTCCTTCTTGAACATCGTGCCGGATGTGGTATTGTGACGGGGTTGTGTGGTCCATACACAAGAGAGAGGGCTGCCCGCACTTTAACTGCGGGACATTGATCGAGGGAAGCCATCGGCCAAGAAACCGCACGTGGAGGAATTCATAGCGACAGTTACTCGGTACGAGGGTTGTATTCCACTTGCGTCTGTCCGGGCGAAGCATGGACACTGTCACATCTTGATCCAATCTCTAACTGATCCGTCCCTTATGCGCTGCTTCCAACTCTGTCTCTGTCTGTACACAGATTTCTCGTGCTACTCCCTCGCTTTGCAGTCACCAAAACATTGCTCAATGTGCTACTTCCATCTGCCCGATCCATTACATACTGGTCACGCCGAATCGACTCACTTCCCTGTGAACTTCCAATTCCACCTCTGCTACTGTCGACCGTGATTTCGGCTCGCAAGTGCGTGACGTTTTCAAGGCTCTTACGCAGTGTCTTGTTGGAAATCCGTGCTTCCGTCGTCGACCTGCAAGCTTCACCACTCGACAGTGTGAGGGAAGCTGGACATTCGCGAACACATTTCCAATGACGGCGCATCAGCCGCACCCTCGAGTGCATCACACAGAGCTTCGGCCTCGGTGTCGATGTCGGCCGTGCCCGTGAGGCGGATGGCAGGTTGCAGCTTCCTCTTGGCCATCTTCTCGGACCGTTGGTGCTGAGCCAGAATTGCAAACAAATCGATTGTGCGACCTGCAACTGCTTGTCAATGCTTGTTACCATCAAAAGTCGCGCACAGGCTCTTACCTCCACATTGATACGCAAAATACCGTTGGCCTGTCAAGCTCTTTTCTTCTGCGCCTGATTTGGTCACGGCCATCAATTCCTGCTCCAACATCCACTTCCGCTTCTCTAAAGTCTTTGCCGGAGCCACTTGGCCTTCCTTCGCGTACAGATCGCACCGGACAATGACTTCGGAGCTTGACCGGGGTAGGAGCACCATCGTGCACCACAGATCATCATCCAGCTCCTTGATGCTGCTCAACGGGCCGAGCAACCTCACGATCTTTGACTTTCGGAGTGCAGAAAACCAACCGAACGGACTCTGAGACCATTGTGCTTGATTGGAGAACTCGTTCGCTGCCATGCTGTCAGCTTCATCGTCTCTACCGGTTCTAGTCTAACTCACCGACAGTCTTCCAGTTCGTTCTGCACGTCACTTCCATTCCGTCGACCCAAGAACAGTTCCCGAGGTCAACATGAGACTTTACATTGTTGAACGGGAGTTTCATCGTACTGGCATCGAAGTTGACGAATACCAGCCCCTCTCTCGTCTCTATCAGCTTGACCTCGAACAAGCCATTCTCGTCGCGCACGAAACCTGGAGATTCGTCGAATTTGGGAGCCTTGACCAAGCCGCCCTTGTCGTCGTACTGCCATCCATGATACTTGCACGAGAACCTCGTCGACGTGCCGCAAGATTTCCGTACCACGGTATATGCTCGGTGCCGACAGACGTTATGGAAACCTCGGAGCTTCATATCTCTGCCCAGGACTACGAAGAATGAGATACCGGCCACATCAAATGCATGATAGTCTCCCGGCTTGCCGAATCTGCTCTGGTGACAGACGAAGAGCCATGTCTTGCAAGGCGTCAGCGCCGGTCTGGCTGCTTGCGAGGTTGTACCTCAGTTACCTTACTGAAGAATGCCCGCTTCTCCAACTGGAAGATCTCTTCTTCCGACATATCGTTCGGTCTGCTCAAGCTACCTTCTCTACCCGGTCCAAGCTTGAACTTGGCGCAGCCGATTGCTTGTCGTTCTATATGATGAAATTCAGGAATATCGAGATAACGCAAAGCAAAGAATCAAAAGTGCGAAACGGGCAGTGGATAGCTTAGTGACTGGGGCGGACTTGAGCTCAGGTCCACGTCCTGATTCAGGAGCTTCGCCGCAACGGTGGTACTACAAGTGTACGGCTTTCACGGTATATGAACATTGACAACGAGGGCGACCTTATCATACGTGGACTGCCCATTTGGCATGAAATGCACTTCGCCAGCCGGGCCAAAGTCCAATGGGGATTGAGCGCCAATCACAATGCAAGGGAAGTCTTCCATACCATCGGATCCGAAGCACATGGAACGCTCTTTCGTCGATTACTCGCCATGATATCAAGGCTGACGCAAATCCGATCCCACCTTAGCTCAAATCGGTAATGCGATCCCGCAAAGCATTTGTCCGCTCTCCAAGTTTCCAGAGTTGCGGAAGTACCCTTCAACCGCACGCAACATCAACCCAGTCAGATGTTAGCACATGGAAACCAAGTCATCCAACGATGAATAATGGTGATCACACTGAGCTGGCCCGTGTCACACCCTGTGCACGCGGCAAGGGGTACACAGTATGTGCCGACCACACGACTTCGTCAACCGAGCTGGTCGGTATTCGAATACCTCTTTGGGAACTCGGAACGAACTCGAGACTTGTCACTACTAGAGCCGTGGAAGGTCTTATCTGAAGGACAATGCTAGGTCTTATCTGAAGGACAATGCTAGGTCTTCGTCAACACCACAGCACAAGGCAGGTCCTCGTCTCGGTCATGGATGCGACCAAGACACTCCCAGCGTCGTGGTATACTTCACAGAACCTTTACTCTCTTGAACAACGAGCAGTCTTTTACAAGGCATGGTATCTCGCCGGTGCTGTGCCCAGGTTTCCAGCTGGGGCGGAGGTCGAATATGAGTTTGCCCAAGTCGCCATCAGCATTCGACACGACGGAAACGAGAATTTTGAGGTGACCAGGAAGTCTGATGTACGCTCAGGGCGGCACGCCTTCGTGTGAGCCAGTACCTCTGATCGCTTCGCAGGGCTTCGTACTCAATCACTACCTAACGCCGACGGGTCTCTTATTCACCACCATTGACTCTTCTGCACCGCCGTTCGAACAATGGTTCCCTCCTTCGCTGCTCGAACTGCTGTCGGGGTACAACTTCCGTCGTCTCCCGCACCGTCGCTCGATCAAGTATCCCGGCAAGTTCAACTGGAAAACCATGGTCGATGGCTACCAAGAGTGCCTGCACTGCCAATACACGCATCGCAGCTTCAGTGTCATGTACCCACCCACCTTTTACGAAGTGCACAACCATGACACTTACAGCCGACACATCGCCGATCCACAAAAGGCCAACGACGGCCTCTTCTTGTTCTTCTTTCCCATCTGCACGCTGAACCTGTACGGAGGTGGGATGAGCAGCTTTCGAGTCTGTCCAGGCGAGAAGGTCGGGGAAACAAGAATGGAGTTCGACTACTACTTTGATGATGGCAAAGGTGGCGTGGAGGGGTTCGAAGAGTATTTCAAGTTTGTCAGGAAGGTCGCGTTGGAGGATTTCGAACTCTGTGAAGTCGCGCAGGAGAACCTTGAGAGGGGTGTTTATTCGCAAGGAGTTTTGAACCAAATCAAGGAGAGTGGTGTGCTTCGTAAGTTTTCCATCCGCATGTTTTCAGACTGGCGGCTCACAGAAGTCTCTTCATCCGGACAGATTATCAACAGTTGACCAGGAAGATGGTGGTTGAGAAGTTCAAGGAGGAAGAGGCCGAGCGGAATGCTTTGAGCCCTGCCAGCAGTCGAGCAAGTGGTGTCGGACACGTCGGCGGCCAAGACGATGTTGCCGTGTCTGCTTGATATGAGCCGCGAAGGTGGCGTCTGGCTTGTAGGAGATAGAATCGTCCTTCGCTGTCTGTAGGATGACAGCTACCCGTCGTTCTTGTGGCGGTGCTCTGGAGTGATGAGTTGAACATGATCATGACTACCGAGACGTATTATGGCTCAAGACAACGGATGTGTAGCGCTTTTATCATCAATGTCCTCCATGAGCACAGTGCCTGAACCGACCGTACCATGATTCCCGGGAACCGGTCCCGCTCGGACGGGTTGGTTCTCATGGACAGGTACGGTGCAGTATCGGTGCGATTTGATGGGCTGAGGGTGCCGACACGCACACAATGAGAAATGAGAATAATGCTTCTTCATTGGTAACCTTCTACAATACTGCACCACGATGCTCCGCATGTAATTATGATACAGACAGTGGATTCATAGACGCTCGCTACCCGGCTTGATATCGGCGATTCTAGCTTCTCATTCTCCGCTACATCACCTCACTGCTTAGCACCAATTACACCATGACACCATCAGCATCACAGTCCAAGCAATCCTGCATCCCAATGTCATTTGGCATCATCTTCAACTTCAGGTACATTGTGTGGTGATAAACAGGCCACGTAGGTCCCGCGCAAAAGTAGGTACGTAGGACCGTACGAACACTGTACAAGCACACGAGTCCACGAGTCCACGAGCACAAGTGAAGAGCACATAGCAACGAGAATCCACCATGACACCATCCACGACATCGAATCCCAGGAAGCGACCCCTTTTGTACGCCGATGATGACCCCGGCGACGCCGACAACAGCCGCCGCCAGCAACAAAATCATCTCGGAGATCAAAATGCCAGTGGAGGCGCGATCCAACACGCCCAGATCTTCATCTCCTCGGTAATCCACGACCGCAAGTCCACCTTCCAAGCACACTTCCACCCTGGATCGTCTGTCTTTCCTCCCTTGGGAAATGGCGGCGGCGCACAAAAACCACCACCGTCGACATCAATAACCACGATCATCAAACGTCTCCAATCCCACCCCTCATTCTCCACGGCCTCGCATCGCGTGGTGGCGTGGCGGAGGGGATCGAGCCAACAGACCCTCCGCCTTAGTAGTGGTGGTAGTGGTGTTGGCTCGAAGGCCGCGGTGGCGACCACCTTCACCACGGGCTCGGACGACGACGGCGAAAAGTACGGCGGCAGACGGCTCGAGACGGTCCTCTCGTCCATGGGAGTCGAGGGCGTGATCATCGTGGCGAGATGGTACGGCGGCGTGATGCTGGGGCCCGCGCGGTTCACGCACATGGAGAACTGCGCCAAGGAGGCCATAAATTCGTGGCTCGATAGTCTAGGCGGCGCGCAGCAGCAACAGCAGCAACAGCGGCAGCAGGAGCATGTGGCGAGCAGCAGCAGCAGCAGCAGCAAGAAGCCGAGGGTTGATGGCGCCGGCACTGGCGGTGGCAACGCCGGGACTCATGATCACGACGATCGCGCCGACCGAGCGAGGCTCGCGAACCAGTTGGACGAGAGGGATCAGAATATCGTGGTGTTGAGGGGGTTGTTGGCTGAAATGACGAAGGGGAAGGGGAAGGGAAAAGCGTCGTCGGCCAGCACTGACGCCGGCACTGGCTCTGGCTCTGGGATTGAGACGCACAAGCGAGATGGGGCCCTGGATTCATCGCCGGCGCCCGAACCTTCTTCGACGGCCTCGACGACCGCTTCTCCCCTGAAGAAACTAGAGTATACTGCCATGCCGCTCGCGCGGCTGAGGCAGTTGGAGAGGGCGAGAGACGCGACCATTGCGTTCATTCTGAGGCAGCTGGATAAGGCGGAGCAGGAACAGAAGACGAGAGAAAAGGACACGGCGGTAGCGTCGAAGGAAGATCCGCACCATGTCGATGGAGGTGGGTGATCCCAGTTGGGCGATCGAGGATGTCTTCAACTCCGGATACGCGAACGTGGCAACATGTCGTCAATGAACTCTACACGGACGAGCGAGGGGGCACAAGGTCATCCACTCTACACGGGCGAGCCAGGAGGCACCATGTCGTCCACTCTTTACGGACGAGCGAGGGGGCACAAGGTCGTCCACTCCACGTGATGACCGAGGAGGCAATGGTGTCGTCCGCTCTACACGGGGCGAACAAGGAGATAACATGTCGTCCACTCTACACTGATGATCAGCAAGGCAACATCAACATCAACATCCCTGAAAATCTGCACGACGGAGAAGAGCAGAAGAGCATGATGAAAATGATTTGCCTCTCTGGAGTCCGTACTGATTAATGAAGCAGCCCCGAAAATATCACCACCACCACCACGACGTGATGGTGACGCAACGCATGTTCTGTTCAGCCATCGTGATTTTACCGAGTGAGCTGTTGAGACGTCCCGAGACCAGCCAAGCCGGACGCCTCTCAACTCCGCAATCCCTTTCTCTTGGTTGGTTGCCGTCTCATATCCAATTCCTCTGGTGTCAACGCCCAGTCACCCTGTCGAGATATCTCGAAAGAATCATCCAAGCAGGACGCCTCAAGCCCGCGGTCCCCTGCTCTTGGTTGTTTCCCGTTCCATGACCAATTCCACCAATGTCAACGCCGGTATCCAAGGTTCACGCTTCTGCTCGCGCTCCTGCTGACACGCCGTGCCTTCATTTCATGTCCTCCCACTCACTGTCTTCGTCGTCCTCTGAGTCATACTCCTCGTCGTCCTTTTCATCGTCCGATGAGATTGCGCATCCTTGCGCCGCTGCGTTCAGTCCAATTTCGCGACAAGATGTAGTGACCCTGCGGTACGCGCTGACCAGGCCTTGCTTGTCGTTTCGCTCATTGTTGCCGCCAAAGCCTCTCTTGTTCTTATTGTACGAGCTCGCCGCGCTGGAGGTGTTGGAAATGGTGGTCGAATCACCAATGGTGAAGCCGCGGACGACTCTCGTCCCCGTGACCGGGTCGGTGTACTCCGACGAGGCGTCTGTGATGGGCGTGCCTGGCTCAGTAGACGACATAGTCCCAGTTGAGGCGGCACGGTCGGTGGTGGTGACGATGCTCGTGGGCCACCGGCGGTGGACCTTGGCTCTGACTTTGACCTTGGTGTTCAGGTACTGCTGCCAGATTTGTGGATCGATGCCCACAGGTGGATTGTGTTCACCCAGGAAGCCAGCGATAATGTCGCCGTCAACTTTGAGCCGCTGCTCGAGGTGGTTCAGTTGCCACTCTGCGGAGGCGTCAACGGCACGCCGGTAACCCCCAAAGCCGGTCATTTCGGGCAGAGGGATCGCGACGCCGATTCGTGGCTCCGAGTATGTTCTTTTGAGATCGTCCAGACCGGCCACTGGGACGGTGCCGACCGCTGGGGTGGATTGTGTGCGTTGCAGATTTGCCTCGTACAAGGCTGCGCCGTTACTGCGTTGTGTGGTTGTGGGTGAAGCTGCGCTGGTGATGAGTCCGGAGCGGATGCTGTTGGTATTGCGCGAGTCTAAGGGCAGTCAGCAGGAAGCGGCGGCAAAGGACACACCGCACGTACGGGTGGATGACGCTGTCGTTGAGGCCTTTGTCACCTCTCGGACCAACTTGAGGTCGGCTTCGACATGCTTGTACTTGCGCTCGAGGCGCTTGATCTCGCTGCGCTCGGCAGCCGCGCTTCCGACGATGAGTCGGGTGACGGTGTCGAAAGACAACATCGCGGAGGCGAGTTTGTGTGTAGCCAAACAGAATGGAGTGTTTCGAGGTGGAAATATAGAGTTGAGGAAGGGTGTCCGAGAAGCGCAGTGAGGTGGAAGTAAGGTCATGAGGATGAAGGCGACGAGGGAGGCAGAACTCCCACGGAACGGTAGGGTTGACGCGTGAATGGTCGCCGTGGTGCACAATAGCACAATAGTGCTGTTACTTGTTGAATAGGCAGTGTTCCTCGTCCTTAACTCGCTTGATTGTCGTCCACCGCCCGGATTGCCGTGTCAATGGCGAGGGTGAGGTACAATCCGCACACTCGACCCGCAGCCATTCCCTCTTGTCGGTCGAGTTCTCTTTTTACCACAAGCTGTCACGGGCCTTCCGGGTCTTCTCGGCCTCAGTAGTCCCTTCTGTACCGTATTGACCACCTTCAATGGCCGTACATGGAGGGTCAACGAATCAAGCATTCAGCGGGAGAGCGACGATGATATGAAGGACATCAACTTCACGAGGCTGCAGACCGACAGCAGGAAGCAGAGCCAGACCACGACACAAAGAAATGTCTTACATGAAGGGGTGCCTTCTCTCTCTAAGTACTGGATGGCCCACGGCATCAGCCAAACATCCAAAGACCAGGTGTAGTGCAAACAGGTCGCACAGGTTCCGGCCCGCGACTTTGCGCTGCCTGTGTTGTCAGGTGTCAGCTTTCTTTGTTTGAAAGGACGCGGCAGCAATCTGGCACACCACGCGGTCGAAATCAAGATAAGGTTGCTGCACTCAGGTACCTGGGAGCGAGTACAACCACACCGACTGTCCCGCGTTGGTCTGCGAACGGTTGAGTCACATCACAAGATAGAGATGGCAGCACATCTGTATCTTCATGGTGACTGAGCTCGCTTATCCGGCCAGGCTGTTTGTGCGACCTGCGTATCATCCATTCCTGAGATCGTCTGAAGGACAAGAACATTGGACATTGGGGCCTCGACCGGGTGCAGCAAGCGCCAGTTGCGACAGAGCTGAGAATTGGATCATCCTGATGAGTGTGAACACTGACGACCAGGCTGGATGGTCGATTTGTTAAGCTGCTGTCCAGGCCGTCTGAGACAAGAGCCAGAATGTCTGCTTCTGACGACGCAAGCCACAAAGCATGGTACAATGATGGCGGGGCGAATCCGAGATCTCCTTAGGCAAACGGCTCTAAATCTGGGATTCGCAGATCGAGAGTCTTCGCTTGCTAGGAGGATGAAGGGTGAATTTATGGTTGAGCTGACGCATGCAGCCGTCGGGCATCGCATTCCGTTGAGCCCTGAACGGTCCATTGCGCCAGGATGGCCGAATGAGCGGCGGCTGCACGCAAGCCAGACATCGACAGGTTTGACAGTCTCGCCTGCCCGCAAATCGTGGAGCCCCGCTGTGCATGTGCGCTGCAGTGGTGCGGAAGGCGGAGGCGGAAGGTAGAAAGAACATAGTGACCGGCTTGTGTTGTTACATGGCTGAAGGGAAGCCTCATGGCATGTGCACTGAGTGATCGGGACAACCACCAGAGACCGCCACGGGACTCGATCATAGCTTCGTTCTTCGGTCGGGTGTTTGCTGTGGACAAACGAGACTGTAGCAACAGAGTGGTCCAGATGTGCCGTGGCTTCGCTCTGGCTCCCATGCGGTGTCCCTCCCTCCAGGCCCTATCTACCTACGGTCAATACCACAGTGACTCCGGACTGCATACAGTACCTTGTACGAGGAACCTCACGGCTGTCTTATCCCCTTGGCACGCCGATTCCCGACACCGATTCGCCGATGCTCTACCACAACAGAAACTTCTCAACGACAAAATAAAGCCAGGCAAAGCACACTGGCAACTGTTTTGAATAGAGTAGTCACCACCACCCGGCTACAATACCAGCCAAATTACACTCCAGGCCAGGAAATAGGACTCTCGAGACGTGGGACTGCATAACGTATTTGGCAACATCCAGGCCCGAATCAAAGAACGGTACAACGGCTTCACCGCACGAACCATGGCGACGTAAGTATCACCCTCTCTTTACGCTGTGCGCCCACTCCATGAGGGCACAGCATTCCTGCGTTATGCCCGCTTCTACAGGGTGCATCGGGATACTTTTCCCGGATATTTTCACCTCCCTCAATATGTCTGCATCGTTCGTCCTGAAGCGCTGTCCTGCGCGCACTGTGTCTCAGAGACATACTCTGCACAGTGGACGTAACCAATTGTGCTTTGCCCATGTAGTCCCTGCCTCCCTATGCTATGCTCTACTCCTCTCTGCTTGCTTGCTTTACTATGCATTACTCTCCGCTCGCTCTATTGTACATGTCCTTGCCACGGAATCTTAGTCCCCATGCTTACCGGCCACCACAGAAACATCCACTTCCACGCGAGCCCGCTCACGCCCGCCATCCGCGCGGGCCTGCTCAAACAAAGCGGCCTGACCATCTGGCTCACGGGCCTCTCGGCGTCCGGCAAATCGACCATCGCCGTGGCTCTGGAACAAGCGCTCATCCGCAAACCGTACACCAAGAACGCGTACCGCCTGGACGGCGACAACATCCGCTTCGGCCTGAACAAGGACCTGGGCTTCACCCCCAAGGACCGCGAAGAGAACATCCGCCGCATCGCCGAGGTGGCCAAGCTGTTTGCCGACTCGTGCACCATCGCCATCACGAGCTTCATCTCCCCCTACCGCGCCGACAGGGACATGGCGCGCGCCCTGCACGAGGCGCCCCGTCCGGGCGGCGAATCCGGCGTCCCCTTCGTGGAGGTCTGGATTGATGTCCCTGTCGAGGTGGCCGAGCAGAGGGACCCAAAGGGCCTGTACAAGAAGGCGAGGGAGGGCAAGATCCCGGAGTTCACGGGGATCAGTGCGCCGTATGAGGAGCCGTTGAAGCCGGAGGTGCACATCAAGAGCGCCGAGACGAGCGTCGAGGAGGCCGTCAAGATCATCATCAAGTACCTTGAGGAGAAGGGGTATTTGAGCACGCCACCTGCCGTGGATGACGAGGAGTGAACTGCCTAGACTAACACGGGATGCCGACACACAACTCCAGAAAAACAGAAAGGCAGGGTAGGGATCGTGTGCCGCTGGAATGGAATGGCCAAAGCACTGTACCGAGTCATTGGATGGAGTCCCCCGCGAGGGAGCGATGCTTTACTGTAGCACCGAAAGGCAAGGGCTTGCATAGTGGTATACTTACTATTATTCGTTCCTTGGTATTTACTCTCCTTGCTTCTGCCTTTGCGAAATGGAAGGGCCAGCCATGGTAGACAGTAGATAACTACGTTGTGGGTAGTCGACGTAGACGCGAATCTTGTCGATTCACGCACGACCCATCTACATACAGAGGCGTTTAGGTGCATGGACGTGAGCCTCATAAACATATACAATGGTGCGCGCCGTACGTGGCTATGCAATGCAATGCAAGCAGTCCCCAGCCCTTGTCTGCCTGTCTTCCAAAGAGTTCTACTAGGCGGCATTCGGGACCACCGTCCTCTTTACTCTTTTCCTCCCCTCGCAGCGGGAGCAGGAGCAGAAGTGTCGTCCCCAGATGGCTCCTTCCCCTTCCCTCGATCTCTGTGGAGACCCTCGACGCCCTTCCCCCACTCACCCGCTTTCTTGCCCCATTGCATCATCCCCCAAGCATGCTGCCACCCGAACTTTGGCGGCGGGTCAGCACTCGTCCGAAACGGCGAGGCATCGTGTCTGAACATGGAGTCGCTCCTTGGATCCATGCCCGCGCGATCAGGTTCAGGTTCAGCATGAGCTTCAGCTTCAGCACCGGTATCAGCATCATCTGCCCGCCTTTCCCAGAACCGCCCCTCGCGATGGACGGGCCGCCACCACTCTGGCACTTCTTCCACGTCCGCTTCCCCTGCTTCAGCTTCCCCTTCTGACTGTAACCGTCCAACATCGCCAAGGGTGGCCGCACGCTCATCCCACCACCTCCGACCGCACATCTCCCACAGTCTCGATCTCGCGCGTTTGTACGCGAACCGTTCATCCTCGCCCGTCAGCGCGGACGTGCTTGTAAAATCTGGGCCGCCCCGCGCGGCAGTGAAGGATGAGGAATCCGAAATTCCGTGCCCTCGCCCGTTCCCGTACGTGGGGCCGAAGTCGGCGTCCTCGTCCGCCAACACGGTCCGCACACTCGGGTTCGCCAACGAGGGCGTGAAGCTCAAGGGTATCGAACTGCGGGTATTCCCCTCCGTGTATGTCGTGATGTTGGGCCGGAAGGGGGCCGTGCTATCCTGGTAGATCTCGGAGAAGGCCTCGGACGTGATGGAGTCGTCGGGTTCAGATTCGGAGTCACGTTCATCAAGAAAATTCTGCGCCACGTTTGTGCTATCCGTCGTGCCCGATCTCAACCGTGCGTCGGGGAAGAAGAGTTTGTCAGGCGGAGCGTCGGCCTGGATGACGAGTCGGCACCGCGCCTCGTAGAGCGCGTCAAGCAGAGTAATGAATCTGCGGGCCTCGTTCTTGTGCGCGGACGTCAGGACCGGGACGTCTGTCAGGATGAGCGTGTGGAATATCGAGCACAGGGTCACATAGTCTGCGGGGCCGAGGTAGACGGCGCAGAGGTCGCGGAAGGATGACTTCAGGATGCGGTTGTGCGTGGTCCGCATGTGGAGGGCGCGTGCGTAGACTGTGAGGCTCGTCGGATGCCATGCCCCTGAGGGGTTGAGGACGCGGAGGTCGTTTTCGAACGATACATCGACGGGGGAGCCGGTGATATTGACGTGGTAATGTGCCGGCGAGTCGGCCGATAAGGGAGTCGTCGACGAGACGACTGTCGTGACGGTGGTGGTGAAGGTCCTGGCTGTGCTCTGTGTCTCTGTTTCAAGCGCTGCTTCAAACTGTTCGTCGTGGTGCTCCTGTTTTGGTTCTTGTCCTTGGTCAAGTCCATTCACCACCTCCGCCGCTCGATCATCGCGCTCCCTCCTCCAGTCCCGCTCCCCCTCCATTTCCCAGACCTCACACCTCGCCCTGAGGACATCGAGAAACAACCCAAAATCCGTCTTGGCCGCCTTCTGTCCCTCACTCTCCCGACTCAATCCCCATCCAAGGCCGAAGAAGCCACCGACACCACCCCTATGCCCAGAATTTCCAGCCCCAAACTCCACCCCCGCGGCTTTGCTCAACTCCTCGGGCATACGATTCGAGCTGGCAACCAACACGCCACCGAGGTGGAAAAATGCCGTAAAGAACCCATTGATCAACTTCGCGGCCACCCTGTCGGGCATTTGAAACTCGTCAAGGAACAAGATCGGCGACTCGGCAATCGTGTCCTTTGCTAGCCTGAGGACGACGTGCTCGTGTGCACTGTTACTCCCGAAGAGACTTCTTCGCGAGTACATTACCCCTTCCAGCCCATCTAGCCTGGCCAGCTCGATCCGGCGAAAAATATCCAGCATAAACGTGTTGTAGTGCCAGCGGCGTTTCTTGCGCGAGGGTAACGAATCGTACAGCATGTCCAGCAGCATGGACTTGCCGCGGCCCACTTCGCCGTATAAGAGCAGGCCTCTGGGCGAAGTGATAGAAACGGCCGAGTCATGAAGCGGAGTCGTGCGCGTCAGTGCCAGCGTGTCGGCGGTGAGGAAGGCGGGGGAGGTGAACGAGAGGAGGGCCGAGAGGGCGCTCTTGCTCTTCTTGGTCCTCTCCGCCCCGGTTGACAGTGACTCTGGGTCGGACTCACTGGCATGGCGAGGACTAGAATCTCGCCGCCTGGGTAGGTGGCGGCTGATTTTCTCCAGCCGGTACCGATACTCGACTTCTGGGGCGTAGTCCTTGAGGCGGAAGTAGAGCTTTTGGAGGTGGAGAGCCAGACGATGTTGGGCGGGGTCGGGCTTGATCTTGTGAGTTGCGAGTAATGCCCGGTAGAGGATCAGGGGGTTAGTGATGCTCAGGCTAAGGGTTTGGGGTGGTGGTCGTGCCGGCATGGGGATGGATGCCGGTTATGGCCTGGCGGTGGGAGGAGAGGGTGGTGAGAGTAGAGGGTGGTGGGAAATTAGAGTCTGTATCTCGTACATCTATGGAGAGATCTACGTTCTTTCCGTGCGGTCACGTTGCATACCGGGTGAAGCGAGACAGCAGGAGAAGCACCGGTAGTTAAAGTGAGCTCTGGCTTGTCCATCAAGATCAATATCGGTTCATCTGGTGGTCTTCGTGGTGCTTGTATCTTAATCAACGCTGGTTGCCGTCTGCCTCGCCGTAGTGCGTGTGCTTGACCGGAGACAATGGGACACAATCACTACAATGGATGCACCAGATAGAATCACTATCACTCACAAAGTGACAAAGTCGAATGCACTGAGGGTCTGTACAGTTCTGTGGCAGTATCAATAACCAGCAAGCCAATTACTCGAAGCTGAACACATTTCGATCAGTCAAGCAGGTCAAAGCTGTCCACACCCTGTTCAAGCCCACTCTCTGTAGCCTCTCTTAAACTCGAAGCCGTGCTGGCCTTCTTCCTCGGTCTCCCTTTCGCGCCCGGTTTCTTCTTCGCACGACCAGCACTATCGACGGAGCTGGGTGGAGGCGCCTCAAGAATCCATCGGACAAGGCATTCTGCTCGTTCGGTGGTGATGGGATACCCGCTCCCGTCTTCCTGCGTCCATCGTTTCGGACCGGCAGAGGTAGCCTCTTCCTGGGCACCATTCTGATCTGCTGGCCCACCGTCAATCAACCTGGTGCCGTTGTGATGCTTTGCTGCCTGCTCTTTTTCCTCTCGCGCAGCTCTCATTTCCCTGGCCTTGAAGCTGGCTCGGAAGGACTCCTCATCCACCACCCTTTCATCGGCCAGCGCTTCGAGCACAGCTTCTTGTTTGATCCTGGCCTTCTTGGCCTCGGCCGTCTCTTTAGGAGCCGTCTTGCGCCCCGGAAAAGGTGCAGGAGCACACAGCTTGTCCCAGGTAGCTGACAGGCCCAGCCAATTCTTGGTTCGCCGCAGGATCTCGACCCAGTCTGCGCGAGCGGGCGAGCGTGCAGCTAGAAAAATTGGATATCCATCGCAAACTCGCGCGAGGCGTGCAACCATGTAGGCATGTCGTTGGAGCTCTTTGCTCGATGTCTGGATAAGACAGTGGCATAGAAGCACCGAGTGGAGTACGTCTGGGAGAAGGGGATGATATGTGACTGCTTCGGAAAAGTCAGGTAAGGAGAAGACCGGATGATCCTGGTCGAGTTGCGTTTCCCGGTCGGATGGATAGGGAGGCAAGTTGGCTACAGGCACAGCGGCAAATAGCTCATTCAACCTGTAAATTATCGGTTTGGGTATCTGAGGCAACGCTTTGTGGTTTGTTTGGGGGTCTCTCTGACTCTCATATTTCACGAGCGCCTCCGATAAGCCAGCGTGGGCGTTAGAGCGGGCAGCATCCGAGTCCAGCAGCTTCTCGCTCCGCGACCCACGTCCATGCGGGCGTGAGCTCACTCTCTCCAGAAATGCATCCGTATACTCCGCCGACAGGCCAGGAGTATAGTCGAAGTGTGACAGAAAGGCGAGATAGTCTCGCAGAGCTCTCTTGGCGTATGTGCGAACCAACCTGCGTGCGTCGGCGCGATATCTCGCGAGTTCCTCTTCTGCGAGCGCCGAGGGGGAAACACCGCCGCCATTGCCATTATACTGAGCGCCACCACCGTGTAACCCGTACAGAGCCCGTCGAATGTTGTCGCATCCAAGCGTTAGGTACGCTCCAGCTCGGTGAAAGAGCAGTTGTGGCTCCAGGCTATTAGGGTGGTCCTTCTCCTCCAGTCGACTCTCTGTGCGCTGGTCCCGGCCTGATCCCGCGGGATCTCTGGCCAGGATCAAGTCCTGCTGCTCTTTTTGATGTTGGGAATTGTACAGCCTGTGCACGGCGAGCCCATCGGTACAGTCTCGCACCACCCCTTCGAAGTCGTCCTTGAACATCCGAGCGACGGACCGTGTTCTATATGGTACCGGATCAGTAGGGTTCTGACGGATCACTTCGGTCAGAGGTTCCAGGCCGGTGTACTCGGCCACGGCCATGGAGGGGATCTTCTCGTGGAAGAAATGAACATATTGTGCATCCGCGTTTTGCGGGTCGCGCTGTAGTACGTGTCTGGCAACATCTTCCAACGCCGAGGCTGACTGCATCATGGCGACACTGGAGGCGATCTCATCGAGGTGATATGCGTGGGATAGTTTCTGCGTTGCATGCTCGCGCATTCGGTGCTTCCTCTCGCGGCTCAGTTTCGCGTGGCCACCACCACCTCTTGCAGATCCGATCCCGAGGATCTCTGCGTCTGCGCCATTGAAGATTCCATTGGTGGTATTCAGCGAAGTGTACAAAGACGCAGAAGTCGTACCGTTGGCGGCGCGCACAGCCAGACTTGTAGCGTCATCGATCAAACGCCTGATTTTCACCAGGTCGAAAAAGACAGCAGGGTCGATCGGTCGGGGACGGGGAGAATAGTGGTTGCTATGAGCCAGGCTGTCTAGCACTTCGGGCGGAAGGTTGAGCCATCTATTAAGATGTCAGCAGCGGTACCAGCTGGAATTGCGGCATTTTTTGTGCGACGACAATACCGCCCAAACAAGCTGTTGCTTGTTCGATGTGTCTGCGGGTTGAACAGAAGAAGCTGTGGAGGTTGCATGCAACTTACGGTCCAGAATAGGACGAGATGTGTTTAGTGTGCTTGTTGCGACATATGATCAAGGTAGGAGACACTGACAGCTCAGGCGCAGGCCCTTCTTTGCCATTCAATGCCTTTTGCGGCGCGGGTAGAGGCGAAGGTGCTGGTTCTGAAGGATGCTGTTTCCCATTGGTGGTGTCACCCGCAACACTGGGAGACTGACTTGTCGGCTGCGTCGAAGTGGGAGCCTTGGGCTTCCTCCTGGTCATGATCCGTTTGGCCAGTGTCTGGTCGCGGCCAGAACCAAGACCAATGCAGATAACTGTTGACAGGATGACAGGACTGGCACCGTGCAAGATTTCGCGTCGTTGGCGATTCACGCCGAGGTCCGCAAATGTTTGGGGGCCGTTGAATGAATGTTCTGTCACCTGTCACTCAGGTTCACTTGAAATTGTCATTCTGGTCCTTTGCCATAGATGTCAAGCAGTACAATACGATATTCAATACGCTCAATAAGGCAGAGCAGCGCAGAACTTATGCAGATGAATTCACGCCTCGTACAGGCAAGGGAATGTGGTCAGTATTACGGCTACAGCTATTCTTCACGTCCATTCCAGTCACCGCCACCTCTCGCACCTTCTCGATTATTAGAACTGTACTTTACTTTTGAGCCACCCTGCACCATTCCGCTCGACCTCATCGGCGGGTAGGAGCTCCGCCGTCGGCAGGGGGAATGACCTGGTACCCAGTATTCAGACCCCAAGCAATGCTGTTGAACTCCAGGTCGACGGCGGATATCTGGAGCGAAGGTGTGATGGTGAAGAGGTTGAAACCCTTGACTTCGTATTCAGCCGTGCCGATGCCGAGGAAGTTCCAGTACCATAGGATCTTGGTGCAGCCAGCCACGAGGATCTCAATCGTGGTAATGCCTTCCACAGGAGGTGCGTTCAACACTCCCTCGATATACCCTTCTCTGCCCTGGAAGGTCACAGTACCGAGCTGTTGTAAGGAGCTGGTTAGTCTGCCGGATACGTTGTGGAGGATGACAAACGCGTCTACTCACCGGCTGTCCCTCGAGCGACAGAATCGAGTCGCTTGTCTCGGTATAGGCTGGATCGAGAAGTGCTAGGGCAGTGGCATTGGCCGCAGCAATGTCTGAGTGTTCAAGGATTGAGATGTACCTTCGAAATTGTTAGTCTGTCTTCAGCTACAGCATTGAGCAGCGCAGTGTTCGAAGGGAGAGCGGTCATCATGCTGGACTTGGCTCGCGCATCATGCGGACCAACAGTGACAACTTACTGGCTGACAATCGACTCAGCCTGTGCCTGGGACAGGCAGCCTTGCTGGCAATCAGTACGCTTGGGGGTCGCGAGGGCCGCGACACTGGCAGCGAGCGCCAAAGGTGCAAGGAACGACGACAGCTTCATGGTCAACGAAGCGGTTGAGCGAGTGGAAGTTTGGCGGAAAGGATGGAAAGGCAACAACTTTCAAGGGATTTGCTTTTGCAGGTGAGGCTGACGGCTGCTGGTACTGACGACTTTCAGAAGAGAGAGCTTCCTCGGACATTTATAGCTGAGCTCCCAGCCGCATGCCATGCTTGAGGCCCTGCGTGCGGAATATGCATGAGCTTCCCCCTCCTGCCAGGTCGAGAGCTTACCTGCAAGGCCGCATGCAAGCTCATAGACCTACATACACAACCCGCTAGCGACCGCTCAGGCGCGTCGAGAAGGCAGATCGGGATTGGTCACCTGTGGATGGAGTCCTTCGCTACAGTCCCGATGGTGATGGGACGAGGAAGTGTGAGTGGCGATCTCACCGTGCCGTGATTGTCAAAGTCTGCCTTAAACTATTCCCCGCGACGGAGAGCTGGCACTTTGGAGCTCGCTTGGTTGAGCTTGAGCGCCCTTGACATTGGTGGGAGCATTCCAATGCAGCGAGTCAATGACGAGCTTCCATTGCCTGACCCTGGGGAGGCGATCGACAGGGCAGGACCAAAAGGCGACAACTCCAACATCATCTCACGTCTCCAATGTTCCCTGAGTTGCTGCGAGCAGGACCGCTGCACCGAGCCGAAGGACATTCCGTGGTGTCAGTTTGAAGTGAGATGAGATCCTCCCCTGGGAGACATACGGATTTCTATCGCAAACTGTCGGTCAAAGACTGAGCGCCATCAGTTTACTCGTCCCGAGAAAGCTGGAGATGTTGAAAAAGCTTTGCCAGCTGCCGGATCTGTCAAGCTCTGGCGTTGAGGGGAACCGTCGTTTGCAGAAGCCGTTAAAAGAACAACACGCAGTGTTGATGTCATGACTTTAAGCCATGCAGCATCCAGCCAAAGCAGACCCCTGCGGTCAGCGACTAGCCGCCACGGCTGCAGAGAGACATACCAATGACTTCTGTGCGTACCTCGTACCGTGGTACACAACTGCACTGCTGCAGGAGACTGGCCAGTCCGCTCGGCCGGGGCACATGTTTTGTCGCGTGGGAAATCGTTCGCAACACACACTCCGATCTCTGGGAAAACATCGTTGTCGTTAGAACTACAACGCCAAGATGGCGAGCCCGCGCGGATCTGAGCATGCTCGCATCTAAGCTTCTGGGCACCGTCTCGAAGCCCATCTGCTCATCGTCCCGTGTGTCTCACCTGTGGAGCCTTCATTCGTCCGAAGGCGTGCATTAGAGTCAGCTTGTCCGTGCTTCTGTGCCTCTCCAGCCGCCACGTTTTGGCTCCACACTCCGGGGGCCGGAAATGGAGTGTTCCAATAGGCGGAACCAGGGGACTTATTGCATACACAGTACATTCTCCGAACATTGAGCCTGCACGGAGTACAGAGTAAGATACGCAGCTCTGGCACTCTATCAACCCTGTACTCCATACCCCGTATGTGGAGGCAAGCTTCACCATCTTCTCGCCACAGCCGAGAATTTAGTATTGTGCAAAGTACTCCGTACTTCGTACAGAATGGAGCATTCTCTGTTGGGCAATCGGCCTTGCGCTGACGCGGGGACGAATTCGAAGTCCTTGCTCCGTGGTAACGCGACATTGTACATATGTCCGCCCTTCCTACAATGCGGAGTAAGTACACACCATACACATGCTGAGCAGACGTGGGCGCCGGTCTCAGCCGCACATGAGACGAGAGGTGAGCAGCCTAATCACTCATGACCCAGATACACAGCCTGTCGTCCCTGGGCCGGTATCATACTCGTATATCCAAGACAAGCCGCCCTCATCCCCGACCCAGAGGAAATAAGCCCACATCAACCACTCTTTAACGAGCTGCTGCAGCGTGCCGACTGAACGCTTCCTCATATCGCCGCCCTTGGAAGTGAAGGCCAGGATCTTCCTGATTCGCTCCCGTCGCGCAGCCTGCCACTGTGTCAACGCATGCGTTTCTCGAGCTGCCGAGTCGATCTCTTTCGTTTTCGTTTTCAGCGCGCTCAGCGCGTCAGCAAGGGTGAGGGCGTCTTCGAAGGCCATCGCGGCCCCCTGACCGCCAGTTGGCGGCATCGCGTGCGCGGCATCGCCAATCACAATCACTCTGCCGGATTTGCTGGACCAGGAGCTCAACTCGGGGACCGTGTAGTAGCTATTCGTACGCGGTAAGTCGAAAGTCAGTAAGTAATTTGTCATGGTTGCGCTGGAGCACGCAGCAAGCAGCGACGCAAGGGGCCTTCAGGGTTTCCAAGCTGGCTTCGGACTAGACTTACGGCCACAGAGTGAGGGTCTCGACGTCAATATTCTGAGAAGCGGCGTGGACGAGGCCAGGCCACCGCTCGGTCTCATGATATTTCTGCAAAGTCGCGTACAAGGCCGTCTTGTCGTTCTGAAGCTTGTGCCAGTCTTCACGCGATCGGTCCTCGCCTTCCACGGTGGCAAAGCACCCGATGCGGTCGCCCGTATAGGTACACGGCCTGTGTCAGTCATTGTTTAGCGCCGGCTAGATCATGCGTGGATACCCGACCAGGATGTGTCTGGCTGTGCATATGCAAAACCCGTTCAGCCCGGTCCGGTCCGACGCGACACAGTCCTGCACAGCAAGTGGCTTTCCTTACATGAACATGAAAGAGTTGAGCTTCCCCAAGATCAAGCACGGCATGTATACATTGTGACACGCCGTCCCGAGTCGCGACCTAGGCAAACTTCCCCCTACGCCCAACTGGCCGCTAAACGTCGGCACGGCAGTGGGATCGAGGTGCGCCCTCACGCGCGAATGGATCCCATCGGCTCCGACCAGGAAATCGGCCTCTTCGGTGCGCCCGTCCGCGAACGTGGCGACGACCGTGCCCCGCGCCGTCTCCTGGATGGCGACACACCGCGCGTTGTAGTGCACGGGGATGCCTTGCTCGCCGAGGGCCTCCACCAACGTCTGGCGCACAATGCCCCGCGAGACGCGCAGCGCCTTGTACCCGTATCGGTCGTGGCTGCCGTTCAGGATCGTGCCGATGTGGCTGAGGTTCCGGGACGAGAGGAACTCAAAGGCCTCGTAGTTCCATCCTTGCTTCGCCACGCGGTCGTACACGCCGATCCTGTCGAGCGCGCGGAGGGCGTTGGGCGCCAGCGCGACGAAGCCGCCCTCCACGGCCGTCTTGTCGCGGAGCTCGAAGATCGCACATGAGATGTTGTGTTTGTGCAAGGCGAGTGCCAGTGCGGGTCCCTGGGGGCTTGTGTGTTAGTACGGGAGTGGCGAGTGCGTTGGTGCTCTTCGGGCAAGTAGTCCATGTCACATACCGCCAGGCCGGTGCCGATGATGATGACCTTCATTCGGACAATTCGGGGGAACGGACGGATTGGCAATGCTTGGGACAGGACAGGGCAGGACAATCGTGGGGATTGCGAATAGCAGTACGGAAGAAGAGTAGACGCGGCAGGAGTTATGAGCTGGTGGCCCTGGGTTGACGTGATTCTCCTGGTGCGAGGACCTGCAGCAGCAGTATTTGTAGTATCGACATTGTTCGATGCTGCTCGCCGCCGAGACACCAGCAGCGCCGAGGGCTGTGCAACTCGAATGTACCTCTGAAACTTCTTCAACTTCGTATCTTATGGCTAGAAGGGCGGCAGGTAGAGGGCACGGAACTTCCCAACCCCAACTCGTCGCGGCTGATTCGCTCGCTACGCTTCTTGGGATAGCCGAAAAGAGGCGAGATGGAGGCATGGCAAGCGGGTGGTTAGTCGAATGAAGGCATCGACGCGAGCTGAGAAAGACAAGAAGAAAGCTTGTTGTGTTGCTCCGAATGCAGCATCCCCATCCGGCGGAGCGACACCAGCAAACCCGATTCCCGTATCCGTAGACGGGCGGCCAATAGTGCAGACGTTGCGAATAACTCTCAAGTCTTGTTTCTCAAAGACACAGAATCGACCTCAGAACATGCTCCAGCTTCTCCTCGCACGACGTCGAGCTCATCCGTCTGGCCCGCCATGCCACATACCGGTCTGGTCTCACGAATACGCACCCGTCTTCGTCGACCTCTCGCTTCTTCGTCCAGTCTCGATACTTGTCGGCGTAGTCGAGCCCGAAGCCGATGGCGAAGGCATTGATTGGGATCCCAAGCTTACTTCCCACGGACTTGGCAGCCTCCGTCCATGGCTCGCCGCCGTGACCCGTGAACAGGCAAAATGCATTCTTGCCAGCCAAGTCGACGGTGGATATTTCCTTGCTTGGAACACCTTTCCCCCTGCTCAACCACGCATGGGGCAGACGGAAGCCAGGATATGTGCTGACTCGGACCTGCGTGAGGAAATTGCCCGTGAAGGGTCCCAGAGGGCCCTCGTCGTCCAGGTACACAGCGCTCGACTTGTACCACTGGTTCATCATCATGCCCAGGCTATCGCCCTCGCCTCGATGTCGTTCCATGGCGTCGAAAAGTTCTTGGCGACGTCTCTTTCCTGCTTCCGAGGCCTCGGAGAGCTCTTTGTTCGCTTTGATCCGTTTCTCCTTGTCTTCCTCGAACATCCCGATAGCACGCCATACCGTTGCTGAAATGTTGTTAGCAGCTAGCAAGAATATTGACACAAGCTGAAGAAACGGGAGCAAAGCTCCAGAATCATAGGTGTGGGCTCGGGGCAAAGCTCACCATGATTGCGAAGAAGCTCATTCGACCACTTCACCAAGTCTTGCCCGACGGGCTGGCGCTCTACATTATAGGTCTCCAGTAACGCTGGGGAGGCCTGCCCTTTGATGACCATCGCCACTTTCCATCCCAGGTTGTAGGCATCCTGAATACACGTGTTGCTGCCCAGGCCGCTATATGGCCGTTAGCAGCCAAGCACGATATCGGGACGAGCAGATCCGAAACCCTGACATATCAGATATATGTTCATGGGGCCACTCACAAAACAGGTGGGTGTCGGTGGACCGCATCACCGAGACAGAATCTGACGGCTCTTAGCACTGTTCCCGCACACACCTGCGCCCAGCAAACTCACACGTTCCCCTTGGAGTAACACTCGGCAACTGTCTCATTGACTCTCCAGCTCGAGATATCGAGCACCTCGAATGGAATCTCGTCTTTGCCTATCGTCGCTCTCATCAGATCTTCCACCTGGCCCGTGGCTTTGGCATCGGACCCGAAAGTCTTGATGTCTACCCCCGGTTTGGGAAATACCACCAACATCCACTTGTCCCACGGCCGTACCATGCGCAACACCGGAGCAATCCCATGTTCAAGGCCCGTGTCCGGCTGCATGATCCAATGCAGGTGGCCTGTCTGATGTCGCATGATGTCGGCCAAATCAGCATTGAAGAGGATGTTGTACGCCACCCCTCCGGAAGGCTGGACATTGTAGGAGAGGTCAATCTTGGCCGCCACAGGGCTCCGGGCACCATCACAGCCAAAGAGATATCGTGAACGGATTTTGAACTTCTGGCCGGTCGCCTTGTTGATGACACTCGTCAGGCAGCCCCCTGAGTCTTGCTCGAGGTCTTGAAAGCTGGTGTTGAAGAGACATATCACCCCGTGGGTAGTCGCGTAGCGGATGAGAATTGGCTCGAGCGACGACTGAGGGAGATCCAAAGACGCACAGGGACTCAAGTCTGCGACTTCTCCCTGTCGCGGGGCTTCAGCTTCTGTTGATGCACGCGCACTGAGGGACGCACCGATTTCGCCGGCCCAGCACCCCACGCGTGAATGCGTCCATACTCAACACCACTCATGGAATAGCACCAACGGATGGAATTGAGGCAGTCTCCGCGGTTTCCAAGCCGGAGACACTCGTCCTCCAGGTCAAGATCACGCATGCATTCTTGCCCCCGTTAACCGATGGCGCAGGTCTGCACAAGTGAGAGAAGTCCCTACCAAGACCCGCCATGTTCAGCAGATGCGCTCGGGGCGTGGCGGTTGTCCCTGGGGCCTCGGATATGAGCATCACTTTCACCCCTTGCGGTACGTAAATCAGCTTTTGCTTGCGTAAACGGGCACATCGCACTCAACACACCGTAATTCACGAGGAAGCAGGCCAGAGATGCCCCAGCTGGACCAGCCCCGACGATCAGGCAGTCTGTTTCGACGCCGGCATCAGAGATCGGAACGTTCCGTGACATAGTGGGGTTCGAAGTAGTTGCGACTACGTTGCCTTAAGAAGTGATTTAAGCTTGTTCCGAACCAGTAGACGACCGTCGTAGATATCCACAAGCAATGTAAAATATAGAAGCCGAAGATTCAATAGAAGAAAGGGGAGATGGGGTATTTGAATGGCGCTGATGAAGCCTTGTCTGAAGCAGGTAGCGATGACTCGGAACGCTCCTTTCTCCTCCGGGCGCAGAGCGGTCTATTTTGAGTCCCATACACCCCAATCTCACCCTCAACGTTAAGAGGAAATCATACGTCGGAGGCCTCAACGAGAAAAGGGAGACTAGACTGGGTCAATACCCTCAGCAAGGATACCGCTTTCTGACAGATGCCGTATGTAGTAGCACAGAACCAGATATTGTGCACAGTCACCATATAATGTCGGTGAGCTTGTTCGTGCCATTCGATGGTTCAGGCATCCGAGCGGGATTAGACGAGCGAATGGCTCTTGCTGTCGCTGACACGAATAGGAGCGAAATTGGGCCGGCCAGCAAAATAGAAAACACACCGACCTGACATTGCCTGATTCGGGTCACTTTCCAGCAGCGACGACGCTGCCTTAGGTCGCAGAGTCGTGAGCGGCAAGTAATGTGTCCTCAAGTGGGCTCTCAACTTGGAAGCCCAACTGGCACTCGGTCATAGAAAAGTACCAGTCCTTCTGGGGACCACTCGGCACCAAGAAAGTGGCAAAGGCGACGTTTCGCAGTGGTGGGACGTCCGGGGTGATTCTCCGATATTGCTGATCTGACGAGGCATGGATCCCACGCAGAGCCTTGCCCGCCACTGGAAACTTGGACGCATATGACTCTCTTGTCTTCTATGTCCGAGATACTGTGGTTCTCCCCAGCTTGCTGCTACAGAAGAAGAGCAGACCACCAGCCTCGTAGCTCGCCTGCACATCCCCGATAACTGTATCGCGATTTCGTGATGCTGAATGATTGCCACTCATCAGTACATGAACTCTGAACCTCTCGCCTGCTAGCTGCAATTTCCAACCGTCATTCAATCCTGGGTTGCGCCTGGCAAATCCAAATGCACAGATCGTCTCGTCGTCATATGTCCAATACCCGTTTTGTCAGATAGCAAACACCGCGCAATGCGATGAAGAGCACTTTTTGAAAGCTCACGGCAGAAAGCCCGGCCCTCACATGACACCGCCCATTGCCCCTATCACGGCTCCAGCTCCAGCGGCATACAGCATCCCCGGACACGCCGTCTGGCGTGGCCCATTGTTACCGATCTGAATAATCCCGTTGGTCCCAGCTATTGTAGTAGGTGTAACGCCCGAACCGCTGCCAAATACTGTGCACTGAGATACTTGTTGTAGGTTGGAACATCCCACCGAGCTCAACGAGCTGCAGATGCTGCTTGCAGCACTCAAAATGGTTCCAGACACCCCTTGCACCGTGATCCCGCCGCCGTTAATGCCTCCAACTGTCACGCCATTGGCACCAGCTAGGGAAGTGAAGCAAGCAGTCGAGGCAGCTTGACAGCTCGTGAACGCGCTAGAGCACTGGTCTGCGTTGGGGAAGGAGGTCGGGGCGTAGATAAAAGGGTAGTATGAGTTGGGTACCGTGGACCCACCACCGCCCACTCCAGTGATCGAAATGGCACCGCCAGTTGTTGTGGTTGTGCTCCCTAATGCGGCTCCCGTGGTTGATGAAGTCGCAATTGACCCAGTGAGAGTTCCCTCTATTGATCCCGTGCACGCCACACCCACCGAGCAGCAAGCGACTTGATCAGCCTGGTCCAATGTGCATGTCGTCCCCGAGGGACAGCATACGTTATTTGCTCCTAGGCCTGAGCAAGACTCGAGGCCAGCTTGACAACCTTGTCGCTTCACCAAAAGCGCATCTTCGGGGAGGCTGCCTAGAGGGTTGGAAAACGGCGAGTAGTCGTGGCTCGCACCACACGCGATGCGTAGGAAGGAGAGCAGAGCCCAAGATCGGACATGCATCTCGGGGGATGGGTTGACCTCGTAGGCAAGTTCAGAGGGTGGTTCACCGCCGAGGCATTTGCGGCCAGCGGGGATTCGGCAGACTGCGGTGGCCTCGTTCAGGTGACAGTTGGATGTGGTCTCAGAGTGGTTCTAGATCTGAATATGGTATTTCCCAGGAATAGCAAGGCTCGGGGAGAAGAGGGTAGTTTTACAATGCGATCAACGAGAGGCGCAGGGCTTGGTGGCTTTCTTGACCAGCGCAGCCGACTTCGTGGTAGCCCAGCAACGCGGCCACGACTTCGCTTTCGTCATCTCTTCACACATTTTGCGGCCTGGTTTTATTGCTCCTTCTGCCCTACACACTTCGACAGCACACCGTTGCGTATCTCCGCGATAAAGAGCATATGACTGAACTTAGACAGCGTCCAGAGACAGAGAGCTGACAAGGTAAGACCAATATTCGAAGCCCAAAATATCCGTCCTGCTGGTGAGATGAGCCAAACGTGAATTCTGCAATGCTGAAGGATCAAAACAATCTTCATGCTGAATTTCATACTTACTTGATCTGATTATGCCGCACATTCGACGAGCCTAGTCAACATCTGCTTTGAATTTACATGCTGATTTTGCGGTGTTAGGTTACTGGCAATTCAAGCCAGGAGTATTAGGATGTCCCTACCGCACAAGCACAGTTGACCTACAACAACCGCGACTTAATTCTGTTGTCTCCTCGGTAGACGCAGCATCACATACTACAAAAGCTAACTTCCTTCCTTTCCGGTTGATGGCATTCATTCTTTCTACAATTCCTCAAGACTTTAGCTTCTTAGCGGCCACAAAGCGGCCACATACACGGAGATCACACGTGGCACATGCCACTGCCCATCCCTTCGCTCCGGCTTGAGCTGTCCCAGGAAGCTGAAGTCAGGTACAATACGCGTATGCGCAAATCATTATGTGAGATGCTTCCACAGCAAGTTGAGAACCGGCAGACAAGAGCGCCCGCATGTCACAAGCCGTCCGTCCACAGACTGTACGTCCCGCATGAGCGGCGCTTGAATTTGTAGCAGTCTTGATGTTTGTGCTTGTGCTTGTCGGCTTACCATAAGTATGTGCCCATAACCCGCATCTATCCCTCTGGCAGTGACCAGGGCACGGGCACGTACATCGGGCCACGTGAAAAACACAGCTCTTCTGTAAGATCATCATTCTTCTGATTTCTCGCGTTGTTAAAGCTCTTCCTGTTTGACGAATACTCAGGCACGGAGCTGTGGCTTGGTTGATGTCCATGCCCTTATCCCGCGCACCGACCACCGCTCCTTATGAACATTAAAGTGCTGCAATCGACCTAGCTAGATTGGCACTACCAACCGCCATGGAGCAGTCAGTCATCAAGTTTCCAGGAGCAAAATTCGGGGTCTCTTCCAACAAGCATGACAATGATTCTCATCCCGCAAACTGCCTTCGATTCTTGACCCACAACCAGAGACGCGACGAAGCGGCGATCCTCCCAGCCAAGAACGTGAAGCACGAAGTAGCTACTGGGCAAAATTACACTGCCAGGTTCGAAACTTGACCTGTCAAGGACCCAGCCAGCACGCCCATGTACCACAAGGACTGCATGGACACAGAAGCGTCGATTCGTGCTCGACTGCCACTGGTTACACGGTAACCTCCTTCGCATCTGGTCTGCCCAGAATGGCGAAGTATTGTTACTCCGGAAGAACTTCGACCGACGACTGTAAGTTCCTCGCACCGTATGCAATTCAGGTGAAACTTACCCTTGTAGCTCGACCAGCCCGACTGACTCGATCAGGGATCATACCACCAACGGATGTCTGCGGACTCGCGTTTGTGATACCGTGTACTATCCTGTACTCTTCGCGGCATCCCATCCCTCCCATGATCACCCTAGTATCACAGCATCCGCTTTTGCCAGGGATCTGGTAAGCGCACATGCAATATCCCAATCTCTCGGTATACTCAGTACTTCTTGCGCGTCCATCCCTCGTTTTCTTCCATCGTGCATTCCGTTGTCAGATTGTCAAGTCTACGGACCGAACAATGGTCGCCACCTCGTCCGTTTCCCTGGACAGTACTCTCGATCCTTTACCTCCAGTCTTGCGGCACGGTTTGGTCACGGTCGCATTCTTCGGCATCTTGTCACTCATTTCCAGTGTCGCTCTCTTCACGTTCCTCACATATCGACTGTGTTTGTGGTACCATCAGGGTCAACTGCGAGATGGGGCCAATCAATTTCTGCTCCTCATCTATAATCTAGTTTTGGCGGATATTCAACAAGCGATGGCGTTCGCACTGACCTCAGTATATCTTTCGCAAGACAAGATCGTGGTTGGGACCACGACCTGCTGGGCGAACGGCTGGTTTGTGTCGACTGGCGACTTGGCGTCCGGAGTCTTCATCTTCGCCATTGCGTTGCATACATATCTCGCCGTGGTGAGCGGGCGCCGTCTCAGCAATAAGGTGCTCTACGGTGGAATCGCTTGCTCGTGGATATTCATCTACTTGATGGCTGTTATTGGCGTTGGCCTGGATCCCAAGCTCTACCAACGGGCTGGCGCGTGGGTTAGTATCAGTAGATCGTCTAATTCCTGCAAGACTGACGAGTGCGACAGTGCTGGATCAACAAAAAGCTCGACAGAGAACGATTGTGGCTCCACTACTTCTGGATTTTCATCTGCATGTTCGGTACCGTGCTCACATATATTCTCATATTTCTCTCCATCAGAGCGAAGTCTCGAGTTCGCCCCCATGTCGATTTCACGGATGACGACGGAAGTGATCCCGCCGTGATGAAACGAGCGGCGAAGTATATGATCATCTATCCCGTCGTCTACGTCGTCTGCACGCTGCCACTCGCAGGTGCAAGGATGGCAAGCATGACGGAATGACCATCCCGTACTGTAAGGTTGTTCCAGCTTGCTAAGAAGCTACTGTTGACTAACTATGCTAGGGTGGTTTTGCCTTGCCGGTGCTGCCATCACCTCCTGTGGGTGGCTTGACGTCCTTCTTTACGCTGTGACACGACATGTCCTCATATTCAGGCCGGGTCCGCCCCCACCCCAAGCCCTGGGCTTGGATACTTTTGGCTGGAAGGATGTCGGGGACAGCTTTGGGGGGATGCGAACGACTATTACCGGCCCATTGGGGGATCCAAACACCCGCAGACGTGGCAAGCGAGACTTTTCTGGGCGAAAGACACCACGCCCAATATCGCGGCAATCAGACGAAGCTCACTTTGCGGGCCAGCCTGAGGGGATCATCACAGCCAAAACCACGATTGAAGTGCGATCGGGCCCTATATTCAACTACGCTGACTCGGAAATCAGTCCTGTAGAGATGGAGGACAACTCGGATCGGACTCATTCTCATTCCCATATTAATGAGCGATGCATTGAAGGCGCGCAAATTGGGTTGGATAGCACATGAGGCCATGATGAAACGATAAGAGAGGAACATGTCAGAATCTGCACCGCTTTGTGTGAGTAATAAGAAGCTAGTACCCCGTACCGCTGTATACATGTGTGATGTTGCGTATGTGGGTGGATGAGGCGACTCTCGTTGAGTTTCGACGACAGGATTGCGTATCATTCTCGTGTCCGTAAAGCGGCAGCCGCCTCGGCACACGCCATTGCGGGTTGAACTCGGAGGGCAGGAGCAGCTGCGAGTACGTACCTACCCCAACTACTCCGTACTGAATGCTGCTCGGACTCACGGAAGAGGCTATCAACTCCATACCCTCCGTCCATAACACTCACTCCCTCCTCGCCCACATCTGTACGGTGTCAGGAAGAGCTTATCATTCCCACCATTCTTCCATCACAATGCTGTAGATACCACCCGCATCTTGCATCAGCGAGCACGGTTCCTTAATAGCTACCATCGACCCCTCAATCATGGATCGATATCCACGAGTGGCCCTGTCCGGGGTGACACGAAGCCTCAGGGCTTTGCGGAGCTCTCGAATGTATGCTACGACCTCTCAGCCCACTCTTCGAACCGCTCTCTTCTTCCCTGGTCATGGCGTCCAACGGAAAGGCATGACCAAAGAGTGGGTGGAAGCATTTCCGAAAACGTGCAAACCGTTCTTAGAGGAGATGGATGACATAGTCAAATGCAAGCTATCCACTTTGATTGAGGAAGGGCCTATTCTGCAGCTGGACAAGACGGAGAATGCCCAACCTGCGATCATGGCCGTGTCCATCATGATTCTGAGAGTACTCGAGCAGGACTTTGGTTTCAAGACCGAGGAAGTGATCGACGTCACACTGGGTCACAGCCTGGGTGAATATGCAGCCCTCGTAGCTGCGGGCAACCTGGAATATGCATATGCTCTTGATCTAGTCCGGAAACGCGGCGATGTCATGGGAGAATGCACCAGGAAAGCAAAAGAGGAAACAGGTGAAGAGTTCGGCATGATCGCTCTTGTCTGTGAGCCACAACAGTTGGAAGGGTTGATTGCAGCTGTCAAAGAATTCCTTGGCCATGGTGCAGAAGGCACAAAAGACGACTCCAGCGCACTTCCCGCAGTGGAGCAGGTTGCCATCGCCAATATCAACTCGAGAAATCAGATAGTCTTAAGCGGCAGCTTCCAGCGGATACGACATATGCTCGTGCATCTTCGCGAGTTTGGCGGGCACGATCCTCGAGCGGTCGAGTTGAAGTCACGTTCAGCATTCCACAGCCCGATCATGATGCCGGCGTACGAGTTCATGAAGAAGGCCTTGCATCCGGAAAAAGTGGTGTTCCCGGGACGAGTCCCCTGCATCAGCAATGTCACCGCAACGCCCTTCAGCTCGAAGGAGAATCTGATCAATAATCTCGCAAGGCAGGCCGTTGACACAGTGCTCTGGTGGGATTCCATCAAATACCTGGACAAGGAAGCCGGGTGCAAACGCTACCTGGGGGTCGGGCCAGGCAAGGTCGGGCGTAACCTCATAAGTAAATCGATTGACGGACCGGTCTGGTCCATCACGAAACCATCAGAGATTGAACAGACTCTGCGGGAACTGGAAGACAGCGCAAAGGAGCAAGTCAGATAATGTCAGCAGATGGCCGCGATGCGAGGCAGACCTGGGGAAGGCCGTGAATCCTCAGTAAGGGACTCATGATCGGTTGCTGCTCGCTGCGAACAGGCAATCACGACATTCTGCCGGCCAGAGACCTAAAGGCATGAAGCTGAGCCAAAGCCACTACAAGCGCCAATGCCCGCACAAGAAGAGAGCCTCTGAAGGTGGTCTAGTGGTGCCGATGGTCAGGGCAATTCACTATGGTCGACCCTATGATGAGAGAAATCGGTAGTCACACGATAAGCCGGAAATTCCGGGTTTATATTCCAAGCCGACAAAAAGTTGTTCAAAATCACCAAGACCCCTAATCTGGGGAGTTCAGGTCAAATCACTTCGGCGACGGCCCAAATCGACAAAGTGAGAGGCGGCTCCCCAGTTAGGCGAGAGAGTTCGAGTCCCAGGGTGTTCAGGGCATCATTTGATGTGACAAACTGGCATCGGGCCAGAAGGCATTCACCCTCGATAGAACTCTCACCTTCGATCCAACGAACTCGAACCGACCCGATCCGCAACAACATTCCGAGAAAATCGTTTGCCTACTTGACAAGTCAAATCGGTGTTCATCAGAGCACGAGATGAGGAGTAGACTGGGGTGGCCACCTCGAGTATAGCCTGATCAGAGAAGTAGCTGTGGTTACTTTTTGTTACTTCGGAGGGGGTTAGCTTTTCTTTTTGTGTAACTCCCGTGAAAGTTATATCAGTCAGGTTAAGCAGCCTAGACTAAGCAGAAGAGTGAATAGTACAGCTTAGATAACTACAGAGTCATTCCTAACTCTGAGTCTAGTATTGATCACCCGTTTCTAACTCTCTTTCCTTTCCTCTCTCCTCTCCTCCTTCAACTATAGCTAGGCGTCAGATAGTAGGAGTGTGTACGGAGTATACAAGGCCAGATATTCCCCGGGACACGTGGGTCTGGTGTTTAGCGAGTTAGCGGGGAATACAATCACATGTCAGATCTGTCACGACGTCAGTTTCTCCTTTCTCATCTCCCAGGCTCCCCATCTTCTGTCCTTGTTTCCTTTCCCGTCACATGGTTCCAGTCGCGGTCTCGCCTGTCCTCTCGTCTTTGACCCGTTCTCTGCTGGCGACAAACCCTCGCTTCCACTCCATCTCTAGCATGCCTTTTACCTGGCTTCAATGAGTGAATATCTTCCCTCGTTCATTGTGGAACCTGTCCTGCGCCAGGCACGGCGATTCTCTCGACTCAGCACCACCGCAGAAGATTCGCCCGGTTTCCTCCCTGCGGTACCCGATCTGCAGCGCTGGAGCCCCGCTCGGTTTTGGACTACATCACCCCCTCTTTCGCTGGAAGATCCTCTTGTCGAGCCGACGGCTGAGAACAGAGAGACCACGGTCCAGTCTATCACCAGAACCATCCAACTATGGGCTGCTCAACTCAACAGCTTCGACACCATTCCTTCTCCTCTTTTGGAGCCAATGGATGACCTGGAAAGAGAGCCGGCGCAACATACACTAAGAGACCAGCCGTCCACAACCGAATTTCCCGCCCTTGAACCTGAGCTGGAACCTCCTCCTCGACCTGTCCGGCTCGAAACCCTCCGCAACGACAGTGAAACCTCCCTAAATCCTGCCAACGAATTGTCCTATCAGTCCCGTGTCCATGAAGATAACTCAAGGCCTCATGCAACATCTGACCCCGTTGCCGCGCCCGACACGGATCCAACGAGACTAGGACTGGGGACAGGTGCACAGAATGGAGATAATGTCAGCGACCGGAGAAGAGACGGGTCAGGAACCCTGCCAGAAGATGACGGCATGGGAGCCCTCAGACAGAAGATCAGCTCTATATGGTCAGGGCCGGGCACTGCTGCGGAGAAGTCGAAACTCGTGCATGGCTTGATGATGGAACGGTACCAGAAAGGCCATGCTGGGAAACGGTCCCCTCTGAAAACACTCGAGTTGCCTCATCGCTTAGACTCCCCCACCTCGACAATCTCCACCCCCGGGCAGGAAATCAACTGGAGTCTCACTGAAAAGGACCTTCAGCCAACATACGCACCAGTCCACCCGGACGACATGAATGCGTCTGGAGAATTGGCCAAACCTGCGCTTGGCTGTGTCCATTACATACGCAATGTCAAGATGCAGTGCAGCAGTTGTGAAAGATGGTACACCTGTCGGCTCTGCCATGACGAGGCAGAGGACCATACTTTGCCCCGTCGAGAAACTAAATACATGCTTTGCATGCTTTGCCAAACCCCACAAGCGGTGGGTCAGGTGTGCAAGAAGTGTCAGGTCCCTGCCGCACATTACTACTGCCCCATCTGCAAGTTGTGGAACAACGACCCTGACAAGTCGGTCTATCACTGTGACGACTGCGGTATCTGTCGACTCGGCGAAGGTCTCGGGAAGGACTTTTTCCACTGCAAGACATGCGCCGCTTGCATGTCGATCGCGGCCGAAAGCACTCATAAATGCATTGAACGGAGCACCAAGAGCGATTGTCCCATCTGCGGTGAATACATGTTCACCTCAAATAAGCCCGTTGCATTCATGCGATGCGGCCACAGCATTCACGAAGCATGCTTTGCCGATTGGTGCAATACCAGCTACAAGTGCCCGATCTGCTCCAAGAGCATTGCAAACATGGAGAGTCAATTCCGACGGCTCGACAGACATATCGAAGAACAGCCCATGCCTGAGGAGTATCGTGACAATCGGGCGTACATATTCTGCAACGACTGCAACAGCCGCAGTGTGACGAGCTATCACTGGCTGGGGCTGAAATGTACCATCTGCGAATCTTACAATACGGCTCAGCTGGAGCTTCTGGGTGCAGAGGAAACGCCCCAACTTCAGGAACAGCAGCAGCAGGCTCAGCAAGCAGGAACATCTGAGGCAGCGCTTACGGCGAGCCAGAGCCATACACCTACAGGCGAATTGACCCAGCCCGTCGACATTGCTAGAGCCTTCAGCGAGGTGCAACCTCGTCCTGTGGAGTCGAGACCGACTTCAGGAACGCCATTGAGCAGATCGTCCTGGCTACTACCCACTTCGCCCACCGCTCGGTCGACTCGTTCCATGTCACCGGTCGTCGGCAGTTATTTCGGCACGGGGCCACGGTCATCTGGGACACCTGAAGCGCTACCGTCTCGACGTGGCACAACACCCTTGGACGACGACGATGATCTCGATTTCTGGGGTCGTCCAAACTCACCTCGCCGGGACGAGGCTGAAGGGGATGATTCCGAGTCCGGGTCCGAGTCCCAGAGTGACCCTGACGACCTGATGGAGGACGATGATGATGAAGAAGACGCTATGGATTTGATTGGGCATAGATGATGATTACTGGGAAAACGGGGCTGGGTGCATTTTCACACCTGCGATGGATCGGTCACGGTAGCAAGGCATGGCGTCGTGTTTCTCTGTCTATCGCAGGTCCTGTCCATGGCTTGCGCGTTACGCTGGGCAGCTGCTTGGAAAAATCGGCGTTTCAGCTATCTCTATATCCTTGTACTATTAAGTAGCTCTCGAGCACTTGTCTTCTGTGAGTGGCACGAAGACTTTTTACACCTGGCATGTGACGCCCCTGCGTTACAATCTATGCAGAAGGACCATCCGTGGCCTGAGGAAACCTGTGCCGTCTCGAGATGGAACCACGGCAACTGCCAGCGGTGACCGGTCATGGCCATCTACCACAGTAGTGCCCACCCCTGGATTTACCTCAGCTAAGTCCGGTATTGCCGATTTAGGGCTCACCCAGGATCCCCACCAAGCTCGTTCGGCCTTCGTCAGCTCCCTTGCAGGCCCTGCACTTTCCCCCCCAACAAGAGAAGCGACTTCTCCCCTCTGGGTGGTGCGTCGTGGGCCAGGTGGAGCGGTCTTCTTTGTCTATAGGTGCGGGGAACACATCCATCGCACTTGCGATTGACGGCACAGAAAAGCAGCCCTCCTCACAAGGGAGTTTAGTGACGACCATGGCCGTGGGTGGGGATGGGAATGCGAGCCGAATTTCCCACAATTTATCCAGAAATGAGCCGGCCTTTCTCGCCGTGTGGAGCGAGGTATATAACGGGAGCGTGTCCTCGAACTCTTGGAGATGCGGCAAACGCCCTGAGACCTGTACAGACCGACTCTGGAGCCCGTACTGCTGAACGTCCTGAGACCTGTACAGACCGAGATAGGCTTTTGACGCGACCCGAACCAGACGAGACAAACGCAAAAATGGGTGACGCTGGCATGCCTCGATCGCTCGCTGAGAGCTTGGAGAACACAAAGGTCACCTATGCCCAACTGGGAGCTTCTGGCCTGAGAGTGTCGATTCCCATTCTGGGCGCCATGTCGTTTGGTAAGCTTGTATCCTTTTACCCTATCTTCAGAGGCCGGCAGGAGTCTTGATCTGGTCCTCGCGTTGTGGTGGGGTAATATACGAGATAGTGGGCAGTCAGAGTGAAGGATTGCCCGGCGCTTCGCAGCCGACTAGGCATAACATTCCATCCTGTCACGACCGATCACTTGCCAATATAAGTCAATGTCCGTGACTAACACCCTTGAAAATAGGCCACAAGGACTGGCAACCCTGGGTTATCGATGATGAAGCCGAAGTGGACAAACTCCTCAAAGGCGCCTACGACCGCGGGCTCAACACCTGGGACACGGCCAACGTCTACTCGAACGGGGAGTCGGAACGCATGATTGGCCGGGTGATCAAGAAACACAACATCCCCCGCCATAAACTGGTGCTGCTCTCAAAATGTTTTGGCACCGTCGGCGAGGAGCCGGGCGTGGTCCACGTCAAGTACCCGGAGCAGATCCGCCAGAGCAAGGACTACGTCAACCAGGGCGGGTTGTCGAGGGCCGCCATCTTCAACGCCGTCGAGGCGAGTCTGGAGCGGTTGGGCACGAGTTACCTTGATCTCTTGCAAATCCATCGATTCGACAAGAGCGTGCCGGTCGAGGAGACGATGAAGGCGCTTCACGACCTCGTCCAGAGCGGGAAGGTCAGGTATATCGGTATGTCATCTCTGATCTCGCTATGACAGCCTTGCCCTCCTTCACGCCTCGACACAGGCATATGCATGCACTTGAGCTGACTCGTCGCGTCACAGGCGCCAGCTCCATGTGGGCCTACCAGTTCGCCAAACTGCAACAAGCCGCCGAGACGCACAACTGGACCAAGTTCATCTCCATGCAAAACCACTACTCGCTGTGCTACCGCGAAGAGGAGCGCGAGATGAACCCCTACTGCCACGAGACCGGCGTGGGCCTCATCCCCTGGGCACCGCTATACCGCGGGCTCTTGGCCCGTCCGCTCGGCAGCGACGCCACCGCGCGCGAGGAGTCCATGAAGGGCAACCCGATGTTCGGCGGCATGGATCCCACGGACAGGGAGATCATCCAGCGCGTGCAGGACCTCGCACAGAAGAAGGGCTGGAAGATGAGTCAGGTCGCGCTGGCGTGGATCATCCAGAAGGGCACGATCCCCATTGTCGGGTTCAGTAATCTCGCGAGGTTGGAGGAGGCCGTCGCGGTCCGGGGCAAGACGCTCACTCCCGAGGAGATGAAGAGCTTGGAGGAGCCGTATCAGCCGAAGGCTATCGTGGGGCATTCGTAGGGTGGACGAGATGTGGAATGCGCCGAGACTTCGAAGGCGGAAGTCTTGGTCGTAGACGCAGACACAGACACAGAGCGTTGTGGAAAACCAATACGACGTACCGTGTAGGTACAGTCCCAGACAAGATTCCAGACAAAAATATACAACGCTAACGTCCAACACACACCACAGTAATGCTACATAGCATAGCATAGCATAGCATAGTATAGTATGCTTAATGTTAACTACGGGGTCCGGAAGGATACAAGTGCTAGGGGCCAAGTGAGTCCTTCCATCAGTCCGTGATTATTTGCCTTGATACGATATGCTACGATACGATATGATGCAGAAATATTCCGTGGTGCTCATCCAGCATCGCACCAGCATACGGTAGGTACCTGTAGGAACGTATGTGAGCGTCCATGCATCCATGCATACGGTAGGTACCTGTAGGAACGTGTGTAGGCGTTCATGCATCCATGCATGCATGCAGTACCACCAGTACAGGTACTGTGTTCCGGTGGCGCAGCTGTAGAATTCTCATACGGGCAATACACCGCATGTACTCCGTACTTGTGCTTTCCTTCCCCGGTTCTCCTCGAACACAGTACGGAGTACAGTACTAGAATATGCGCCAGGATTCTCAGTGGCGGATTCGATGCCTCCAACAATCACAATCGCATACGAAAAACAGAATACGGCTGGGAGGAGAACGATCAACAATGCAGACTTTCTGATCTGTGATGAGATTCCCCTGGTCTGGTTTCATCATGTGGTTTATACATGATTAGACACCAAGACAGATCAGAGAAGATTGATGGATGACGGAGAAACTTGTGCAATCTGTAACCATCTAAATGATTATTTTTTTTATCTCTCGGTCTACTATCTATCCTTCTCCAGTGACCTCTTCCTCTGCTTGGCCTTCTTCTCGGCGTTCTGCACGTACGCCTCGGCAGCGATGCCACCAAACACCAAGCCGACACCTGCCCACTGACCGGGGCCCAATCGGTGCCCGAACCACAGCACGCTCAGCACCATCGTCAGCATCTTCCTCGTGACCGTGACGGTCACGAGAAGCAGGCTGGAGAACCGCTCGAGCGTGGCGTAGATGAACAATTGCCCGACGGCCCCGCACGCGCAAAAGGCAAGCACGTCCTTGACGACGGGCGGGTGGCGTCTCAAAAAGGCGACCGCCTGGCTCAGCTCGGTCGTGTCACTCTGCAGAAACTGCGGGAGGAGCGCGGATGGCACGTACGGCGTGGCAACAAGGTATGCCGCCATCAGCACCGTGCCCAGCAGGTTGAGGATGACCATCATCTGCGGCCCGCTCGTGCGGCCGTACCGGGTCGGCGACTGGAAGATGTGGTCCTGTACCGTGTTGGTCAGGCCGTCGAACAGGAGGTTGATACCCAGGAGGAGGAGGCCGTAGAGGCTGCTGCTGGACTGTCCCTTGGCCTTGCCGGCGCTGGGCTTCTTGGGCGGGTGGTACAGCGTGAAGAGGGCGACCCCCGCGGTCACGGCCAGCACGATCATGTATTTCGAGAGCGGGTAGCGTTTGCGGAACAGCGTCACGTGCAGCGCCATGACCGGCAGGAGCTTGCATGATTTGGCCAGCACAAAGGTCAGGTAGTCGACGTGCGCGAGGCTGGCGTAGCCGAAGGGGGAGGCCAGCGTGGTGGTCAACGTGACGAGGAGGAGGGGCAGGAGGGCTGCCCGCGAAGGGAGGATCTGGAATGATGTTGCGCCCGCCTTGTAGAGAAGATACACACTGCCGCTGACAAAGGCAAAGGACGACTGGATCGTGTTCAGCACGATCGGGAAGCGAAAATGTTCCTGCCCCGTCGTGAAAGGGTACGGCGTGGTGGTGATGCGTTCTTGCAGGACCCCCCAGGTCAGGAACGACGCGTAGATGCCGCCGACGCAGACGACGAGGGTGAGCAGGCCCGGCTGCTGCGGCGCGGAATGTCCTTGTGTGTGTGCTCGTGCTTGGGTAGGAGGGCGTGTGGCAGAAGGGGAGGCTAAGTGGCCGTTGCTGTTGCTGTACACGGCGCGCCGTTCGGGCGTATCGGAGGGAGTCTGCATGACCTCGCCCGAGTTGATGCGCTGCATGGGCGTGATCTGCTTGCGACGGGCCATGTTGATCCGGTAGGAGAGGGTTTAAATGAGCGACTAGAGTGAGATTGACAATCGGACTGTGTACTGTCTTGTGCACAGCACACGGTACGCGCAGGATGCGACCGGCGTGTGGTGATCTTGTGAGGTGGCCTCAATGCGTGAAGTGGGAGGCTGATGTCGGCGCCGGTTTGAGCTGAGCCTCGCGTCGCCTAAGCGAGCCCTTTATTTACCCTGCTTCATTCAGCCTTACAGAGCGCGTCCACTTACGGCGCGTCAGCCACATCACCTCGCAGTAAAAAAGGTCGAGGCGATATACATGATGGTCATGCATCTGCTTGAGGAGGCACACGCCTTGAACTTCCTAGAGCATAATATGATAGAGGGATGAAAATGAGGCAAAGCCCGGAGATCGGAAACATTAGTGTACAGACGGCTGGGAGACAAGACAGCACCGTCAAGAACCACAAGCCACTGTTCTCCCTCTCGTGCCTCTCTTCTACTGCCACCTATCCTTCTTTAGATATGATTCATAAGGGGTCTTGTATGATACACACAGGACGTGATCGCCCCCGGCCTGAAAAGCTCAGATAGATACATGATACCTGCTAAATGAGACAGCCGAAACCGACATATATGAACGTAGTCGAGTCTCACTACGATGCTTCGCCTTGCCTTGTCCCCCTTTGTACATTGGTGTGGCCTTGATGCATATACCCAAACATATCGTCCTTCACTTCAATGATGGTGATATCCGAACACATATCCTCCACATCGGCAACGGTGATATCCAAGATGCCATGCTCAACACAGTGACCTGCACTTCAGAGACGGTGATATCCAAACACAGCGGCCTTCGTATCATTGATGGTGATATCCAAACAAAGCGTCCAAACATAGCGTCCTTCAGATCAGCGCTGGTGATATCCAAGATACTACGCTCAACACAGTGTCCTCCGCATCAGTGATGCACAGTGATATGTCAACATCCACCTCAATAAGGATTCCACTCCAATCTCCTTTCCAACAAGTAAGACTCGACAGGCAGGCCCCTCCACACGCTTGACCCATTGACGACCTTGAAAAACTCGGGCTCGAAGCTCACCTTGGCCCACCCATTGATGACTTTTCTCCAATAACACACCTCGGCCGCCGGCGTGAGATACTGCTCGCGGAACGTCTTAACGCTGTTCGCGGCAATGCGCTCGGCGTCCTTATCATGCGTCTCCAACCAGGTGATCTTCTGCTCGAGATCGTCAAAACTGCGATCGACCTCGAGATAGTTCTGCTGGGGCCCACTAGAGCGCATGAGCGGGTGGTGATGCTGGATCCAGTCCATCGTGTGGGCGACGACCACGGACCGGCACGCCTGCAGGTACTTCAGACGGCCCGAGTACGAGTTGCCCTCCGTATGGGCGAGGTATTTGTACTGGCAATGCTGGGCCATGGATTTCAGGTCGTTCGTCATAGACTCCTTGTCGTGCCAGTCCAGGGCCTTGACGTCGGCCCAGGGTTTGTCGGCTGTGACTTGGATGAATTTTTCGCGTAATGGTAGACCCATGGTCGCGCCGCGCCACAGGATCTGGCGCACCTTCTTGGCCCACGTCCACCCGTCGTAAGCCTCGGTCAGGGCCGCCTTCATCTGCACCTCGCGCATCGAGCCGACCTTGGTCTCGGGCCACGACCAGTATCCAAAGTCCGGGATCAGCCAGATGTGCGTGTCTTCGGCGCGGCGGGCGTAGCCCCACAGGGGCACCGACGGGATGCGGTCGTCCGTATTGAGTGCGAACTCGATGTTCGGGAGTGGTTCGGGCGACGTGAGGATCGCGCGATGCAGGGCGTGCAGGGTGGCGATCTCGCGCGAGTAGATCCCGCCTGCCTTGTCGATGATGTATAACTATAGCCCGTCAGTAAACAGCACGCCACGGCGTGAGTATAATATACTTGTTGGTTGTAGATCATGGCCCGCACGTAGCCATTCTGCTTGGGTATGGAGTCAATCTCCGCGAAAGTGATGGGCGTATGCATCCGTGCGTCCACGGGCCGGTCCACCTCTTCAAACAGCCCGGGGAAGGCTTGGTCGCATTGTTGCGAGTCCAACATCAGATTCTCCGCGTCCCGCTGGTAGTCCCAGGTCCCGTCGAATCCCCTCTTCCGCCCGTATGCGCCATAGTCGCTGTGTAAAAGGGGAGCTGACGAGCCGTAGGCTGACCGGTACCACGCGACCAACGTAAATGTGAAAAGGACGGAAATGAGGAGGATCGAGGTGCGGCGATTGAGGGTAGCCAAGACTGGCTCGACGGTTCGCTCGTATAGGCCCCTTCTCGACGAGGGCATTTTAATCATTCTCGCCCGATATATATATATGCTCTGCTGCCAGCATGGCTGTACCGCCCGGTCCCAGGTCACGAAAGTGGATGGCTCGGACGTCGCAGCATTGTCGTCCTCGATCGTCGCCGATGGTGGAAACTCATCTCTGAATCGCAAATGCGCGACATGCTGCGGGCGCGGCGAGTTTGCGCCCAAGGAAGTTTCCAAGCAGGCTCAGGCCGCTTCAGGGGAACGCAGTCTAACTGAGCTGGTGCTAGCAGGGCTTTACTTAGTTTAGTTTCATTGGAGACTCCAGGGGTCCCGGAGTTGACGCCGCCCACGCCGCCCTACCTATTCATTCCTCACCAGGGAGATGCTGGCAAAGAGTGCAAGTTGTCCGGCTGACAGTGCTATAGATCACGAAACCCTCCTGCTCATACATTACGCCGTGCAAATGCCCATGCGGAGATGTTTACCTAGCCTGTATTTCTATCCACGAGTCTGTGGTTCATGCCGGCAATAGTGCTCCCCTGCCTTCTATCAATGCGCCGCACCAACAGCGCGGCTGCTAAGGGTTACTCACATTCAACTTCTCAGCACCAACAGAAGCTTGGTCCATTGCCCCCGAGCCTTCATTTTTGTTCACCCACCTGATGCCCACCTCGACGGGGACCCTCTTCAACCACTCCAGTCGGACACTCTCATCGCCGTCTCTATGCGCACGGACCATCTGGCTGACGGCGTCGAGGTCCGCCAAAGCCAACTGCACGGCCGGGACATGGACGCCTAGCTCTTCGACCCCAACGCTCATGGCCGCAGTATATTGCATCAGGGCGGTTGCCAGGTTTCCACGCATGACGTGTAAGCGGCCGAGGGTGCGCAGACAGCCGATGCGTGAGTGGGTTAGACCTGCTGTCCGAGATGTCGGGTCCTGGCTTGCGGTTGCGGTTGCTTTCTCGAGTGTCAGTGTGCGGCGGAGGGCTTCGGAGAGGAGGGCCTCGGTGTCGGTCGAGGCGTCGTTCAACGACAGGTGCGCTCTCGTCAGCTCGAGGAGGCCCGTGATGGGCATGATATGGTTGACGCCGTACATGGCTTCCCACATGGCGACAACCTCGGCCAGGATGTCGCGCGCCTTCTCCAATTGCCCGACCTGCCCGAGCACGCGGGCAAGGTAGTAATATTGCCCGGTGGTTTGGTACGAGTTAGGCTCGAAGAGAGATTCGTGCAGCTCATGGATTCTGCGCTGGATCAATTCGCGGAGGTACAGGCGTTGGGCGTCAGCCTCAGCCGTGGCCGGAAAAGTCAGGTGTAGAAGCTTCGTGATCGGGTGCGAGGGCCCCAGGGTTGTGTGAGATGCCGACGCGGCTACTCGTTTCACCTGGCTGCGTAGACGGCCTAGCGCGGTGTCAGAGCTGGCGCTGAGGCTAAGGTCCGCAAACAGCCAGCAGACTTGCGGGTGCTGCGATGTCAGCAACTCCGGGAGCTTGGGCAAAGCGCTGTCAAGGATCGAAGAGGCCGAGTCCACCTGCCCCAGTGCCAGGAGCCCGCCGGCTGTAGTGATGGATCCAGCGAAGCTTTCCATTCCGGAGATCTTGTCAAAGTAGGTGTTGCCTCTTTCGCGCAGTTGGGCGGACCATGATGACTCGAATTGGCCCCAGAAGAAGGCGCTTGTTCGTAGAAGGGTCTGCTCGATTTGTGAGTCCTCCTTCGTCAATGACATGAGCCGGGGTGAAGGTGGCATACCGAGCCGCCATGAGACGTGCGAGTCGGAGGTCGCGCTACTCGTGGCTTTTCGCCTTTTCGAGACGTTGGCTTGCAGGGTGAAGGTCGTCGGTGGTGGCGGCGTAGATTTGCGCGTATGTGGCGGCGAGTCGGATCGGGCTTCGCTCAAGGCTTGCTTGAGTTCTGCTCGAGCTGTGCGACCGCTGAAGTAGCCCTGCCTGTTGTCCTCGGTGTCCCGTCCAGGGGTCGAGGCAAGCACCTGTAATGTATGTTGTTCTTCTTCCTCAACCGAGTGGTTGACCAAATCCCAGATGGCAAGTTTTCGTGTTGGGGCTACGTCTTCGCTGATCGATGCTGAGGCGGCCGCCGAAGGCGAATCAGGGTGGCCAGGCTGAGGAATGACAACCTGCTCATGGATAACCAATGACGGAGCCGGTGCAAATTCTGCCGCAGCAGGAGGGTAGTGCACATGAGGACTTATCGCCTGTTCTGCGTGAGCACTCGGAGGATGTCCGTCCGCATCATAAGTCCTTGGTAAAGGATGAATAGCTCTAGAAGGCTTTGCAGAACTTCTTTGGCCAGGTTTGGGAGACGAGCTCGACTGAGCTCTAGCGCAATTCTCAGCTTTCACCCCGGAATTTTGCCCCGCATGTCGCCGGATCTGTGTGATGTTCTTCCTGCTCCGTGGGTTGCCCGTTATCCAGGTGAAGGACTTTGGTGTTGCCCCGTCCTCCCTGGGAGGCATTTGTCGCTAACACCTCGAGAGCGCTACAAGCACACATCCGATCGGTCTTTGGGCTTCCTTGAGAAGCGGGTTTGATGGAAAGAAAAGTAGAAGAGAAGTCAGACTCGCTTCCACAGCAAGGCTCTGAGCAAGAAGCGCGCTTTTTGTTGAGGTGGTCGGTCCGACGTCAAAATGGTTTCTTTGCCGTAGACCTGAAAAAGTAAACCAAGACTGGCTCGAAAACCATACTCGGAGTGGCTGCGTCGGAGACAGTCCATCGTGGAGACTTCCACGCCGACATCAGACCAGGAAGGTCGAGAGAAACAAGCCTAGTGTCGAGCCCATAAGCCGGCAAGTTGGTGAGCGGCCGGATTGAGCTTGGACTCGGACCATCCTGCTGAATAATTTGTTACTAACTTGTCCACACTCACCCTGGACGCGTCCCAGCCTGTCCTTCGTACTGCCGTGCCATTGCCCTGTAGGAATTTTTACGTACAGTAGTGAACTTCGTGTCTCCATCTCGATTACAAGGAAAGGCCCCGGAAGGCGTAGGCCTGCGTCCGTCAGTTAGTTTTCGTGGATCAGGCCACTGGCTTAGGGACGTGGTTAGCATAAGCTTCCCTTTTTCGGAAGTCTGACGAGGCTGCGGGTCTCGACTCGGCGCTGGAAACGACCAGTCCAGTCGGAGGACTTTGGAGCACCTACCGAAATAGTCAAGGCCTCTGCAAGCGAAGGATCCTGACTAGTGGTAAGTTGGAGTCAAAGTCCCCACCTCCTCGACAGAGCACCTGCCCGTTTCGACAGCAGGCCATGCTGCATACTGGTTGTGTACACTGTACGAGTACGTGCCTTGGGAACTCCACATCATTCGCGAGAACCGACAGCATTGAGATTTTCAAGCACTCATGTAAGAAGCGGTGTGGGGACAGAGGAAAACAACAGCAGGCCGGTTAAGATACCCCGCTGCCACTTGAGGCCACTTGTACCCGTGCACTTTGTTCTGCGGAATCTTCTCTGTCCGGACTAGTAAGCACGAGTCGTAGCCATGGAAGAGGCTTCGGGATACGCAGTAGGCCTGTCGGCGCCGAATCACCTCGATGCTGGACGATCCTGCGTCTGACAAGGCTGTCACAGGCATCTACGCTCGGACCTCGTTTGCGAGGGCCAGCGCTCATCCGCCTCAATAACAACTTTGCGCCTTCCGGAGTCAGAAGTGTTCATGCAAAGTCTCGTAAAAAGTACCTGCATTTTCGCCTTCTTGCACTCCCTCACTCAGAGAGAGGCGACAGTGGCTAATTGATTGTACTGTGTGCAGTAGCCTTGACTGCTCCTTGCATCGCTTGGTAATCGGGCGGTAAAATTGCGGCGACCGTCAAAACTCGAAGGAGCCGTCAGACGGGTTTCGCCAAAAAAAAAATCTGTGCGCCGCATACAGTCTGACCATGGCAGGGGGGAAAAGAGACTGGGTCTAGTCGGCGGAAAGCATAATGTGCACCCTGGAACGGACAACTGCGGGTAGCGTCAAGCTTTGGCCGGTCGGTAAGAAAGTAGCCTAATGCAGCAGTCGTCCACCTCGCCAAGAGGAAGATCACACCAAGGTACGAGATACTGGTATGCGGTGGAAGAAGACGCCGAGTGGTCGGAAGGAGCTACTACTGTGTAGAAACAGAATATGCAGCGTGGTACGCTGAGCTTGAGTCATGTTTAGATTCTGCACAAGCCATTTCCCATGCCGCCGATATCTCGGACTCGATACTGGGAGGGAGCTCACAAAAACCTGAGGTGGAAAGTGCTCTGGCATCAAGGGACGCTGACGCTATCATTTGGCATGCCGGAAGCCGAGCTCCCTCTCCGCGAGCCGTCCGGAACAGCTGCCCTAGTCTTTGCTTAGCAGAGGCTTCAGAAGCCGCAGGATGTGCATAGCTTGGTATGAACGGATCTGGATTCTTCACGGAAATGGCGCATGCTTATTGGGTCCTGTAGCTTGAGAAGGATCACATGTACTGATACTGTATCCGCTGTCATAGGAAAATGAGGAAGAGTCACAAAATAAAATTCTTGAAGCAACCCAAGATTCAGTTCTGGGTGAGTTCAGGGTGAACAACTGGTAAGGCGAGACTGGAGCCCAGGTCATTGGCTCAGATGGGGAAAGTTACCCGATGCCATGGACACCAGCCATTTCCACCACTTCGACTTCCTATCTTACCATGCACGTTCCAAGATTCCGTGAGAGACTCTCCCGCCTCGCCCAACCTCGGGATCCTCTTGTGTTCCTCTTGCGCCTGATGCTATCAGGGAGCAACGATGCCGGGCAGTCATGGACCGATTCCCACAAGACTACGTCGGTCATAACCTGCCACTGTTGCTTCTTTCCGGACTGAACACGAGGAGCCCGATCGAGCCAGACGTGTCAAGAAATACATATGACTTCTTGCATGAAGGCGGATTCAGGATCAAGGTCGACGCTCCCGTTGTGGGTGGGTCTCTGGCAGAACAAGTCCTCCAATCCTTCTGCGACCAGGATGCCTCGGACGTTCCATGGCACTCCCAAGCTTTTGCCTTACGGAATGCCAAAGTCTTCAAGATTGCGACTGTTGGACGGGTAGGTCAGCGCACCCTCAAGCTCCCCGCCTGGCCAAAGACTGAAGCGCTGACAAAACGTGTAGGTCTTCACTTTTCCGCCTCGCAAAGCACCGCCTCCTCCCCATTCCCCTCGCTTGTCGGCCGTTGATGCAAACGGAAGTCCACCGCCCCCGTTGGTGTTACACTCTCCTTTGTCACCATTGACGCCTAGCTCACCGTTGTACCCTGACGGCATCGTATCGCCTTTATGGATCACCAAACACCAGACACGACTACCCTGCGCTTTTCTGAGCTTCTTCACACTCGGGTCCGACCCGAACACGAGTCCCCTTCAGGACAACAGGTTGAAGTCAGAGATCAACAATGTACGGAATGTGCTGTCTTCGACAAGTTACAAGACCAAGCATGTCGTGGTGCTATTAGGGGATGGCAATATCAGCGTCCCCGAACTTGAGGATCGTCTCGCCACCATCCGACGTGCGACTGCCCTCGACTCCAGAAGCCTCTATTTTCTTGCTCATAATTCTTCGTCCGCCCAGGTCGTGGCATTTGTCATTAACGTCCTTTCAGCACTTCATCCACTGTGTATAGAATACTACCGCGATCTGTCTAAACACGCTCGGCGCAAGCGCAATCGAAGCGCAATTCCTCAGCCCACAGTCCAACCAGGGACCTCCAACATATTGTCTTTACAAGGTTGGAATGTCCGATATGAATTCAAACTTGGCGTATTTGCCGAGTTCCGGCAAGAAATGGACGCCGCTTGTCGAAACTACGAGACTGCGTATGATAGTTTGTTCGCTCCTGAGATTATAGATGGCATTCCTGCATGGAGCCCGCGCTTCAACGAAGCCAGGTTGTTAGCCGATATCATAGCGTTTCGCACGCTCCGCTGTCTACTGTGGACAGACCAGGGGACAACAGCGGTCAGATCTTGGATCACTCATCGTGATCGGACAGCTGATTTGGTCAACCGGAGAGGTAAGGGAACAGCCAACTACGGATGGGAGGCGTGGCAATTCGCCTGGGCGAAGATCATGGCGGACCTCCTATCTAGGTCAAAGTATCCTCTCTTGAATGTCAAGATTCCAAATACGCCTGGACTGCTTCCGATCTACGTCAGTGCAAAGAGGCTACTACCTGCGGACGAGAGGTCGAATCCGTGGGAACAGTTACATCACCAGGGATATTGGCTTGAGATCGCAAAGAACTCTATTCTGGCTCGCCGAAAATGGGCATTACAAATTCCAGAGGAAGACCGCCAGCCACCGGGTCGCTCCCCCGCGTCCATTGTTGCTAGCAAGGCCCAGCTTTACGACACATACCTTGCTCTCGAGCCATATCGTGAGGTGCCGGGTGATGGCAGTCCGGGGCACGATTATGCCAAAGAAATTACGACGACGCTGGAAAACGCTATTGCCTGTTTTCGGCATCGAGGCCAACTTCGCAAGACTGATATACTCGGACTTCAAATTGCCTTTCAGCAGATTGAAATCCATTCATGGGCAGCAGCCGCATCAACGTTGCAAGAGCTGTGGTTTAGCCAGCACTGGAGAAAGGCAGGATGGTGGAAGCTTCTTCAAGGGCTTGGCTGGGCGCTTCTTGATACCCTGACTCGCGTGCAGAACGGTGAGTTGTTAGTCCGGCTGCTATGGGAATTAACGAATGAGGTCTTTGACCGCAAGCCGAACACAAACTATGATCTACGGCAAGCACTGGCGCCTTACAGCCTGGAAAATGGCAGCTTGTCTATTGCGGTAGACGTTGATGAAGCTTTGTCACCATTGACAGCCACATTCACTTTTTCAACCCACGATGTGTTCGTTGGGGAGGCACTGGACTGCCAGTTGGCTATACAGTCTCGAGCGCAGAGCGGACTTCCTGCGATCCGCCTCTCTGAGGTTAAAGTCATTTTCGAAGGCAGTCTGAAATCCATCTACCTGACCGCCGAAGATGGCGAGGACGGTGAGGTCGAGAGCAGCGCCTCGACTGCTCACTTCGTGAACGTCGGCTTGGACGAAACTTCATCAATGTCGTTTTCCGGGACCAAAAGGTCATCTACCATTGCAATCGCTCTCCTAGCAGGCAATGCTAATCTGTCCATTCCGTCGAGCCATACAAAGATTTTCAAAATACGTGTCATCCCACGAGAGCCAGGAGACGCGACCGTTGCTTCCATCACACTTATACTCCACGACGAGAAATTCAGTCTTGCTGCCACGTGCTCCAACTTCTCCCACACTGTTGCGCAGTGGTGGGAGACAAAAGAAGGTATGCCAATTCCTCGAACTTTAGGACACGAGTCGAATGGGTTCAACACAATCCACATACAGCCCAAACCACCCAAACTGAAGCTGGAAGCGCCTGGTTTGAGAAGGTCCTATTACACTAATGAGTCCATCACAATCGACTTTGACATCACCAATGAAGAGGCCGAGGATGTGTTGGTTGTGCTCGAGGCGCGGCTGATCGGCCCCATTGAAGGAGCGACGCGAATCAGCTGGACTGGAGACGGTGCAGATACTGCTCCAGCAACACGTTCAGCACTGGGGATCCTCACATTGCCATCTCGCGAAATGGGCACAATCTTGTCTTCTGACAAAGCGTCCGCCTCCATACGTATCATGGGAATCACCATCGCAGTCGACCACGAAGTTGAACTTACGGCCACTTACCGTCTAGTTTCCGAGCAGGAAACAACCGTCGCTAAGGCGATCACGGTTGACGTTGGAGTAGTTCGTCCTTTTGAAGCCAACTACGACTTCACTCCGCGCTTAGACATAGATTCTTGGCCAAATTTCTTCGATGCGCCCCAACCAAGCTCGGAGACTGCCACCCCAGCGGGCCTGAGACATTTGTACTCAGTAGCAGCTAGCCTCTATTCTTTTGCGGCAGAACGTCTCGTGATCGAAGCAATTCTCCTGAAAGCCACCAAAGTTGTGGGAGGGGCAGTTTGTTCTTCGGGTACTGGTATAATTCGATCAAAAGAAGAATCAGGCGCTGCAGGGGGAGCCGCAGAGCAAACTGGCAGGGAGATCATATCGACGGTGATCCTGCCTGACCATACCGAGATATTCGACTTTGACCTCACTTTACAGAAAATGGTCCTTGGAGATCGACATACCGTTGCCGTCGATTTGGAACTGGAGATCGCTTGGCGTAGAGAAGATTCGGAAGAAGTCAATACCACAGTGCTCGAAGCAGCTCGTCATGTCGCACCAATGGCCGAACCCAGGGTTATACTGACTGCTTCAGCACCCGGCCCGGGAGCGATCAACGCGGGAGCATACAAGTTGTCTTTCACCGTTGAGAATTCGAGCATGCACTTCCTCACCTTCAACGCGTCCATGGAGGCAAGCGAAGACTTTGCGTTTAGTGGTCCAAAAGCGTGCGCAATAAATTTGGCTCCCCTCAGCAAGCAGACGTTGGCCTACCGAATCTTACCAAACAAGAAGAACGAATGGATTGGTGTGCATCTGAACGTGGTTGATGCGTACTTTGGACAAACACTAAAAGTATTGCCCGGTGGGAAACGTGTCAAAGTCGACAAGCAAGGCAATCTGCTAGTTAAAGTCTGAAGGGGCTACAATGTAGCTACTGTGACTATGATGGGAAGACGCAAGGTGACGCCTTCAGTTGAAATACATCCGGCAATTCAGTCGGCAAAGACCTCGTGCAGAAGCGGCTCGAGGATGGTTGTCACACCGGCCGGACTGCTGCAGATCGCTAAACACCCCAAGGAACTAGTGGTTGGCACCCAATCCAGCAAGAATCATGGAAGAACATCTTGCACCCTTCCTTGCAGAGTCATCTAAGGACCAACGTGGAGAAATGCGGTGGATTGAAGCATGACAATGCCGTTTATTCAGCCTCGTTGATCCCGGTCACAATGCTGTTGCAAGTAAGAAAAGTCCCCCTCAAGGATGGTCGAGAGCTTTCACCACGGGAGTATCGACAAGCATTGCATGTGCGATACGATGAGAAGCTGCCGATTTGCAGCCTGCATCTTCCCCTTCTTCTGAACCAATCCAAGGCTACCGCTGATCCGGGGCACGGGGGACGAGAATCTGCGCACAAAACCTTCGCGAAAGAGCCCTAGGTACAGCCTCCGCTAGTAGCTTGAAAGCGAACAGTGGAGGTCAGTGCACCAGAGAGCCTCAGAAGAACGATATCTGAGCTAGGTACTGAGACTGCATGGAGAGCTCTGCACGCTTTCCCGGCCCCCTCCACCCTCTTCGTGATCTGCAGGATCCTGCTTACGTACTAGTCGAGCTTTCTAAGCAAGAAGCCCCGGCATTTGCAACCCGAGCAACAGTCATCTGGACTGTGTACAGTACCACAGAACAGCTGTGACCTGAGTACGATGACAATTTCCAAACATGCTATGGAGTACGCTCGATCTTGTCTGTGTTGCATCCACATCCGAGAGAAATTTCCCTTCCAGACGTTGCCCGTACACATGGTGGCCAGGCTCCAGGATTGGAACAGCGCAGCATTGATCCGGCTAGATGCGCTGGCCGAGCCGCAGCCCATGTGCTCTTTGAGTACACGATATGGTGAACTCTCGCGGAATCTGCCCGGCGCTAGATGGCCCCATTCGTCAGAGGATAACCAAATACCTGGCAATACGGAGTACTGTGTACACAGCAGTCACAAACCCAGTTTCGGATTCAGCCCTATTCCGTCCCTATTGTGCAACCCCATTTCGCTCGGCCGTGTCCACTCCGTATCGATTCTGCAAGCATCGGATGACGGCAAACACCCACGCTGCCTTCCTTGATGAAAATAGGCCCCTGCAGTGGCTCGGCCGGTACACTATCCCCAATACTGCAGGTGCTACATTTGGGTGGGACTATCAAAAGACACTTAGGCAGGAATCGTACGTACCAATTTGACGATAGGTGTGATATTAATTCTTGACCCAAGCTCTAAGCCAAGATCACTCAAACAAACAGATCATATGAACATGATACCGCATGAGGCTCTTTGTATAGCTATAGATCGTTTTCCTGGTCTTGGAGGGTGAGAGCCCCTGCTGGGACCGTCTTTGTTTGTAAGTACCTTGGCCCAGTCCGAGCTCCGATCAGCAGGCTTGATGCTTCAGCACTGGCACGCGATGGAGACCACGTCCTTCTTGAACAGAGGCGAGAGGTACCGTCAATGGACTCCGGTGTCCCGGAACAGTATGCAGAGCTGACCTTGATATGCAGGATAACAACTGATCCAGGCTCAGCAACAAAAGTAACCAATGGTGAGAATACTTCAGCCCGCGGACACAAGATCTCATACACGGCCATATTGCTGTTCGTGACGATTATTGCCCTGTCTGTCCTGACGGCGATTGTCTTGCATATCTCTAACGGTGACGATATCTCATCATGGCCCGTTCAACCGTCTGTGTATCTGTCTCTGATAGCTGCTGCCTTGGGTCCGGCGGTCGCTTACATACATGGGCAAGGTGTTCAGGTCGACTTTTGGCTGTTCTGTATCAGAGGCGGGTCAATGTCCCAGATCGATGACCGGTGGCAGGTGGGGGGAGATATCGTCGCAGCCGTACTGCTCTCCTTGCGACACCGAAGGATCAGCCGCATAGTCGTGGCTTGTGTAGCTGTGACAGCCATGGCTGTACAGGGCACCTTTCTGCAGAAGGCCAGCCGGGCAGTCCCCACACAGCGCCAGCAAACAGCCACGAGCCACTTGAATATCGCGCCTGAACTTCCCAGCGAGTTCACCAGCACCTTTACCGGCCGCGTCACCGATTCCGCCGTCCTGAACCCTACATTTGCCTCCGTCCTGCAGCAATTCCAGGCACGCTCGACAATGACTGTCAACTCGACTTGTGCTGGCTCCTGCTCTGGAGCAGTTGCTGCAGCAGGTCTGGTCGCCACCTGTTCGATGTCGCCATACAACTGGACATTCGCTAAAGATTTCTATGACGACTACCCAGCAGCACAGTTCAACGCATTCAATATCTCCTTTGGACTGTCACACGACACTGTCCCTGGCAGCAACGGCAACCCCACCTATGTACCTAACAGTTATTATCAAGTATGGCGTAACAGCCGTCTGACTGTGGATTTCCACGTCAAAGATGGCCGACCAGCCACAATGGTTGAAGACACTCCCGTCACGGTAGGGTTTCATCGCCGATGTGTTCTTCGACCAGCCACCGTTTTCTACCCCGTTGTCATCAGCAACTCCACGATCAAGTTGCAAGGACAGATGCTCGAGGATGAAGTCTTGGAATTCTTGGATATTTACGAGCCAGCCATTTATGGGTCAGGTAGCGGCACCACTTGGCTGGGCTATGCGTCAACCGTGGCAGAGCTTTACGCAACGTATGTCAACGTCAGCTATGCCGGGGCCGCCGGATACACTTACACCCGGTCCGGCTTGTTTGGCACGGCCTATCTGAAGACCCTCGGAGATGTAGTATCTCCGAGGGCCATGATCGACGTGGCGTTCCATGATCCAACCGAAGACGTCCTCAGCGGGATGCGGGAACTGGCTTTCCGCATGGCCCTCGCTGCGGCCCAAGACCCTGCCTCCGGCAGATGGGTGGGCAAGAACAAACCGCCCGGGACCAACACGAACACCAGCAGTCCGAACTATGGAGATTACAACGCGAGTCTTGCCAGTGTCCTGCCTTTCAATATCTCCACTGCGACCGTCGAAACGCGCAACCTCACAGTTTACCAGACCGACTGGGTCTACGGAAGCCTTGGTATTGCTTGGACATTCGGAATGCTCCTCCTCATCACGCCCATCTTCTACGGCTTCTGGCTGCTTGAGAGGCGTGTCTCGCTCAGTCCCTTGGAGACGGCCAAGGCGTTCCGCTCGCCGTTGCTGGACGATGTCAATCCGCGAGCTGATCTGGATATGATCCGTGCGCAAGCTGGTGCCATTCGAGTAAGATACGAGTGGTCAAGACTGGAGGTGGTTGGCTAAGTTGCACGTGTGCACTGTGGCAGATCCTGGCCGCGATAATAAACTCCGCAACTTCTCCTACGCCCGTTGATCCGAGCCGCAAGGGTGAGACCAAAGATCGTCCATGGCGTAATGATCATGACCCGTGTCGCGTACGAGTACGAGCATACACACGGTGTATAGGTGGTCAACGATTTACAGCTGGGCCACATCAGCAAGCTGGAGGAAGGCTTACAAAGTTCAAGAACGGACCCAGCCCAGTTGGTCAAGTATATAGTCCAGATTGGGAATTCCGAGGTCCAACTACGAACTTCGTACAGCGCGACGACTGCGGTGTCAGCTTTTAGTGTATATATCTTGAATGTGGTAAGCTTATACATAGTGGGACCTCATCCCGCAGTGTTCGCTCATTCCCCACCACTATTATATGGCGGGTCGGACCTTTTGTTGTGCGACGCCCTGTCCGCGTACAGATGTATCCACCTCGGCATTGTGCCCCTTGAAGCGGTTGGAAGAAGCTTTTCTGATGTCTGAAGGCGGATCAACGACAACGTCATCTTTCCGTGCGACACCAGGCTGGAAATGGCAGCGGCGAGTTCGGGAAGTCCACGTGTGCCCGCAGCTGGGATTGCCGACTTTGCTGCTCCTCCACAATAGGCGCGGCGATTCTGCGGATAGAGGAGGCCATTACCCGTTCGTTGCATTGTAGGGAGCAAGGAACGGACGGGGTATAGAAGGTATAAGAAGGTCGCGCAGATCGTGTCGAATGCTCTGGGCGCTGCAGCAATTCCCCTTGATCTTGTCTCGATCTTCCTTTCTCGGCCGGCTCGTCAACCTGAGTCTCAGCACCCGCAGAGCTCGGGCCGATCCATACTGCAAGGACGAGAAGCAGACGCATTTCCAGCCAACCATGACTATCTTACCATTTCTCTGCACTCTCGCTTTGATCGCCGCCCCCGCAGCCGCCCTGCCCGCCAATGCCAAAACGAGCCCAGCTAGGATCAGCCCGCTACTGGACAAACGCGATACCCTTACCGTCGAACTCTGGCAGAACCCCGACTGCACGGGCAACCTCAACGTCGTCAAAGTGGGCAACGTTGGCGAATGCCATGCCGAGGCCGAGTTCAGTGCCGTTTCCACATTCAACGTCGCGCAGAGCTTTTTCAACAGGGGCTTGAAGGTCATTGCGAGCCAGAGTGGAAGCTGCTGCAACGATGGTGGGATTTTGTAGGTTTTGCCTTTCCGGTGGTTTAAAGCTTCCCACGTCGGTCAATTAATGGTAACTAATCGTTACTGCAGCTTTAGGGTCAGTTGTAGCTTGACGAATAATCCGAATTGCTGCAGGGCGGATGGGTCGAATAGTTTCGAGGTCGCGACGTCTTGCTAGTGCAAGGCCCAAAAGAGTGTTGGTCGTTGGGGTAACTAGGAGCTCTGTCGAGGCGTGTTTTATACTGTGTATGCGAGCTTCAGAGTGCAGTGGACGAAGAGGGGATTCACCATCCACCGTTCTGGGTCATTCAAGCAGGGGTCCTAAGAGATAGTCCCAAGCACACAGTAGAGCGAATAAAGCGGCACGAATCGAGGCATCGGGAACTGAGGCACGGACGGAGCATCACACGGAACATTTGTTAGATACAGCCATCTATGGCGAGATTCAGCGATAAGAATTGCAACCCTCGCTCCACAAGTTCATGAACACGCAGAAAGTAGGCGGACGACTTTTGTCTATGGTCCTCCGTAGACGCTGGGGTACTACGGGCGAGCAAAAGCATGCTGCACGCAAGCAGTCGTCATTATCGATTCGACTGCCGTGGACTGCCAAGGACATGCCCGCATACTACTCCGTACTGCCGAGTAGTTCCTTTCCGACCTGCTTTGCTGGCATTTTCTCTTCCTAATGCTTTCTCCCTGATAGACGTCAAAGAGAGCCATATTGCAAGATGGAGAAAATACAAAACGTCTTTGCAGGCCTCACCGGGCGAGAGAAAACCGGGTTCCTCGACACTTCCCAGCAGTCCCTCTACAGTAAGTCTCGAGAAAACGTTGCCAAACTTAGCACCACTGATGCGATGGGACAGTTGCCGCAGCGGCAATCGCGTTCAATCCCATTTTCTGGAAGTGAGTCTCTTGGCATTCGTATTCAGAGCCTCTCGATTCATACTAACTTTTGTAGCATCGTGGCTCGACGAGGCAAGAACTACGACGACGACGACGAATGACGCGCTTGTGCTAACGGAGACAGAGCACAAAACTCACTTTTTAACCAGAGCATTTGGGTCGCCTTACTACGGCTGCTACGCATTGGCACTCACCATCTTCAGCATTGGCGTGATTCGGGACTCGCTCTACAAGTCTGCATTGGAAGACCAGCCATTCTACCAGCCGTTGCACCAACCAGCATTAGGTGCCGTCTTGTTCCTAAGTGGCAATGTCCTGGTGTTGACGAGTATGTGGGCCTTGGGCGTCACTGGCACGTACCTGGGCGACTACTTCGGCATCCTCATGGATGAGAAGGTAGAGGGGTTCCCTTTCAATGTCACAGGCGCACCCATGTACTGGGGCAGCACCCTCTCCTTCTTGGGGACTGCCTTGTGGTATGGTCGTGTTGCTGGGCTGATTCTCACATTGGAGGTGTTTGTGATGTACCTCGGTGCACTGCAATTTGAAGAGTAAGTGTCTCGCCCTCAGTCCGTACAACTGCTGACTCGACTCAGCCCATTCACGGCCGAGATCTACGCGCAGAAGGAGGCGAGGCCGGTAACTCGCTCCCTGACCAAGCAGAAGGATCGCAAGAAGGCGTGAAGAATGATGGGTGGTATGGGGTAGGCGATATGCTGACTGCGCAGAGCAGACACAATGGAAGCCCCGGCGCGTGGGAGCAATCGTATTGCTATGCTCAGGCACGGCTTCCGATGGAGAAAAGCGATAAATTTCGGGATTGCGTCATGGGCCGCTGATCACCCGTGATGGCAGGTATGCCGCGGCAGGGGTGTGATAGACATGTCGTGATTGGCTACGTTGGGCGTGTGCGCCATCGGAGGAGGAGTGAGAGCGAGGTGGAAGCAACCCTGCGGCTCTCCTCGACTCAAGTCACCCTTCTATGAGTAGAGCATTAGAATTCACTCGCTACGATGAGTGTGAAGAGACTTTGAATCTGCTTCTCACACCTCAGTTTTGGTCTTCGCTCGCCATCTTGTCCACCGCGTCGCGCCCTGATCCTGCCTCTACACCCATCCTGTCCCGTCAGCCCGTCCCTGGACAATCTCAACGTCCACCATGCCTCCCCAGCATGTCGAGATCGCAGAGACAATCGCAGCGCTTAAACGAGCTGTGCGACGCGAAAAAGAAGGTAATCTATCGCACAAGTTCTATGCGCAAGCAACGCCTTGAGTCTCATGCTAATCCTGTCTCCACACCGTAGCTCCTACCGACCAAGCCATTTCTGCTGCTACAAACAGAGGCCACAAATTAGCCCGCGGAGCCATTTACGTGCATGCGGGCGCTCTGCCTTATGCCCATGGTCCAGAAGGCCATAAACAAGTATGTCGTCTCATCAGCAGATGGTGGGGGTTCGAGCCCGAAGGCTAACCGCGAAGATAGAAAATCGAACATGCTGGCTACACGCGCTACATCCTCCAACGCAACCCGATACGCATCAACGAAGACGGCGATGAACTAGACGACGATGAAAGTGACGCAGAGGCAGATGCTGATGCCGGGGAGGAGAACCCTTATGCTGGGGTCCGTCTCGAAGGTACTTAGCTTGTCCTCTCCGGCTGAGGGCTAATCGCTAATCCGTGCTTCCAGAACTTCTGTGCCCGCTGAAGCATCCCTCCGAGCTCGCGACCCACCCTACTTTGTCCCTACCCTTTCTCGATCCTGCCCTTCCAGATATGGTCAGATCAACCGAAGACAAGCTGCGTCAAGAAAGGGTAAATTTATGGCGAGCCAAAAACCTAAGCAGACAATTTATGGGAGACGAGTCTTGGATACCTCTGGAAAGCACCGAAGGTGCTGACGACTGGGACTTGTTCGAGCCCAAACCTAGGAATCCTGCACAGCAAGCGGGCAAGAAGCGAAAACGAGACCATGAGAATGAGATCTCACGAAACGGCATCAATGGTCATGACTACGCGAAGCCCGACCAAAAGGAGGACCCAGCGCGTCCTGTGCCTATGGACTCAGACGCAGGCATTGGAGAAAACGCCAGCGAGCATGTTGAAAAGGCAAGCGAGGCAGGGACAAATCAACCGGCTCAGGAGGAGCATGAACCCGTTGACAAGGAATCCACTACGAATGGCGTACACAAAGATGGGGAGACAGTCCTTCCGGAGAGCAAGACCAAAATTCCGCAGAGCGATAAGGATGATCCTGGAGAAACACGCGAAGCACCGATGGCAATAGAAGCGGACGGCGCAGGACAAGAGCAAGGAGGTGAAGCGGCATCCGAGGACGAGACTCAACCCCAACCGACAAGAAGGATAACCAGAGCCCTGGCTGCCGAGACCAACAATTCGAACACAGCAACCCCTCCTCTATCACCCCACTCGACCACCTCTGTCGATTCCTATCTCTTACATCCCGATCCGTTATTCCTCCTACCTCCGATACTGGCAGCGAACCATCGCGCCCCACGCAACCTCCTCCGCCTAGGCATCCCCGTCGACGAGCTGATGGAGACTCGCCGCCTGCTGATGATGTACATTCAAAAACAGGAGGAAAGCGTACGTGGTTACGAAGCCGTGCTGGCCAAACTCATCAAAGCGAAGAGAATGCGCGACAAAGTGTGGCAGTGGGCCAAAACCGAGGGCCATGTAGGCGAGCTGTCGGATGGGGAGGATTGGATCGACGCCGAGGCGTGGGGGCTGCAGCTCGAGGACTTGAAGAAGGGCACGGACGAGGAGAATAATGAGGTGCAGGAGGATACTGGGAGAAAGGGCAAGAGGAGACGGCGAGATTAGAAGTCGACCCAGACCCTGACCCACGCTTCACCGGCCAAGAAGCCTGCGCCGGCGAAGACTCCTACGAAGACGCCAGAGAAAAGAATCTCCTGGCTGTCGCTAGGCACGTCTACGAGGCCTAGGTTGAAATCCCTCCAGACAATCCCATGAATGGTTTCGAGACATTGTCATTCTGCTTGAGCTGCACACCCGCTTGTATTCACCATTTCGAGGCTCTTGCCTGTTCCCATTGCGGGCTCGTAGCTACAGTACGTTCGATCTCTGCTTGCGCGTTATGGGCGTCTTCTCCTGTTCCCGTGCGGAACTCAACGCCAGGACGCCCGCCATTGAACAAGCACCAGTACCTTGCCGCAAACGCCGGTATTTCACCCCTTCCAGCCATGTTACTCCGTTCGTGTCATGTGTCGTTGCGCCGTACTCCCGTGGTCTCATCACCCGCTGTATCTGTGCCCGATGATCATCCCGTGGCTGCAATGACTAGGCGGCGGCATGGCCAGAGGCTGCCGGACCCGCGCCACCTTGCAATCCCACACCTTCGACCTCGCCACCGGCAGCGACGGTAGCGTCGGCCTCGTCATCCTCCATGTCTACGGCGCGATCGTCGACGGCCCCATCACTGCTCTCAGCGTCCTCAATGAACAACTGCTGACCTTCCGCCACGACGCCGGCCTCCTCAAGTCTCTTGCGCTGGTTCCGGCGCACGATATCCTGCCACCTCGCCAACGCGGCCGCGTGGTGGACCTTGAAGCCGAAGACCTTGGGCTCGTAGCGGCGGCGCGACTTGACCGGGACCAAGGCAGGGTAGACCTGGAACAGGATGTTGTGGAACGAGGAGCCAAAGTAGGCGCCGTCGATGCTGGCGTGGCGGCTGGATTTCGGATTGTAAATGTCCTCGCACTTGGCGCAGTAGAGCTTCACCGTCTTCAGGCCCGGATTGTCACTGGGACCGAACGGCAACAGGGGGTGACTCTCGCAGATGACGCGCGGGCAGCGGCCAAAGTCGGACTTTTTGAACTTCTCGACCATCTTGGCGAGGCCGCGGGTCGTGACGATGTAGCGCGCGTGCACCAGGCCGTAGAGGTGGCGGGCGGACTTCTCGATCGTCTCGCGCATGTCGTCCTCGCAGTCCAGGTCGAAGACGTCGGTGATCAGGTCCAGCGCGTGTTGGTAGTAGTGCACCTCGGTGTTCAGGCCCGTCAGGTTGAACCGGTCCGTGATGTACTCTTCGTCGATTTCGCAGAAGTACTCGTTGCCTCGGGAGGAGATGAACTGGGATTTGAAATGTTAGTTTGGTTGTTTCATCTTTCATGATTCATGCCCAATGGTTTGTCGTGTAATGTTCATCATCAGCTATCTTCATGGGGTTCAGGTGGGGGGGGTTGTGAAAGTCCCATAGAAATGTGAGGCTCAAGTGAGGAAAGGTCCAGAACTCACCCAGTCTCTCCAGTAACTGGTGTAGTCGCTGTCCGTCTCAGACTGGAAGTCCTCCATCTTGGCGAACAGTGTGAAGCCGACAAAGGTGGCGAGAAGGAGGGTGGATGAGAGAACGATACAAGTCCCCGTAATGGAGACGGAAATGGCCATCGTGCCAAGTTTGAAGGGGTTCTGTTTAGCGTGGTGTTAGCGCCAACGGTGGATCAAGCGACAGGAGATGAAGTACTTTGGTGCGGTGCAGCAGATATGATTTGTGTGCAGCTGTGGCTCTTGGCGTTGAAGGCGCTTGTTTAACGGGGTGGACGCCCCTGTTCAACGGTGCGATTTCTCAAGCTTTTTGACGACCTGTCTCCAAATCCATACGGCGCTTGACTTCTACCGCCGCACAATCTGCTCACAGTGGACAAAGGCCATCCTACCCTGTTGCGTATGCCGTGAGTATCATCAGTTAAGCATGTTGGAATAAACAGGGTGGACGCTTTTAACTCAACGATGTGATTGCTCAAGATTTTTGACGGCCTGTTCCTAAATTCGCACAGCGCTTGACTTCGACCGCCGCAAAAGCTACTGACTTTGGACAAAGGCCATCCTGTCCTGTTGTGTATGCCCCGAGCATCCTCTTAAGCATGATGAAATGAACGGGGCCGACGCCCCCAATCCAACAATGTGATTCCACAAGCTTTTCGACGGCCTGTTTTGCACCTTTTTTACACGGCGGTTGGCCTCTACCGCCGCACAATCTACTGAAGCTGGACAATGACTATCCTTCCCTGTCAAGTCTGCCTAAGTATTCTCTGTTAGCTATGTCGAAATGGGCATCCATATTGCTCCCAAACGACCAGTATTGGAGGCGGTGGTCATTGTGATCTCAAAGCGTTCAAATGAAGCATGTCTTCTACACAGCTCTAACGGCTTTGTGTGCTATGGAAGGGGTCAGCAAAGTATGCTCTGGCACCTCTCCTCGCTATTGCGAGGGTGACCGTTCACCTAACAACCCTCCATTACCGCCTGCCCTAGTAAATATTGACGGTTGACTATATAGAGTGACCACATGCCCTTCAATGACAATATTCTGTGCTGCACAGAACATGGGCAGGCATGTAGAGACTCGCAGCACAGTACAAACTATAACCGTCGGTTTGTTCTGTCTGGCACTTGATATGATGAGCCTCTTCCGACGAATATCGACAGACGGCATCCTCCAATCGATATGAGGAGTGTTCCTTATCAGCCCTACTCCAAACCGGAGAAGCATGTCCGATTTGAAGAGACACTACACGGACATCGTGGTAAGTCCCTGGTGGATTGTGTGAAATAAGGCGAACATGCTCCAGTTGAATGCCCTGCGCTTGACTGTGTCATTCGCAAATTCCTCTCTTTTCGTCAAAGGATCCGCCCAAGGAACGTCGGGACCATCGGCTATAGAGCATTATGAGATCCCCCGTAATGAGGCGAGAGATGTGACCAGTCAAATTGCGCTTTGGTTCTCGTTGCTGGGTGAAGAATACTCAGAACAGCTTCGCCGAAAGTGGGTGAACTGAAGTCCAGGCAGTCCAGGCAGTCCAGGCGCTGGATCTCCAGTTGGATGGGCTTCGGAGGTGATAGGGCAAACCCCTACAAAAATTCTCGGCAGTGGTTGGCAGCGGTGAAGTATCCCCGAATCGGTTCGGGGTCTTAGTGTGGCTCGCAGGATGCTCCACACGGCTCTTCCGAATTGAAGTTCCGGAGTTATTCTGCTGTTTCATGACAGTTTGTGTCATAAGCTCAACGGGCTAAGCCAAGCTATCCAAATACTCAGCACAGAGAAAGCGCTGGAACCCTGACCGGGGCGAAATGACATTCGGGAGTTGCTGTGTTCTGCTGGATGTGCCAACATCTGGGGTAACTATGCCACCAGTATCCGGGTCGTCTCGGCCTTGATCAACCATCTCTACTTCGTCTCCTCCTGTCTTTGTCGGAATACCACCACTAGGCCTGGCATCTTGACCTACTCGATTATTGCGATGAGGCTGGAGTAGGATAGTGTATCCATCGATCTGGTGAAGGGCTTGCGTCTTGAACGAGGAGACACTGATCGCGAGCCAATGCTGTTGTATGGCAAGGGACTGAAGGTTTCTAACTCGCGAGTTCTTGCTGTCGGCTTCAACTCAGTAACGTTCATGTCTTTAGGATTACAGCGATGACTGCAAACACTTTCGGGAAAGTAGTGGCTACACTCACATGATTGAGCATACCAATTCTAAGATCCACCGCGAGCTTATGAGGCCGTTGAATGTCATAACTTTGACTGAATTGGAGCTGTCTGAGGCATCAGGCACAGCATAACGACTGATGAAAGAGTCGGTTTGGTCTGTAGCCTGTAATCGTGGCGAAGCAAGCGCGGCCATGTCGAGGTATTCCAGAATTTCATGTATTGACTCTTGAGTTTCTTCCTGGGACAGAGCCGGGCAGTGGCCAGGGAAAGTAGCACGTATTGAGGGAGTCAAGACGTCCGAAAGCTCTTGAACAGAATACGTCAACATTTGCACAGCTGGATGATGTGCACTCAAAGGCCCTGAAGTGGTTTTGTCGAGATCTATACCCTATTAGAACCGAGGAAAGAGTGTGTACCCTACAAGCGCATGCCAGTACCTGCATCCAGATCCAGGAAGAGCCAGTTTAGACTCCTGTTCAGAGTATGCTGTGCAGCCCAAACCAGGCGATCGAATCCTTGCTTCCCGCGTAACATTGAGGGAAGGCGAAGGTTGACCTCCACAACTGATTTAAAAGTCAGCACATGACGAAAAGATAATGGATGCTGAAACAAGGCAGCTGACTGCTCCAATTAAAGAGACCTCCAGGAGTGTTGGAAGGCAAAACCAAAGTCTTACGATATCTTGATTTGACGTGCTTTCTACCGCTGGAAGACGACACGGGTACACCCTGCAGGCCGGCTCGCTCATAGGAGGCTTTCGAAAGTTCTATACTCAATATTCCTGTACCGCAGCGTCAGTCTCTAGCCCTATCAGGATTTTATCCTGAGGCCAGCTGATCGGGGATCAACTCCGGGCTTTCCTTACCCTCATTTAGTGAGAAGGTGTCGTCAACGCCCGGTTCTCCCTCAGAGATCATGAGAATATTTCCTGAGTGGAGACACCCATCAGAGTCTGCGGGTACCGCTGTGGGCGCCTTGTTGATCCCTTGTGTCCTTGAAGGCGTAGAATGAGTCCTACCTTTCTTTATGTATTCATTGAAGAAGTCTCCTTTGAGCACGTCTTCAAGCTTCATGATGACCTTTGCATACTTTGGTCTTGACGTATCTGCCATGACGCTATCCCAAATAATGCGGTGCAAGTCATCCGGTAGCATGATAGTCGCAGACCTGCCATATGATACCTCGCGAATAGTGTGCCATGGAGGTCTCTTGGTCGGCGCTTGAGAAGATGAAACGTATCCTGGGAGTTCCCCCACGGATATATTCACTTTCGGCGCTGGTGCTGACCCTGTTGGGAACAGAGGCGACATAGTGCAGCTGCTGGTTGATGAGCAAGCAGAAGTGTGGAAGAGAAGCATGCAGAGTACAGTGTACACAGTATTGCGTCTAACTTGCGTTTAAGCTCCTGTCTGATACTTCACCGTACCGGCGCGCTAGTGTTTTTAGGCTTGGCGTCGTGGAGGAATGTTTTTCGAGCTTCTCCAAATTCGAAAGTTCGTCCTCTGCAAAGTTATCCGCCTTTGCCAACCGACAGCGCGTGTGAGGTTGCAGCGTCCCTACACTACCTTGCATTGCTATGGTGAGTGCTCCTCGATTTTCACACCTTGGAATGATGAACACATGCAATCCAACTCCGAGGAATTCCTCTGAGGATCAACATAACTCTAGAATTACGCTGACCACCCCTCGTCCACACTTGCTTCCTAGTTGCACACCTGAGGTGGAAGACACTAACTTGTATTCAGAATGAGCATCGCTGCTAAGGTCCCTGTGCCGCAGAGCACCCGGAAGACAAGTCACTAAAAGGTACGGCCTTTCCAGATCAGAACCTTTCATTCCTCTACCGCCCATTCAGTGATGACTCCACGACACGAAAGGCATTCCTCAGACTTAAATTACCATGTGGAATCTGTCTCATACAAGTTTCAGCCTTGTCTGATCGTCTATCTCGTCCTTCGGCCTCTTACCACACTGTTTGCGAACTGTCAAAGCTGACCAGATCCTGCGCAGGTACCGTCCATACACCCTCTGCTCAACTTCCTTCCTTTCCTACCATGACGAAGACTTGAACGAACGGGCGGACAGACTGCGTGCGCGGTGCCTTCCATCTGTAAAAACAAGACGTACAATCTTGTGGATGTTGGGGCTCGCGACACTTGTTGAGAACTCGTCAGCTGATTGACCGCTCAAAAATGATTTCCCGAATATGTGTAAAGTGTGAGATCTTTACTGACGGCGCTGCGTTAGGTACATCTCAATACCACTCCCCGCTCTCTTTCTGCATCTCATGATGAACACTATTCACACTGTTTGAACCGAGCTCTCGCTCGGAAATGAACGCATTACACTGAAAATTCTGATTTAATGAGGTATGTCTACCCTCTACGTCGAGGTCCTTTGCTGACTTCTCGCTGACAGCCTGAAATAGATGTTTGTGTGACGCTTGTTTTCGTCGACCTCGGCCGCCAAGACCTTCGCTGACCACACCTGCTGACAGGTAAATCTGGGCGTACTGTACGCTCAGTGAGATGTTTTCAAAAGAAGGTACGCGATCACTTTTCAGCGCAATTTCGTTACCCTGATGATCTCATGTATTTTCGCTGTGTTCTTGCTGAATCCTTATGTGGAATATACATCACCTTGGAGAACTGATCTTGTTGATTACTCAACTCCCAAGATGCCTGCCTTCTACTTTGAACAGTGTTTCTAACACCACTATAGTGCCTTTCGCCGAGAAGCGTGACTGGAAAATGCGTTCGAGAAACGATACTCTGCCACCGTGTGCGAGAAACTGTGTTGTGCTTACCTGGGGCACCTAGCGTAGTATCCTATCCGTTTATAGCTGATAGATGTCGTACAGCTGCTCTGAGAAGCAGCTTATCTCTCATTCGGGACCAGATATCTACATCGAACCTGTCACTTCGTAGCTATCGAGTAGGCTAGGTGATATTTCGCCTTGGGGCTTTTAGCCAACCACGTGGCTAATTTTGTGGAGCTACTTGGGCTTGGTCTCACTTTCCGACTGCGACTTCTGCGCACACGACAACATCCTTCTCTTGCTACACAGTTCACCCCAATGTCTGGAAACTGGAAGTAGACTTTCTGTCTTCCAATTCAGAGATCCGATGTCTGGTTTTGGGGCTCCAGGAGGTAAGCCACCCTAACCCTAAAGGCCTGCGTGGTGAAGACGAGATACCTGCTCTTCGTCATCCTTCTCCCGACAGCGATACTCGTTCTAACCTGCTTGCAGGTGGTGCGTCAAATTATAAGCCCACACCTCCCGAACGCGGCTCTTTTCCACTCGATCATGATGCGGAATGCAAGCACATCATCTCGTCCTACCTGCGCTGCTTGAGGAGACAGAACCCGCCTGGAAAGAACAACGAGGAATGCAGATTACTGGCCAAAGAGTACCTGGGATGCCGTATGGAGAAAGGCCTTATGGCCAAGGACGAGTGGTCGAATCTGGGCTTCAATCTCGAGGAGGCGGCGGATCGGACGAATGAGAAGGCAACCAGTGCCGGCGATGACAAGCAGAAGGGCTGAATGTCACCATCTTCAAACGTCCACCTGAGAACTTCCCAAAGAGACTGGTCTTGATCCAGCTCGTGTTTCGTGGAGCGCCTTGTCCGATGGCCCCTTTGACTCTCAAATCTGTGGCGGGGAGAATTGAATAGAACAGGTCATCCACGACGGGGGATTTGAACAATACAGGGACGTGCGCCGCGGTTGCACTATCGGTCACTCCAAGAGCATTTCCCAAAGACGGCCTCCGGAAACGCATGAAGTCAGGACCCGACGGCAGGCCCCATCTGCTGGTGACGAGTTCTGGGTGAATACTCTCGAGATGTCGGTATCTCTACGCCCTACTCCATGTGCAGTCCTGTATCACAAGGGTGGTCCGCCTCATCCTTGCCTTAGCGGAAACATGGATTTGTTTGGGGCTCGACTTTGGCAACTTATGACCTCTTGGCCAGACGGGTATGCAGCATGGCACGCGGCTATTTGCCGCCAACAGTGATGGCAGGGGATACCGCCGCCACTGTCCCTACTTGAGACGTGGGGGCTAACGCCGCTGGCCCTGACGGGTCGGGTCTCAGTGCGCCGGAAGGCAGATTTTTATACGTGCTGAGTAGCTGGAGGCGGTCTCTTTGTTCATCCTCAGGTAACCCGCGTATTAACAAGGATTGCATCGGGCTGCTTGGATCTAGACGTGGCAAACATGACGATGCGAAGAGCGCAAATGCTCAGATTAATCGATTTGGTCGACGACCGGGCCGCCTCTGGCACCAAGCCCCGTACAGTACAGCACTACTTCGCGTTGGCCAGCGCGGCGAACTTCAGGTATCCTTCACAACTGCTTTTACAACAGTGTACCCTTGAATGCGCCTAATGAAACACGCTTTGTGGTCTCGGCCACTGTACACAGCCAATACAACCATGCACAGGAGATATTTTCAAAAGCGTGGGACACGGGGCAAACAGCTTAGCAACGTTCCCATGAGCAAAAGAGGGCGCCGCCACTCATACCTTGGGTTAACATTTGGTGACTGCAACGGTAAAAGGTACACTGAGTCAGCGCACTTTGAGGTGGGGCTTGATTTTGGAGCATGGATCCTGTTTATTACTCATCCACATGACCCGCCACACCCGCAGAAAGAAGTCATTTCTACATTCAGCTAGTGATCAGAGATCACACCGTCGAGCCCCTGGCACGGGCCTTCGCCGGTGCCGTTTGGGCTGCCACGTTTCCTGAAATGGTCCTGTCTTCCAGTTCCCATCTCTCAGACATTATCCGACGCCGGCGGCTGTACTTTATTTGAAGCTTACCTGATGAACGATAGCCCGAATTTACTACGGTGCGCAATGCGTCGATGCTTGTCTTGCTGGAGTGTCTGCGTACTCAGTACGAAAACATTGTTTATGTGGCTTCATCAAGAGTCCTTCTTCGTCACAGTTCCACAATTGAGAACGAGTCTGGGACGACACGCTATTTAGCCGAGAACGCATCCGAACTGTCGTGAACTTGGCTCTATCAAGCACCAAATGTCTCGTGTGTCGCTAATTTTGCCATGGGCTGCTGTCGATCTCTCCCTTCACATTGGACGTCGCCTCGTCCAGGCCATGACTAACCGTGTGGCCGCGACGATAATCACTCGTACGGAGGGGGCTACCGCATCGATCTTGCAGGGTTGTCAGCGGATTTAAGGCCTCCCAGTACCCGGACCCCAACCTCGATCTGAAACGGCGCATATTCATGGTCCACACCATGACTTCGTTCGAGCCGGTCCATTATTCCCGCATTGCCCCTTCACATCGTCACTAGCTGCCTGTTGCGCCATGCGCGTTCCTCTGATAGGTGGGCTATTCGGGTTCGGGTCTAGCATGGCTTCATATTGAGCCGCATTCGATACCCAGGAATACGTAGGTGGAGTCAAGGCTGCCTAAGGAGCGTTCCCTTAGAGTTCTCCGGAATATAATAACCGCTGAGGCTCCGCTGCGCTTCATATGCACCATAAGCTTCCGTGTTGACAAGGCACCATTGACGACGGTTGCAGCCGTGTAAACATGGCCACCGAAGCACCACCAAACTATATCCGTGTCTCGACAAGAGACGAGGAGGATACCGATCTGCCAAGTCACGCCCATGTACATGAGCCTGACGGCGACATTCCTACCAGCGTCACGCAAGCCGCGGACGTTCCTTCGACCGCGATATCCCCTCCGCCATCCCCTCCTACAAGAGCACAGACTGAAGTGTCGTCCATCAGTGCTGTCGCCCAACCTCGTTCCAGTAAGTACTGTGTCACGTTGCGCACTGAGACTGCTGACTCAATTTAACACTCAGATACGGAACCCTTGCCCCAGTCGCAGGCGCGGCCCACGGAGCAACTGCGTGACGGAAAGAGGCACTCGTCTCTGGGCGCGTTGAAGCATCGGCTTCAAAGTTCTTTCGACCCTTCACTGCACGAATTGTTAGAGAAGCGCGGCCTTGATCCAAGCAGTCAGCGACAGTATAGCCAGAAAAGGCAACGCCAACGGCTATGGCGATTGACGATCGGTGAATTCTTGTATACGGTTGCCCTTTGCCTGGCTTACTTCGGTGTTTTGTACGCCTACGGCGGAAAGGACGCAATCAGCGTGCGCGAGCGGAGGATATTCAATGCCTTGGTAACAGGCGTGACCCTCCTGCTCGGTGTGAACCTAGCGGCATCGTTGCGAAGTTACGCCAAGTTGTTGAGATGGCGGATTCTGGCGATATGTTATCGGCCCCTAGAGACCTTCGACCTCGTCATGGGCTGCGACAGCTTGATGAATGTGACGAAGCTTCTGTGGAAAGCGGGCAATAACAGGTACAAGTATTTGCCATCGAGAACGCAGATTATCTGTTTCGCATGGCTCCTTGTCCGTAAGTTCATGTGGGGGTCTATTTCGTCCATTCTAGGGCCCTCTTTCCTTTCAATCCCCCTTGTCCTCGTTTCACCGTCCACGGCTAACCATCGATTAGACGTGGCTATCACTGTTCTGGTCGGTATTATCGGCCTGAACTATAATTTGGAAGATTCGGATTCGACCCTCTTCGTGCGCACCGGCAATATCAGCATGGTGGACTTGAATGCATTGTCCGACGGGTTCTATGGATACGACCTAGCTCAAGTCCAGGCATGGGGATCACGAGGCGTGACCATTGAGCCGTCGGTCATCACCGCTGAGTCGGAGTCTGCACTAGGCTACCTCTCCGACTCGGCTGGTTACACCCTCTACTATTTTCAGGATCAGAAAGCGGATGATCCGAATCAGAACGTTGTGTCGAGTCGGTGGATCGAGTCCCAAGCGTATTGCACTGGGTATATTGTCAAGGAAGGGCAGTATGGTGACCTCTCGTACATCATCTACCACGACGGCGAGCACGATGTCAACCAGACAATGCCATCCCTGGCTGGACCCGCTGGTCTCATAGTCATGTCCAAGCTGAACTCGACATGCGGGGACCGATGCGTCGACATGCAGGCTTTCCAAGCAGCCACTTTGCCTGGTGAGAATGACATGGGCTATACAATCCCAGAAGGCTCTTTCTTTGTCTGCAGCAATACGGTGCCTCAAGTTGGAGATGATAGGAACTCTCACTTGAGCGATGACTTCTTGATCTATGACGATGTGGGCAGAATGTTGGCCGGAAGCCTGGGATGGAGCGAGGTCCCTCCTGTCTTCAACGGCACCGCAGAATACGCGGTCTACACGAATTGGTCCCAGGTTAGCTTCGGCCATCAACCGACTGACACCGATATGGCTGCACGTATCTCAACCTTCACGATGGGGGCAATCGCATTCATGGATGGCTCGAATCTTATGTCCAGGCGGTATGCCATCAGCGACGAAATGCCGTATGCCGCGCAGGTGCTCAAGGTGAAGTGGAAATATGCAGGCTCCATCCTCGGAGTCATCCCATTCATCCACTTTCTGACCCTGGCGCAAGTCATTCTCTGGGCCAACAACGCAATCATCAAGGACGACAGCCACCTCGCCATCGCCAAGGTGTATCATTCCTTTCTGAGTCGACTAGGCGACCACGGCTGCCTGTTGCGTGGTGATGAAATCGTCGCTCTCCTGGAGAACCCGAGCGTCGCATATGGCTGGCGACAGAGCGTGGAGCCAGGTGGACAAGGCTTGATGCACGTCGACGTGTTCGATCGCGAGCACGGCCTTGTAAGGGAAGAGCGACCATTTCAGGAAGGGTGGTATAACGGCGGGGGCGAGGGCAGTCCCATTACCGAGAAGTCCGAAGCACAATGCAACTTGCGGAGACGGTACCGGGACTTTGATGCGGCAGAATTCTTCTAACCGATCAGTCATATCCCGTTGGACCTGGACTGGACAATCATGAAATTGTCCCCCTAGCGTGCGACCATGGTGTTATTGACCCATCAACCCCAATCCACCACGTGACAGATACCAGGACGCGGGCGTTTCAGACCTTCTCCCTTTCATTTGGTCGCTGCAGTTCATCCCCTGGTCAATCTGCCACTGCCACATCAGGGCCAGACCCAACCTTCCTTGGCCAGATATTGGTACATTTCTGAGCCATCGAGCAGAGGCGCTATTGCTGCTTTTCGGTCCATAGACTTGCAGACGCGCCCCTGGTAGTGCAAACCACACGTTACTTGCGCTTACTTCCCGGTCCGGAAGTGTTGGTCGGCTTGCCATTGGCACCCGCGATACAGCGGCCCAGGTACACTGTGTACTGCTCCGCATCAGCAAATAGTGCAACAGGAGAAAAGCAACACGGAGATCTAGCGAGAGAGGATGCTTACCTCGAGCAGCGCCCGAGAAGTATCCTTCTGATCGAGTCGGCGGGCGTCTGAGGGATGGTATGTGTCGCTGGTCTTGAGTTCAGTCGTTGCATCCCGGGTAGAAGGGGAGCCGTGGGAGGTGCTCATCGTGGCGGATGGTGTGGTAACAGGATGCCGGCTGCGCCTCTGGATGTATAGGAGAGGTCAAGGTCGCTGACGAGGCTGTGCCTGTCTCTGGCGTACAGATACGAGTTTCGAGGTCGTGTCTACTTTTGCCAAATCTGTAGAGTTGAGCGGCGGAGAGGTGCAAGAAACTCAAATATGTATGCACCCGTCGCTCATGACCAAACCCTTGACGCAGTAGTGACACGATGCTGTACGATATTCACACCCTACACATAACGAAGGGTTCAACGGAATGTAAGGAGTAGTAATCATCTCGGACGGTCCAGGTGGCACCAGGTGATCAGACATCCCTGTCACACCTACCTTGATGGCAGGACGGCAGTGACGTCTGCACCCCGCCTGCTAGAATCCCGGCTCCGATTGTTAGAATGCAAGCAACGCAAGCATGGCTATTCGATGGCGGCTCCTCTGCTCGAGGTTTAATCGGATAGTGCAAGTTCCCATTCTCCGACCACGAGGCACCCATGACGCAGTAGGTGGCGTAGGACGAGAGCAGCAGAGCCCGCAGCCAAGGGTCCTCTATTAGACAATCAAATAGGCACCTCCACCACCGAAGCCTGTCTGTGAATGCTAACGAGGCAGGGCCGTGATGTGTACAGCAAATCCCCGGGCCTTGCTCGAGGCGTTCTGCATATGTACAAATACCTATTCCGGTCTAGCTAGACTTGCGCAACCTTATGCTTCGGCGAGATGCGGAAGCTCGAAGAAGCAGCCGAGGCAGCCTTGCCACGCCAGGCCTCAGCCTCATCTGCGAAGGGCAGGTATCCCGAGGAGGCTTAGCTTACTCAGCTCGTCTTCAGCAGATCTGCAAGGTACATACAAACCGCGCCCGGAGCACTACTTTCCACTTCCTGACTTTGCCTTTGAGGTCCTCTTTCCCAGGAAAGACACTTGGGTCCACCCCTGGCTAGGGCACTCGCTCTTTCGGGACATTGCAGTAGACTGATCCCTGGTTTGCAAGCCTCCTTCTGCTCGAGCCGTCTACAGCCTGAATTACCAGGAAAGGAGAAAGGAGGGGTCTCAACCCGTCAGCACTAGGAACTGTGGTATGTATTGGTATGAGAGGTCTCAGTGAGCCACCACCGGACATCGTCTCTGTTCCTCCTCGTCGAGATCCTCTATTGGAAGGAGCTTTGGTTTCCGTTCATGCCCACATTTCACGCCATCGCCACACGAGGGCACTACGACTATCTACTATCTAGCACTTGTCCAGTCGTCGACATCTACACACGGATTCGCAACGATCTCTGGGTCCGCGTCGGGACGTCGTCTGGGCTCCATCCAGTGATGCACCGTCATGCGCTTAGCTCATTTGCACATCCCAGGCCTTATACCTTATAGCCACTCGCTACGGTTGCAAAACGCCATCATCGACAGGCACTTTAGACACAAGGACTTGTTGCGGCTTTCAGCAGCAACAGCACAACCGGCAGGCCATGTTCATGCAGCAGCTGAAAGCCGTGACGCCCAGAGTGGAATGAGCACTCAGATCCACGCATGCGTACCCAAGGAAAAGCACACTGGTCGGGAAGACCTGTCGGATCCAGAAAACCCAAACGCCTTGACTGGACCAGCATATCGCACTGGAAACGCCACAAGGCTGCACGAAAATGCCGCTGAGGGATCCAATGATCAAACAGCTGCTGCAATGCTTCGACCCGGAAATGGCAGCAGCTGCACTACCTCATCAAGCTCGACGTCGAACCAGAGGCCGGGGTTCCAAAATCACCAACACGATGATACCGGTCCACCAGACCCTGTCCTCCTCACGTTTAGTACCCCTCCTACCTACACGGTTGGCCGGCGCCACTTGTTGACCAACCCAATCTCTCCAGAGCAGCAGTCCTTCCTTTCGGCCAACGGCCTTGCGACCTTCCACGCTTCTCCTCGCGGCGGGCTTCTCACCTACCATGCCCCTGGACAGGTGACAGGGTACGTGATTGCTGATCTTCGGCGCCACGGAATCACAGCACGCTGTTGGGTGAGATTATTGGAGGAGAGCGTTGTCCGCACGTGTAGTGCATGGGGCGTCAGGACGGGGCGGACAAGTGATCCTGGGGTCTGGGCGCTTGGCCCCGAGCAGACACGACCTCCGCCAACACAGACACGCGAACCCGGGACCAGCGGTCGCAAAATATGCGCCATCGGCGTCCAGGTCTCACGGGGCATTACTTCCCATGGAATCGGACTGAACGTGCATGACGCGGCTCCGGGCTCGTCAGACACACAACAGCGGGGAACGAAAACTTTCACATTCACGCCTGCTCAGCTTTGCTCTCCGTCCTATGACCCCGTCACCAAGGGTTATCTATCATGGGGTTTCAGCCGCATTGTGGCCTGCGGCCTCGAAGGCAAGAGCGTCACTTGGTTGACCAGGGAGATGGATCTCCCAGACCCTGACCCTGACCCAGCGCTGGCACGTTCATCGTCTTCGATAGAGCCACTTCCTCAACCGACTGAAGAAGCCGTCGCCACGATCCTCGCCCGCGAGATCATGAGTGGCCTAAACACCATGAGAGGCGCAGACAAGGAAGCCGTTGACGGGATATACATGATTCAAGAGGATGATGTCCTGACATGATCGATGAGACTGCCAGCTCAAGCTTGGGATAATGCAGAACCGATAAGGTCCGTCCAAGTGTAAGGCTCGAGACAAGGACCATCGGCCAAGATGTCGACGCACGTCTTTCGCAATGTAGTGGACGGAAACAGCGAAGTGGGTGCGTTGTGGAGCGCTGACTAGGCACCGCGAGTCTGATCGTCCTTTTCCCTCTTTCTCCTTTTCAGCAGAGACGTATCGGCAACGGCGACTTCGTATCTTCCGTGACGGCCACCCGGACGCCTCGGCGTGGCAGAGATACTGCGACCAGAGGCCGATCTTCTCATAGTACCCTCGTCACCCGGGCCTCGCTGTACGTCCGACTCGTTACTCTTCTCACAGCGGCGCGACGTCACCTTCAGCGTCGGCTTCAGCTTCGGCTCGGGTACTCTAGCAGAGTCTAAGAGGACGCGACACGACGGAACAGGGCAACATGGCATAGCACCCACCTGAAATGGCACTAGCAAACACCACCTCTTGTCTCTTTCCGTTGATACATGGCGCTCCAAGACACATCGACCTCCGCCGAAGCCATTATCCTCACTGCGGCAACCTTGTCACAGTCCTTCAGGACTCGCCCTTCTTACGAAACGATACGATACGATGCCCAACTTTGATTCTTCATGAAACGAGATTCTCAGGCCACCAAACACGGTTGCGTTGTCTTCGAATCAGGCCTTTGACCCTTCCCCTACGAGCAGCAAGCAAGACAAAGCTCAGCTCCGTTCCATACAGTACTCTACCTAGGTATTTCACTTATTCAGCTCAATCGCATCGCGACATACCGTGAGAACAACCTCTATTCTCATTCCACTTCAGCTAGTCAGCCACTAGTGATTCAACCAGTGATTCAACCAGTGATTCAACCAGTGATTCAACCAGTGATTCAACCAGTGACTCGACCAGTGATTCAACCAATGAGTCAGCCACCCAGCTCAGCCAATTGCTCAAACCACAAGCTCATCAGTCGGCCAGCTCGGATTGCTTGAAAATGTATCGTTTTGGGCGCCCATTTGGACCTGGTCCGAACGAATCGGACGAGAGCTGTCGCCGGCACATGTACCTGTCCCTGCATGTGTTCCTGTACATATGCCCGCATCTACCACCGCACAAGTACCTGGGCCAAGCCGGGATTTATCCCTCCTCTCCAAATTTTGTGTCAATCAAGGTCCCGAGTTCTGCTGGCACTTTAGGCGACGGATGGAGTTTCCCCAGGAAGTCGGGTAACGTATCAGGCCGGTCTTTTCCTTGTACTTTTTGATCTCACTCGGGGGACATCGAAGCTTCGACTATGCTTCTCGGATCTTCCTTGGACTTTAGACCTTGGACCTTGGACCCCTTTTTAGGTCATACGAAGAGACATGGGCGCCCCGCGCTTTGGGCAGTTCTATGTAATTATTGGATTGGCGACACAGCATAGACTGGGAAAGACAGAGACTAGCGGCAGAGGAAGTAGCTGCGGGTTATGCCAGCGCCATCGAAGAGGCAAGGCAGGGGATTGGGGGCAGAGGAAATAGCACTATCCACCTTCTGTGGACAGTACATACAAAGTCACTGATGCGGCCGCAAGTGCCTGGGGAGGGACGGTAGTTCTCCTGGACTACGAGTAGATCAGAAGCTCTCAGGATTGAATCTTTGTCATATTACCACAACGGACTGGCCACTCGATCCCACCAACTCTACTCGGATGAGTCCCCCTGTCTCATTTCAATCGCAACCTCGAACTCATCCCCTCTGATGGCAATCTGCATCCAGCACCGGTGCGCCTCTGGAACCGATCTGTACTGGCTTTTCGTTTCAAGATGAACCCCAACCCTGACCGGCGCCGTTGGAAAAGAGAAGAAATGAGATAAGTCTTCCTGTCTGCCAGCTCTATTGCAATCGTCTCGTAAAGGGAAATTTTATACATCTGTAATGACTGGTAGGCAACAACCGGTGCCATATGCGGGAACGACAGATGGGCGACTCCTTGTGCCATATGCAGTAACGACAGGCCGATCAAGCAACTTCCTCACCATGCTCCTCTTTGCGCCGTGTGAATCGCTGAGACCGGTTCGTTACGCCGAAGATATGATTTCTCGGAAATAGGGGAAAACAGAACGGAAATGTGCTATGGGAGTCAGATTGCTACCATCTGCCTCGGTGGTCAGGAATTAACATAGCCTCGTGATGGCCGGATCGTTGGTTTCTGCTTTGTTGCGTTTTAAGTCGGAGAGCAAGCCGGGCTTCTCGGTGTCCTCGTGACTGACATCTTCCCTGACTGGAAATACCGCAGTGCTCGGGCCATCTACATCTGTTGTGGTCCGCCGAAGCACAGGGAATCAGCAGTGGCTACTAGCTGAGTCAATCACGCTTGCTGTACTCCTCCTCGGGGCTCCATATCACCGGTTGGAAATTGGAGTTTGAGAAATGAGCCGGACTCAGAGCGGCACTACAACAGTCAGCACTTGCATAATCACATGACCGGCACAACCAGAACCATGGGGTAGCCGTTTTTAGAAGCAGGAGAAATCGCAGGTTCTTCAGGCGCAAGTAACAACTTACCTGCCAAACGTTGCGGGATCCAGAGGTATGCTCTTGTTCTTCTCGATGCTGTACTGGAAACAATTCTCGTTGTACCTGATTTGAGGCTCGGCCGATTTAGGTAAGATGATCGATTTGTTGGTCGTCACAGAAGTTGGTGTTACTGGTGATGGCGGTTGAGGAGACTGAGGCGAAGGCGAAATTTGAGGAATTAGATGAGTCGTTGCTGAAGAATAGCCCTGGGTTGGGAGTGATTGTGTCCGGACTGGTGGGGGTGGATGTTGTGGTATCGTCGCATGAAAAACAGTTGGTGGTAGCTCTGGAAAGTAGGAGGTCTGCGGCGTGGTTCTCTGCGCATATACAAGTGGCGGCTGAGGCTGGTAGCCAGACGAAAAGGCTTGGTTGTTCGCATAGGACATCGATGTGGCAGGCACTGTCTGTACTGCACTTGGAAACAGAAACGACAGTTCACCTAGGACATCAGGATTCCCTGATCTGAATACTCCTTCCTGGGGAGCTTGTATGTATTGAGGAACATCCGTTTGCACATAGACCTGCAATGGTTGCGGATTGTGCACAGGAAGGCGATCATCTTTGTAGATGATATCGTAGTGGCCACTGAACCAATGATTAGCAACCATCACCAAACAGACATAAGGCTTGAGAGAGGAGGGGTGCTTACGGGCGATATATTAACCGGATAGTCGGCCATCCCTTGGCGTTATCGACGAATCGGTACGCTGTGACTTCGTCACCCGTGCTTCTATCGAGATATGAGACTTCGACAGCGATGTAAGCGGGCGCAATAACCGCATCCGTGAGGGCTTGCAGACCGACATGGTCGATCTCTTGATTCGAAGGGTCGATCCTCGTGAGGCGATATTGCTGTACTGACATTTCCAGGAATGCTTCGTAGCGGTCTGGATTAAGTTCCATAAAGGCGCTCGTCATCATCTGCGCGGTGTCAGTGGCAAGTCTGCAATACGCGGACAAACCAACCTTGAAGTGGTAGACGATAGAGTTCGATATGTTCTCGTCGTTCAAAGATTGAAGTAGGACCGCTTCGTTGGTATCTCCACGATCCGTGGCTGATTTGATTCCCTCGAACAGCTCCCAGGTATAGTCAAACATGTCAGTGATGATATCGTAGTCGATGCCAGCAGCGCGCATGGTCTGCTCGTGGCTGCGCAGCCGGACTTCTTCTTGGGCGACTAGGCCGGAATCTCTGGATTGGAGGAGGATTTCGAAATAGCCAAATACAGCGCCTGAAGACATTAAATCAATCCTCTTCTAAAATGTGAGGAGTTGTCTCCTACCACGCCAGCCGCACTGCCCGTCACCTTTGATCCGCCGATACGCGGTATGTGTTGCTTCCAACGCCTACCAATGATGAGTGACATAGATGATAAGGGTGAAGGGCAATACCTTTGTTTTGGCCACATAGGTTGGGTCGGCTTGGGAATACTCAGTCACGAGCTCCGCTAGGGCCTTTCTGCTCCCTATCAACGGCCCCTGCAAGATTGTCAGTCGGCTGTATTCTTGACTTGACCCGCAGACATACCGGTAGGCTTGGTTGATAATGATCGGACAGTTGCTGGAACTGCTCCATTTCATCCACATCAGGAGTGGCCATTTTGCCGTCCGATGTTGGTGGCGTAGGGTAGCCGTAGTGCTGGCGGTATGGACCGAAACTCGGGTTTGCGGAAGAATGGTTGTATGAGACGGGATATTGCCTGTCAGGCTGTGATTGCCCACGTAGACCAAGTGTCGGCCTACAGGGCGTGGAATAGTAGAAGTTGGGAAGGGGTAGTGGAGCTGAGCAATATGTCATCTCCTGGATTTGAACGAGGAGTTGCACTGCATTCGCGACTGTTCGACATCCAATATCGCCTTGTAGAATTGGAGAGGTCTCTTCGGGCAGGGCCTGTCTCAGGTTTTTCCGGGAGTACTTTTGTTGTTTCCGGTGAGAGCGCAACTGAATATTCGGGCTGCTCAATTCATTGTGTCGGCGAGGTGAAGATTGTAGTTGTAGTCGACCAGCTTGAGAAGGTTGGCAAGTTCCTGGCTTGGAAACGACAAGGGTCTCGAGAAAGCAAAGCCGCAAGTCCGGCACTGAGAGTGCGCGATAACGATGAATGTTTGGACTCTTTGCGAAGTCGAGGCGAGAGGAAGGGGATGGCAAATGGTTAGACGAGGGTTTGAGTCTTGGTGAGAGTGGAACACCCAATGCAGGCCTGTCTTCTAGCCCCGAAGCTACCCTAGTTCTTTGCGGAGTGGGCGTTGAGAAGACTAATGAGATGTTGATCAGTCGACATCTGCTCAACCAGAGCCAATCGGGGATGTGTCTAGACGTTGGGTGCAGCACTGAGTACCGGCTCGGATAAGAAATGCCGCTGTCCTTGCGAGGTTATCATTGACTTGGACGTGTAAGTGGTGGTTGACAGCACTGCAAATGTGCCGGTGAGGAGCATGGATGTGCAAGGGCGACGCCAGGCGGCAGTGGCGACCTCAGATCCGGATGGCAAGGAGTGGAAAGCGACCAAACAGCGAAGGACAAACTGTCGATGTGGTGTTCGAGATCCTGAATTGAAGGGTGGAGTGAAACTTGAATGAGGTGAAGTTGAGGTGAAAGTCAGATGTCATCCGTACCTCGGTGGAGCAACGAGACACCTGGACAAGGACGAGTGCCCCTCCCAAGGAACAGCAAACAACTGCAGCTACCAGCCGGCCGTCGCCGTCCAGGCACTAACTCAAGTTACGGGGGGCACAAAGACGCCGATCAGCGAACAGGTGCCCCATGGGCGTGCCCACATGGAGCCGCCGGTGCTCTGCGAATAGCTGCGGCTTGTCAATCAGCCCCCCCGCGACGACAGCGAAGAGCACGACTACGGGTAGAGTACCTAGGTGTTTCTACACGGTACTTGTAGGGGCCTAGCTTTAGCTCTTTGCCCCAACCCCTCCACCAATCTGTCCTGTGTTAACACAGGGATCGCAAAAGGTCTCTCTCGACCTTGGTGTGTCAACGCCCGTTTCCTTTCCTGCTTCCCACTTATGGGAATCGGTGTCCAGCACTCGGAAAGCTTGTCTTCCCTGCCGGTCACAGCGTCGCCGCCTGCCTCTGCCACCTATCAGGCGGGGCAACACACCCTCCTCCCTGTCAAAATCCCCGTCACCGCTCTCTCGATGTTTGTCATGGCTGTCCCGGGGAGTGAGCGAGGACTTTCCATTGCAGTTGTGCCGTAATCATCTTCGGCCACTTGAGCTATTCGCGACTCTATACTTTTGCTTTTGGAAGTTGCAAAACTGCTGGATATCACCTCCGAACTCATTCTGTAGACTCTAGGGCCCGGGCTTCTCCGCAAACCATGGCATCGCAACTGACTCAAGAGGTCCAGAATTATATCAGACCATGAATCTAGCTCATGGGTCTGCGGGGATACCACCAGCGCCGGCGTGGTTTCGGCTGCAGGCAAGAGCCAGGTCCGATGCGCTCCGGCGCGAAAGCTCGCTCGGACAAGTGACAAGTCCAGGCTAGTTCTACTGAGCGAAGGAACCCAAAGACCTCCACTTACGGGGTTACTCTCGATGGGACAGAAAAAATGTTACTACGTACCACTTATTGCCCGCTATTACTGTGCTTCAGGACTCTGAACATCTGCTGGCATGGAAGTACTGAGCGCATCAGCGATCCCAGTGTGCTTTGGATAGACTTGCGCTTCCTATTGGTATAGGCGGATCGCGACTACGACAGAGACGCTGCCTAGTTCAGCATGCGGCGATATATTTCCACTCGCATCAGAACCCCATTGGCGGACAGGAGCCCCCGGATGGTCGCTGCAAGTCCGTTGGGCGACATCCATTCCACCATTCGTTAGCCGACGCTCAGCATTTTGGGAGCATCTCGGCGCTCCGGTTCGTCCAGCGCTTTCCACAATTGAACAACGAGGGAATCGGAGCAGGCAAGCATGTTCCGGCGACTTCGCTGGACGATTCTAAGCAATCGTACAAGAAGTGAGCTGCTTGACCGTGCGTGCTGACTATCCTGGCCTGTTGTGCTTAGCGATACCCCACTCATTCTTCCTCGAGCATCTCGGTTCCACGCAGCTATACTCCGTATGCCACTTAGGAATTGCAATCCCGTTCGGCTGACGCAACGTCGACCACGGGCTCTGGCGGGCTCAGTGTCTGTCACACAGTTCGAAACATCGACCCCATCGTACCGCCGAAGCAAGGACAGCACAGTCCCTGCATCGTCTACTGTTGCTCCCCTGGGCGCACAACTGCCACCATCACATGCCGAGCGGCAAAGCCTTCCGCGGCCTCAACAAATGCCTGGGCCGGCGACACCGTAGAGCGGTCCGAGTAAGAGATGCACGAAGCCGGCATCCAAAGTGCCCCATATACTCCGTACAGCATACAACTAGCTTGGGGCATGCGGAATGGCAGTGAACTACTGGTTGATTGTCAGTTGAGGCTACGATAAAAGTCCGAAACGGCTGCACTGCAAGCGAAATGTGATATCAGATTGCTTGGAGGAAAGCATCGTAAACGATCGAGATTCTGTCTCGTCTGATCCAATCACGAGGCTCAACTTTCCTCTTCGGGCGAGGGATGAGCTTGCAATGCTCCACTTCGCGAGATGGCACACTGCATGCCAGGAGCGAGGCCTTTGCGTATCCAAGTCCCTTGTCGAATTCGAAACTCCCGAAGAGGGTGGGGTAAGTGGAGGGTCAAGATCTGCTTTCCTGGAGAAGACCGAACAGACGGTCAACTCGCAGACTTGTCTCTTGTTCTACGAGGTACGGAGTACAACGTCGCGGATTGGTAAGACACCCCAATCGTCTGTCTATCAGGGCGGCTCTGGCCGCTGTCGACGCTGTGACACGTCCATAGCCGCACGCGAGTCATCTCCGGATGCTGATAGCCGTTCTCAGGCTGTTGGGATTGGGCGCCCATTGTCCGTATTTGCAACCTGGCTACCTGTCCTTATGCGCGCCTGTCAGAACGAAGAGCACATTTCGTTCCGTTTCATTTGCTCTTGACCGTCCGACTACCATCTTTGGACGGATGATCCTTTGTGTCGGGTCAGTTTGCTCGCTCACCCTGCCTTGGGCCTGGCTCCCGTGTCTTTGGCCAAACATCAGACCCCGCTTGCATCGTCTGTCCGCCTTTGCCGGAGAATGCATTCTCTCATACCGGGGATTCCTACATCGACGACCCTGCAGTCTGAAAAGCTCTGATGGGTGCATCTGTAATGCGAATGTGAGATGTCCAGATGGCGCTGACGCAAGGCAAGGAGGCGAGGGTCAGTCGCGTACGCTGGTCGTATGGCATCCGCACTAAATTCTTTGTTGCGCTTGATTTTGTGTCGAACCTCGCTCCTTCATATGGGAGCGACTAGCTTGCCACCACCTCGCCCGCGTGCAGCACCCCGACGACCGGGTCCCCGACTGGGTATTGGGCCGGCAGGGTCGAATCCGATCGGAAAATTCATACCAGGGAACCCGGCACCTCCCTGAGAGTCTTCGAGCTTGAAGCCATCGCCTTCGTTGAGCACTGTAGTCCATAGGGTCTCCACGGCAGACGTCCAATCTCGAAGCCGGTTCAGGTGCTCCTTGTCACTTCCTTGGGAGTCCTCAACCTCCACGGTGCCATTTTGTTGATTGATCTTTGCCTGTAGCTTTTTGTCCACGATCAAGAGCCCCAAGATGTCTTGAACCTCGCTGACCGGAATTTTGATGCGCTCTGCAATGAATTGCAAGGTGAAACGGGTGTATGGGGCAATTAGTAGCAAGATGGCTTTGGTGCGCATGTTGCGGCTGACTTCGTCAATGTTCTCGGCTATGAACGGATCCGCCAGCAGATCCTGGTTGTCCTTGAGAATGGATTCATAGCGGAGAATGTCGTCCCGTTGGTAGGCATCGACAAGATCCGTCATAGCTGATATCCGGGGGTCGTTCTTGTAAGGCTTTGTCTCTTGCGAATCGAAGGGGTTTATGGTGGATTTCATCAGCATCGTCGTCAAGACCAGGTACTTCAGGACTTGGATCCGCTGCATGGAGCCGGCCTCGTCGTAGTTCTTGAAAGATTCAAAGAAGTCGCTTTGGGCTTCCTTCCAGTTTTCCTCGCTCATGTGCATCTTCCCGCCACATTCTCTGATGATACCTTGGACTTTCGGATGAGGGACCGCTGACCGTACTGTGAGGGCCTTCTGGTATAGAGACTTCAGTCGCTTGTTGTTCTTCATCTCTGCGTACATTTGGATCTCCAACGCGTAGGCTTCGAGTGAATACGTGCCTTTGCCGGGGTCATCTGTACCGTCTTCCTTCTGACATGCCTGGTGGATCTCCCGCACTTTGTTAGTGAGTTGATTGTAATCTTTCTTGTCGAGGTACAGTTTCGCTAGCTTGAGGTTCGTCTTGAGTGCCAGTCTCTCGTTGTTCGTGGCTTGAAACGTGGACAATGTCAGGCTGTAAAACTCCTCCATCGACTTGTACGCGGTTGAATCTGTCGCCGAAGCATCGGCTTGCTGGCCAGTTACCTTCTCGATGTAGTCCAACATATTATTGATGCTCTTCTCGGAGTAGTTCCTAGTCACCGCACTTTTAACGTATGTGAGTAGCTCCTTGTAGTGTTTAACCGCAGCATCGTATCTGCCCAGTGCGAATTCCAGTTTGATCGCCTGCTTGAGACCCTTGAACCCCCAGTCGCCCTTTTCGTCCTCAAGAGCGGGCACGCCGAGGAATTCATCGATGGCTTCTTGAGGTGATTCGACTTTCAGTTGTTTGGCGTTGTAGTATTTATTTTCGATGTCAACGGAAGCGTCCTGGGGTACTGTTAGCGACATGGTAGCAAGACATCAATGCCGGCACGAATGGAGAGCTTTGGAGAGCACGTACACCTGCGTCCACATCATCGTCGTCTTCATATTCAAAGTCGTACCTGAGAAGTTCGCGTCAGATCTGGTATGTGCAAGGTTTTTATAGTTCCGCCCTACTGCTCTGGGTCGGACTCCTGCATGAAATCATCGTCGTCGGACATCTTGAGGGCTGTTCAACACGACGGTAGGATAAAGGCCCAAAGATCAGCACGACGAAGCAAGCCAACGCTCCGCGAGAGCGGCTGGAAATGGAGTGCGGAGGAGGCTAGACAAGCTAACGCCTCTATCTAGACGTAGAAAGCATAAATATTTAAGTCCTAGCTGTTGCTGTGAAGCGAAAGGATAGAAAGACTGTGATTGACCTCGCAAGTGTTGGGTGAGCGTCAGTGACAGATGATTGCGGAGTGACGCCGAGTTGCTGCCTTCGCCCGCAAAATGCGGAGTTCCAGCTTTAGAGAATAGATTTCAATTCCTCGCCCCTCTTCACTCTCGACTCTGCCATTCTCACGACCTGCAGGCCGTCCGACCAATACGCGAAGGCTCGAGGTATCATTGCGCCGTAGACCCCCTTTCTTCATTCCGACGAACGGTCTCTTGCCGCCAACATGGGTGGCGATTTGAACCTCAAGAAATCATGGCACCCCGTGCTCATGAGCAACCAAAAGAAGGTATGGGAGGAAGAAAAGAAAGCGCTAGAAGAGCGCAAGAAGATTGATCAGATCATGAAAGAACGGGCCGAAGAGCGAGCAATCCAGGAACTTGAGGATCTACAGGAGGCCGCTGGTGGAAGAAAGAGACAAAGTCGAGTTGACTGGATGTACAATGGACCTTCTAGCGGCCAGGCTGGCACTACTGAAGAGATGGAAGGATACCTGCTCGGCAAAAGGCGGATAGATGGTCTAATCAAGGGCTCTGAAAATCAGAAGCTGGAGAAGTCGGCGACCGAGGAGTCCTTCATGGCCCTGCAAAATGCGAATACTGCTCGAGACACGGCTGCGAAGATCAGAGAAGACCCGATGCTAGCGATCAAGAAGCAAGAGCAGGCGGCGTACGAGGCTATGATGAATGATCCGATCAAGCGGAAGTTATTGTTGAAGGCTGCAGGCAGAGAAGATGATGGCCGTGAAAGAGAACACAAGCGGAGAAAACACCACCACCATCACCATCACAGGCACCGTGACGACCGTGACAGATCTGAGCGGGCGCGACCAAATCGAGACGATGAGGACGAGCGCTATGGGAGAAGCAGGCAACGCCGACGGAGATCGTATACGCCTTCGGAATCTCGGTCCCGGTCGCCTCCTCGGAGGACAGCGAAGCCACGCTCGCGGTCTCCCTTCCGAAGAAGACGGTCAGCTTCTCCAGCAGAAAGGCGCCGACCAAGGTCTCGATCTCGGTCGTACTCTCCGCCTCGACGGAACGGCCACAGCTATGGGGTTCGGAAGATGCAGAGCTGGCATTCTTCAAGGCCGGAGCGAGTCCGATCTCGAAGTCCACGTCGTAAAGAACAAGCAGAGAATAGCGACGCCGACGATAGAGCAGCAAGACTCGCAGCCATGCAACAGGATGCATCAGAGCTACAAAACGAGCGACAACGAAGGCTGGCTGACATTGCAGAGCGAGAAAGAGCCGACCGGGAGCGAGACGATGCTGCTCGGGCGAAGACCGCGAAGCACGGCGGGCGTGCGGATTTCGTCGACAGTTTCCACAAGAAAGCTGGAGATTTAACACTCGGAGAGCGTATGGGTCGGAATGGAACGTCGCGGAGAGAAGAAGACGATTGATCCGAGCTTGACGACTGTATCGACACCGCATGTAACGGCCAGACGTACATCGTCTCTCTCATCTTCCGACAGCTTATGGCAAACAGACGGCTCGGAGGTGCTGGGACTCCCTACCGGCATGCGCAGGAACATTTTGACAGAGGCGGCTCTTATCAGCGCCAAGAATTCGCTTATCCAAAGTGCCACGAACTCAAACCGCTCCCAATCTGACCATTCTTTCCCTGTGATCCATACGATTGATGATTGTCATAGCATTATGCTCCAAAACGATCGGGTCGCCTATCTAAATGTCAAGAAGAGCTATCTGAAGCTGCGGCAGCAGCCGGCGACCTATGCTCAGAGTCTGTGGCTACAGGAAAATGCCTCCCTTCGTAGGTTACGGTAGGTCCTTTGTTGTCTGCCGCACACGACCATTGCTTGCCGCCTTTGTTACACTGTACATCCATCGCAAGTTCAGGTTTGTTTGTGACATCTAAACGGCACCGTCTCTATTTCACTCCTTCTGATCCAGAACACCGATGGAGTGAGTTGGTGGGCCTCATCCTTATCCACTATGGCAACTGGCCTCGATCCGTTCTTCAAGCTCGGCAGAGACACGTACCACATATTGCTCGACCCGAAAGCGAGCAGCTTGCCACCTGCCCTGATCCCGAAACTTCGTCGATTTGAAGGGGAGTTCATACCTGTTACTGTCGTTGAGTGGACGCCCTCAATCTTCACTCCGGCCGATCTAAGAGCAACCTGCCGGTACTTCGCAAGCACTGACGACGTCTGGAGTACTGATTTCCTGTCGCGTAAGTTTCCAAGGCGACTTTGTAGATATCATCAAAACCGGAGACTGGCTGACATCTTATACGCCTGTCAGTCATCGTTTTGTTGCAACCACCTACTGTGCGAGGCGGTGTCAAGAAAAAGCGGATATTTTCCATTGACAAATCTAGGAATGACCTCGCGGAAGGCCCATATGTCGTCCTCAGAGCGACAGGTCAAATATTTCCTGTCTTCAGGCTTGTACCAGACCCGCAGCGGGCATTCGTGAGTGGCATCTATCGAAGATCCGCTTCTGGAACGACATGGTGCGAACTTCCAGTAAGTGCACATAAAACAGGCTCGAACGTCAATATCCAGCTGATATTGCAGAAATCACCAGCATTGGTAGCTATACCTTCCAAGCTATATCACCGCCACAGCGACAACCCGTTGGCGGGCCTGAGATTTGCAGTCAAAGACACAATTGCCATTAAAGGCTTAACGACCGGGTTCGGCAACCAAGCCTGGGCGGACACATACCCTGTGGAAAGAACGACGGCCCCGGTCGTCAGGCTACTGCTCGAAGCGGGCGCTGTGCTAGTAGGGAAGCTCAAAACCACTGAGTTCGCCGAAGGTGTTGACCCGTGTGAGTGGACAGATGATGTCTGCCCTTTCAACCCTCGCGGCGACGGGCAGCAGAAACCGTCTTCCTCCAGCACTGGCAGCGCCGTAGCGGTTGCGTCATACGACTGGCTCGACTTCGCGGTCGGCACGGACACAGGCGGCTCTATCAGGCATCCCGCCGGGGTGAACGGCGTGTTCGGACAGCGCCCTTCCTGTGGGTTGGTCAGTCTCGAGGGCGTCCTCGGTGCCACCGACCTATTCAACACGGTCGGCATCTTCGCCAGAGAGGTCGACATCTTCGCCCGCGTCGGGTCATTCCTAGTCAGTCGAGGAAAGCCTCCACCATGCGTGGCCGAAAAGCGCAGATACAACCTCCTCTATCCTACTCGAGCTGCACAAACGGACAACCCGGATCCTCATCACCACGGGCAACACCGATGGTTCCCGCACCCGTCCGTCGACCCAAAGTACTGGTCCGAAGCGGAGAAGCAGATCGACGCCACATTACGAAAGTTCGAAACTCACTTTGACTGCGAACGCATCCCCTTCAACATCAACGACCTTTGGAGGGCGACCCCGCCAGTCGGGCAGTCAAGGTCGCTCGACGAAGCTGTCGGCCCCATCTATTCGGCCATCACCACGGCGTCGGCGGTGGCATGCGGCCTGGGCCAATTCATCACCGCATATCAGGCCAAACACGGCAAGCCGCCCGAGATGTCAGACCTCGTCCGCCGGCGACTGGACCACGGCCGGAACGTAGCCGCAGAGGAAATCGCCAACGCCCTGCAAGCCATGCAGGCCTTCAAGCTGTGGGTTGAGACCACACTCTTCGGATCCTACGACCAGGACGCGACCACACTGCTGATCTTCCCGCAATCGTGTGGGCGGCCGGATTATCGCGACGACGTGCCCGACCGCAGCGAGCTCTTCAACGACACCTTCAGCCTCTATTCGTTCGGCTACCTGGTCGGGTGTCCAGACTATACCATCCCCGTGGCGGAGACGGCGTACGTCTCCAGAATTACGGGGCGGGCAGAGTACCTCCCCGTGTCAATCAGTCTTGTTGGCCGGCCTGGATCGGACCTTGAGCTGTTCAATGTGGTGCGCCAAATGCGTGACACGGGGATGATATCCGATGTCGCCACAGGGGCGCGGATGTATCCCGAGCGACGGATCGAGGGCGTTGCCGTTAGCACAGAAAGTCGTCCGCAGACATGAGCGGTGGAAGTAGAGAGGGTCTCCGCAGATGCGGTCGCTTAGTCATTACCGCCTCGGAGCCGTCTTTATTTTCTGCCTTGCAGTTGGATTTTATCTTGGGCGTTGGGGCATGAGCATTGCCGATCCGGAGAGTTCTTGATGGCCGGCTCTTGCGTCCCCTTATGAGAGATCACCGTATCCTACAGCATCCATAGACGGAGGGAGGGTTTCGCGTGTGCTTCGCATCGAAGGCATCACTAGATAAGGTCTAGCGTGATATTCAATGGTACCTTTACGACTCACCACCTATCTACCTACCAAGAGCGATGACGGGTACGCATGCGATTATTTTCTGAGCAGTCGTGTTTCGATCAAGCTTCAAACATCATAGGAGTCCGTTTCACATCTAACTTTATGCGCTTAGTTGACCATCCAGGTTCAGTGCTTCCTCACAGGCATGACTATGGATGTACCTTAACTCTTTAAGTGAGTCTACACAGCCTATCCCATACCTTCGTTCCCGAAGCGTCCTCTCTTGTTCATTGCGCTATGGGCAGGACACTATCGGCGTGCGTCCCGATGCGAGTAGCGAAGCAGCTATATCTGACGGTGGGTAAATGTGGTGTGCAGTTCTTGGAGCGATGGATGTGCATTGGTGTGCATGCGCAGGCAGCCTATGGCGTGTGTTGTGGGAGGCGAGGCACTCGGCAAGAGGCCGACCAGGCGGTACAGACTAGAGCATCTCCAGTGTCATTCCAGTCTGTACATCAGCAGAAGCACCCCTTGGCTAGAGAGGAAATTTATCCTTGATATGATTTCAGCTAATGGGTGTTGGGCTGGGGAGATGCTTTTTCAACGGTCTTTCCAGAACCCCTATGCTTGAGAACTCCAAAAGGCTCGGTTGGATAACAGGATCAGGGGATGTAGCAAGGTGCAGGGGTGATGAAAAGTGACCGCGCTGGTCCCTCAACTCACGCCTCTGACATATCGACTTTCAGCGATCTCGGAAACTGCCATGTTAGCCCATATGCTGGGAGGCTCCAACCTGAGAAACTCGAAGATGACTGCAGGATCCGATCGATCCGTTACAAGGAGCAGATCCAGCAGGCAGGAATTACACGGATTCCCAGATTAGTCGTCCTCATCGTCACTACCAAAGATAGCTTTGAAAATGGCTTGGCCAGGTCTCTGCTGCTCCTGAGCCTCGTTTCTCTCGGCGTCCATGTCCTCGAGCTCTTCCTTCCTGGTGGGGGGAATTGGCTGTTGACCGATTAGCACTTCTGCAGTGGATCTATTGACCTCAGACGTCTCGTCATGCTGGTATCCGGCAGATGCAAAAGATCGAAATCGTGTTGTGGCAGATTCTGGCTTGGGGGGGCCATCTGCACGTTTTTTCGCAGGCCCGGCGTCACCATCCCCAGACGCCGTATGCGTCGGCATAGAGACACCGAACCTCTTGCATAGCAGTCTCGACGGATAGAAGTTGCTGACGGACCGTGTCATGGGACCAAACATTCCAAGTTTGGCGGCGGCTTCTGCTGGGTCTTCGGGCTTGGCTTTGGCTTTGCTCAATAGCGAGGCCGCGTGGGCCTCGCTTGATGTGTCGCCCTGGCCTTGTGGGAGAGAGGTGGAAGAGGTGAAGCGGCTTGCCATCTGTCCGCTGATCGGCTTGAAGACCTCTGCTGCCCTAGCAAATTCCTGCATTTCGAGGACCCAGTCGTCTTGTCTCATGTGCTCGGCGCGGGGCGGTAGATGCCCTGTCGGCCTCAACCCAGCTTGGATTTCAAGGTACATTCGATACCTAGATCTTTTGTTCTCGTCTTCGGCATATGGCATCCAGCCACTCATCCCGCGTTGGAGAGCTTGCTGAGCCACTTGATGGTCGAGTTTAGGTACGAGGTCCTGCAGCTTCTCTGTCGCTGATTTTGAGGATTCATGACCAGTTGGAGCAGACTCGTTGCCAGCTGCTGGAAGGTTCTGACGCCCCGATGCCGCGACCAGTCGATCACGGGCTGCGAGTGTCAAGAAGTCAAAGACTGATTTGCCTGGAAGTTGCGATTCACCCAGGAGTGATGCTCGTGCCTTCGCAGTCAGATGGGAAGCTTTGGCTGCCTCACTTGTTGAAACGAAATCTGACTTTGTGTCTGTCTCCATGTCTGGCGAAAGCGATGATTTCCATGCCGCTGGTACTTCCGGTGGTATGTACTTGTCATCCTGCAGGCTCATCGTGCCAAATGAATCGAGCTCATCTGCGAGCACGAATCCATCTGGGGGCAGTCGGCCATCGTGGCATTTTCTTAAGGTTCCCTTCAGATTGGCGAGCTTCTTTGAGATAAAAGTCGGCTTAGTAGTGACGAGAGGGTTGGCAGAGCTTGCCATAGGTTTTGGTCTTGTCCTGATCTTCTTATCGCCGCCGATGGTTTTGTTATAAGATATCCTTGGCCCCATCGAGTACGGATCCTCGTCCTCAGAACCGTCATCGTTTAGACCGCCAACACCGAACCCAGTTCTCTTCGATACTGAGGGCGGCTTCTTCCGGGCACCAAGGAGCGGACCGGCGGTGTCTTCATCTGAGGAATGTCCAGTAGGTGCAGATTTGCGAGTTCTGGATTTGCCATTTCTCGAGTCTTCTTTCTCTTGCAGTTCTCCTTCGTAGCCCAGGCCTTTATGGTCTGTTTTTCGGGTGAAAGAGATCACTTGTACATCGTCTGGTGCAAATAGATGGGTTTCTCCGGTCTCCTCGCCATCTTCATTATCACCCAATTTTGCTGCTCTTCGAACTCGGGGCCCGATGCCGTTTCCTTCCCTCCATCCCATTCTCTTCAACAACCTCGAGCCGACCGTCTCACCAGATGGTCGGAAGATGTCAATGGCGGCAATTTTGCGCACACTATCGTGCTCTGTACCAAATCCTGCGAACTCTGTGGATGCATCCAGTGTGCGCGACTCTTCTGCCTCGCGAATGTCTTCCTCGTCCATGAAATCTTCCGGCCTCTGCTGGAGAGCCTTCTGGGCATCTTTCGTACGGTTCTGCCGCGACGAGACAAAGGCGGAAGGTGCCCAACCTTCCTTAGAACCTACAGTGTTATAATATCTGCGCCCACCATTTTAGCCATTGTGCCCTAAATCATATGCTCCGGGTGCTCACCCGGCGTTGAAGCCTCCCGTGAAGGCGCCGTGCAAGCGTTTTCGCCCTCGTTCGTCTGTAACCTCTTGCTTCCATACTGGAACAAATGAGCCGTCATCACGCGTGTGTTCATCTAAAGGTGGCAGAGGTGTGCCGTAAAGGACGAAGGGCGACGCTTGCTTCTGCAAATCAGCCTCGAAGGCCTGCCGTGATCGCTTGTAAGCCATGTGGTGAGAGTGTCGAGCCGCACGATTGAGGCAATCACGTATGGCTAGCGACCTTGGGCCGGCGGGCGGCCGTGAATTTGAGTAGTGCAGCCTTGCTTGGAGGGATGAGGCTGTGAAGATGCCCATCGACTTTTCCGCTGGTACCTGAGGCACTGGCCGGGCAAGCGTCATCAGTGGGGCAACGTACCCGGTGCGGAATACTGTGGCTACCTAAATCCCCCGTCCCACTAATCATATCACTGGGAGCACCAGGAGCGTCCCCTAGCTAGGTAAGCAGCAAAGCTAGCCCAACCACCCGCCCAGTATCGCCTTGTCGAGGTTCACGGCGAGGACGGGAAGCCTGGAAGTTTGGCGGAAGTCTCCTTCGTATCCCCTCATGTGCGTTTGTCAGGTTGTTGGAAGCCCGGCAACTCATCATTCAAGCCGAGATTCATCTGTGATTCCAACTTTCGAGACGCTGATTCCAAGCACTTGAAACGCAGCGTCAGTACTTGGGTATCACCGTTCGGTCTGGACAATTCATCAATCTCATCTGACCCGCGACTCAAGATAGTTCTACCATTGGCCGACCGCCGCCCCCTCTGATCTGCCTTGGACCTCACCTCACACCGAGCTGGTGTCATCTCACTGCCTTCCTGGTCCGCCTGCTCTCTCATGCAACGACCCGATGACCCTACTAATCGCGACGCCTCCTCTTCGGCATAGTCTCCTGACCATCCTCCATCAGCATATCCGGCGATAACATCGACACAAATCCAGGCTGCACCTTCCGCGCAGCGAAGCCTTGCGGGTGCAAAGCCCAGCGAGTTGCGTCGTCTGTTGCGTCCGTGCGGTCTGCCACCAGCGCCCTGAATTCCAGCCGCAACCGTAACACTCGGTCTGAGCTCCAATAGCCCCCCGAGTTCGCTGAACGATCCATCAATTGTTGATCTACTTCGGCTGAGACGATGGCTACAGCAGCATCACAGCAATCGCCCTCGATGGTGCGCAGCCATTCAAGCTCTCGCAATCCGCCCTCCGCCTATGCTCCAGTGTCGCCGTCACAACCTGCAAGAGCGCGATCCACGAACACGAGACCCTCGAACCACACAAGGACCAGCTCTCGAACGTACGAGACGCCTCCTCAATCGAACCCTGCCGCCCTTGTGAACGTTGCTCGCAGAGACTTCGAACAGACCAATGTCGCCTCTATGCCTTCCTCCCGGCGTAGCAATTCTCGCGATGGACGAGCGGAATACCAAACAGATCCAGCATCGCATGGTAGATCATCTTCCCGCCCTGGATCTCGGCGTGGTAGTCAGGACTTGACGGCGCCTACGAACGTAGTAGCAAACGGCAGTTCTGCACATCCCCCCCTCCCGAGCGCCCACGCAAGAAGCGAAGCACACTCGTCACAACCTCATCCCACCGTCGGCCGGAGGCGCACATCGATCACGTGCCAGACAGGAACTTGGTCATTGGGCAAGACTATAGGCCAAGGGAGCATGGGCAAAGTGAAGCTAGCGAAAAACATCGAGACCGGAGAGCAAGCAGCCATCAAGATCGTTCCACGACAAAGCGCCGATGAACAGGGAAATCCGAAAGACGAACGCGCAGACCGCTCAAAGGAAATCCGGACGGCAAGAGAGGCCGCCATGGTGTCTTTGCTCTCGCACCCTTACGTCTGCGGGATGATTGACGTGCAGCGGACGAACTATCACTGGTATATGCTTTTCGAGTATGTCAATGGCGGGCAAATGTTAGACTATATCATTGCGCATGGGCGGCTGAAGGAGAAGCAAGCCCGGAAATTCGCTCGGCAAATCGCGAGTGCTCTCGACTATTGCCATCGGAACAGCATCGTTCATCGAGACCTCAAGATTGAGAACATCCTGATCAGCAAGACTGGCGACATCAAAATCATTGATTTCGGTCTTAGCAACCTCTATTCCCCACGGTCTCTTCTCAAAACGTTTTGCGGGAGTCTGTACTTTGCGGCGCCGGAGTTGTTGCAAGCGCGTCAGTATACTGGACCTGAAGTCGATGTCTGGAGTTTCGGAATTGTTCTATATGTTCTTGTCTGTGGTAAAGTCCCGTTTGACGACCAAAGCATGCCTCAGTTGCATGCCAAAATCAAGAGGGGCGTGGTGGATTACCCTCAGTGGCTGACAGCTGGTGAGTCGAAACCATGTCCATTAACAGCACAAGTATACTGACCGCTTTTAGAATGCAAGAACATTATTTCCCGCATGCTTGTTGTGGATCCGCGAGACCGAGCAAGTCTTCAAGAAATCATGAATCACCCATGGATGACGAAAGGGTTTAACGGACCGCCCGACAACTGTCTCCCTCACAGAGAACCTCTGCAATTGCCCCTTGACCCCGAGGTCATTGAGAAGATGCAAGGCTTTGATTTTGGATCATCTGCCTACATCACCGACCAGCTGACTCGAATCATCGAATCAGAAGACTATCAGAACGCCGTACGTAAAAGCTCCAAGGAAGACTACAGCCACTCATCCAGCACCGGAGAGAAGAAGCGTGGCGTATTTGATTTCTACAAGCGACGAAACTCGATCAGTCGCGAAGGACTTACTGGCCCGTCATCGGAAGCCATTCGTGGGTATGATCCAATCAACGCCTACAGCCCGTTAATTTCAATCTATTACCTGGCTCGCGAGAAGCGCGACCGGGAACGACAACAATCGAACCCCGGGGCTATAGCCATGCCGATGACAGAAAAGGAGTCCCCTCTGAAGTTGCCTGGACTACCAACTCCAGAAGCCGCGTATACTAATACGTTTGCGCCGGAGATGCCCGGGGAGAAGTCTACTGGTGGGCGAGCCAGGCCGCGGGCCCGAACGAACGGCGAAGATGACACTCCTCATGGCGGCAAGCCCCTTGAGGTGCCTGAGAAGAAACATCCTCCCAGCGCAGCTTCTCCGACAGTAATCCCACAGCCAGATCAACCGGCGAAGCGTGAAGGAACCACTTTCGGCCTTTTGCGAAGATTCAGCACTCGACGCTACCGCGATCGGGACATAGAACGGCCCCAGCCACCTCCATCTCTGAACATTCAACCGCCGGCGGATTCAGTTGCACCACCACGCAAATCTTTCTCTGTTCGGCGATCGCGCAGAAGAGATCCTAGCCCATCAACGCATCATGCAGGAGGCAGTCAACCTCAGCACGAGGGATTACTCAGTGCAAGCGGTGGGCTGTCGCGAGCTGGAAAGTTTTTGGGAAGATCGACCAGCGTAAATTCAGCTGACTATCGCCCTCGGCGCGTCTTGCAGAGAGCAACGTCAGGGAACGAGTCCCCTATGTTGGCACCTGAGCCACCGCCGACTAGCGGATCAGACCAGTCAAGTGTACATGCTAGCCGAACCGACAAAGGTGTAGAGCTTACCGATAAACCCGCACCGAACGCAAGCCCGATGACCACTCCGCGCACCCCGAACACCACTCGGACGAAATCTCTGGGGCACGCCCGCCAGGAAAGCATTCAAGCTCGACGTCGTCGTCATGAAGAGCGACGAGCTGAGGCTAATGTTCCTGAAGAGACTGATGCAGACCTACGAGGCGACGCAGATGGGTTAGACACCCCGGCTGTTCCCGACACTCCAGGGACAGAAATATCCAAGCCAGCGAGTCTCAAGGGCTTATTCTCGACTTCCACGACCAGCAGCAAGGCACCAGAGTTCATCAGGCACGATATCATCCGGGTGCTGAATCAGCTAGGAGTGCAATACACTGTGATCAAGGGTGGTTTCTCTTGCCGGCACGCGCCAAGCATCAATCTTGACGGGGTCCGAGACACGGCGGCACCGCTTGATGATGAGAAAAGTGGTCGTGTTACGAGTGGACATCAACGACGAATTTCCTTCGGCGGAGCCTTCCGTGGCAAGGACAGAGAAGATATCAGGGACGACAGGCAAGTATCTCGACACCACACGAGGAGAAGACAGCCTGATCAGAGTTTCGTGACCAACTCTGAAGGGTCGGACGAGTATCTGCAAACGAGAGGGCCAGAAACCCACGACCATGGCGCAACGAGGACCCGTGTACAAGAAGACAGCGGTGAACGCCTCGTGCTCAAGTTCGAGATTGCCATTGTGAAGATACCTCTGCTTTCGCTGCATGGCATCCAGTTCAAGAAAGTGCAAGGGGGGATGAACCAGTACCGGTCCATGACCTCTGCTATCCTCAACGCATTGAGATTGTGACACGAAGAGCCACGACAATTTTCTTTGTTACAGCATAGCTGAGTTCGTATGATGAAAGCAGTCCGCGACACGCAAGGATGGGGGCGACCTAGGTGCTGCATGAGCAACGGACGGCAACACGGACTTTGCGAAAGAGGTAGATCCTGCTGGCTGGCCAGTGACCCGAGAGGTTTCATTTACCAAATCATTGAAGTGCAAGGTACCATAATACAGCAGCAGAGGCAGAAAACACAGTGCTTGTCCACTCGGACATTCTCACTCGCGCAGACGTCGCAGTGTGTAATAGTATTTCCTACGTCCTTGTTATGTTCCATTTCAGACACCTTCGGCCTGGGTCATGCTCTTGAGGTTCGATTATCATTCGTTGGCGTCGGCGGGGAAGACGGGAAGCGATCGACGGTCATCGGAATTTGCACAGCGGCCAAGTAAGGTGTGACTCGGAGAAGAGCCGTGGCACGCATTGACAGAATCGAATGGTGAGATTGGTGTCAAACAGGTCGTCTCGCCCGTGGCAAGAATAAAACCATCCTCATCCACCGCTTATGCCCATAGACGAGGAATCACAAAGATAATAATAACCACCCGACTGAGACACTCGTGGGTGACTGTCCTTCGCGGTGACCGAGACATCTTTGCATCTTGTAACATGGGTCCGCGTGTATGGCGCCTGGGCTGCAGATTGAATCTGAGGTCCAACTCGGCGGGCGAGTGTCCAGCGAGCTCTACGCATTAGTTCTGGTGTTTGATCTCGACTGACGCCTGACCCCGCCTGCAGATGTTGTTGGGCCATATCAAGCAGGAGACATACCCAGTTTGCCAGTACGAGTACTCAGCAAGCAGATAGAAGCCGCTGATCAAGTGGAAGGACCTGAAGGGTCGAAAGGCAGCAGCCGTGTGCCCGCACGCCCGATCGAGGCTTCTTCAGGGCTAGTTGGGCATCACTGGCCACTCATATGGCGGCATGCTACTGAATCCTGGAGGGATTCCGGCATCCACACCTGGCAGCCGGGGAAGCAGAGCCTGAGGCCTGAAGCGGCTCCTCCAGCTGGGCTTTGGCACCTACAGCAGCAAGCCTCAAACAAACCTCACTTGGAGAGTCAATCGCAACCGCAACCGCAAACCACAATCACAACCTCATCGTCTCTTCCTCGCTTTCTCCTCTCCATCTTGCCTGTGCACTGCACTTTCTGCCACTCGGCCATTGCTGCATTTTCCTATCCTTCACATTTCAAGGCCCGACTCCAGGTGGTCGGCTTGCCAGTCGATTCCCCTTCCTGTAATTTAGTCGAGGTGGTTCGAGGTACCTGGCCCCGTGTCTCGGTCCCGCAAGTTGGACCGCAGCCAGTGCCTGCGGCTTTGCCCTTCTCGCCAGCTTTCCTTCCTGGGGCCCCTTCACACTTCACCCTTCAACTTTTTCTGGAGGCTCGTGCTGTGACTGCCCCGACGCTCCTCCTCCACCAAGACACCCAGCCCTCTCCGCGGCTGTGTCTCTGCCATCCTCCCCTGTCCCGGAAATTTAAGCGGATTGCAAATAATCACCACTACGAGCGCAGTCTGACTGGCCGGTTCCTGTCGATTCAGCTCGTTCCCCCGAGCGTCCCCTGTGCAACCTTGCTAGCATCGAACGAGGGCAGCTCATGGCCTCTGCGACCAGCATACCTTCGACGAATTTGAACAATAGTCTCAATTCTCCACAAAATAATGGTTTGGCCAAAAACACAATGAGATCCAGTAGCAACCAGAAGGCTATGGACGCAGGGCGCAAGCAGAGTCCCGGTGCAGGTGATGGAGTTTCAAGGTACGACAGACCGCGCCCTCAGTATTCCCTGCTAGGCCCTACATCCTCAATCATGTGTGTGACGTTTGGGTGCTGTTGTTGATGGGCAGCAAGGCAATTGTCGTTGTCATGCCATGTGCCATCTTTACTGTAGGTATCCTGCTAACCAACTATTGACAGGCGACCAACCCAGAAGGCCTGGGCCCCCAACTCGAATGTGTCCCAGCAGCGAGGTTTAATGGCTTCCCAGCAAAATGGTCACACTCCTCAATCCAGGAACACGACCGCCTCAAGGCCAACCGGCGCGCAGAAGGAAGCTGGCATCACAGACAAACAAGCACATGAGCGGCTGGTGTTTCTTTTTGGGGCAGCTATAGTAGACATAACCTATCGTCAGCAGCTGCTACAGCGTTAACTGACATTTACTGCAGGGCTTGAATATCATCGTCACGTCCCAGGTCGGAGAGAAGTTCGAGGGCCTGTTGGCGGGCTCGAGCCTCACTGCGGCCAACTCGAGGATTACCCTCAAGATGGTCAGAAAAATGCAACCGGCAACGGGGGGCCATATCAACGGCGTTGCATCTCGGGAAGCGGCCTTAGTTGGTTCGAGTCCAGAGTACGCAATGAACTTTGACTTGAAGGACCTGGCCGACATGACCATTGCCGATTTCACTCTTCCTGAAGCTGGAAAGCTTGCCAATGGTACCTGCCGCCGCATGTGCTCGTTGATCCAGACTAACGCCGGTATCGCAGGTGCCTCTTCGTCTTTCCAGACTGATACAGATATCTCTGGAAACCAGACACGTGGCGAACGCGAACTGAAGAGGTGGATCCCCGAAGGACCAGACACCACCGACTACTCGCTGGAGTCGAACAACGCGGGCAGTTGGGATCAGTTTGCGACAAACTCTCAGTTGTTCGGCGCTAAGAGTACCTATGATGAGAACCTTTATACCACTTCCATTGATCGCAATGCACCGTCCTACAAACGCCGCGAAGCCGAAGCCGAGAGAATTGCTCGGGAGATTGAGGGATCAACCTCAACAAACGCACATGTCCGTGAGGAACGGGGTCAAGCTCTGGACAATGACGGCGACGAGGAGGAAGAAAAGTATAGCGGTGTGCGACGTGACCACAAGCTTTATCCGCCGCTGGCGGTAGGCGGCACCAACAAATACACTCCACCTGCGAGACGGGCTCCAACTGGGCAAGCCACTGTGCCAGGCGTACCGATCGATCCAGCAATCATATCTGCACAGATCTCTCGACCAGATCCTGCGATTTCCACACCTAGGCCAAAGCAAGATACGGATGTTGATGGGACTACCGAGAGCACTCTGCCCGCTGCAGAGAAAGCCACCCTTGAATCGAACGGCACGGCGCCTCTCCAACCATCTCCCACCGAGAAGGTTGTCAGTCAGCCCGTTGGCGGCAATGCTGAGCCCACGAACGCCGAGGCACCAGCTGGTACCAAAGTCGTGTCGCAAGGTCCCACCGAAAATGTAGAGGTCAAAGTCCTTCACCAGTTCCGTCAGTTCGCAGACACCGAGAGACAGAGAGTAATCGAGAGGAGAAAGGCTCAGCAGAACCAGGATCGGGCCGCCAAACTGAACGAACTCCTCCGATTTTCAAAGACTTTCAAACTGAAGACGCCGATTCCAAACGATCTGATCGGAATACTTGCCAAGGATCCTGCTAAGCAAGAGGCTATCGTTGAAAAGGCACAGAAGGAATCTAGCGAATCAGTTGTCGCCACCACGGCAGCTGCCAAACCCACTCCTTCACAGGCCCCAGTTACCAGTAACGTTGCTCGCAAAGCCGACGTTGCACAACCTCAAGCATCTATGCCCGACCGACCAGTGTTCAATCGTGGCCGTGGGGGTTATTTACAGGGTGGGCGATCAGATCGAGCTGTCGGTCAGCAACAACCACTTTACCCAGGGCGAAATAACAACGCCCCATTCAACCCCAGATTTGGTGCACACCAGCAAGACCGCAAAGGAATCCAGCAGCCGCCTAATATTCCGGCCCCGATCCCCATAATCGACGGCCGTGTCCCACCAACTGGGCCTATGGCTGATCAAAGCGGGATGACCAGCCCGCAGAGATCCAATATGCACACTCCGAACTCCGCGATTTCAGGCAAATTTAATCTGAACGTGAAAGCATCAGAGTTCCGTCCGACTGCAGCTACGTTCAATCCGACCGCTGCGTCGCAGGCTCCATCAAGCCCCGGCTCTACACAGCGCACGGCTTCTATCTCCAGGACTGCCTCGCCCTCAGTGTTCTTTGGCCATCGAAAGCCCAAGCCTGCTTCGCAGAGACCTTCCCTCGCCAAATACTTTAATCCTATTGCGCGCATGAAGCAAGAACATACTCAAAAGAAGGCTGGAGATGGTACGAAGACTGAAGAGATGCAGAAAGACCACAGCAGCAATGGTGAGATCCCGTTCGCATTCCACACAGGACCTCGATGGACCGTCAAGCCTGAGAACGACCAAAAGACGTACGATGAGGCGTTCGAGCAACCCGCCGCCCCTCCGGGCGTCTCTCCAGCACAGAGCCGGTCATCATCAAGCCAACATATTGCATATACTGGGCAAGGTATGGCGATTCCTAGTGGTCCGGCCAATATTCCGCACGTTTCGACACCACAGCATATGCCTCACCCTGGGGCTCAACAATTCCAGCATCAATACGAGGATGGCACTCATCGTATACAGTATGGAGCCGGGACTCCAGGCATGTATCCTTCTCCCAGCATGGCATCTCGCCAGGCATCGGCATATGCTTCACCAATGACCCACCCTGCGCAGCTCTCGTACCAACAGCAACAGTATTTCGGGACGCCGACTGGTCAAATGCCCATGCAAATGCAAATGCGGCAATTTCCAGGCACTCCTGGCATGATGCATGCACAGGTCGGCCAGGTGACTGCACCAATGATGGTTCAACAGCCTTCCAACGGTCCGTACATGAATGTGCCGCAACAGTTCAACCCTCATATGGGGCAGATGTACTCGCCCACCCCTGGTTACGTCCATCCTCAGCAGAATGGCGGGTACTCTAGCCCCGTACGCATGGCCCCGATGATGATGCAACAGGGCTCACAGCAAGGGCACCCTCAGGCCCCGAACATGATGTACAGCATGTCGAATCAAGGAGCACAGATGGTGTATCCGCAGGCACAGATGGGAATGCATCGAAGCAGTTACGGCGGCGGGCATCAATACGGAACACCCAATCAAGGATATGCAATGCAACACCGGACCATGAGCAGCGGATATGGACAGATTCCGCACAAGATGCACCCTCAAATGCAACAAGCGCATACACCTGCTATGAATGGACCTCCACAAGGACCTACCTATGGTCAGATGGAAGGAGGTCAGGATGAGGGCAAATGAGACCCCCTTGCACACTTTTCAGCTCCATCATAACCTATCTTCACGATCTTTTCAGCCATTCCAGGGAGTGCTACAGCCGGTCGTTACCAGATATCGCACGCCGCCTCCTGAAGGCGTTCACCGGCCCGGTTGGTGATTTAAGCAAATTCTTCAGCCAGGTACGTGTAGCCACGCCATTCATCAAGGTCGTCCTTGACTCATAGCAGACCAAGAGAGATTGGCTCGCGAGGTGGCCGTGCAGAGGATCAAATATCAAGTCCGTGCGCCTGCGAGAGCCTAATCGTCATCTCAAGTGCGACAGGGAAGCATGTATTGCAATGGCTGAGGCTGCAGCCGCCGTCGCCTGTCTAGTGAGAATGCATACATGGTGGCGTGTGGATGTACCAGACTCTAGTTCCAAGGGTGGTTGGAATAGTCCCAGGTGACGACGAGAGACCTAGGGCAACGGCGTTGTGCATGGGTAGGAGGCATCAGGGCGCCAATGCCTGCGACGCAGTAGGTAGGCTTTGGCTCATGGTACAGTTGTGAGGGTAGCTGGAGACCTTTCAGACAAGTGTACTGTTGGGAGGCAGAGGCGAGGAAGGGTGCGAGCGGCTTGTAAGTGAGGCATGAGCCTTCGAGTAAACTACATGCAGTCCTGCGCTGCTGTCGACATTACCGACCAAGGTGCCGACTTGAGCCCTGCGTGGTGTGTAGGACATTAGGCTGGATTATTGATGCGAAAGTGAAAGTGAATGCGGGCTTGGCAGATGCAGAGAAAACGTGCAGGGTGCAGAAACCTGCACGCAACGCTTTTAGCTTCCTCGCTTTCGCCAGCGTTCGGCTCCCGTCTTCATTTCCCTGGTGCCACGTCAATCCTCCACTCCGACTTCGTTGACCTTCCCTTCCTCGCCCTTGCTATTGCGCTCTTCGCGCCCTTCTGGTATCGCATACAAAAGTTACGTGCGCCAGTCAGTGCAGGGCGAGGTGACTTTTGTCCAGCAGGCTAAGTCGTCAATCCGTGCAGCAAGCTCCTCAAAGGCCATCGGCTACTTCCCGGCTCCATCTCAATTCCATCTCAACCTTGGCCGGCCTAAGCCCTGTTCGGTCTGGTGTTCAATGTTTAATTCACCCGCTTGCCTGTCTCCAGCTAGTCTGCGCTCCCCCATGTCCTGGCTTCGTATCCACAGCATCAGACACGCTATTGCCAACAAGGTAAGCCGCCGACCAGGGGCACGCGGTTGATGCGCTGGCACGTTGTGCCCGTTGCAGCTCCTTCCGGATCGCTGGTTCTCAGCCTCTCGCCGACTTCAGAGCTTCGCCGACCTCTAATCGTCGTTCCTTCAATCACATCTTCGCGAGCTTCCAGAGGTCAAAGACCGACGGGTTTGTTCCTTTCATTTGCTGCTGCTCACAGCATTGTCGTCATGGCACGTTAACACTCCTGTTTTACTCGTACGAGGTAGCCTCGGCCTTCGACTTTTGGGTTCTGTCACCGTCTTTTCCACGCTGGGCTCTGCCAACCATACCTGCATTTCGTATCTGCAGCTATCTGCGTCCCACGGTCCACTCATTCGTCCTTCTCTGCACACCGTCGGATCCTTACGTTCATTTAGATCTCACCTACTCCAGGCCGTCAATCTGCATGTCTGGGCCTGCTTCTCCCTCCACAGTCACCTTGCTTCCGATTTGATAGAACTCTCCAGCCACCGGAGCGAAAGAACAGGAAGAGGGTCTGTGCCAGTTCAAGCAGGAACAAGACAGAGTAACTTTCAGCAACATACAACCAGGCCAGCAGTTACCACCTGGTTGGGCTTCAACCTCTGGAAGAATCAAGAGCTATTCCCTCACCTGACGACAACAACATGCGTCAGACGAGACCAAGCGGGACCCTACAGCCTCATTTCCAGACACCAGCCCTGCGACCACAAGTCCGACCAACAGTTTTACCTGTCCGGCAATTATTGGCTACAAAAATAAGGGTGCTGGACGAATAGGCGGCTTTACGCCATTTCACTGCTTGTAGGCGCCCCAATCCCAAGTAACTGTGGCTGTCAACCGGCATCCAGGAACGTTGCATGGACGTCATGTTCGTACTTGCTTTCGGTACCAGCGAACTGACATTCTGGCCCTAGATACCCAATCTTCTGCCAGCACACCTGAACGGCGTTTTACAGCTACCCGCCGCTATCGCGGACCTCTTTCCTCCTTGACATCTGTACATTTTGTAACAACAGCGCATATCGGAACATATTAATTTTAATCACACTGGCTTCCGCCCAGAGCACTATCACTTTTCTTTCCCCTTGTACCAACAGTTAATACCCTACCGGAGGACAGTCGCTACCAGGAAGACCAAGATCAAGTCGCTCGTTTGGACACATCACCAGCCTCGCGGCGCTTCGCTCGAGGCAATCAAGAAGGCGGTGCAGGAAATAATTGCGAAAACCGGCGGGCTATCGGAAAACCATCTGCGACAGACAACAAGGGAATTCTCCGAAGAGGCTCCCCGAAATTCTCCGAGGTTCGGTTAGGGAAACGCGAGGCTCGGAAAGCCTCGTCTGACATTTCGTTCGAGAAAGCTACTGTGTTGAGGGGGATAGGCGTCGCAAGCGCCCTCATACTGGGGTCAGGCGGCTACAGGTAAATTGCACTTTTCTATTGTTTCACGAACCAGGCCCATTGTCGGAATCGTCACCTCCGCCTATTCACTCACCTTCCTCACCCTTCTGTCATCTTACTTTTACGTCGACCGACAAGCGCCCATTATCCACTCGTTGGCATTGGTAAAGTATTCTTCAGTCATTCTGAGTCAGTCAAACATCGCAACTACAAAGTCCAGACTCTTTTGACTTCAGTTGACGGATCTTGGCGATTGTTTCACAACCTACCTGCCAGCGCGCACCACGAGTCCTGGGTCAGAAAAAGAATGGATATAGACTCCGACACAGACAGAGATGACGCGAGAATGTCCGAATTACCGTCGGCGTCAAGTGCGTTTCGACGTTGGAAACAAGGCTTCGTTGAACTGACGTATCTGTCTCGACAGTGGCAGCCGTGCATCAGGGGCCAATCGGATCCACCACTGTACTCTATTTGGATGGCCTCCTCGGAAGTGGATCAAAAGTTTTTGGGTTATTTCGCAAAAGTCACAACCACGGAGAATAATTATCTTTCTAGGTAAGCCTCCTTCTCATATTCGAGGCAGGCGGAGAAGTCGAATGGCGTTGATCAGGTCGGCTGACACTGGCTGTGGTGGTGCGAATACAGCTTTCTTTTCCGCGTCCTCGGTCTCTCCGTAATACTGGCAGAAAAGCTGCTACGTGCCCGTCGCGCAAAACGTCTCGACCCAGTCCGCGACCCCAAAGCGCGGCAACTAATTCATCACATATTATGGCTCGCACGAGAGGGTTTGGTTATGGTGGAGCAATATGTGCTCCCTATGGTTGGCAACTACGTCGAACTCAGAGTCTTGAGTTACAAGCTCAAGGCTAGTTTCTACCACATTTTCGTTTTATTTCACAATGAACCTCCGGTAAATGATCGGATTAATCGAAGCCGAAGTACTGGCGGTGGCGATGGGAGTTTTGCTTTGTTTCCAGAACCACTGAGTCCGAGGGAGGCGAGAGAAGGAAGGGAGAGGTCGAGCAGGCAAGGGACGCTACGGTCACCGACAGAAGGAAATGGCGCTCGTAGGCGGTCTCCCGCCATCAGTACGGGTCGAGTCATGGGCGCCACGACAACAAGAACGCCGCCTGGTCTTCCTCTTCCAGCAACGTATCCTTACTCTGCCAACGGGCAAAACGGCAACGGCAATGGCACAGCAACCTTTCTGCTCCCACTGCAGGACTATACCCCTATCGCCAGTCAAGCGTTTCGAGAAGCGAATGAGCTCGCCGAGAGTCTTCTTCCAGGTTCTCATCCTGTCCGCTTATCCGTCAAAGTCGAATATGTAGCTTATGTGTACGATTGTTTGCATGAAGCGGAGGCATCGAGAAGGATGGCCAAAATGTCCATCAGACACGTTTACGAGGCGCAGGAAGGCATGGACGATGATAGTTTCGAGGATGCTGCCGAAATGGTGGGAATTCTTGGTCGGATGATGAAGAGGGGCTTAGGACAAGGGGGGAGCAGTGGCAGTCAGGTGCGAGCCGATGGACAAACCGCGGGTGGACGAAGAGAGCAGGTCCAGCAGCCATCGACTTGGGTGTAGCACTCGATCAGCGGTCATGAAAGAGATTGTGCTGACAGTGAGTGCCGTGTCTTGTCTTAGCGCCGCCGGGTATACCCAGCCTAAGGAATCAAGAATTTGAACTCCTCTGATGTGGTTGGAGACGGACCCTTTCCTGTCGTGATCACCATCATTTTCAGCATGGCAAACATTCAGTTGTTGAAGCATAATCAGGCGATCCGCGAATTCTGGACTTCCAGTAGCATACTGTGGGTTCGGGCGAATGGGTATGCGTGATTCCCTCAAGCTTGCATGAAGACATGGTCCTCTGAAGTTAGATCTGGCTGCAGCAGGATATGGGGAGGATGGGGCACGCATGGCGGACGGAACCTAATTAAAGTGAAAGCCACAGACGTCGACCTCCGCAGTGTCAACAAGCCTTGTATCAGGTGTCCGTATGCGGCAACAACGGATCAGCCTTCCGAGTTCCGACGTCGATGCTGATGTCTTGCATGTGAGAGCGAATGCTGACCGCCGGTGACAACAGGTGAGCAGAGTGACAGGGTAAGAAGGCTCGAGGGCAGCACCAGGGTCCTAGCGCCTGCGTGGGATTGTGCTAACGCCTGTAGACCGTCTTTCGTCATTGCGCGGGATCGGTTGATGCGGGTGAGTCGTTCTTATCAGAATCTTCACCCCTCAAAATCCTTTGACCTGCTCTGTATTCTTTGTGCCTCCTTCTCCACTCAACCGACGGCCTTGCAGCCTTACTTACTCCCACCCCAGCCTGTCCAGCGCGTCGTCTGGGAATATTGGTCTCGCTTCAGTTGTGTGGCTTGGACGATGGCAACCCCACCGTTGCGGGGATTCGCACCCGACCAATGCGAGCACTTGGCCGCTCCGTCGATTCCCCAATTCGTCGTCTCATGGTATGCTCCTCCATTGTCCCCCATGAGGGATAAGGGAGCAGTAGCTAACGCCTCAGATGCAGTGCGTTGATGGGATGGCTACTCATCTGCTACATTCCGCAATATGCACGCATCATCTCACGCAGATCGGCCGAGGGCCTCTCGACCTACTACGTTCTGCTGGGCTCTCTGTCGGGCGTCTGTGCCGTGGGGAACATCATGATGCTCCCGTCCAGTGCAGTGGAAATCGGATGTTGTAGGACGAATACCCGCTTTGCCTGTCTCAGCGGTCTCTTGGGCATGGTCCAGGTCACGTTTGGCATCGTATGCTTCTGGGTTGTGTAAGTCCAGGATCCTCTTCCCGATGCTTTGACTTCGAGACGCCGCCCGCTGACTACCATGACCATCTGCCAGCATGTTCATGTACGTGTACTACTCGGAAGAAGAGGCCGAGGCAGAGATCCGCGGCAGGAGAGCATCCATATCTGGGCCTGACCGCACATTTCGCCGTGCTGCTCGAGCAATCCGAGTCCTCATCACCGCATGCAGTTTCGCTTTCGCCGTGCTCCTGGTCTCGGCCGTCATTTTGCACCGCTTTCCGTGGGTCGCTCAAACGTGGGCCAACATCCTCGGCGTTGCTGTTGCGGTGTTTGCATGTGTGCAATGGGTTCCTCAAGTCCGGACGACGTATCATCTCGGCCATCTGGGGAGTCTGAGTCCGCTGTCATTGTGTCTGATGGCGCCCGTGAGTAACTCCCTGCTCACTTCGTTCCTCGCAAATACTGATGGTTTGCTGGATAGTATACCTGGATATTTGGCATCAATATGATCATACGAGTCGGCCTCGCCGGTTGGAGCGCCTGGATCGTATACGTCCTCGTCGGGACAATGCAAATCATCCTGATTGTAATGGCGATCTGTTTTACGGTTAGAGACCGCCGATTGGCCAAAGAAGGAAAGCAACATTGCTCTACGCCGGCATATCTGGAAGGCTGGGCGGCGGACAATTTCACTCGCCCCCGAACAGGGTCAATGATGTCCCATACACCTTCGCACCTAGCCCCGGATGAACGTCGCCCGTTGCTCCATCATCACAGCTCCGAGCACGCCACCACTTCACCAAGACGTTAGATGGAACAGACGTCCACATATCCAGCACTTCTTTACACGGACCGTAACCCAGATTCCTAGTCGTTGGAGGCGGCAGATGCGACCACAGTCACGATAATCCTTTATTCCAATAAAATGGCAAGCGACCCAGAACCCACGGAGGCCTTTTCTCCTGTTATGCCGCAAGAAACAGGAGTGTCCGAGGAAGCGAGTCGTTAACTTCACTTGGAGCACAGCTAATAATTCCCTTAGACGTGCGAATGTGGCAGTTCACTGCACAACGGATAACTGAGCGTTGAGCAAGTCTTGTGTTATATCTTAGATGCCAACTATGGAGAAGACGAGCGCAGGTTAGAATAGAACAGGAAGATGTTTGGAGCGTACGGAGTCGAGCCAGCTGTAGTGAGAGGTGAGCGTCCCTTGGCACGCGCATCTCAGGGTCTCTGGCGAGGCGCGATTCGGCGCGGGAAATGATCGAAAACGGAAAGGAAACGGAAGCACCATACGCACCTCGTCGTCTGTCGTCCCGTCACCTGCTCTTCTCCTGGCGCTGTCCTCGCTTTCTGCATATGATTCATGCCACCCTCGCTCGTTATGTAGCTTCTTTCATGGCAGTGACATTCTCTGTTCCCGCCATCACCATGCCTTTCACTCCGCCCTCCAGCCCATGAGAATATGCAATCATCAGCAGAAGCAGGTGCCCAACGGCCGTCGCATTCGCAGCGTCGGCAACAAGACTTTTCAGAGTCGGCATACCCCCAGGACCAGACGGCAGCCATGAATCCCTCGACCAGCTCCACCTCTCACCAGGCTCGGTCCTCTTCGGGCTCAGGTCGCTCTCAGCGGAGTGCCAACGTGCGTACCTGCAACGTCTACGGACGCTTACTTACCGTTCTGCACTAACGCCGTCGTCTAGCCCGACAAGCAGATCTCACAGATCGAAAAGAGCGTGACGCATCTACTCGTGGCCACAAAACAGTTGCTCGAGACCCTGACACAATGGTCGCGCGGACTGGCGCAGGAAGAGGAGGTCTCGGATGTTTATGTGCGGTTGGGATACGAATTTAACCTGGCTTGCCGCGCCTTCAACTCAATCGGCGTCGAGACATCCGACCTTGGTCCTGTGCCTGATCTATTGCGGAATATCCTCGAAGACACTCTGAGCCAACCTGCCTCACCTCAGGCCCTCGACAACTACCTCCCTCGAATCCGCGATATCATTATCAACCTTCTTCACGGTCTGAAGAGGAAGCAAAGCAGACTGCGAGGCCGCGCCAGTAAAGATGGCTCTTCTACACCACAAGCAAAGCCAGCTGTGGGAGGGGGCAGACAAGGCAGCGTATCTACGACCGGGAGCAATGAGACGGGCCTGACCCACATGCTTGATGATGTGTCCAGCTCGACTTCGAGCATGCGCGCTCAGTCTCCTCCGGGGGCCAGCTTAGCTTCCGATCAGGTCTATGCGCCGGCAAATGCTTCAGCAGCGACGCCCGGGAAACGACCTGTTCTCAGCCGACACTCAATACGCCGGGATGATCCTCTTCCATTGCCTCAATCCGACTCCGGCTCGACAATGTCCTCTTCCGCCACCCCTCACAACGCACCTGTACCCAGTTTCCCACCGAATCAGGACGCGAACGGGTCGCCCTCGATACCTCAGATCAACTTTCCACACCCTCCGCCACCGCCACCCAAGGAAACTGACGCCCTGACCAGGCTGCAAAGAGGGGGTGATCTGGAAAGACGTGCCTCCCGAAGGTTCTCGGCGTATCAGATACAAAAGCATCTTGGTGCTTCCCCAAATGGTGTACCCGTCATACCTACCGCGCAGAACTCCCCTGTCCCCAACAGGGGGAAGGAGGTGCGCGAATCTTTGAGCGCCGTCCGATCCCGCAGTTCCTATCAACAATCTCGGTCAAAGTCTCTTCGTCAAGGAGATATTTCGCCGAGTAGGAGCGGCACTGTAAGGGCGCCCCGGCGGATCACCGAGGAGAGAGAAGAAACCCCCGTACTGTCATTACGAGATGTACCACCCATGCAACGATCCGAAGAGCCGGCGAATCTTGACAGTCCGACCGTGAAGACCCCGGATGAGTATTTCAGAGCGCCCAAAGTTGACCCACGTGGTGGGGATGGGCTTGTGGGCGCGACTGTGAATGGCCCGCTCAGTCCACCCCCGGAGGAGTTGCAGCAAACCGCCTCTCTCGATTCAGTATTGGCGCCAGCAACTCCGGCCGAGCATACCACATCCGTTGAGATAGAACCGGTCAAGACGCCCGAGACCGCTCAGAAAAGGCCGCGAGAGGACGTGACACCACACCAATCGCAAGTACTCGCGAGCGACTCTTCACCCCAGCAAGGCAAAGAATTGACCTTGTTCTTGCAGTACAGGACCAAAATCAAGAAGTTTGTGCTGGCAGACGGGTATGAGGAGCTCACTATCGCACGGCTGCAACTAGCCTTCATCGAAAAATTCGCATGGAATACCCAGCATGACGGTGCCGAACTGCCGGAACTCTATGTGCAAGATCCGGTGTCTGGTGTCAGACATGAGCTGGAAGACCTGTCTGATGTCAAAGATCGCTGCGTACTTGTGCTCAATGTCGAAGCGCTCGACGAGGTGAAGAAGCATATTGACGAAGGCATCGGCGGGCTACAGAAGACGTTGGACGGGGTGCGGTCGCTGTTGGAGGGGCAAGGGACATTGATGCAACGTTTCGCCGACCGGCAGCTGGAGACCTCGAAGGAGATGGCGAGGATGTCGGCCATACCTGCCCAGCATCCCGCGAGGACTCCGACCCTAGCCCAGGGCAAGTTTACGACGGCCTCGGCAGCCTCGGCGTCCACTCTGCAGGAGATTCAGAGTCTGCGGCAGGAGATTGCAGTGCTACGGCAGACATACTCTACCATGACCTCTGACTTTACTGCGGCTATGAGCGACATCAAAGCCAAGGCGGCCAATGTGAAGGCTGTGGCTGCAGAGGCTGCCAACGCGTCGTACAAGGGTGATGCGGGCCGAGCACACATCAATGAAGGCAAGAAGTCCTTGTCAGACGACTCGGAAGCGCTAGTCAACCGTGTGGATGACCTCTCCGACATTGTCGAGGAACTGCGCAAGGACGTGGTGAGTAGAGGAGTGAGGCCACTTCCGCGAGCACTCGAGGACATCAGTAAGGAAATCAGCGCAGCCGCCAAGCAGCTCGCCAAGGTCAAGGACTTTGTCAAGCGGGAGAAGCCGATCTGGACCAAGATTTGGGAGCAAGAGTTGCAAATTGTCATGACCGAACGAGATGACCTGACCCAGCAAGACGAGTTGCTGAACGACCTGGACGGCGATCTCGACGACATCACGAGTGTCTTCAAGCTTGTGGAAGAGGCCACCAAGCAACAAAACATTCAGACGGGTGGCAGACAGCCCTCGAGGAGTCTTGCCTTTGACACGGACGTCGACCCGCATGAAGCAAAGAGTGGGATGCTCGATGAAGTTCGGGCACTGCAGCCCAACCATGAGAGCCGACTGGAGGCCATTGAGCGAGCCGAAAAGATCCGTCAGAAAGAGTTGGAGAGTCGCAAAGTGGGTGAGTTCCAGCGTGAGGTCGAGACTTTCGTGGAAGAGGGCAAGCTTAGAAAGACCGGGGGAATGGACGAAGTCGAACGCCGCCGAAAGCTGAAAGACGAGCAGGCGAGGCGGGACAATTACGAGCGACAGCAGGCGAGGGCGGCTGAGCTAGAGAGGAAGCGCGCCGAAGAAGCGGCGGCGGCGGCCACGGAGACGAATGACGTGTCGACAGAAGAAGGCCTCTCCGAGCAAGACCCGTCTATGCGACCAGACGACGGCACAGAAGAAAGGGTACACCCGTCTGAAGGAGGGACAGGGACTTCTCCACAGGATGGGACGCGCGAAGCAGCAGAGGCGGCAGCCAAGATCGATCTGCCTGAAATTGAGGCGGAAGCGGAAAGGGGACTCGGTATGTCATTTTTTCGTGATTCCATGAGCGACGCTGGGTGATGCCCAGACGGAAGGATAGTATGAAGTTGTAATCCATCGCATATTCCATCCTGTCCTAACGCCACCTCTTCCCTGCCTGTTTCATATGAACGGGGCTGCCTCGAGAGCTGGTACTGATGTACTGATATACTGGTGTATTGCTTCCTTGCCCGTCTGTTTCACCGTCTGCCTGTGTGTAAGAGCCGGGTACTGATTGATACTGATGTGTTGGCGTTGCCATTTGGTTTCGAGCAGGCATTCTAGACACTTCTATGCTCACGTCGACTACTGAAGCCGGCGACCACGAAGGCGACCACGTGGCCACCGACGAGAACGAGAAACAACAAGGTGGGGCCGGAAACGACGAGCCCGAGAAGAAGGAGCATAAGGACAAGGACAAGGACCAAGATAACAACAGGGGGAGTGGGAATTGGTGGCAGCCTGCCATTTTCTCGAATTAAAACGTGAAATGAATGCATTCGAAACATGGCATGCGCGATGTCGGGGGCCGTTCTGGTTGTGGTGGTGGCGGTCGACCATCCTTTCCGACTGGAAGTGGACTTGGATGTGGATGTGAATGGTGAATTGGGTGGTGAATGCGCTTTGAATTCGGTATGCCGGATCTGTGGGGTTGTTGTGGGCGTGGTGGCGGCCGGCCGGCCAGCCATCTTCCCCCGTCGAATCGAATGTGAACGGACGGTGGACAGTGGACGGGTGAATGATCTCTGACTGGTGTTTTTGGTGGATGTGGAATCTGGGGGAGATGTGGGCCACGTTGTATGTAGTAGGTTACTGTGTCCAGCCTCAGCTCCCAGTGCCAGCGTCGGAGTCAACTCAAGCGTGATTGTGACTGTGATTATATTGTAGTTAGTTACCTAGGTACTGTACGTTCAGTTGAGTTGAGTTGGGCTGAGTTGAGTTGAGTTGAATATTCGGCGAATGTATGTGATTCCAGCTACGGTAGCTGCACAACAGACACCAAGTCTCAGGCTGTACAGAGTACTGTACGGAATAATTACACCAGACCAGCCAGTCGCCTCTGCGGTATATCGGCAGTTCAGTTCGACAGGATGTTCAACACGAGGCGTTATCCTCTGCTCTGCTCTGCTCTGTGCGCTCCTACGTTAGGGTCTGCACTCTTTGCGGCAGGGGTCTCAAGCCACTCGGGTTTTATCTTCAGATACGGGACGAGAAACTTACTGTATATATGAATCTGGCCCTTCTGATCGCCCGGTACACCTTCTGTCATTAATTGATATGGTCAGATAGATACCAGGGCACGATTTCCAATATTGTGTATTGTATGTATGTTGTACAGCCCAACACAGTACAAGTGGGACGGCTTGGGTAATTAGACCAGCACAATTCCCGACCGATATTGCCATGTTGACAGCCCAGGGCAAGCTACTGTAGGTATCTTCTGAGAGGATCCTGTCTGTCCGTGATTGTGCTGTATGACTAACCATGTGTATATATGTATATCTGTATCATGTAGTTATATCTGAGATGCGGTGCTCTGTACTCCCGTGCTTCAGTGCATCTCTCAAGGAGAGATCCGCAGCCTCGGGGGATCGCCCCCGGAAAGACTGAGAGTCCGAACACTTCATGCTGGATCATGCACCGCCAAGGCTTTGGCTTGTATGCTTGTTATGGACGCGGGGAGCACGCGGTTCATGACAGTACCTTCCGTGCAGCGAGTGCGTGTCGTCATTACCGCGTGAACACTGCCTTGCTTCGGATTCTCTGTAAAGGTCGATCGCCAGGCAACTAGCCAGACGATGGCTAAGCCTACGACTGTATCAATACAGGTACCTAAGTACGCACCGTATTCCATCCTTGGTGGCGCAATAATGTGCGCTTGAAGGCCAAGCTTCGTGTGAATGCTATGCAGTACAGTACGTACGAGACATGAAGGATCCGAAAGTCACGAATCTGGCCGGTATAGCGACTGGAGCAAGAAAGAAAGTGAAGCACTGAATATTGAAGTTGGTCGTTGAGCATACCGCTCACCTATCTACTGGGATAGAACTGCTGTAGGATAGTAATGCCATGTCCCATTTCCCCGTCTATTGCTCCCGCAACTCGATCCCATGTCGTTTCTCCTTGTCACCCGGAGCGGCACGTTGAAAGACATGAGCCGCATCGGCCAGAGCCACCAGACCGTCCTGCGAAGTTGACACTTGAGCACCTAGTATTGCGGCGGCAGCCCAGCCTGGCGGTGCAGGTGAGGATCCGGCACTGGGCTTGTTGCTCGCTGGGCTAGGATACACAGAAGAACCCTGCACGCGTACTTTTTTGTAAGCACGCCAGACGCCGGCAATGCTCTGGTGGCGCGTGGCCTCTCACTCCGCAACGTCCCGTCTGCTGCTCTGCGCACTCAACCCGCTGGATCCCAAAAAGTCGTTCATAGCACGGTACACCGTCTCGTGCCCGTACTCCATGTTCAACCCATGTCCGCCACCGGCTACGATCGTGACGTTGACGTCCTTGGCGTTGGGGAAAAACCGCTTCGCCATGTCCGGGATACTGTCGGCGTTGTTATCTCCAGTCACATAGCAATTGCCACCGCAGAACGGAAGATCTCTCTCACCAGTGATGACCATGACGGGTCCTGAGAAATCGCTGGTCCCATACATGGCACCGCCGATGGTAAGGAGTTCGCCCATCGCAGCGGGTTGGCCGTTTGCATATGCATAAGCCACGATATCCGGATCGTACTGGCCTGGGCCAAGGAAGTTAGTGTGCAAAGCTGCTTGGTTCCCAGCGGCAAGGTATCCAGCTTCGTAGGCACTAGTAAGGTCGGTGACGGAGATCAAATTGCCGCCAAAGACGAAGTACGAGAAATACGTCTTCTCCATAGCCCAACCTTGGAGGATGAGACCGTCGGTAGCAGAGGGATCGTCGCGAGCGAGCCCATAGGATAGGACGGCGCCGAAAGAGTGAGCGACGTGGATAATCTTGAAACTGCCGTCTGGACTACCAGGAGAGTGATGCTTGCGGGCATGATCGGTCAAGGCGGCGAGGGCAGCTTGCGTGAGCGGGGTTTGTATCTCTGCCAGAGGATCGCCGTGGGAGGAATTTGCGATGCCCAGACGATCCCATGCAAGAGTCGAATATCCGTACTGGTCAACAGCAACTGCGATGTAGCTGTAATTGAAGTTGTTGAACGGGAGATCCCAGTAGCTCTTGTCGAAGCCGATACCGTGTGTGAGGATCTGGAGGACACTGCCTGGACCGTCGTCCGGCGAGCAGTACGTCGCGAAGATTTGGTAGCTACCCGTGACCGTGATGTAGTCGTGGAGGATCGACTGCGAGTAGTTGTTCCCTTGACGACCAAAGTCGAGGGCGAAATCAGTCACTTCGAGGCCAGACCGAGGCACTGCCACGTCGAAGGCGGCGTTGCGAGCTGAGATTTGGACGGGGATGGTGATGTTTTGGCATTTCCTCGCCGACACAAGAGTCCAGGCGAGCATAGCCAAGAGAAGGAGCGAGTGAAAGCCCATAATGGTTGCGGTGTGCAGATAAAGATAGGTATGGAGCGAGTGTCTTTTGTGGGTCTGGTGTCTGAGCACTGACGAGATTGTCGGGAGAAGAAGATCGGTGGAAAGATGGGAGTCCAGCTCTCTTTATGGTCGAGAGGTAGACCGCAGATACACGTCACATATCGACAGTGAATCTGGGACGTTGTCACTAGCGCTATGTCCAAGGTCCTCATAGACAGTGAATCTGGCATGTTTTCGTTGGCGCTATGTCCAAGGTCTTCGTGGCCGACAGTGCAGTGACTTTCAGGTGGTGGTTATCGGCGGTTGGACAAGGTCCTCCTGTCGTCACTCCGACCGGTGACAAGGGGTGAAAGCTGTTCTTGTCATTGGCAGGAGCAGAGGCAGAGACCATTTCGTGACACTGGGACTGGTTCTTGCGCACCGGAGCATGACCATCTCTGAGAAGCTCCTCTTGGGCTGTAGAAAATATATTTATGTCGCTTGTTGGATTTTACGGTTCGATGGTCTGTGGAATGTCGAGAGTTGGAAAATTTTCTGTTGAGTTGGACCGTCTAAACAGTGACAACGTGACGCCGATGCTGGGAGAAAGTGCGGGCGGGCTGAACATCTGAATGTGCTTGATCTTCACTGCTCATCCCGATAATTGCTCCTCGGCCAGTTTGACAGCCTCCTTCGCTCTGATCTTTACACCTTTGCTAAGGGCTTCCCGGCTGATTTTCCGCACTGGCTCCATAAACTCTTGCGCCAAGCTCAACAAGACACTCTTCTTGCTTTCCGAGTTGCTGTTCTCCGCATCTTCATCATCGAGCACTTTCTGGACTGCGTTGAGTTGCCCGGCCAGTTCTTCAACCCAAACATCCAGGACATGCAATCTCAAGCCATCTGGTACCTTGCGTTCGCGAGGACTAAGCGGCCAGGCCTTGATAATCCGAAGTGGACTGGCCACTTGACCTTTCAGTTTTGGATCTTCCTTGACTGCCCATCCCAAAACAAGTCCGAATTGTTCTCTGATGAAGAACCGGACAAGTAAGAGAACTTTGTTCATGCGCCACTGATCGATAGAAGCCCATTCTCTGCATACTGTTTCCCAGAAGGCCGTCGTCCATGTTCCTAGCCAGGACTGGCTTTGAGCGGTTTCGGCATCGACAAGCTGCTGGTCTTTTTGGTCCATGGTCCTGATTGTGCCGGCGAGTTCGGCGATGAGTTTCTGAACCGACAACGCATTCTTAGTATCGTGCATGTAGAGTGCAACGTAAAAGCCTCGCCACAGCTGGAGACATTCGGTTGGTGTCAATGGTGCTGAGTAGTCTCGGTCTTGTAGGTAAGTGAAGATATTGTGAAGACAAGCGCGACGCAGAGATGCTTCTATTTCAAGGCAGGGTCAGCAATCAGAGCACAACATGCACAAAGACGGTAGTATTGCAAGCGGGGTAACGTTTGACCCCTGAGCTCTTGACAATCAAGCAATTGGTAGAGTCCTGCCTTGGATATGGGACCAACTGAATACAGCCAATATCAACGAACATAACTGCTTGCTTGCTGTGGCAGAAACTTGTAATTCAGGGTTGGCGATGCAAACCTGGTGTTCAAGTGACTGAAGTTGCCGGATTGCCCGAGCAAGGATTTTCCCCAGTGGCCAAAGAAGACAAGGAAACGACAGAAGGGCGATTACCTACCACTACTAGCTAGGTCCTTGACACTAGGAAGACCTGTTGATCCCATTTGTTCCGACATTGTCACGTCTCAAGGGAGACTTGGTGGATACAACGTCAAGATCATGTCTTGAAAACACGAGGAGAGAAGCCGCAGAAAAGTTGATAGACGACGGAGCCAATCATGGCGCGCCACAGCTTGGCTTCCGAAAACGGTTAGATCTCATAAACCCTACCTCTAGCCAATCAGAGGCGATCCGGCCTCCGTACTCCGTACAGTACGTACGGAGTCGTGGGCACTGTACATGTCGACCATCTTTCTTCCACAAAGCTCGCTGAAGCAAGCGGCTCTCGGTCTAACGCTACAAACAGTACAGAACTCTATGTTCCAAAATACGCGCGCTATCATGTGGACACAACAATTACCAAGGCCGCCTCCAACCATTAGTCAACACTGTAGGGCGATCTTATGCACTCAAGGCCGTTGAAGTCGTCTCCGTCGCCTTGGTCTTCGTCCTGCGGACCATACTTGGCTGAGAGAAAGCTTCCAGATACCGCGCGATTATATTCGCCCGAAGGTCTGCTACCGGGATGACGAAGATAATCCATATAACTTTGGCTGCGTCTTGCACCTGTATCCTTGCCGCCTGCTCCTGGCCGTGGTGGAGAAACGGTACCCTCAGAGGATTCCTCAAGCACGTGGTTGGTTACGGTAGCTTCGCGGTCTGAGGAAGCGTGAGAAGCTTTGGAAGTCTGGTCGATATCATCGTCGTCCGGTGATTGGACCTTGACCCTGGCTCCTGGGGAATTTTCGTCTGGGGCTGGCTGTTGACGAGTCGCAACGACAGCTGTGTCTGACGACTCTTCTCTATCATTGTCATCACCCTCGTTGATATCAGGACCGCCTGGCGTGTCTAGTGCAGGTGGTTTTGTCCCGGTCGTGGCTAGACCGTCATCAGTGTCATGGTAAAGTCCGGTCTGACTGCTGTTGGGGGACTCGGGAATGGTACCGCTGGCTTCTTCTCCACCTTCTTGCATGACGAGTGTTTCGTACTCAGCCGAAACTTTCTGAGGATTGTGATTTTCCAAGTCCTCTGTTCTTTCTTCTCGATGTGCCTCATCAGGACGCACGGTCATTGACCGTGAATCATGACTTGATCCTGCGGTGTCCTGAAGTCTCTTCGGCTTGATGGGTGGGTCTTGGTTTTCGCGACCTTGCTGTGGTGGACTGATCGAGGCGCGGGAACCTTGTTGCTGAACTGATGGCCTCGCGCTCTTTGGATCCATTCTGGCATGGTTCGGCCCGGATTGCTGTGGCAATTGGTTTGCGTCTGACCTCATCAGGATCTCCTTCTGTGGCTTCATCGGTACTTTATTGTTCTCGACAACCACGATGATCCATACCCCGATCTTGTCGTCACTTCCGAGCAACGGTGTTGCAGAGATCCAGCAAACTCGCCCGTGCCCTGCATCTTCCAACCTACTTCCAACTCGTGTTGCTGTGCCGTCTCGTCGACTGCCGGCTTCTAGCAGGAAATTGACTTTCGCAGACACAGGCACCCCGTTTCCGAAGCTCTCCTTTAGGCCGCTTAGAGTGTTGGCGGAAGCAGCCAAGTGGGAGAGGATGGGATGCTGAACGACATTACCCAGCCTGCCGCGAAGCTTGGGCGAGACAAAGATTATACGAAGTGAAGGCGCCGGCCTGATCAGCAAGTAGCTTTCGTAGACGCCTGGCAGCCTCCCTGACAAGCCTGACCGCCCTGACTGTCCGAGCTTCCAAGTCTTGTCTGCGCTGTCGGCAATATCTTCGTCGTCGTTATCGGAGGAGAGATCGGAGTCGGCAAGCACCCTCCGACCGCCCTTGCGGCTGCTGCCGATACTGCGTTCGTCCTCATCCCCGGACGCGGACGCTGAGCGACTGTGAGAGCGTACCACCGCAGACTCCTCTAGGTCAAACATCTCACTCAATTCTCTCAACTTCGCCAGAGCCCTTGGTTTGCGGATATCCTCGTCTGCTTCCACGTCTTTCCCGCGAGCCTCTCTTTCGCGTCTCTTAATCTCGCTACTGAACATGTATTGCTCGAATCCATCGAGCCCCTTTCCGCGCGCCACCAGACCCGTGACATCGACCTGAGCGCCAATGTGATATTTGACGTTCCCTTTATCGTCATGAAGTGGGGCGATCATCAGTAAATTTATGAATGGTCTGCCATCTCTGCGGTAATTCAACAGGGTCTCGCAAATGTCTTCACCTTTGCCAATGGTTTCCCTGAGTCTTGCCACGGACTCTCTTTTGGTCTTTGAGCCTTGGAGAAACCGGCAATTGCGCCCAATGACATCATCCGGACCGTAGCCCGTGTACCGATAGAACTCCTCGCTGGCGTAGATGATTGGATTGTCCTCCTCCTTGGGGTCGGAAAGGCAGAATACTTCAGACAAGCCGCCGACCAGATCCCGCATCAGAGGCGTCTGTCTGCCTGTAATCTCGTTGACGAGGCATTCCGATACTACCTTCACTAGATTGTAGGTGATGTACATTGGGAGGGCGAAATCTAGCATAAGTCGAAAGGCGGCCGTGCTCGCCTCCTCAAATACTTTGTCCAGGGTAGCTGCAACAGAAGCTCGCGGGATCGAAGAGCCTTCTCTATCATTGTCTGAAGACAGAGGCACACCTTCGGCGACAGCGTTTGCGTACTCGACAGCTTTTATGGCCTTCTGAGTTTCGAGGTAGCGGAGTAGAACCGGGTGGTACTGTGGCCGGTACTTCGTCAGAAACGACGTAAATCGTGTCAGATGATGGGGGTCGCGTAAGAGAGTATTGAGATGACCCATTGAGAACAGAGACTCCGAAAGCGTCTCGATCGAAGGTGGCTTGGGGCGTGGGGGAGGAGGCCGTAGATCGAAGTCCGAGTTAGAGGACGAATCCTCATTCAACATTCCCGTTCCACTGTCATTCTCAGACATGGTGCGTGTAATTGCTGGCTCTTTCGCAGAACCTTGGCGAGGAAGTTCAATTCCAGACTTTCCAAAACGCTGTGGCTGGGTTTCTACCAATGGCTTTAGGTTTGACGAGGTCGAGGCATGCGGGAGAGGCGGTCGATGTTTGGCCACATTCGCCGCGCCACTGATTGTTGATTGATGTGTCTCTGGTTTTAAGCTACTATCTGGGGCCGATTCCTGGTCGACACCAGCTGTAGGCTGGCTCGCTGGTCTGGTAGACTTACGAGCCTCAGCATTGGGATTGTTCTTCTGATTCACTTCATCGGCATGGGCGACGGATTTCGATTGTACAACGGGATGTTTGTGAGTCTTCTTTGATCGGCCAGAACGAAGTCGGAGATTTTGTTTTATTCTCTCCAAATCCATCACGACGAAACAGGTGTCGCAGAAGAATGTATGGAGTCCTCAATGGATATAGAAATGGTCAGGTCGAAGTCACTCCCCAAACCAAGAACTGGACATTTTAGAAGTCGGCGCAGCTGAAAACTCATGTTGGTAGTTCATACAGTACATCGCTTAAACCGCCGGCCGGACAAAAGGTGATGATGAGCTTGCGGTGGTGTGGCTGTCAGAAGCTTGCTGCATCTCCGATTCGCAAAGGCGGCCCGATGACGATGGCGATCTGGACGTGGCCATCACAGACAGCCACCACGCCCAATGAAATGCGATACCTTCTCGAGAGCCGGGTGCAGGGGTCTTTGCGACACCGCGCGCCGGCTCATGAAGCAGTTACAAGAACCACAAATTGCGAAGAGGAGGAGAGGTCGTGCTCATCATATACACGGATTGACCCGCTGAACTGGGGACCGTCTAGCGGGGCTGCGGCGAAAGCCAAGAATACCCACCATCATTTCACCTATGGCTCATATCGGTCTCACGGCGGAGGGCGCCTGTTCTGCATAAAACTTGGTTGTCTCTCTGACCGACTTCGAGGCAGTACAGTAATGTCTTGCAAACGAATGCCGAAATCCGCGTCTGCTCTTTCGCAAAGTAGGCCACCAGGTCCCGCGCCGAAGAACTTGCAGTTAGCAGACGAAGCAGTTTGGTAATGGGACCCCGGTAGATGCTGGAGATCTAAGGCTGCTCAGAACTCTAGATGCAGGCATCCTCACTCGTCTATTTCCGGCGCTTGTCTCAGATCTGCCTCAACTCATTGCGCAACTCTGGTCTGATAAAGCGGCTTATTGATGCGCCGCAGAGACGGTAAGGGCCCGACATAAGCTGTCAAATGTAGCAATAACTTTTTGGGACGCACCCTTGAGCTATAGTCATCTCAAGTCATATCTCTGCCTCGCATTCGCCGCATCCTCCTCCTTTGCTGCGGAGCCATTTGCATGCTGCGTCTGGTGGTGATGGAAAGTCGGGTGTGCATAACCAGGTATAGGCAAGAACTTCCCAACTTGTGCCTGGTAGTCTTTGTATTCCGGGTACTTCCGCGCAGACAACAGTTCGGTCAGCCAGGTACTTGACTGAAAAAGCAGCAGGTAGGCTGCCGCTCCGAGCCCACTCCAGTTGTACACTGTTTCTGTAGCCAGACACGACCACAGATAGAGTGTAACCCAGACACCTTGTTCTGCTGCAAAATTAGGATGCCGGGAATAGGCAAACAGCCCGTTTGTGAGAAAACCGCGGTCCAAGTCTGCCCGCCGCCAGCCATGAGGTACTCTGGCTGTTTTCTGATACTGTGCCTTGGCCTGATGATAATCCCATTGCTGTTGATCGGCAACGAATGAAATCGCGATGAGCATCAGCATTGCCCCAGATGCAGCGGTATCCACCAAAGTCCATGACTTGATGGGCCCGTCATAAGTCGCCAGTCGTTCGGTGAGCAAGATAAGGTATGCGGGCGTTGTGACGCTAACAAGCAACAGTGACTGAGCAAGCGAAATGAAGACCACATTGAAGAGGAACATCAAGGCAGGTCCAACATATTCCTTGACGATGGCCCAACGATAATCCTCGCTTCCGATTGAGTAGCCTCCTTTGCGAAAATAGTTGTATGTTAAACGGCACTAGATTGGACGTTAGCGACTTGTCATTCACGGGATATTTAGTAGCCGCCTTACGCTCCATAGGGTGCTAACAACAAACAAAGCATCCAGTCGTGCAGTATGCACGCGTGCCAGGTGAGAGTACACAGCGTAATGCAGGTTGTAAATAGTCGGCAAGATTGACCAGACGCGGTCTACCTGTGAATAGTTCTTGTTGACCTCCGATACGATCAAGAACACCGGAGCCAAGGCAAAGGCGAAGGCGACAGAGGTGATAAGAGGGTTCGTGTCTAGATACAGTTGTTTCAAAGCGGCAGAATTGCTGACCGAGGAGAAGAAGGTCTCCGGTAGAGTTGCAAACTGGTAAAGGAACGGCGCAACTGTAATATTGTAGTCGGCACACTGTTGCAGGCTCTGCACCACCGGTAGCGCCATCTTGAACCACTGCTAGTGGGATGAAATGTTTGACAACCAGAAACACCAGCGCAAGATTTTGGGTCGCGTTAATAAAAGGGTGATGGAGGGATATTGTGTGAAGCAGACGCTACAATATAATGACGCAATCATTACCTCTTCAGCATCCGAAGATCTCGCAGTGGCGCCATGCTGCAGGAACCCGATCTGGCTGAACCCCGCAGTGCCATCCACACAGTCTGTGGCGAAAATACGGAGGATTACTGCACCGCGTGTGAGCGTGTCCATGCGTGTTCCACGACGCGTTGCTGTGATTATCCCACTCTTCCTATCGACCTGCAGGCTGTATCGAATGCGGTCTGTCCTCCACTCCGACGTCTTCACCAAAAATGCCGCTCATCCGTCATGAGCCATGCCCGCAACGAAAATCCTCTGCGTTGCAGAGAAACCCGCTATTGCCAAAGCAGTCGCTCATCATCTGGCTGGCGGTCGGGTAACCACTGTTAGTGGCGTAAGTCCGTACGGTACGGACGGTCATTGACGTCTCTACAGAAACCAGTCCGTGGTAACGTGTATGTGAAGAACTATGAATTTGACTTCAACTTCCGGCCTTGGGGCAATTGCTCGGTGACAATGACCAGCGTCCTAGGCCATTTGACTGGCTTGGACTTTGACAAGAAGTATAAGAACTGGAGGTCGTGTCCTCCAAGCCAGCTGTTCGAAGCGGAGACCGAGGTCACTATCGACAAGGACAAAACGGCCGTCGCCGAAAACATCCAACAGCAAGCTCGCTTTGCAAAGATCCTGTATGTCTGGACAGACTGCGATCGCGAAGGTGAGCACATTGGCGGCGAGGTACGCGACCAAGCCAAGAAAGGGAACCCTCGCATAACCGTCAAGCGGGCCAGGTTCAACAACACTGAGAGAGCGTGAGTGCTCAGTCAGGTCTGCTCGTCCGAGACTAATCTTGTTAGTCATATCGTTCTTGCCGCTCATGCCCCCGTTGACATGGACGAGCGGCAAGTGAATGCTGTTGCTGCCAGAATAGAGCTCGACCTACGGATCGGCTCTTCCTTCACGAGGCTCCAAAGCCTCGAGCTTCAGCCGCTGAGTGATCAACTTCGGGGTCAGGTCATATCCTACGGCTCATGTCAGTTTCCGACCCTGGGGTTCGTCGTCGACCGGTACAATCGCGTCAGGAGCTTCAAACCAGAAACCTTCTGGTTGATCAAGTTGATTCATGTCCGTGACAGGATCAAAGTCAACTTCAGCTGGCAAAGAGTCCATCTCTTCGATCGAGCCGCTGTTACCATTATTTTCGAGGTGTGTCTTGACGCGAAAACCGCCAAGGTTACGAAAGTGCAGAAGAAGCCTACCTCAAAATGGAGACCATTACCTCTTACCACGGTCGAGCTTCAGATGCAGGGCAGTCGATTTCTGCGTCTTTCCAGTCAACAAGTTATGGCGGTCGCAGAGAAGCTTTACCAAAAAGGTTTCATCAGCTATCCTCGTACGGAAACGAACCAGTTTCCCCAAGGGTTCGACTTCAACGCCATCATTCAGAGACAGACACAGGGCAACCCATGGGCCCAGTTTGCGCAACACTTACTCGATAGTGGTTTCAGATCTCCACGCTCCGGTCGTCATAATGATCAAGCTCATCCGCCAATTCACCCGGTCAACTTTGCTGCTTTGAACGTGCTCGAACCCCAGGAACAGAAAGTATATGAGTTCGTGTGCAGAAGATTCCTGGCTTGTTGCTCAGAAGATGCCAAAGGACAAGCTACCGACATTGAAATACTCTGGGGACATGAGACGTTCCGTACCCACGGCCTTCTCGTCCTGGAAAGAAACTACCTTGACGTCTACGTATATGACAAGTGGGAGAGCAGTCAGCAACTCCCAGACTACACCCTTGGGGAGACCTTCGAGCCAACAGAAGCAAACATGGTGGATGGCAAGACTACGGCGCCAGGATATCTCACCGAGCCCGAATTGATCGCCCTTATGGACGCCAACGGTATCGGGACTGACGCAACCATGGCCGAGCACATTCAAAAGATCCAAGATCGATTCTATGTCAATACACGGCCTCGGTCCGGCGGTGGTCGTAACTCTGTCCAAGAATTCATTCCAACCACCCTTGGCGTTGCCTTGATCGAAGGGTATGACAGTGTGGGCCTCGACGTCAGTGTCAGCAAGCCGTTTTTGCGTAAAGAAATGGAGGTCAAGATGAAGGCGATCTGCGAGGGCCGGAAAACTCGGACTGAGGTCGTGCAAGAGAGTTTGGACCAATACCGCGAAGTGTTTGTCAAGACGCAACGCGAGATCCAAGTTCTCAAAGATTCTGTGACGAAGTATGTCGTGAACGGGGGAGCAGCATGAGAGAAGATTTGAGCCGCGATCCCGGCTGGGCGAACCATCTTCTCTATGTCCACGTTGTGGATTTTCATTGCCAGCACAATTGGCGAATGCTGTGAGCCGACTGCCTAAGCAGTACCCCATTTCTTGGCCTCGTCGTAAGCTGATTGCCATGTTCCAGACACCCACCAGAGTTGGCACCAAAATGCAAACGAGGGTTCAGCCGGGGCCAATGGGAGAATTGACGCCACAGCAGATTCCAACTTTCGTTAAGCCTTGCGACAAGTATGACGTTACCATGACGCGAGTGGACGTTCAGGCTGTGGCTTCAGTTTTGGAACAGCCAATCACAAGAGTTCAGCCACATAGCTTGTAAGGCTGGAGGTTGGTTTGCACTCGATCTGATGGATATCGCTGCTAGGTGAGCTGACACGAGGATAGGCATTACGCGGCAAATCGTGCGAGGTACAGGTGGTGAGCCCGTTTAGGCTCTTTCCAGTCTTCTAGAAGCCAGATGTGACGCAACCTGGCTACTTCCGATCACCGCAGGAGGAGCACAAGGACGCAACCACGGGCAAGAGCATGGTGACTGGCAGGTGCAAACAGCAGCTGGTTTAGACTTATAACCGACCTTCATCTTTGTCTTCTCTCTATCTCTTCTCTTTTTCATTTCAACTCCATCAGTCAACTCACATTTTTACAACTTCGATTAAATACCCATTCTGATTGACCCCAGAACCCTTTCACACTACTTCAATACACCCCAGACCGAACATGGCGAACCTCGTGAACAAGGCGAAGGATGTCCTCAGCGGTGGCAAGACTCATCATGATACCACAACAACTTCCTCGACTCATGGCACTACTGGCCCTCACCACTCCGCCGCAGCCAACACCCTAGATCCAACTGTCGGCACGACAACCGGACAGAGCCATACTGCTCCTACGCATCACAAGACCACTGCCGGACCACATTCTTCTAACCTGATGAACAGAGCCGATCCTCGCGTCGAGTGAGTCTTTACCAAGAAAGACAATGTATTTGGTGCTAATCACAACCACAGCTCGGATCTTGATCATAGAGCCAACCCACACTCCACAGTGCCAGGGCAGGGTAGCACTACCTCGTCGACAGCCACTCACGGGCCGCATTCTTCCAACGTGATGAACAAGGCCGACCCTCGCGTTGATTCCGATGTCGATCACAGAGCCAATCCACACTCCACGGTGCCAGGACACGGTAGCACTACCTCGTCGACAGCCACTGCCGGGCCACACTCTTCCAATATGATGAACAAGGTCGACCCTCGCGTTGATTCGGATTATGATCACAGAGCCAACCCCAGTTCCAATGTGCCAGGATACGGCAGCGGCACATCAGGCTACGGCACAGCAGGTCACGGCATGACCGGCCACAGCACGACAGGCCACGGCACAGCAGGCTATGGTACCTCATCAACTACCACGTCGGGCCCGCACAGCTCAAATATCGCGAACAAAGTTGACCCGCGTGTTGAGTAAGTGCTCATTATTTGCAATGAATGGTTCCAAATGCTGACTGCGACCACAGTTCGGACCGTGATCACCGAAATGACCATACTTCTCACGTTGGTGGGTATGGGACTCAAGGTACATCTGGCACGATGTCGACCGCCACAGGGTCTGGCATGACTGGACATGGGACGGGTGCGTTCCCAGAAAGCAAGAGAGTTCATGACAGCACTCTGTTGAACAAGCTGGATCCCGGCACCAAAACTGATGCTCTTGGACGAGCTATGTGAAGGACAAAGTGTGAAGAGCGACAAGACAGTGAGGTGAACACCGACATGCGAGGATTGGTGTGGAAGACTTTTAAGCGGGTTGTACAATACCCTTATGACCACAACACAAGTTGTCAATTGATATTCCTTACAAACTGAACTTGAAGTAGCGCAACGATCCATGCTCAATCGAGACCACTGCGAGAAAGTCATGTTCTAAAACTACCTCGCACGATGAAAAAAGAGGCTCCGTGGTGACAGACGGGTCAAGACGTCTTCACGACTGTGGTACTCCGTAAGGGTGACAACCATGCATGTTTCATGCGCGCCAACCCTCGACGTTGCGGCTCGAGACCGAACCCGACGGAGATTCGTGAGCGTTAGTTGGCTATGCCCAGGGAAAGTCTAGCCCCTTTAATGCAGCATGCTGAGCGAGCTGCATAAACGGACCACGAAGCCGAAGACGATTGGATGAGTTGGGCAAAGTCCATGGGCGAAGGCGCTTGTACTCGGATGACTAAGTCGGCCGTCTTCATGGCGTTTACCACAAAGGGATGGAAGTCGTTGCTCAGCTCAGCATCTCCAGGTCGACACAGTGGGCCTTGGTGGGGACCGATGCTGCTAAGAAGGATCCATCTGTGGCCCTTCGGGGTTGGAAAAGATGCCCATTGGATGTCAACCGGAAACCCTGCAGGATGTGCCGCGTCCCAATGTCTGGGTTTCTGTCGCTGGTGCCTCCAACCACCAGGATGCACATGTCCAGCTTGATGCGCCCTCTAATAAAGGCTGCCACCACCGTCTCAACTGCATCGATAGAATGAAGCATTCTTCCTTGTCGGGTTACCTCGTTGTCCACCAGTTAATACGTTCTATGTTATTCTTTGTCTATAAGGTCACCGACTCGTTTCGGTTTGGCTGCGTCCGAGTCTCAGGCTACTTTTCGACACCAGTGGCAATTTGACCGTCTCTAGCCACAATGGCGTCAGCGCGAAGACTGTCCAAAACCGAGCCCTTTCCCACGTATACCCCCGACCATGACGAGGCCAGCGAGAAGCCCGCCGACAGTACAAGAGAACCAGGTCGACGACCCTCGATCACCTCCCGCCTCTCCAAAACTCCACCATCGCTACGGTCACGCACCCGAACAGGCTCCCTGAGCAAGTCCTTTCTCGAGAGCAATCCTCCGCTGGGCATGTGGCAGGCCACGGCCGAGATTGGCTCCAAGATCCCCACGCTACCAGAAATTAGAAATGGTGCCTTTGCCGACGAGGGCTGGACGCATGAGGGCCAGATGGAGCATCGGGGGACGAACCCGCACGAGATCCACGCACGAAGAGTCGCGAGAACGAGCTCTGCGAGTACGAGGACGAGGAAGAGTTCCGTTTCAGCGAATGCGCCGGCTGTCATTGCCGAAGAAACACATGAATACTTCCCAAAAAGATCACCAGTGATGGTGCAGGCGACACCACTGGTCGAGGAGGGATCTTCGATACATCCGTCTGAACCTCCCCATGCTGCAGCAGAAGAGATTGGCCGACTCGATGGGTGAGTTGTGCCTCGGGACGAGTGACGCTTTTTGGTTGCCACACACTGACACTATGCGGTTTCTAGCACGGACAGTTATCCTGGGACGCCTAGAAGTCCTTCCACCAAGAGACTTTCGAAGACACGGAAACCCACAGTGTCAGTTTACCGCTTGATTACCATTTGGGGTGTACCATGCTTATCTCATATATCTAGCTCCGAGAAGACAGATTCAAGTTCGCGGCGAGACGAGTCTGTACCACCTTCCATCGCAACCAGCGTGACTGGCCCGCAAGTAGTACCCGTCGCAAGTGGCCCCGACGAGACAGGCACGTACCCGAACGGCTACCGCTTCCCCAAGAAACACACTTGGACGCAATCCATCAACATCGGCCTCAAAGCGTACTGGAAATTCCTCAAGACGCCGTTCGGCGTTGTCGTCACCATCTACGGCCTCAACGTGGTCGGCTGGGGCGCCATGATCTTCTTCGTCCTCCTCAACGCCGCACCCGCCATGTGCCACCCCACTTGTGAAGCCGACAGTAGTGCCCGGCAGAAGTGGATCGAAATTGACTCGCAGGTTCTGAACGGTCTCTTCTGCGTGACGGCCTTTGGCTTACTGCCCTGGCGAGGCCGAGATTTCTACTACCTCATGCGCTGGCGCATGGGAGGAAATCAAGTCTATCACCGCAAACTCGCAGGCATCTATCGAGCTTGGTACCGTCTCCCCGGCTCGGATCAACTCGAAGAGCACGTCGGCCCGCCCCCAGCACAACCTAAGAAAAAGCAACGAGAAACCACAACGGCTGAAGCTCCACCACCATATACACCCGAAGAGATCGCCAAACTCGAAGAGAACCCCGCGGTCCCTTTGCCCGCCACATCGATGCCCGAGCCGCCCCTGACGGGGATACGAGCTCCGTCGACTCGATCGTGGACCCTCGACGCCGTCATCTGGCTGTACATGTGGAACACGATCTTCCAGGTCCTCCTCTGCGTGTGGATGTGGAACTGGAACCGCTTCGATCGACCCACATGGGGCACCGGCGTGTGGATCACTTTGGGATGTTTGGTCGCCATCTTCGCGGGCCTCGTGGCGTTTCGGGAGGGTGTGCGCGTCAAGAAAATCGAGGGCATCCCCGTGCAGGAGTACGACGTGCTGGAGAGTGTGGAGGACTATCAGGAGAGGAAGGCCAAGGAGGATGCCAAGGAGGCGAAGAAGTTGGACAAGCACGAGCACCATCGGCATTTCAGGCACGGCGGGGCTCAAAAGGTCGTGCATTCCGAAAAGTTGAAGGGGCATGAATGGTTCACGCGCCATTAGAGATTATGGTGACTTTCCCTCCAGTGGGTTCGGTATGGTTGAGGCTTGAAGCTGTATGGCAAGAGAAGTATGAACCTCGTCTCTAGGAAACCATTCTCCCACCTGGCAGAAAGTGCATTCTGGGCGGTATACCTAGTCTGTGTCTGTCAATCGGGGTGTGGTTTGGAAGCGTCTTCCCGCGCAAACTACAGTATAATAATATCACCAATTGGAATGGCCTCCATCCCCCAAGGCTGCGTGGCGCAGTTGTATAACGACAACACATTGCCTCTATACGTTGCAGTTCGGACGCCCACCATGGCCTCGACTGCTTGGTATAGAATTGAACAAGATGTCCCAAAGAATCGCACAGGTCATTGACTCACTGGTCGCCGTAGAGTTGGTGGTATTTTCTCAGAAAGGGTCGGTCGCAGTATTCTGGTCCGATCGTCAATCAAGGGTGGATGAGTATTCGACAGCAGGCAATGCAAAAGCCTGAGCCAACAGTTGGTGTTTGAGTGGATTTGGTGCACTCAGTGGGGCCGTCGACGTGGAGGTAGGCCTTAGGTGGAGTACATCACCCGAGTTGGAGTTGAAAAATGCATCCTCCCCTGCAGCAGCTACCTGCCGAAGATACAGTAGACGCGGTCCCAGAGCTGCAAGGAGATGAAGTAGCCGAGTACCCGTTAACGACGTCCCTGAAGACTCGTGTCTGATCTATTATCGTGGAGGTGATGGAACTGCGATGTACTGTACCGGAGGGCTCTGGAGGCGGCTTATCGTGCGAGCTCATCGCAGCGTCCATTTCTCGCCTGGCGCCAACGAGAGCACGTTTGAAGACTCGCCTGATCATTCATTGCAGAGTCATTGGACTGGGACGTACCACAGGCTTTTGGGGTGGCCTACTGTACCACGGTCGGACGGCCCTTCGAGCACGATTCAGGCAGTCAGCCAGTCTCGTGGCCTCGAGCTCGAGGGTCATTTTACGCCTTTGCCGTGCCGGTACTCTCCAGCCGTGGAAGCCCGACCGCCAGAGGAAATGAGTCGTGGCCATGTTACCATGTATCATGGCATCAGATGACGCAGCTTCGCTTCGTGAACCCTTCATTCTGGAACGTAGATCTGTCTCCCAGTTTCTTCATCCGTTCTGCCTAGGCTTGACCTCCCCTTCCTGCATGATATAGTATACGACAGTACCATCGCCACCCATGCCTTCGTCGGCGCGCATACCGAGAAGGACTCGTTTCTGGTCGGTGTGCTCGTAGATATCGCCAGCACCAACAGCTTTGGCTCTGCCGTTGGGCCTTGCGGCAGTGGTGTTGCTGCCCCTGCTGCTTGACGGACGCTCGACGCGGATGGCTTCCCGCTCGGGCAACGCATCAAAGACGGAACAAAATCTGTTGAGCGTCCATTTTTCGCCAAGCGCTAACGGGAGCACAAACTCGCGCTGGACATGCAGCTCGGTTTCCTTGACATTGTGCTTGATCAGGTACGTTTGCAAGTCTGGGTGGATGTAGCTGTGCTTTGGAGGTAGGCCGGAAATCAGGGGAATGGAGCCCGAGCTTGACAGAGACTGTGTCGCTGATGGAGATGTACCGTCCAAAGTGGGCGTCGCTGATCCGGAGCTCGACACTGACCGTGCGGGAGAAGCAGTCCTCGACGATGAGTTGGAGTGCTTGAAATTTAGACCCTGCAGGTCTACGAGTGTAGCTTCCACACAGGGGTCCTGTGAAGGATAGTACATTTGAGTCACGTACACCAGGTGTAACTTGAGGTCTGTCCAGTTATGTTGATACTGGAGATTATGCAGGATAGATATCGCCAGTGATTCGGAGGCGCATTTGGCTCCTGAGCTTGTTATGAGTGCAGAGAGAGCGGAAGGTGGGGGTGGACATGGCTTCAAGGTTGGTGAAGACATATTGAACGGGGAATCGAATGTCTAGGATATCAGACAGAGCAAGCGGATTAGTCGAAAATCACTCCATCCCTTCACTTGAGTGAATGGAAGGTGAGTCGAAGGTGAAATGAGGCTCTGCAAAGCTGGATGATCCGTCTTGGTGGAGACGAAGATCAGTTAGTGCGAGATTCGAACAGTTCGACCAATTGGAGCACGCATTCTTCCCTAATCAGGATTTAGTGGTGTAGGCTGATGATCACCAACATATGCCACACACACCCAACAGTGAGTCGGCGACGAGAATACCGCCGGCAGCTCGCATGCATTCGCCGGGACACTGCCACTGTTGAGATCCTCCACATACGGTTGCAGGAGCAGGAAGCAACAGCAGAAGCGGGTCTTTATATTCAGTGGTCGGTTTTATTAAGATGTAGTGAAGCATAACATGTATCCTCAAGCAACCCGGTTCATGTGAATGGCCTCGATACTTCCTCCATTCCCTTCCACTTTCTATCTCGCATCTTTTGATGTACTCCGCAGTTCGTCCCCGTACCAAGGTTGTTCTGATGTCTCAAGAAGAGTTGGTCCAAGTTACCAACAACATCGGCCGCGTCATGTCCCTCGGCGTCACTGCTAGTGTTGGGACTTTCGCATTTGGCTTCCCACTGGGGTTGAAAGGACATTCGGATTAAGAGGAGCTGGTACCTCTGCCATCGTTCGAGGCTAGAGATGGAGATCAAAGTGTTCCGAGGGGGAGAATGAAGCGCGGACTGCCGTAGGAGGCCAGCGAAAACCTGTTTTAAGGTGAAGTACGAAGCATCGCGATGCCCGTTAAGTGGGCGTGGAACAATTCTCCAGGACGCAAAGCAGAATTTGTGGAAGAAACGTGGGATAGCCGTCACGTGAGGTCGAAGCTGAGTGGATATTACGAACGTGTCATGAAATCTGGTCCATGCCCGCGGAAGGAAACGAACTCGCAAGAGTCCCTGCCCTTCGCACAGATCCTACCCTCCGCCCTCACAATTCGAGGGTAGCCTCCTGACCCTAACGCCGTCGAATCCTTTGTACATCTCACATTAGATATACACAGTGCGTACCCAGGGTATCTGAACATGAAACATCGCTGGCTGAGACATTGGATATCCACGCCCTCGTGGAGTTCCCCTACCAATTGCCCAAACTCCATGTTGCTCGGGGACTGTTCTCCTATAGCCCGGCTCGGAACTTAGGCACCGAGATACTTAGGCCATCATTTCCAGTTGCCTACCACCAAGACCTGAATGACGTCGCATTCTCTGAAGCCTTGTTCCTCAAGGGTCTTGGTGGCGTCCAACATCTTGCCTAGATATGCAAATCGGAGTTTCGCTCTGCTGGGGATCTGCGGCAAACAAAGTGAGCCAGCTGTTGGGGGTTGTAGAAGGGAAGGACAAACATAGGGGCAGCTTACATCTCTCTCGACACCAATTCTGTCAGACAACAGAGCCACCCTCTCGCTCCGACCTAGCACAACCGTGACATCACACTCTGGGCTTCCGCGGTCGCTGAGGCGGCATCGCACTTTGACGGCGTCGCGCACGGCAGTCTTGCCTTTGAGGGCCTTGGCCTTTGCCTCTGCGGCGGAGTTCTGCTTGCCGTGGTTGAGCGGATCGCCGCCCCCAGTATTGGTTGCCTCCAACTTGGCGGCGATGGCGTCCAGATCACTCGCGCCTGTCACGGTCTGGGAATCTATGTCGTTCATGTCTTCCACCACGTCGTCAGGGTCGGAGATGACGGCCTCGGGGATCTTGTAGAGATTGCCGTGCTCGTCGTACGCGCCATCCTCCAGTTTCCCTGTTGGAAGCGTCACGGACATAGCAGTCAGAATGCCCTGCGCGTCGGCCAGGTCGCCTTCGCGCAGGCACTCGATCGCCTGTTTCAAGCCGTTCCACACCTCTTTGTGGCCCGTGACGCGGGTCTCGAAGAACTCGTATCTTTCTCTCAGCAGCTGCGAGCGCGTCCATGTTCGCTTCTTGCTCTTCCATGGTTTCGGGGGCTCGAGTGGTAGGTCGTACGGGTCTGCTAGAGATGGCTGTCGCCCTTGCTGGGTTTGTGAATTCTGCACAGACCGGTGGGGAGTCGAGAGCGCTGATCTCGAGGTGTCACTTTGGTGGACAGAGAGGCCGTGGGAGCGGCCGTCGTCTGCTGCCCCATTAATTGCAGTTTGAGATGTTATTGCCTGCGCTGTGTGCCGGGTCTGCGGGGGCACACTTGAACGTCCGCCCGGGGGCACATCATCGTCGTCGTGCGTAGGTCTCGATGCACAGCAACCCTGCGTAGGACGAGCGGAGACAGTCAGTACACGTCAATGGCACGCGCAAGGCAGGGTAGTCGGAGGGGCTAACATACCATGACTGAAGGTCATTTCATAGTGTCTTGGTTCTTTGCTTAGTTTGTCTGGACTGTTGCGCTGGGGATCGTATGTACCATAGCCGCACTTTCGCCGCCGGTGAGGGAGGGTGGCAACGGGGTGGTAGAGGGTGCGGCAGCAAACATGCGACAAGCAGAACAAACGAAAGCGATAAACGAAGGAAATGACTACGTATGCTGTACTTGTAGATGCTTTAGACAGGAGACATTAGTGTGAGAGAAAGAGGGGAACGACTATCTGTCTATTTCGGTGGACTGCATTCGGTCGCTGGTGGCCAGATGCACGAAGGAGAGTTTCTAATCTGAGAGGCAAACTGGAAGTGGGTTGCGCCGTGCAGCGTGGAGAGAGGCCGGCATGATCATGGTCTCAATGGAGGTCCAGTCCTGGCCATCCTCGGGCATCTCCAGGTGTGTCGAGCCTCTTAGAGTACGTATGTCTACATCATCTTGCAGAATGATTAATTGTCATCGTTGCGAAGCATGTGCATCCCTTCCGCTCTGAGCACTGTCTGCGTTCCCCACGTTCAGGACAAGCTTCGTGATCTTGCGGCGAAACGGATTGCTTGAACGTTTACGTTCGTATGTCAGGCTGTACAGCAAGAAAAAACCCATGGCATAGACCGAGACGTGTCGCTGGTCTGGTGAGAGCGATCAATCTCCAGATTGTAATATGGCACAAATCTATTTACCCAGCAGAGCTCCTGTCCCGTCCTGTCGTGGGCAACCAAGATATACATGAATACCCCAGCAGCATGAGCAAGCTCCTAGCTCAGCTCGCATAGGTCTTCCGAGAAAACACATAAAGTCGTCTGCAGTGGTGGATCAAGCTCAGTCAGCGGAACTCGATTGATGGGCATACGCCCATGCCCCAAACGCCCGGTTTTCCCTCATGCTTCAACTCGAGCTGTTGATATCTGTTGCTGGACGGTTAGTCGAGCCTAAGGCAGATGTAATGTCCGGTACTCACTTCTCGCTTTTGGAGTGGAAGTAGATTCCACTCACCCTCCCCTCAATTTGATTAAAACAGATATAGTAGAAGCCCTCAAAACTCGCCCCTTGTATAGATTTGAGCTTGTAGTCTGGCACGAGGAAATGCTCCTTCCATCTCATGAAGATGTATTCCTGCTGCCACCAATTCTCGTGGTTCATTGGGTATACAAAGTTGATGTTGCGCTTGGCGTGCAAACTGAGCGGTCGCCATGCCGGAAAACGGGCCCAGTGCGTAAGATCCGTCTTGTCGCTTGCGCCCCAGCCGGGGTCTCCCGTACGGAAGCTGTACTTCTGATCGGGTCCCCCAATAATTTCGCCGGTGAAAAATGTGGTCAAAGTGGGATGATCGGGTGTTAGTCCGCAGATCTGAAGATAGCCGGACATGTTGGACTGCTCGATGTCAACTGTCAAAATGGTCACTTCGACGTTGTAGATCTGACGGTCGGATTGCTGAGTGCCTTTGAACTTGGAATATGGCTGGAAGGTTGCCGACGGGTACTGAGGTCGAAGACGACGATGGGAAAAGTCCCAGTCCTTGAGGTGGTTATTAGACCAATCAAGTTCTTGGTCGATCGTAGCAATGCCGGGCTTGACTGTAGAGCCGTCGAAACTGCTGGCCCTTCCATCGGCGGCACAACTCAATGGTGGAGACAAGAGGCCTGAGTCGGGTTCAGCGTCTGTCAACTGCATTCTGTCGGGCTGGCCCGGCTGCCCAGTGGAGGCATTTCTTTCTTCGCTATGGGCGACATCGGTCGTAGGCACAGTCTCCTCTAGTCTTTCTGTGCGCATGTCGCGATCCGCCTCGATGCGATCGTGGAATCCAGCTTCGTCATCTGGCCCCTCGGCTGCCAGTGATGACCGGTTGCCATCCTCTGTATGCATCTTTTCATCCAGCGAAGGTCCAGTTGGATACATAGTTGCTTCCTGCATTAGTGCCATGCCAGCGGCAGTGTTGTCGCTGACGGGCCGCCGGCTTACTTCATCGTTGCTCTGCGGTACCCGTCGAGTACTCGCCCGTCTTGTGTCTTCATCCGCGCCGTTATCTGAAGGAGGAGTCAACGGAGCTGGGCACGCGACATTGCTCTGGGTTATCTCGGAGTCAAGAGGACTAAACGGCCTATTGGGCGCATGAGTTGGCATTGAATACAGGAACTCCGAAAGGTTATCATATGGAGGGAAGTCGAAAGAGGAGGCGGTGCAGGTAGAGACGGCGCCGGACGATGAAAGTGGTAGGGAGAAATGAAGGACGGGGAGGGAACAGGATTCCCGCGTCAGAGCATCAGATACATCAGAAACACCAGAAGGAAGCAGAATGATGAGATAAAGTTATGCAATCGATGGGTGGATGGAAGGAGGGAAACGCCGTCAGTGGAGAAGTTCGACCCCCAACAGCCGACACTTGACGTCTAAATTGCCAGTGATTGTCCTGCCCCGACTTCGGGGGTTCGCGCTTTGCGGGGTACAGTTAAACTGGCATTTTCATGCGCTGACTGCGGCCTCAGGCCCATCTCAAATGATAGCGCCAAAATCAGCCTAAGCTTGAACTGACAGTGGTTGCGCTCACGGGTTCGTTAACACCCAACCAGAATCGCCGCAGCCATTTGCTTCGCATACAGCCTTTCGTCCCTGGTCATCACGCCCGATGTTCTATGTTGGCTTCCTCTTGCCACCTCGCCGCGTCTTTTCTACACTCAAGATACATGGCATCGTGAGGCGGCTGGTTGTCATGGGGTCATGGCCAAGTGAGGTGGGTGGGATTCTGCGAGCGGCACTGGATAGCCGACGAATTGAGTATGTAGTGGACTCGATGAGCGGTAACTCAGATAGGTTTGATCTGTCACAACGCTCAGATTAATACTTCGGCAAGTTCACAAAGTCCGCTTACCTTGAAGTGAAGCGATATCAACGAGAACACCAAGGCTTTGAGATCCTGGACCAGGTAGTAAAACACTCGGAGGCCTTCAGGATCAGCCGAGTCCGTTACATCTCCAAGAGAGCCGATCTTTGCAGTCTGCTCATTGTCAATTTGGGTTGACATATCTCAGATTTTCGCACGCGACACACCTCGAACTGGATGTGCTCGTTGCCGAGCCTAATCTCGAGCTCTTGTCGGCCATCCTTGTTCTTTTGTGGCCACCGTGAATCGTCCTCCTTCATAATTTCACTGTCCTTTATGATGCGCTTGATCTCAGAGATGAGGAGGGAGCTGACACACACTGGGACCCAGTCAGTAGTCATAGGCAAGCGCATGGGCAAAGACTAACTCTCTTTGCGGATGAGCGAGTCGTTGCGGTAGTTGGAGTTGTTGGCATATCGCGCAGTCGCACTGCGACCATCACCGATCACTCTGAAGTCGAATTCTGTCTAGTGATGAGCAAGGGTCGTCAGAAAGGACATACTTGTTTCATACCTAAGAATTCATGCCCAAATCTTCCAGAATGGCCCGAACTGGTGCGCAATCAGTATCCGCTGGCGGCACAGAACGACGACATCCATACTAGTAGCGCACGTAGAACGGCTCGTTCGTATCTTTGGGGTTCGCCATAGTCTAGGTGCCAAATGTCTGGAGTAGGACTGGAGGAGAGGCCATGCAGCGGTTGCGACTAGAAGATCAATGTTGGATTATTGGCGAGAGGCCCATTGTATCTCGAGGCTGCGTGCTGCAGGCGCATCTCGAGACCGCCAAGGCTGTCCACATTTGGACAGATCGCTGAACACCAAGTAACAGACTCCAGACTGCGACTACGTGCTCCCCTACCGCCCTCACACTCCTTCAGACACTACCTTTCTCTTTCGTTCTTGACCCTCCGTCCATTGCCGCAGGCGCAGGGGAACAATGCGCTGACGCCCCTTCGTTGTGGCCCACTGACCGCGTGAACATACGAACATCCCTTGGGTTGAGGACTCGAGTGTATTGCCATAATTTCGCCATTCTGTGTGTCAAGCGTATCTAGTAGTCATGGCGGCTTTTCTGGACAATTCCTACAGTCTCGTCCACCTGGACAACACCGCGGACCAGCCGAACCAGCAGGATCTGAAGACGCAGCTGGAAAAGGGCACGGATGAGACTAAGCTGGAGACTATGCGAAGGATCCTCACCACAATGCTCAACGGCGACCCTATGCCCAATCTGTTAATGCATATTATCCGTTTCGTCATGCCCTCGAAGAGCAAGCCTTTGAAGAAATTACTCTACTTCTACTACGAAATCTGTCCCAAGCTGGATGCAAACGGGAAGCTGAAGCAGGAAATGATTTTGGTCTGGTATGCTTGAGAGCGGTCGAAGTGTGCTGCATGGATATTGTACTGATCTCGCCCAGCAACGGGATCCGAAACGACCTTCAACATCCTAACGAGTTCGTCCGCGGCAACACTTTGCGATTTCTCTCCAAACTTCGAGAACCCGAATTAATCGAACCCCTCCTTTCCGCCGCCCAGACCTGCCTCGACCACAGACATGCATATGTGCGAAAGAACGCCGTATGGGCTCTGGCCTCCGTCCATCAGCACGCCCAGCACCTTATTCCCGATGCCCCTGAGATGCTCCATACCTTCCTAGTGGGAGAGAGCGACACAACATGCAAGAGAAATGCGTTTGCTGCATTGATGAGCATAAGTCACGAGAAAGCACTGGAATACCTGACCGGTGTCTTGGACGGGGTGCCCAATGCAGATGAGCTGCTACAGTTGGTTGAGCTTGAATTCATTAGAAAAGATGCGATCCAGAACCAGGCAAACAAGGCGCGATATTTGCGGTTGATCTTCGATCTGCTGGAAGCGAACACGAGCACCGTCGTATACGAAGCGGCAACCTCTCTAACCACCTTGACGAGCAATCCCGTAGCCGTCAAGGCAGCGGCTGGGAAGCTGATCGAACTCAGCATTAAAGAAGCTGACAACAACGTGAAGTTGATTGTGCTCGACCGGGTTGACCAACTGAGGCGGCGAAACGAAGGGGTCCTGGATGACCTTACCATGGAAATTCTGCGCGTTTTATCGAGTCCCGACCTGGATGTTCGAAGGAAGGCTCTGTCAATCGCAATGGAGATGGTTTCGAGCAAAAATGTGCAAGAAGTCATCATGCTACTCAAAAAGGAGCTCAGCAAGACGGTGGTGGAGCAATACGAAAAGAACTCCGAATACCGGCAGCTTTTGATTCAGTCGATCCATCATTGCGCCATCAAGTTCTCCGAGATCGCGGCCAGCGTTGTTGATGTTCTCATGGACTTCATCGCGGATTTCAACAACAGCTCCGCCGTGGATGTCATCTCCTTCGTGAAAGAGGTGGTAGAGAGGTTCCCCAAGCTCAGATCTTCAATCATAGAACGATTAGTGTCGACTCTGGGCGAGGTCCGCGCGGGCAAGGTCTACCGTGGCTCGCTCTGGGTCATCGGCGAGTATTCCTTGCAAGAGAACGACATCAAGGAGGCGTGGAAGCGCATTCGAGCCAGTCTCGGAGAGATCCCTATTCTCGCCTCTGAACAGCGGTTACTGGATGAGCAATCGAATGAGGATGGCGAGCAGAAAGACCAAGTCAACGGTCATGCAGCAGTCAAGGCGGCCTCTACCGGCTCTCGCAAGGTTCTGGCTGATGGCACGTATGCTACGGAGACAGCACTCACAAGCGATTCAGCAGCAAAAGCCAGGTTGGAAGCAGTCAAAGCGGCGCAGAAGCCACCGCTTAGACAGCTTGTTCTTGATGGCGACTATTACCTGTCTACGGTGCTTTCTGCCACTCTTACAAAATTGGTCATGCGCCACTCAGAGATCTCCTCCGACCAGGCCCGAACAAACGCCTTACGCGCAGAAGCCATGCTTATCATGATCTCGATAGTCCGGGTAGGACAGTCACACTTTGTGAAGGCACCCATTGACGAGGACTCGGTGGACCGGATCATGTCCTGCGTACGCGCCCTGGCAGAGTTTTCTGAGCGTAAAGAGCTTGAAATATCGTTTCTGGACGACACGAGAAAAGCCTTCCGTGCCATGGTGGAGGTCGAGGAGAAGAAACGTGCAGACAAGGATGCGGTCGAGAAGGCGAAGACAGCCACACAGGTGGATGACGTTCTCTCAATACGGCAGTTGTCAAAGAAAAGTGCTCAGGACGGCATGGACGAGATGGAGATTGACCTGGAGAAAGCGACCGGAGGCGATGCTTCCTTTGAAGACTTGTCCTCCAAGCTGAGCCGGGTAGTGCAACTCACGGGGTTCTCAGATCCTGTATATGCCGAGGCCTATGTCAAGGTGCACCAATTCGACATCATTCTCGACGTGCTACTTGTCAATCAAACGCAAGAAACACTGCAGAATCTCTCGGTGGAGTTTGCGACGCTAGGCGACCTCAAAGTGGTTGAGCGGCCAACCACGCACAATCTGGGGCCACATGATTTCCTGAATGTGCAATCGACAATCAAAGTGTCTAGCACGGACACGGGCGTCATCTTTGGCAACATTGTGTATGACTCGCCATCCGGAACGGATACGCACGTGGTTATACTGAACGACATTCATGCGGACATCATGGACTATATCCAGCCAGCGACCTGCTCAGAATCCGCCTTCCGGACCATGTGGACGGAATTCGAATGGGAGAACAAGGTGAACATCAACAGCAAAGCGACGAGCAAGAGCCTTCGGGAGTTCTTGGACCAACTGATGAAGAGTACGAACATGACGTGTCTGACGCCCGAAGCTGGTTTGAAGGGCGACTGCCAATTCTTGAGCGCCAATCTTTATGCACGTAGCGTTTTCGGTGAGTTCAAACATTGTCTGACGGCAAGAATCGCGGCTAACATCGGAATAGGTGAGGATGCATTGGCGAACTTGAGTATAGAAAAGACGGCGGACAACTCGATTGTCGGCTTCATCCGAATTCGGTCACGTTCCCAAGGGTTGGCCTTGAGCCTGGGGTCGCTGAAAGGTCTGAAGGCCGGCACCTATTGAAAAGCAGTCTTGATGAGATAGATGTCAACAATTGCGATGGCCTCCAGCTCCCGACTTTTGCTGTGGAGAGAAGCCTGGGCGATGGAGTTGAGTCTCATGCAAGGCTGACAGGCGTAAACAATGCAAGATACTCCGTACTTAGACAATGGTAGCGGGAGCGGCTGCAGGGGGAGATGCCGATGCTCGACATGCAACTGCTACAGTAGTCAGTGGAGGAGCGGCATGACGCTTCGTTCCGGGGCCGAGTCACTGCCTAAAGTAGTCGCCGTCCCAGAACTGCGATTTCTCGAATCTCATTCACCCCAGCCATCTTTTCTGCCAACATTGCCAACACTGGCTGCCAGCAGTTCTCTGCTCCATCATGTCTTCACGCCCTTCTTGTAGATCTCGCAGTACTGACTCAGACTCTCTGGCGGCTATTTCGTATGACATCCGTTACCCTCGAGCTTGACCGTCCGTGTCACCACCGTCATTCATACCCCGATGAACCGCCTTGCACTTCTCATAGAGTTTTCGTCCTGTTGACCAATCCACCTCATGGCACCATGGCTGCAATTAGCAGTTTTGCCTCCAGCGCTGCTCCTCTTGATCTCTGCCTCCATACCCCAGGCTGCTCCACAGAACGTAAACCTGCGGTGGCCGTACAATCTCGCGCCCGACTCGAAATACTACCCCGAAGATGAAGTTCTAATCAAGAGAGACATTGACATACAGCAGAAGTTACAAAGGAGCTCTCCGACTGGAGTAAAGAAGCTGAATGGTGACCCAGGCGAGAAGTTCTACATGGATTATTGGGCATTTGAGGAAGAGCAAGAGGAGGCTTGGGACGGTCATACGATTTGGTCGAATTCCACATTTTGCGTGTCCGTCGACCTGCCCGTCCGAGTACATGATGCTCACAAGGGAGGAACTCGGTTATTGAGGCACCTTCCAGGCTGGCACTTGTTTTCAAAACGAGCATTTCAATGTCCCGCAGGGACCTCTGCCTGCACATCCATTGACCGACCCAACAGCTGTTGTGCAGCAGGATACACCTGTCAACTCGTTCAGGAGTCGAGCTCCAGTGAGGGCGACGTGGGATGCTGTCCCAACGGTCAAACCTGCGGCAATGCACTTTCCACGAACTGCGCGAGTGGGTATGCCTCGTGCCCGAACAACCCAGGTGGAGGTTGCTGTCTGCCAGGATACGCATGCTATGATGTTGGCTGTATACAGACAAATACAGCGACCGCATCAGCCACTCCGCTGGGTCCGAGTACTACGACTGTGACGAGTTATACGACGGTCACGCCATCTCAGCCTACCTCTCCTACAACAAGCTCAAGGCAGTCAGCAACTCCGACATCGACCTCGAGCTCCAACGTCACCCCGCTTCCACCACTTGTCTCAACTGTCACGATAACCAGGACGGTGACGTCTTCAGCCTCGCTTTCCCTCACATGTTCCACGGGTTTCCGATCCTGTCCGGCGAGTCTCGGAGGTGGCTGTTGTCCGACAGACCGCGCGTGTGGGTCTGCCAATTGCCCTGCCTTGTCAACATCGACAACCTCCTCTCAATCGAGCGGTACACCGGAACCCCCGGTCCGACCGACCAGCTTGACAACGACGGTGGAAATTACAACCACAACGACCACGCCTTCGAGTTCCCTGTCCTATCCGGTCACGGGCTGTCCAACTGGGTTCTATGCCTGCTCTGCATACCACCAGGGCGGATGCTGTCAAATCGGGCGAGACTGCGACAGTACGTCCTGCCCTGCAGCTGCCTCCACAACTCTTGTTTCTGGATCGAGTCTCACGATTGTCGCACCCTCTGGGAGCGGAATTACCGCCCCAGGCAGTTTTCTGACAGGCGATTGTGCAAGAGGATGGATGACATGTGCGCCTGACGTGGGCGGAGGATGTTGTCCGAGTGGCTATGTCTGTGGAAGCGTGAGCTGTAATATTCCACCTGGAGCAACAAGCTCGTTGGGAGTGGGTTCAGGAGGAGAGGTAGGGAAGGAAGCGCCGATGAATGTTGGAATGAGGCTCAGTGGGCGTCGGATCAGTTTTTGGACCTACCTGACTTCTTGGACAATCATGGCCATCTTGTTCTGACGATTCGACTGCGCACCACATGTGGCGATGTGAAATTGAGGTCCAGTTGCAGTTCTACGGGATTCGGGATCGCTAGCTGGTAGTCACTTCTTCCTCGCATGCGTCTTTTTGACACGAACAAGGACGGTACATACGAACACAGCAACGCCACGGGAGCATGGAAGCAAGTCAAGATCATCTCCTCTCTAGTGTCCCGCCTCGTGCTTGGAAAATCTCTACATGGTACACTGAAAGCCACCCGCTGGATTCTCAACTGCGTTCACTACACGTCGCCTTTCTTCAAGGTCCACGGTCTGCAAGTTACCGGCGGGTCCGGCAGTTTTAGATTCTTTCTTCGCGAGCAAACAAGTCATCTTGCGATGTACTCAAGTCTTCATCCTTTCCTTCCTACCACATCACCAGTCATGTTGGGACCTTCCAGCGAGACAGGCGCGTGCAGCTTCTTTCCAATCGGCAACACTCCGCCTGTGGACTTGAGAGAGTCACTTCCTCCGGGTCAAGATGCGGCGATACTTTTGCCAGGCTGTGGTGATGTTCGTAACGTTCTCTTCACGAGCTATGTTCGACCAGCGAGAGGTGAGTACGCTCCGTTGCTTGGACCGATGAGGATCAAACTCCTCGTAGTAACTCATGTTTGATTTGACGCTGACCACACTCGGCAGACACGAGCAAGCTTGACATAACGTGCTGCGACCTGAACGGCGAAATCATCGGTTCGCTCCTCCCTCTACAGTGACAGCTGTTACTGACCCGAGTTAGGGCGAAATACCCTTGTTTTCACCCTCATTCTCGACGATGTTGATGGCCGAAATTCCGACCTGCTCTGGAACATCTACTACCACCCGAAAGTCGATGACGCGGCTCTACAGCTGCTGCGCAAGCAAGCGCAGAAGCTGGCCGGTCTGGTGGGAACCCTTGAGCAATGGAACAGCGGTCCTTATGGTGCGTCACTTCGCTTTTGCGGTCAGATCAGCTTCGAGGTAGTTGCTGAGCTCTGGCGTTTCTATGGCATTTGCCCTTCGCAGCCACTCCAGTATCGAGCGCAGCAGAGACGGCTCAAGGAATCGTGGGAAAGAGCACAGAAAAACAGACGATCATCCCAGAGCATCACAAACACTTCCGGTCTCCGCTCTGTAGCCCCTTGCGGTCTGCTCATGAAGGATTTCGACAAATTCGCAAAGCAGTTCTGATCGACTGGCGTGGCTCCGGATGACGAGAAGCTGGTCAGGAGTTCCATAAACCTCAACCCCATGTTCGGCGACTTGTAGGGACTCTTGACAATGGTGGGATCTACAGAGCCATTCCAGAGTTTCCATCTAGCTACCGCCTATGCGCCCCTGACAAAGGATTCGCCTCTGCGTCCAGCGCAGTCTGAAGGTAAGGATACAACGATCATCGCGAAGGCAGCGATAACAGCATTTCGGGCGTGGTGCAAGCGCTTTCGATCCGCAGGCCAGAGTCTGAGCCTCCGCTTCACCGTGTCAGACGCTTTAAGATTCTGTCAGGTACTGCAAACTTACAAGGCTCGCTCATGTGCCAATCTGCCGTTGTGGTACCGAGATGTCATGCACTACGAACCACTCACCTTGGATGCCATGCAATACCCGGTGGACTGCTCTGGTATCGCAGCTTTTGACGTTATCAACACCTCCAACCTGGTGGACTTTATCGGCTGCCTCAACCTGCTCGCGGCGACTGCTCCACTCCTTAAGAACGAAGGCTCGACAGTGTACATGGAACTGCTCCTGTTACGAGATGAGAGCCTACATGCATATGCGAACGACATCATGTGTGGAGACATTCCCACAATTTCAGCACTGTTTGGCCTCAACCTCATACAGTACTGGAGCAATGTCTCAACATACTCGCCCTATGCCGAATGTGTCCTGAAAGCCCTCAGCGACGCGGACGCGAAATGTCAAGGACGATCCATTCTCATGTGGAAGCGCGCCAACTTCAACAATATCGATTTCGACCCTCAAGAGCTGGCCCAATTTGTGTATCAGATGTCTCTGCGGATGTTCCACCACGAGAGTAAAGCCGCTGTACGCGCTAAGACTTGGACCCAGCTCTTCCGACATCCTGCCCAGCACTATACTCGCGCTGGATTCGCCATCATACTCAAAGTCATCAGAGAAAACCGGGTGGTAGATTTCGGCGTCTTCATCGAACAACTGAGCACCCTACTCAGTGATGATCGGCATCTTGATATGGGACCTTGTTACCAGCACTCCTTGTTTGTGCACTTGCACCAGCTTTGCCTTTTCACGCCTGCCATGTATACAGGCAACTGGGACGGCACCATGCTTAACCTAGAGGCAAGTCCACTGCAGAAGTGGCTGAATATACCAGCCACGCTGCATCTGACGTTTGTGGTCTCGACACCGAAAATGGCTCTGTTTCACAAGAGAGTTTCCGCAGTAACGCCTGAACTTCATGTGTACCAAGTCACTTTGCGAAGTAGTGTGACTGGCCAACAGCATATCCTTCCTGACATACAGCTGGGCATCGGAAGTGTCCGCACTACCGGGATTCGTCACACCGAGACCTTCACCATGCGCGTGGAGTTGAACAGCCGAGATCCGGATATGGTCGTCTCCCTCCTTGTACCTACATGCCTCGTATTGCAAGATGCCGATCTATCGACAGTAGTGCTATTCCATTTGATCGCAACCCCAAGTTCACAACGGCTCGGCGGTGGTTCAGATAGTGATCTGTTGATTCACAGCCTCAGACTATCAGACCAGGACGTATTCATCACGAAGGATCCGCCCAACCTGGCCGGGTACATGTTGGCCACGGGCTCGGAAAGCCTCTCAGATAACATGTCACAGATGGTTACGACCTCCAAAGCGGCACCGACTGTTCCCCGGGCCCCAACGGTCACGTTCCAAGCGATCTTCAACAGCCAGAGAAGCAGGATTCAGCAGCTCTACACCCGTGTCGACTTGTCATCAACAAAGGCCGCAGATCTGTTGTGCTCTGGAGCGAAGGTACAGATCAAGCAGCAATCTAGTTTTGTTGTGGAGCTCCTCATCGGGTCAGGACCTTCATCATTTCAGCAAGACATCGAAGTGCCGCTTCCTTTAGCCGTGAGGGCGAGCAAGCTCAGGATCGCACGCGCGGCTTCATATGTGGAGATAACAGCGCCAGTGGCCTCGAACGCCTGGCTGTCGCGCCGGCCGGAGTCTGCATTTCCAATTTCACTCCGTAGCGGCGATCCAATTCTTGACAGACTGCCGTACGTTCATTTAGACTGTCTGCCCATCCTGGACACTCGAGATGTCGAGATGATGGAATGGTTAAATGCACACGTCGGCTCGATGTTTTCTGCCAGAGAAGCCAAGCACTTTGAGCAATTTGAGCAATTTGCCACTTCCGGCGGCACGACGGATGACCTGCGCTACAACTTAAAGACCATACTCCTCGACGTTCTCCGTAACGCTGCGGGTTTCGGTGTCCGCCCCAGCCCGCAGATCGTTGCCGTTGGCAGCGGACCTCCTGAAACAGGACAGAACATGTTTCTGCTCGTCTCAGCGAGGGCTCTGAAATTAGATCTCTCGAGCTTGAGCGTCGTGCTTGACGCGGCTATGGTGCCGGCACCAATCCTCCTCCCGCGCCCGTTGCGCATCAAACTCCTGCAACATTCCGCTGGAATGGGCATTGCCTGGGACATCGAGCAGGCGACTTTCCGAGCCTGGAATCATGCCGTTGCCGCGTTCGTGGAGAGGGGTCGCGAGTGGGAGCACGGCCCTGGATGCGAATATGCAGCTACCGGCGCATCAATTCCACTATCGGTGGAAGCTGGCAAAAGCCCTGTCTGTTCTTGTGGATTGGGCAAGTTTCCGGAGGACTACATGCCAGAACTCCCCTTCTGGAAAGACATAGCAAAGTACTGCGTCCGTGTGGCTATTTGCCCTATCTACTATAGCCCACTCGTCGAGGAGATGCCCGATTTCACCGCGGGTGTCGGCTGGGTCTCGGAGGAGCAGTCGACGCCCGAGAACACCGACGATGTGCGTCCACTTTGTCGGAGTTGCAAAGCTGAGGCGTCAGCGGAGAGGAAACTCCTGAGATGCGCCAGATGTAAGGCTGCGCAGTATTGCTCGAAAGAATGTCTAGGCCGCGATTGGAAAGAAGGAGGCCACAAGCTGAAGTGCGTCTGAAATCCATAGCAGGGGAGGGGTACGGCACTTTATTGGACTTGGTGGATTGGACCTTATGTCGACCTCAAGGTGTTGGAAAGAGGAGATGGAGAGACGGGCGGAGGAGGGATGGACTGCCACCCGTCGAGAGCCGTTGGAGACAAGCTCACTCGGCGGCAGCCAAGCTTCTTACCCAAGTACGTTGTAGAGACACTTCAGTCACGACACCTTCATCATGAACACTTATGCTCGTGCTGGAGATGGTGGAGTCAAGATGGGCTGAAATGAGCCGGGTGAAGACAGTAGGTAACATTGAAGCACCAAGACCACACGCGTACGGGCCAGCTCACTGGCGCCGGCTTTCTACAGTACACAGTGATGTGTAGGTACGTTGCAGGACTGTAAAGGAGAAAACAGCGAATCCGCGATGTTACATAGTACTACTACATCGTCGCTTCGCATGCTCAGCCCCGCTTGCTCTCGAACAGTTAAGCGAGAGGCCGATGAGGGCGAGTGGCTCCTTCGTTCCAGATTACTGTACCACGTCACCGACTGCGGACGTGCAGTCTTCCATGTCCCATGCGGCGCGACAGGATCCATCGCTGTTCTGTGGTGGCTACTGAGCCAAGCTGCGGATTGCTGTTTCGGGATCATGACTCGACCAGGCAAGTGCGATGTCTGCAGGAGGCGTAAGGTCAAGGTGGGTCGTAAGGTCTCCGACATTCACTCGAATGCTTATGCTCTTGACAGTGCGATGAGAAACAGCCGGTCTGCGGTGCTTGCAGCAAAGGCAATCGTTCTTGCACCTATACCGCGGGGAATGGCCGATTCGACGGGTTCTACCAGGTGTACCGAATAGACCCCGTCGGACAAGACAGGAGTCCCTCCTCCAGCAGGAGCTACTCTTCAACCCAGTCAAGGAATTCTGGCAGAGCTAGTCAACCCCGGGTGCATGATACTACTCTCACGCTCAGACCAGCTGCCTACGTTCCCACGGGATCGAGCACGAGCACATCCTACGGATCCGTCGCATGGCCTGGAAGCATTGACCCAAGCGGAGAAATTAATGGGGCCAGCAATCTCGTCCGTGAAGCCCAACTCTGTGGCAGACCAGCAAGTCTCGTCCTCCGCTGGAGAAACCTGTGCGAGACCATGCTTCCTGGGGCCCCCGAGCCTTACGTCCTTGGAGAGTGGCTTGAAATCATTCCACAGCGGATAGGGCATAGTGAAACATTCGATATCGCCCTAGAATGTCTCATTACCAGCGCATTGACCTACGTCAACACAACCGAGCGCAACCTGGCCGAGACATGCGCCTTGAATTCGAGGGCCCTGGCTCGTATCAGAGCCATGCTTTCCAGAGGGGAAGAATCACCGAAAGAGCAGGACGACATTCTTCTGGCCATCTCTTTTCTTTACGCGGCCGAGGTATGAAACCACCTGTTAGCACGGTCGGCTGTGACCATGACTAATCCATGGTACTGGATAGGTTTTCCGAGGAGTCGACACTGTGAACTACAAGATTCATATGCGCGGCCGAGATGAACTTCTGGCGAACACGACCAGGCATGGAACGGAATGTAGCGAGATATGCAGGCAAACCTTCTTCACGAGTGCACAGTCCGGCGTAAGTAGTGGTTCAAAGTCAATGTCGACTCATTCAAGGGGGCTTCCCGCTGATGTTCGGGCTAGGACATGACCCCCATCCTGGCCGGCAAGGACTCAATCTTCGATAAATCTGCCTGGCTTGCATTGACTGCGCCGAAAATCTTCAACCCAGAGTACCCCGATGCCGAACGCGTCGAGGAATACCTGTCGAGATTCCTGGTCCGTCTTCCACGATTAGTCCGCCTCGTTCGCACGGCAAAGCAAACCCCGAATGACGAGATGGCATGTGTAGAGGCGGTCTCGCTGGCCACACATCTCTACCTCGACACACTAGAGGATTGGATCCAGCGTGTCACGATGATGGACCTGCTGAGGACTGTCCCGACCACTGAGCCATCCTGCGTGGCATTTACGGCGAGGTCATTGGAGTTTGCCTCAGCGCGGATCTTCAAGCGGATCGTGCTCTACTGGCGCCTGCGCTGTCTCGTGAGTGGCTGTATCCTCACTCTGCTCCAAGTCAGACGGCACATGCCCGCTTCCGCTGCCGCCTTACTCGACAACGTCGACGCGACCAGCGTGCAGAGCCACGAGGAGCGCGCTGCGGAATGTATCGTCATGAGTGTCCAGTGGGCCATCATCTCGCCCTCGCCGTTCCCCGTCTATAAGCTGCTGGTAGTCTCGCCGCTGATGAACGCGTTTGGCGTGTGGATGCGCTCGGCGCGCCGAGCAAGCAGCGTCGCCGATGCACAAAGAGCAAAGAACCTACAGCTCTGGGCCGTCGATCAGATCGCGGCGATTGGGAGGACCATCAATGCGCAAGAGGTGGGTATGGCCCAGCTAGAGGCCATGAACACGATCTTGATGGGCGGACCATTACCAGGTTCTTGAATCTGCAGGTACACTGAGAATGTAGCACAAATATGGCAGTAGATCAGACATAAGATATATAACGCCTCACAAGCCAATCTTAAATCTCAAACCCTGTAATACTCTGCGCATTCAAGGAGATTGAAAAGCTCAACGAGCCGAAACTCCTGTCCGCTCGTCTCAAACCATGACCATGAACCAGGATCTTGACCACAACGCCATTAACAGAGTGTCGACAAGTACTGGAAAGCCTCTCGTTGGCGACCGCCGACAATCGCGAGTCTTCATTCCGACATCCCCAGCCACTCCGTGATTGAGTTGACCTCGAACTTACGTGCTCCGACGATCGCCTCGGGACCCGTGGCATTAGCGACAATCGGGAGTGAATCTCCCACCAACTTCACTTCAGGAAGACATCCCAAGCCACTCCTTGATCGAGTTGACCTCGAACTTCCGGGCCTCGACGACCGCCTCCGGGTCCGTGGCATTCGGCCTAAATGCCTCTGCACCATGACTGCCCTGCGAAATGAAAAACACCCGACTGGCATTCCGGTCCGCGCTGGGCTGCCACCCGACCAACCCAAACCCGACCGCACTACCCGGGTCATACATGCCCTCGGAAATGAGGAGGTGCGTGGTCTTCTGCAGCGTGGTCTTGTCGAGTTTCATCTGCTTTTGACGCCTGAGGCCGCCATCGATGGCGTCGATGCCCCACATCTTCTTGCAGCGCGCCTGGTTGATGTTCTTGGCGCTTGTGTCGGGGAGGTGCGGGCCGAAGATGGTCTGGGCGGTCGCGTACACGTTCCGCGAGTAGGGGACGTACGTGCAGATGGCGTAGTCGAAGGGGTTGCGGGTGGATTTTTCCTCGCCTGGCGCGGTCAGGGTGGCGCACGTGGCGCCCTGGACGTGGAGTTCCCATGGGATGGCAGCGCCCAGGATGTCAAAGGTCGTGGTGGCAAGAAGGGTCGCGTTGATGACGCTGTCCATGGGGAAGGCTGTGTTGGCGGCGTTGTATTGCGCGGCGTGGATGTATGCAGACAGCAAATAGCGAGACACCACCTCGGCTTGGGAGGTCGAGTTGACGGGGTTGCACAGCTTGAGTTGTTCTTGGATGCCGTCGAATTTGCCTTCAAGAACCCTTGGTCAGCTATTGCATTACACAGTACGGATCGATCCCTTCTCAAGAAAAGAGAGGCGGGTGGGAATTTAAGTAGGCAAGTACGTACCGGTCGCCACTCGATTCCGCACGTCCGCGATGCTGGTCTTGATCTTGTGCGCTGCTTCGGCTGAGAGATCGTTGTAGACCATGTTTGCCTGTGATCGTGCTCAGCGTTAGCATATCAATCGGATGGGGGACTCCTAGTGAATGAATGTTGACGAACCCAATTTGCAAAGCCATAGACAAGCGGGTCCTTTGGATCCGTGATCGCGCCCTCAATGAGCGGAGAAGAGGCGACAGAACCGAAAACAATCTCTGGATAATGTGTTCGGTACATCGCCGCCAGGGAACCACCGTACGAGGCTGTGCCGCGAAGTCAGCAAGGTTTGGCACAATGGTCTCATTCCAGCCTACCACCAAAGGCGATGACTTTTGCGCCCTTTGCAATGGGATTGGCGCCCGCAGTGAGCCAAGTCAGGAACGCCACGCCGTCGGACAAGACGTTGTCCAGAGTCATGGCGTCCATCTTGGACGTCTCCCACGTCGCGGCCAGGCTGTAATTCAAGCCGTACGGACAGCTCGCGCCGAAGTACCGGTGTTCCAGGCCGACGGCGAGAGCTCCCAATTCCTCCGCATACGTATACACGGCCTGGTACTCTACACACGAGTACGCATCTTCGGGTGACTGGTAGAATAGGATCGGGCCGCCGGGTTTGTAGAACTTGTCAATCACCTGGTACTGTTGGAGGAAGGTCGTGTTCTTGTCGGTCCAGTCGCCGTTGAACTTGTCGTGGTGGACGGGCTGGGGGAAGAACTTTGTCGAGCACAGTTTTTGCCCTGTGGGGATCTTGGCTGCCGCTTGAATGGCACTCTCGGGTGGGATGTTGACCTTGGGAATGCTGGCCGCGGAGACGGGGCTACAACAGTAGAGCAGACACAGGGCCTTGGTGATGGCCTTCAACATGGTCGGTGACGGTGTCTTCTTGTCAGGGCGGGTGATGATGGTTTAGGAGAGATGGGTTTGGTTAGTGTCTTCTTCATGTCGAAAAGACGTCCTTGCCCACGGCTTTATAGAATCTCTTGCCCGCAGGCAGATTGCGTGTGCCCCACAGCTCAGCTTTTAGCCCAGTCATGTTCCAATGGGAAAAAATGCGAGAGACAAGCGGCGTCATGGCTGTGATGTTAGTGTTAGGCAGACTTGCGCAGATCGGAAAGACTTTGGCATTCCCCTCGTGTGGGCAAATCGAGTAGCAGAGCCTCTTGCCATGGCGGCGCTCTCAAGTATAGATTGAAATTAACAAAGCCGTTTACAAGTACCCGAAAGGGACTAGACTGGCACGACTGGGGAAGGACCGTGCAAAGCAAAGTGGCGATGACATGACGGATCTTCAAGAGGACCAACCTGGAGACACGTGGGGACGAGGGTCTGATATCTTGCAAAATTGACGTGACATCGCGATCTTCAATATAGGGCAACGGCGACCCATGGAGACGGCACCCACGGGGGCTGATATTTCGCAAAATCGCCTTTTTCGGATTAGTGCGATGTAGGTCGACGTTTGAGGTAATAGGTGGGCCGGCACCGAAGCAGGCGGCCCCGAATGCGAGCACAGCTCCTAAGTACAGAAGGGCTGCACCTCTGACAAGCTAGCTGGACAGACCATACGACCTGCTTCTTTCCCTTCTAGCTTCGTGAACTCCTTGAGGGTTGCACTGTGAAGCTCTGCTGCGCTTCTCAGCCTCGAGGTGGGTATGCTTAAGGGGGAAGTACCAGGCACATAGTAGGCACACCCACATGGAAGAGCGGCTAAATATAGTTAGGTAGGGGATCGCGGTTGACTGTAGATTGTCGCTTCAACTGGTTCTTTGGCCAGCGTATACCTAAGAAGCTATAGTTAGATTTCCTCCTCCAGCGCCAAAGGCTAATGATATTGTAACCTCGTCGCCAAGGCCAGATCTATAGCCCTGACACTCCTGTTGGGATGCCTTTCCATCATAGCTAACAGCGACATAGAAGTCGAGGGGACCGAACCCGTCCCTGCCAGAGTTGTTTAGCTCTCAGAACTGTGCCCGTACTGCAAGTCATCTGCATCGAGACGGAACCGGCCGTTCATATTGACCCCTTTGGGGCCGCTCCTGAGATCGGCGCAAAAAAAAGTCCTCTTCGTTCAAATCATCATCCACCCAAGGTGATCTTGCACCTCCGATCGAAATCACACGCCGGACGCCAATGCTCAAATCACTGTCTTCTTGTATGTTTGTTTTCTGTAGTCAGACCCTCAGGATTCTTTCCTGCACCTCAAGACGCTGCCGTCATTGTTTGTGGGGAGGTTCCATATCTTCGTATTCCTTCAGTTTGGCATTCACCATCTCCAGCGCATGTCTCTTGACCATCTCCTTGTCTTCGCGCACGTCCACCTGTAGGACGTCCCACTCGAGATCTTCCTCAGGTTCTTCAAGCGTAACCATTTGACTGTGCACCATGTTCTCCTTCATGTAGTGGCCGACCCGAGCGGCGACTCTTGCCTGCAAGGTTGACTCGTCCACCTTGAGGTAGACAAAATGGACCTGTACGGACGGGTGCTCGTAGTTCGCGACGCGGATGACATCTCGATACTTTCGTTTCAGGGCAGAGCATGTGACTATGACGGAGTTGGACGTCTGGAGTTTCTGGATGGCGGCTTCTCGGAGGGTAATCAGCCAATCCCATCGGTCGGCGTCTGTGAGGGGGATGCCTGAGGCCATCTTTTCTTTGTTGGCGATCGGATGGAACTAGCTTGCATTAGCCAAGGAGTAGTCCCGATCACGTGGTAGCAACGTACATCATCGCCTTCGAGATAGGGTAGTGACAGCTCCGTCGCAAGGTGCTGCGCGACAGTCGTCTTTCCGCACCCTGCAGGGCCGGTAATGATCCAGATATGTTCAAAGTGCTGGTCAGACTCGGGTTGCATGACTTGGGTGTTTATTTTGTATTTCGGAGAGATTGGACGGTGAGGGTGTCGGAAGGAGTGAGGTCTTGGAGTTCGCTCTGTCGACAACATTGTGAAAGTTGGTTAGAGGCCGTGAACGAATGATGTCACCAACAAGAATCAGCGCGACAAGCGGCGGTTGAATTCGGGTATCACGCGAGCCAAGTGAGCAACAGCAGATACGGGTATGAGCGCGTGGGGTGGAAGATAGTACAGAGAATGAAAGGGACAGGCACGTACTGGGTTGGGAGTCTGGCACAAATATAGATGCGGCTCATAGAGGGGTGAGCAGGCGTGGGAGGGTGAGAATCGCCGTCAGGATCGACGAACTCGCCGGTGGGAGTGGCGGTGAATCCGTCAAGTGAAGCGCCTTCAAGAGATGCGAGAACGGCAGGAATCCACGAGTTCGCACAAACCTGGGATCTTGAACTCAGGGTGACTGTGGCCCGGCTGTTACCCCACACCATACACCCAGGGCGGGCGCGGGCTCGCACGACTGCCGGATAAATTGTCTGCAGTCTTCAAATGTTTGACTTGCAGGGTCTGAGAGATTAGCAAATCAGGTCGCGTCATCGAACCGGTACCGAGATGGCGCCTGCACGATCGGTGCATGGGCAACTATTAAACTCGAGATAAGCCTCGAAATCCGGCCAAGCAATCGAAAACCAGAAAGTAAAGAAAATTTTGGAGAATTGTTATTGTGGGGTGGAAGCTGCAGAGAGTCGGCAATTGAGGAAAGAGTGAACGTCGGATGTACAAACCCGACAATAGCCGAGCAGCAAACTCAGGGCTAATTGGGTGCGGTGTCACAGCCTTGCAGTCGCACAGGCTAGAGCACAGGGAGGGCAAGTGTCCCCGAGGGATGGTCAGTATTCACCGAATCCAGATGGAAGCAGGGCACAGTGAAGCGAGAGGACTAAGGGAGAGGGTTGGAAGGTTTATGTCATCGCAGGTAATACTGCCCTGGCTATGAGCTGGAAACGCGGGCGCAATTGAGACGTATTACAGCATCGGTGCAGACATCCCTTTAGCTCAGTGACACACAAACGTAGTTCCCTTGTCGTTGAGGCTCAGTCACGATGGTGAGGAGGCTCTAAAAACTGAAAAACACTTTGGAGACAAAGCTTGGCATCTCCAGCCGACCAGCTGCCATCCGTGCCACCTTGTTGCCGCTGCGCAAACGCTGCTCAATCCTCCATGCGTATTTGCCCCAACAGCAATCTTCATCTTCAATTTCCAGAGATGTAAGCCAATGCGAAATTCCTGCGACACATGCTCGCAGCATGACCTCCCTGTTAAGATTACGTCAATTCCCCATATTTAGACACCTCCCTTTGCGTTCCTCAAGGAATATCTCGTTGACGTGCCGTGGTAAGTCCAGTAAACAGCGAGGAAACAGCCAGCTGATGGTGTCTCGCAGGCAAAGCCATTGACCGAGAGGAGCTGTTTCAGTACACCAATGGTCGATTTCTGATTCGGGATCAACAACAACGTGATGCTCGTTATGTCAAATTTGACTTAGATGCTCTTCGGGCAATTGCAGCCAACACCGGCCCGTCGGTATCGCCTGTCCGAAAAAATCGAAAAGTTCGAGGGTGGATTCAGCAAAGCATTACGCTTACACAGGGCGGATGGAACAGAGCTCATCGCGAAGATCCCGTGCCTCAATGCCGGCTCCGCCAAATATACGACTGCGGGGGAGGTCGCTGTTTTACAATACGGTATGAGACTCCAGGTTGCCACAATTATGCCAGTGTCTAACCAATCGAAGCGAGGGAGCATACCGACATTCCAGTACCATGCTTCTACGCCTGGAGCGCTGATGCTTCAAATCCTGTTGGGGCAGAGTACATCATCATGGACACGGCTTCCGGTGTCCAGCTCTTCAGGTTGTGGGACCGCCTTGAAGAACAATACAAACTGGCCATCATCCAGAAGTTGGTCAAATGGGAGAGTCAATTGATGTTGATTAAGTTTCCAGCATATGGCTGCGTGTATCCTCGCCATTTCTTACCAGACAACGAGAGGAAGGCGGACCTTCCGACAGACATCGATCAATCCGGATCTTATTGCATTGGTCGGCCTTGTGACCCTGCTTGGTCTGGTGTACCCGAAGATGTCACCCTAGGACCCTGTATGCGCATTTTCTGTCGCGTCTATGTCTGGCGTGTCAAGCTGACCATCGTTAGGGCTGTCTCTCACTGATTTTGGAATTGTGCTTGCGAAACGAGGGATCTACTGCATCTCACAAGACGGGAAAGGCGTTCACACCGGTAGCCACCGTGGCACACCTGCCGAACACATTTTCTTGCTCGAGACCACCATTAAAGTCATGGAAGTCCTCGGCACCCACTCCGACCTTCTCCGTCATTCCAAACCTACCCTCTGTCACACTGATTTGCACATGGGCAACATTTTTGTCTCGGAAGACGATCCTTCTCAAACCTCTGCAGTCGTTGACTGGCAATTTACGCAGATAGGTCCTATGTTCTTGCAGGCACGTTGGCCCGTTTTTTTGACGCCTCCAAAAGACTACCAGGTTGGCATCGTCAAGCCCAGGTTACCTGACGACTATGAAGACCTGGACGAGGAGGGAAAGCAGGAAGCAGACCACAGGTTCGAGCAGGCCACGACAGCCAAGGCCTACGAACTAAGATGCTTTCTGGACAACAAAGACGCGTACGATGCCATGCACTTACCTCGCGTATACCGGGAGCTTTTCATGCGCTATGGGAATACGTGGGAAGAAGGGCCTGCGCCCCTGCGCGCGTGCCTCCTTGCGATCTCCAATGCCTGGGACGAGCTAGACCTGCCTAGCGAATGTCCGTACACATGGCAAGCGGCAGACATCCAGAAACATGAACAACAATTCGAAGAATACCAAGAATGGCGTCGGGCAAGAGACTTTGCGGAGGAATACCTCGGCACCGATGCAGACGGCTGGATTCCCCCGGAAATAGATTTCAACAAGAAGCAAGAACAAAACAAGGCACTCTTCGCTCTATACGCAGAACAAATGGCTGGCCAGATGTCCCAAGAAGAGATCAGCATGATATGGCCATTCCCTTCCACAGAGCCTGCTCGATCTCCTTTTAACACATGCTGAGGGAATATCATTGCTTAAGATCTGTTCCCGTGTTCGCGTCGACTAGAGCAAGTTCGATAGCCGAAGTGACAGAACGTTTAGCTGTATTCCGTACAGCCACATTGCCGTTGACCAAACTATGTCCCGTTAGTTTGCTCTCGCCGCCGTAGAGCGTAGACTCGTAGCCTGACGGGCGTTATGACGGCGGACTTGGGGGAACTCGGGGGAATGTCGAGCGAGGCGCTAGACTCTCTAACCATTCCAACTTGGGATGCCATCTTGGCGTTCTTCTGGGGAAGCTGCGGGCTGCTGCTCACCACCTGCGAATTGACGGAGGACTACGGAGTACTGTGTACGCCGGCGATTTCAGCTAAGCGTATCGACATTCCCACCAGGCAACAGCTTACTCTGTACACCGAGCTGTTGTCGCTATACACCGTCGGCTTGATCTACATCCTTTATCTTCGCCCAGCCCACCCTCCCCCCGTCATCATGTCCGCATTCTTCTTCTCCACACCCGTCGACATAGATATCGTCCTCGAAGATACCGATGACCGGCAGACGGTCGATGTCAAGCTCGACAAGAATAGACGCGAGAAAGCACCTCTGTATCTAGATGGAGAGTCGGTCAAAGGCGCAGTCACAATCAGACCGAAAGATGGGAAAAGGCTGGAGCACACCGGCATCAAGGTCCAATTCATCGGCCTGATTGGTATGTCATTCTGAGCCCCTGGCTTGTCTGCTGGATACAGAGGTTGATCTGGGTGTACACAGAAATGTTCTTTGATCGTGGAAATCACTACGAGTTCCTGTCGTTAGGCCAAGAACTCGCGGCTCCTGGCGAACTACAACACCCACAGACCTTTCCCTTCAACTTCAAGAACGTCGAGAAGCAGTACGAATCATACAATGGCATCAACGTCAAATTACGCTACTTCGTCAGAGTCACTGTGTCGAGGAGGATGGCCGACGTCATTCGGGAAAAGGATATTTGGGTCTATTCGTATCGCATCCCACCAGAGACAAACAGTTCGATCAAGATGGACGTCGGTATAGAAGATTGCTTACACATTGAATTCGAATACTCGAAAAGCAAATACCACCTGAAGGATGTCATTGTCGGCAGGATATACTTCCTACTGGTCCGGCTGAAGATCAAACACATGGAGCTCTCAATTATTCGGCGGGAGACGACAGGTGTTGCGCCCAACCAATATAATGAAAGCGAGACATTGGTCAGATTTGAGGTATGTCCGCCCATGACTTTGCCTTCCCAGGGACGCTAACCCTTGCTCAGATCATGGATGGCTCGCCGTCAAGAGGTATGTTCGAACTTGCATTGTCGTGGTCCCCTAACGCCCACGACATCCAGAAGACGCTCAGTCTTCATTAGGTGTGCAACCCGGTTTGTATCCAGGTGTTGACGTGAACTCTAGGCGAGACCATTCCTATCAGACTCTTCCTTGGAGGCTTCGACCTAACCCCGACCTTCCGAGAGGTCAACAAGAAATACTCCACCAGATATTATCTCAGTTTGGTCCTTATTGACGAAGGTACGTCTTGACGTCTGGGTCACTTTTCTATGCTTTCACAACAGAGCGGCGCCATGGGGAACGGGCCCAACTTGATCTTTCTGGTGATGTGTTGCTCACACGGCCTCTATCTAATGCCGTATCCACCCCGAGTTGGGGTTGTGTCGGCAACTGAAGCAGCCCCGCTCGGCTTTGTGTCCAAACCTGCCGACTACTCCAAGACTTCGCTGCTCAAGCTCACACCAGACGCGTGAAAACAGCCCTAGGAATTGATAGGCCCGACACTAACGTGTTGCATACAGATGCCCGTCGCTACTTCAAACAATCAGAGATCGTGCTCTATCGGCAAGCACCAGAAACTGCGCCGCATCTAGCTATCGACCAACCCGGTATAGGCGGAAAACCACCTGCAATCACTCCCCCAACACCTGCTTGATTCGGCTCCAGGCCTAGGAAAATATTATTCCTCATGTACATCGGGGAAGCCACCAAACAACGCCGTGCGCTGCAACCCTATTGAAGTCACCAAGCCGGGCAATAGGGCCCCTATGAGGCGAAAGCGCCGAATGATGGGCGAATGACCACCTCCGGAACGCTGTTTCCCATGAGCAGCATCTGAGTAAACCCGTAAGTCGGGGTCACCAGGTACCGGCGTTGATGGCCTCTGAAAGTCGGAGATATGGCCAAGTACAGAGCACACTGCATGCCTAGGTGACCTCGTGATCGCGCTTGCCCTGGCACTGGAAATTCGCCTTGCAAGTAGCTATCCAGGCCGAGTCAGGAAGTCATGCCGCGGGTGCGGCTTCTGGTTTGTAACGGGCAGCCGCAGAGCCTGTCTCCCTTGTGGTCCATAACGGGATACTAGCCACCGCTTGGAGATATGCCGCCGAGGCTACAGTAACGCACCTTGTCCTCTGGTGACGAGCATGTGTCGAGCCATTGGGGGGCGGGCAGGACCTTTGAATAATCAATTCACCGAATCCCACGATCATTGAAAGATCTTCTTTATTCTATGACTTGTGTCGATTCCACTATCTGGGCTCGATAGTGTAGTGCTACTGACCTACTTGGCGAACACCCTCCCTTGCACCACTTGCGCCTGCGTATCACACGTGTGAGTCTCATGCTCAACATCTCTCAGCATGCCAGATCCGGCGCCCGTCCTGCCCGGTTGATACATACTCCTCGGTCGGTATCCTTCCCACACGCTACTCCAAGCCAGAGCCAGCAAAGCCCCATCCCTCGGCAACCACGCTCTGCCACCGCTCCAAAGCCTCCTGGATGCCCACGCCGGGCTCGTCGTCCTCCCACGCCCGCAACCCCGGCCCTGTCAACCGCGGCAGCCCTTGCCAAAATTTCTGCACGCGGAGCATCAGGCCGTAGAGGACGCGGAGGTGTTCTTTGCCGTCATCATCGTCATGGTCTGACTGCCTCTCATCCGATTGAGTAGTGAGACCAGTAAGACGTAGGCTACCTAGGCTACCCCGAGTTTTGGCCTGGCTTTGCCCCTTGAGTGAAGATATCATCTCCGCCACCGCGTAACCATTACTCCGCAGATCGACGAATTTGGATAAGATGACTTGGAGTTCGACTTGTTGGGGCATTGGTGGTGGCGTGAGGCTCCGTAGGCGCTGGTCCGCTAGGAAGGTCTTGAGTGGGTGGACCACGCGCAGGATCAGGTAGGGCGCGGCTGCGGAGGCGAGTTTGAGTTTATCGGAGGAGGACATTGTTGTCACTGGATAATTGTCCCGTTCGCCTCCATCGGCCGTCGCGTGCTGCGGTTGCGGTTGCTCGACAAGCTCGAATAACGCTCTTAGTGCGGCGTAGCAGAGTTGTCTGCGCACAGCGAATATAGGCCTGTGGACGCTGCCGGGGCGCACGCGCATCAAATCTTTCAGCGGCTCACTGTCCAGATCGTCGGGTAGGTCGTTGAACCAGGGTTTCGCGAGCAGAGACGCCTTGAATAGGACGAGGGCGTATTGCTTGCAGGCGTCGTCCGCTTTGATGGCGTCGACTGTTCCGAAAATGGGCACGATTGCCTTGTGCAACCGTTCGAAGTGTTCGATGTCGAAGGTCTCGTCTTCGAGGATTCTGTCCACTTTGTGCTCAGGAGCAGGGGGGCTGGACAGGTCACCAGGTTGGAGGATACTCACGGCTACGGAAATGATTTGGGGCCCCAAGGTTTCCAGCTGGGACAAGTCCCTTGACGATTTGCGCTTGACATGCTTCTGCAGTGCTTCAAGCAGAACGGCGGCAATGACGGTCGAGATTCGCCACAAGGGCATCTCGTTGTTCGTTGGGATTCGCGTGTACTTTGTGCTGACAACGGCTGAAAGAACTGGGCATGCATCTTGTACAGCCACTGTCTGGACGAAGTGGTCATCATCTGCACATTCCAGTGTGAGATCTCGAAATTTGTCCAGACACGCGGCTGCGAAGGCAATGAATGATGGTCGTTGCATCGATTTGGACACCGCTGACTTCTTTGGGTGAAGAGCGACTTTTCCGTTCTGAATATTCAGCACCAGTGTCACCAGCCTTAGCAAGGATCCCGAATACTTCGACACGTCGTCCTGGAGGAGAATTTTCAAGATTGCTAGACAGTCACAGGCTTCCTTCTGCTCGGGAGCCAGCGTCTTGACATCACTTGTGTACGGGGGATGCGTGCACAGCATGACTCCTCGCTCAATCGAGTCCATCAAGGTTGAAGTTTGACCTTGCAGATATTTTGAAGCCGCCACTGAACTGGTTTTGTATGCCTCAACAAGGACATGAGCATGTGAAGCAAAAGCTTGCTGATTCGATGGCTCGCCACCTGCCGAGGGGGATTCATATCGTATATCGGCGGGATGGTGGCTTGCCCATAGCTGCACAGCAGGCCCGACTAGCTCTTCGCTGGAGACTGGGAGGACTGCTAATGCTGACAAGAGCTTTGATAGATTTGAGAAAGCCAGGAAAGATGCGGACACAGAGTTGGTATCTAGTATGCTTTTCAAGACGTCCATGATACACAGCCAGGTATTCTTGAAGCCATCATGCTGGGCGATGACGCCGAGACTGTGACAAAGAAGCTGCGTGCATCCGTCTGTCAGTTGGGCTGCTGACGCCATCCATGGCTCCTGATCTGTCTCGGCTGCGGCGGACTGCAGGATGCAGTACCGAATCGTGTCGAAGAGCCCGAGTCTAAGGCTGACAGCCCACGTGCTTGGGCTGAGATGTTCGCTCGAAGCATCAAGCATTTTCAGGAGAACCCTGATCGCTGCATTACGTACGTCTGCACGCTCGTCTTTGCACAATTCCACCAGCTCGAGCAGAATGTTGCTCCAAATGCCACCCGCAGGGAGGATAGTCTGAGTTAGGAGCTCCTCATCTTCAACATGCAGGGTTGGAACAGTCCTGACGTCTATAGGGTCGATTTTGGTCAAGACATGCGACGCAAGACTCCACAGCACAGTAGTACTGGTAAGTGCCACATTCAGGTCGTATTGCTGAGAGCCAAATTGACGGAGTAGGTGGGCGAGGTTCGCGAGCGTTGTTGTATCAAGCACGCCGGGGAAATCAGATGCGATCAGCTGTATAGACCTGAAGGCAATGCGCAAGATCTGAGCTGTCTGAGCGTCCTTCTCAGCCTGCTCGATCGTGGCATTGCCCAGCTCTGGTTTGTTTTCTCCTCTCTTCGAAAATGTAACGGACAGGATTTCCAAGGCGACAGGCCAACAATTGCTCAGGGATTCTCCGCTATGGCTGAGCATACTTTCCAAGGCCTCGAGAAGCCGCTTGTGGATCTCCAGCTCGACCGCGTCATGCTTCCCGCCTCGGGTGTCGTCGAACGCATCCAACTGTTGCAACAAGGACTTCAAGCACTGAAACCTGATGGCGTCTACCTCTGCTGCTTCGAAACGCGAGTCGTCGAGCAGCTTCACGGTTTCCATGGAGATCAGGTCTAGAATGCTGGCTGCCTGTAGTCTGTAATTTGCTGCAATCATAGTATCCCGAGACAGGCGCAGTAAACGATCTCCAATCAGTACCCATGAGCAGGCCTGCTCCGTAGATGATGCGAACCTGTATAAGTTGATTCGTGACAGGTCACTGAGTTTACTGAGGACAAAGCCGACCTCCAGTTCCAGTGTCTTCGACTTGGTCCATAGTCCAGACACGCTCCGGGACGCCTGATGTCCCGGCCGCGCACCCAGTCTTCCGGGAGTCGTGGGAGAGGCAATGGTTTGCTCAGTAGGCCTTGGGTTGACGACCTCCACATCATGTCCCAGGAGACGGAGCAGGGCTTGCACGATCTCGGTGAACGAGTCTGCACCAAAACTCCTTGTGCTCTCCAACATCCTCTTCGTCGCTGCCTGGACAGCAGCAATTTCTGACGCAAGAGTAGTGTTCCCGTCATTGCCTGAAGCACCAATTCTTGGGCTCCCCGACTGTGAAGTCGCAGCTATCGTCGTCGGCATTGCAATCAGAGCCTCGATCGCCTGCATAGTTTCGATCAGAATGAACCAGGCGTCTTTCTTGAGAGTTGGCCCAAGTGCGATCCCCAGATTTAACAACGCCCGAAGGCAGAGTAGGTGTCTAACATTCAAGGGAGAGCTATTGCCCTGGAATGTCGGAGTGGGAGGAGGTTCAGTGGGAGACTTTAATCCGTTGCTGACATCGCTGTGCTCAACATCCCCGACTCGACTACTCTTCGGAGTTTGATAGCTTGCTATGATACTGCTGGCTTTCGCGGGGATAGAAGCCTTAGCCAAGGTGGTCAGCAATGCGTCTCTGGGTGTAGACAGCTCAAGGACACCAGAGACTTGGGCCAACTTCTGGACAGATCGAATCAAGGCGTGATAGAATTCTGAATCCATTGCGGAGTTGAGAAAGGTTGAACAAATGGCAAGCGCTGCCGGCCAGCAAGCTTCGATCATATCGGCAGAGGTTCGAATCTGAGCTGATAGCCGGTGATTTGCCAGCGTCAATGGGTTTATGAGTCGCTGGTACTTCTGAGATGAAGAAGCCGGCCTTGTTGGCTTGCGGCTAGGTTCATCGTCGACTCGGTCTGTGGCAGAACTATCTCTGCGGCCCATTTCCGAGTTCTCCCGTTGAGAAGCTCGACTCGGAACGCTCAAGGGCATGACAAACTTCGACAAACCGTCACAAAACGAGGATACACAATCTAACACCAGAGTGTAGATATAAGTGCTAGGTATTGCTGGAGCTATGGTCTTGTCGGGTTGATCCATGAGAGGAACAGCTATCAGACTCCATTCCGCGCTGAGACCAGTAGTGCTTGAAACCTTGGAAGGTACGGCTGTGATGGCGCCACCAAGGCCCTGAGCCTCGATTGACGCTGCTTCCTCGCTCTTGGGGTCGGTTGTGCGTTGAATGGGCACAGTTGACTGGCGTCCGAGCCCGATCAGAGAGGGATCTTCTGCCCCAATCCGAACTAACGCAGACATGAGCTGACCAACAAGCTTGAGGGGCTCCTTGCCACTGTCGAAGATGGCAAAGGTTTCTCGCAAGACATTAAAGTCCGAAAAGAGGCTGCGAAAGAACTCCAAGTAGAGACTCCTTCTCCAGGGTGGATTTCCATCTTTCTCCAATGCACCCACGAGAAGAGGGACAACCTGGTCCACTTCGTGTTGGAGGCCTTCGCCATGGGCTTGAAAGATCAATAGCAGGATTGATAGCGCTCGAGCTGTGATACCGAAATGATCCTTTCTGACCAAGCTACGTGACAAGCCTTGGAGGAGATGATCCGACCATTTTGTCTCGGACTCTCTTTCAGACTTGAGAAGTGAACCATGGCTTGCTAGGACTGTGTGTAGGGTTTCCAACAGAAAGGCAGAAGGCAGGCTTTCGATTTTCAGAAACCGGGGCTTTTGCTGAGCAAGCAGCAGACAGAAGTCTTCGAACAGGGCGATTGCGTCGACGGAGAATTCGCCCCGTTGATGACGGTCTGTTGGGGTCGGACCCTCACCGTCACCTGAAGTCCTCGTCCTGTCCTTCCTTTCACTATTCTCAAACACCGTGGAGACTAACTGTTGAAAAGTTGCCGCAGCCGTGTTACTCACCACAGCAGTCTTGGTAGATTGAAGGACCGCACATAGCTCCAGAATCCGGGCAAGGATCTCGCCACGAATGTCGTCGACATAGAGTTGTATCAGTGAAGGCAGGGTTTGCAGCACTTTGAGCTGGGGCTCATATCCGGCTCCTATCGCATCTTGAAAAGCATCAAGTAGATCAGGAAGCCTTGTTCGAGGGACAGCTTTGCTCGCCGTCAGCCGCTGTAGGCACGCAGTCCCAGAAGTTACCAGTCTGGCATTCTTGGATTTACAGGCGAGAAGAAAGGGCTCAATAAATTGAGGTTTGCGGCACAGGTCACCGGCCAGCTGAGTCTCGGACGTCACCGATATGGCTTTGATGTCCCCGAGGGCTCGCTCGGCAGCTGCGCGGACATCGTTGTATTTCCTTTTCGAGTCCGATATCAAATTCGTCAACTCAGATTGAAGAAATGCATGTGTCATCCCTGCCACTTCGCCTCATCATGGTGGAGAGGGCTCGGGAAAGCGAAGCAGTCAATGAACAGGATGTGCGATTTGAAGGCCGAGTAAGAAGGGCAGGCCACATCCAGGGAATAAATCGCAAGGGCAACTGGTTGGAGTGGAAAGCGTGTCCTGTCAAAAGAGGCAGTGAGCCATTACGGTGAGCCATTACGGTGGGCTGTTTGCCCCCGGCGTGTGTGCGTCTACAGCTGCGTGGTCCGCACGACTCAACTTCGCTTCGTCTTGTGGGCGCCTTGCATTTCGGTGATCACGAATACGAGGACAGCTTCTATGCTGTCTCCACAGATCATGATGATGATTATCAGGCACAGACCCAAAATAGACTGCTCCTTGTTGCAGATCCGCTTCGAATTGTGGTTCCTTGAATGTTGGGCCCTTCGTGCTGCCAGACTCCTCCCGGAATTCCGCGACTCGTACTGTGATGGAGCATTTGCTACATCATCTACCGCCTCGAACCCTCCGAGCGGAGATCAGAGACGCTGCCCACGGACCCTTGCAAGTGACTGACTGGTCTTTGCGCGATAGGCTCTACGGAACCTGTCCTCCTGCCAAACCACGGATCCTGTGGCTTGGACACGACCATGTGCAATCATCCTATCTCTACAGCCCGGGCTTTGAGCCGCTTCCGATGACCGTGATGTTTAGAGACTTATATGGCACTGACTGGGATACAGAGAATACGCTCAGCAGCCGTGACATTCATCGCGCTCACCCATCGCTGACGGACCTCAGTGTGTCTGATGCGGCTGCAGCCACCGCTGCATTCATACAGTCGTGGCTCTACTTTGGCCTCCTCGAAGCCATCTGTGGCAGAGCAATATCCGTTTCGTACTTGACCAGACCCGATACTGACAGCCGGAACTGGATGTACAGTCGGAATCTGGGGGTATTGCTTGCAGCTTGGAGGCGGGCGCTAGATGCAGTCGACGATGAAGTCCGGGAAGCCATCCTTCACGAAGCACGCGATTGTGCCACCTTGGCAAGCACCATTCTGCACGAAATCCTCAAGGAATCCACCAAATCCGACTTTCGGGAGCTTCGGACCCTGATTCTGGAGGTCGAGCCTTGCCTTTCTGCTCTCCATGAGGCCATTGTTGCTTTTGTGGAGAGAGAGTTGCGCATGGAAGTCAGGTCGTTCGGGAGCATCGAAGCAGAACCGTTCGAGGCCCCACGGTCGTATTCAGAAAGCCTTGTCGCGAAAGGATGGTGCCGATTTGTCGTCGCTAGCGCGGAGGTCGCAATGTCACCATCCCTTCTGCGTTGCGTAGCCGCAGCTAACTTCGAGGAGAGCGCGGGAGGACATGAACACTGTACAGCAGAACAGTGCAGAAGAAACCATGTCGAGCTCTCGACATATAAACCTCTACACATTGCTCCGGACTGCCAGTGTGCCTTTGTTAAGCCGTCAATCAGATCCATCCGGGCCATCCTGGACGCGAGACAAATCCCCGTTGTGCAGCTCAGCCAGAACAGCGGCACTCTCGAGGTGGGTGCTGTTGATCTCGACGATCCACGTGCCGACTACATTGCCTTCTCTCACGTATGGGCTGATGGCCTGGGCAGCAGCACTGAAGCCGGCCTTCCTCGTTGCCAGCTCTTGCGATTGGACGACTTGGCTGGCCAACGACTGAGCTTCGGTAGATGGTTCTGGATTGACGGCCTTCTCGTCCCTCATAAGGAACCGTATCGCGGAAAGGCTATTGAAATGATGAAAGAGACATATCGGAATGCCACGGGAGTCATAGTGCTGGACAGTAGCCTCCGCTCCCACTCCGTATCAGCATCGCCACTCGAACTTGGCTGGGCAGTCTTTGCCTCTGGGTGGTTCGGGCGACTTTGGACGTATCAGGAGGGGTTCCTCCCACCCTGGCTCGACATGGAATTACAGGACGGATTGCTGGATTTGTACGTGCTGATTCAACGACTGTACAAATCCTACTTCGACCACTCGGCCAGTCCATTTCCCAACGTGTTCCTCCGCGATCTTCTGGCTATCCTCCAAAAGGCGCGGCCTCTGGATCGCGCGGCGCGAGCACGGTTCGATTCACGGCCAAAGGTCAGGCGCATCGTGGATGTCTTCAACGCATTGACCAGGAGGAGGACCAGTCGTGCTAACGATCAGCTTCTCATCATGGGTCTGCTGCTCGACATTGACGTTCGTGGACTCATGAAAGAAGAGGGTGCCCGTAGATGGACTCACTTCTACCTCAGTCTCGGAGAGATCCCCTGGACGGTCGTGTTCGATCGTCGGCCGAAGATGGAGAATTGCCCGTTCCGATGGGCTCCTGCTAGTTGGATCAGCCCCGGGCGAGACGTCTGGCTCCATTACGACGATGCACTAGGTACGATCTCTGACCAAGGCTTGAGCGTCCGGCTCAGCGTCTTGTCTCTAGAGCGAGCCCGCCACACCAACGTATCTGCGCTTTTCCTGGAAGTGCACGATTTTCGGTATGAGCTGAGTCGATCGAGCCCAAGTCCATCTTCGAAACTGGACAGGTTCAACACAGTGTTTGTGCGTTACTTCATGCACGAATCGCCACAGGAGAGCCTCAGGAAGAACAACAGCCTGTTGCTGGACGTTGGGCTGGGGTTGTCACAAGACTCGGATGACCCCCCGCTACAGCACGACTTTTCCCCTGGTTGGCAGATTCACCTTATGACGGAACAAAGAGACGACAGTATGGCGCCTATCGAGACCGTCCAAGCAGAATGGATCGAGAAAGATTTTTGCTTTACATAGAGTCTGCGAGCCACTGCGAAGATCCCAGCGAGAAGACGAAGTAACAAGCCTTTATGTGGGCAAGCGCACCACAACGTGGACCTGCAGGCGATGTCGGGGGAGAGGAAATCTTATCCCGAAAAGGCGCTGAGGACCAGGTTCATACCGATGACGAAGATGCTTAGCAAGCTTAGGCACGACGAAGTCAATACTATACTGAGCTTATCCTGCCCCGGACCCGGACTCGAAACCAGACAGTGGTGAAGGCAAGAAGTTCGATGGGCGTCTCGTCTCGATGGACTGGTTCCATTATTAGGCACAGCGCGAAGTCTTGTGGATGTCTCTGGTGAAGAACGCAGTACCACCCAGCACATGGCATCTATCTTCGACTATCAAGCACAGCTGGACCTCTTTTCCGCAACAAGTGCTATGCGGAACTCGCCATTGCGTCCCTAATTTTCCTCTCTACATCCTCACCAGCACGCTGCCTGACCATCCTTACGATCCAGTCTTGCTGTCTGTTGGGTAACATCGTCAGTCGCTCCATGTAATTTCTCAGCGCTTCGGGATCCGCAGGCCTGTCCTGTAAGCCCGTCAGACCTGCAGTGAGGAGCCAGCGTTGGAGACGTTGCGGATCCGACAATTCTTGGTCCTGCGCCGAAGCCGAGGGGACCTGGATATTGGTGGATGGTGCTTGAGGGGCTGTAGCTCGTTGCGAGGACGGTCCAAAATTCTGGGACGGCGTCGTCAAATGGATGGAATTGTCATCTTCATCGTCGGAATCGACGTGTCGAAGGATCCCGCGACTGGCAGGTAATGGGCGTCGCCGCGTTGGCCGCGGGCCTTCTTCATCGTCATCGTCTGCATCTTCAACCATGGCTACGTGCAATGGCTGAGGTGCAGATGCGGCTGCCGTGTCCGATTCAGAAATACTCTCCAAGTCGGGCATACTGTCGCTGTGGTCGTTGTCATCCTGCGTAGAATTCTCGCTGTCCATCTGGAGGTAGTAATCACGCCCGTCAGCAAGACCCAGTCCAGCAGCTGTGATACCCTCGCCCAGATCTTGGCCCTCTGCGTCCTCGATTTGCATCTGCAAAAACTCCTCAATCATCTCAGGAGGGATACCCCCACCAAGCTCTTCTTGAAGTCCCCGAAGCGCAGCTTGTCCTTCGGACTCGCCGAGCGCGTCAGTCGCGGTGGCAGGGGTGTTGAACCAGTTCATGATGCGGGTGAGCAGACTTCCTGCCGTGCCGGCTGTGGCACCTGCGGCGTTGAAGATGGTTTGCATTGTTGCGTCCACTCCCCGCGGACCAGAACCAGGCGCTCGAGCTACGAAGTCAGATTGTGAGTCTGGCGGAGGGAGCACATCGGAGGAAGAGGTAGGCATGGTGGTGAATTTGCGTGGGAGAAGAGCGATTAACTCCGGAATCTCGAGTAGCATGATATGCCGGGCTTCCTCGAGCGAGATCTCCAGCTTGGGAGCTTCTGGAGCTGCGGAGATGGCGTCACCGTAATGAGGTAGAGTCTCTGCGACCTCACCTAGGAGGCTGATTGTTTCAGGGGTATTCCACAGGTCTTTTGCGCGGTTGACGTAGAGTTGAGTGTAGAGTTTCTCTGCTTCAGTGGTGGGAAGTTTCGCCCATAGAGTCTTCGGCAAAGGTGAGATGTCGAGTGCCGACGCTAGCGCGGAGAGAATGTATGGGTACTTGTGCATTGCTATGGCCAGGCAATTGCGAGCGTCCCGGGGTTGGCCAGACCGCAGATACGCCAGAGCCAACGAGATCTGGATGTTGGGCAAGAAATCCCAAGCCTGGCCGTATGCGTCATCTGAGCACAGCGCAATGAGTTGAGTATGCTGACGGCCTCTGAGGGCGAGTTGATCGATCATTAGAGTAACACCATAGGGATCCGTCAGCGGGTTGAGCTGGAGGAGGATTTTTGCCCATTCGTATGCAGTGCGCCACGTGCCCCTCATTTCGAGGTTCTTGATGTGCCGCCAGATTGCGAGGTACAGTTCCCGGTTGGCCGGCTTATCGAACGATACACGAGCAGTACCACTTCGCAACGCGGCCGGAAATGTACTGTGTACTGACTTGCCGAAGGAGAATAATGCTCGCTCGACCAGATCCCCAGCCACAGCGTGGTCGCCCTGGTGTTTGGCGATTTCCGAGACTTGTAGCAGCGTAGCGATGTGGTAAGGATACATTGACAAGAGGCCGATCATTCGTTGGGGATCCATCATCTCGACTGCCATACGGAAGTGTCCTTGTGTTTCGCGGTAAACATTGTTGTGTACGATGTTATATCGCTTTTCGGTGGTGTCCATTGATTCAAACTCGGATTTCACAAATTCCATGCTCAACCCACCACTATTCGCCAGGGGCCATTCCTCTTTCCCCTGGGCGAACACATTTCGTCTATGCGCCAGAGCCCCCAATTCTTTGCCTCTACTCGCCGTGGAATATCTCCCAGTCAGCGCAGTGGCTAGATCGACACCACCTTGCTGTTGATTCTGTTCGCGACGACGCTGATTACGGGGCGATGAGCGGGACTCCTGACCCTCCAAGGCGATACTGCCAAATAGACTCTTCATTTCATTGACCGGGTTAAGATTGTGGGCGTCGACTGCAAGTAGTTTTGTGGCTCTTGATTCCCAGCTAGGTGTGTTTGGGGCGTCTGATAGCGCAGCCTGTCTCCGGCCATTCTGTGCGGCTAAGGCCTTGAGTGCCCGATCAACCTCGTCTTCAGATTCTTCCTTCTGCTCCTCCGCTCCCTCGGCCTTAGACTTTCCCTTTTTCTTCGGCTTCTTCTTTTTCTTCCTTGACTTGGTAGGCGGAGGTGGTGAGGGATCGGAAGAGGGCTTGGTCTCGGACTTCGCGGAGGGTTCTTGTTGCACTATCGACATCTCGTTATCCTCACCTGCTTCTTCTTCCTCTTCAGCGCCATCCAGCATGTCAAAAGCATTCTTTGGGCGAGACGGTGCAGAGACGGGTTCTGCCACATCGTCTTCCTCCTCTGACTCTTCGGCTCCTTCATAGGCCTTTTTGGCGGCTTCGACCTGTCGTTGCAACTCCTGCTCCCGCTGAAGTTTACGGAGCGCTCGAGAAGACATTATGTCTGATCTTCAATGGTCTGGAGAGATATGACAACGCAACGTCGTGGTGCTTGCAGAGCAGAACCAACCATATAATGAGCCGCGCGGATAAGTTCGTCCACCATGAGAACCCGCGGGCTGACGAATGACGTTTGCCAAGAAACGGATCTTCAAGTCACACTCCGATTGGCTCGTTGGGATCTGCCCTCAGCCTCGTGGCGAGATGATGATCGTCAGGGCGTCGTCAAGGCTCAAGAGCACAAATCCAGCATTCATTACTCCTGTTTCGGCAACTCAATCCCTTCTCAATGCCGTTGTCCTGAAACCCATCTCCCACTTTCCCTTACCGGACCTCTCAATGCGTCGAGCCGCTCTTTTCGCGCTCCGCTCGGCCCGACGCTCTGCGCTTCGCAAGATAATCACGAAGTCATCCTCCTCGTCCTTCGCGGGCCCGAACCATGTCATAGCATCCTCCGCCAATGTCCACACATCCTCCCTCATTCGAAAATACAGTACGTCCCGACCGCCGTTCCAGTCTCCTATGCGTGTCCCCAGGATACCCCTCCTCTTCGTCGGATCGCTAGGCGCCATTGGGGCATGGTATGCTTACAGAGGTGATGGGCCAGACCATCTTCTTAAGGCCCAACCATCGTCGGTCTCCCCCCAACTCACGAGAAGTTCGAGTACGGCAGCAGATACCGCTTCTCCTACTGCAGGATCTGCGGATCAAGTCCCAGTCGCAGCAGGTCACGAGCCTAATCGGAAAGCATTGGTGGTAGATAACGACCAGTTCTTCACTGGCAGCATTGTCGGCGAAGGCCCTTTGGCTAAGGACACAGATGACTACGGTCGGAAGGTCCTCGAGATGATGACACCGGAGCAAGCCACTGAAAGACTGCGGAAAAATGAACAATCTTTCCTGGTAGGCCGAGGCCGTGGGGTGGTTCGCTATGACATGGTCCAACTGCCCAGCAACGACCCCATCGAAGATGACCACGCCGAAAAGATCGTGGAAGTCCCCAACACCGTCGCTGCAACGTCAGATAACGCAGCATCATCTGACTGGATGTTCTGGGGTGTCTTCGATGGCCACTCCGGCTGGACCACCTCGGCCAAGCTGCGTCAAGTCCTCATCTCCTTCGCCGCGCGCGAACTCAACCGCACATATAAAGCCGCTCTGTCAGACGCAAAATCACCCTTTCCATCCCCCGCCGCCATTGACGCAGCCCTCAAGTCCGCGTTCGTGAAACTAGACAATGAGATCTGTCTCGACAGCGTCAGCAAGTTGAGCAAAAACCCCAGTAAACGCCTCGCAGCGGAGATTCTCGCACCCGCTCTCTCCGGCTCCTGCGCGCTGTTATCCTTCTATGATTCTCAATCAAAGACTCTCCGCGTGGCGTGCACGGGGGACTCGCGCGCTGTATTGGGCCGCCGCAACCCCTCGACGGGCAAATGGTTTGCAACACCACTCTCGGAAGACCAGACGGGCTCCAATCCCAACGAAGAAGCCCGTATGCGCGCTGAACACCCCGGCGAGGACTTTGTCATCCGTGCGGGCCGCGTGCTAGGAAACCTAGAACCCACCCGCGCCTTTGGAGACGCGTTCTACAAGTGGTCACGCGAGACGCAAGAACGGCTCAAGAAGAACTTCTTCGGGCGGACACCGCATAATCTCCTGAAGACTCCGCCCTACGTTACTGCCGAGCCCGTCGTCACGTCCACGTCGATCGAACCGGCCCGGGGCGATTTCCTCGTCATGGCCACAGACGGGCTCTGGGAGATGCTCACAAACGAAGAAGTCGTCGGCCTGGTGGGCCAGTGGATCGAACAGCAGAACAGCCTGGCGTCCAACAACAAACAGGGTGATTCCGCAAACAGCACCTCCGCCTGGCTGACCAGCTGGTTCAAGTCGTCCAATTCAAGCAACAGTCTGCCGGTCGAGAAGGGCGGCAACATGGACAAAACAGGCCGCATTGACAACTCGCACAACCAGGCCAATGCCAATGTGAAGAACGGCGACAAGGACGCTGGGCCCGCGGAGAAACCAATCCGCCAGCAGCAGTGGGATGCGCCCTCTGCGTCGTCACGGTTCGTGGTTGAGGACAAGAATTGCGCGACACACTTGGTCAGGAACGCGTTGGGAGGCAAGGACAAGGACATGGTGTGCGCGCTCTTGACGCTGCCGAGTCCGTACTCGAGACGGTATCGCGACGATTTGACCGTGCAGGTCATTTTCTTCGGCGAGGCCGAGCACGCGGACGGCCGGGTCCTTGTAAACGAGGAGGCCAGTGCGGTGGTCAAAAAGGACAGTGCCACCGGCGACGGGCTGAAGGCGAAGTTGTGAAGTGAGGCGAGGGTGGGAAGTGCGTGCTCTTACGACGAGCAAGAACACGGTGCATGAGGGACAGCCTGATCCGGCGTATTGGAGTGCTTCCTCTTCTCATCTCGTGGGTGGACGAGCCGACTACTCTATACTCCTCCATCTGTTTGAGGCTTGCTCGACGAGCGTGCCGTGCGACTAGATTACGATATTCTATTCATATTTGTGTCCTTAGCTTATAGCGAAGGAATACCCATGCGTGCCATGCTGTGTTTTATACTCGTGCGAGAATGGACAACCTCTTAGAACCCTACAATGTAGAAGCCAGGGTTGGAGCGAATTCGCCTAAGCAGCATGGGCACCACATTTTGGCAGCTACTGTGAATTAAGCCGCATTTGGGGTTCTGATCCAGCATCTAGTGATAGCGTCTAAGGAAAAGTAGAGGATCTGCGTTCTGGGTTGTACGAAGATTTCGATCTCTTCCGCCAGTCTCGAGGTCAGCGTAATATCTCATAGTCGATTCCTCGGGACATCGTCCCAGCTGTCCCTGACAGAATGGATCCTCAAACAGGCATATCATCCTCCTGCTCATTGCTATACCCAGTCTCCGCCGAAGGTTCTATCTAATTGTACGAGTGTTTGGTCCAGAGGTGTAGCGCGGCTTTAAAGAACGCTAGCAAATTGTTCGAAATTTTGCGCAGACGATCTGTACCACGATTTTCGAAGCCTTCGCAGGTTCACAGACGAGGAAGTCGTTGAAACGTTGACTCTCCACCTGTATCCGTTAGGTCTTTATGTCCTTGTGCGGGTTGGGACTCAGATCTGAGCTTGAAGATCATTGTGTCCTTGGGGGCCAAATTGTGAGATTGACTCTCCTAGAACATGTGTGGTGTCGTTGTGGTGACTTTCTCCAGAGTAATGTTTCCATCAAGGAACGACCTCAGTCGTGCTATTCTTTGCACTTACACGGCCTAAAGACATAGCAAACCATGATTGGAGGACAAACATCCTTAACCTCGCGGAGGCGCGGAGGGTGGACCTTCCCCAGGGTGTAGTTTGTCTTCGGATGGGCGACTTGCCCGGGTTTCAATTTCGGGACCAGATTTTGGTATTCCAGATCGAATCCATCCTCAAAGTACCAGAGCTCCGCAGCTTGGGTCAGGCTCTTGGATCAGTGCTCGTAGGACACCCGTCGAATAGATGGCCATCCTGGCAGACTGGCTAGCCTTACTTCTCACCCTTTAGCTTTGCCATCCTTGCTCTCAAAGGAGGCATGCGCTTGTTGGTCCCAAGCAGGCGGGCAAGCAAAGGCCGCTGCACAAGTTGAGTGCCCGTGATAGTGATGAGGTAAAGCACAAGCGCTGTAGCCATATCGGTGCGGATTATGGCAAAAGTGAAAAAGGCAGGCATCGCAAGCAGACCGTAGCTAAGGGTTTTAGAGAACAGTGCCCACCGTTCTCGCTTCGGGTCGGCCATGGCAGGTGATGGTCGTCGGAGGGCGTCTTTCACCCTCAACCACACACTAAAGGTGGACAAAGTGCCATAAGCCATGGGAAGGATATATAGCGGGTCTCCGGAAACGAGACTGGGGATCCAGAACAGAGATTCAGTATCGAAGCCTGGCTCGATATGTCCAAGTTGCGTGTCGATGTTGCTGGTGGCCCTGCCGAAGAAACCGTAGATGAGTGAGACGATATCTCTCTCATCGCCCGCCATGCGCCGGACGCAATTCATGCTCAGGACCCACAAAGGAATGAACGAAACGGCCAGTACAGGCTCAACCCAGCTCGGTAGATATTTGTTGTGCTCTTGTATGGCTTTCCTTCTAGCTTTCAATTGCTCGACCACCCAGGCTTCTGCTTTCTTCGCATCTGCTTCCCTGCCCTGGGGAAACTTGATTCTTGCTGTTTCTTGATATGCGTTTCGCCAGGCAGATGTAAGTTGCATCGCGGTCTCTCTCGGTCTCCGTGCTCGTTGTGTCAAATACTGGATGGGCAGCCAGCACGTGCGGATCACGGTGGCACCCAGGGGGATGGTCAGATACCATGGCAGGCCAGTCTGTGTATGTAGTTCTTGAAAGCCCCAGTGAATGGCTTGAGAGGCCGGTTCAAGCAGGTCGAGTAGAAACTGACCGGACCTCGAGGCGTGGAAGCTGCGCGCGAGAGACGACCTGTACCGAGGGTCGAGACAGGGACATTGTGGCTGATATTTGATTCTTGACGTTCGCAGACATCGAAAAGAGCCACTAGAGAGCATAGTCAGCTAATTGTTGTTGAGGCAAGGGCAAGACAAAGTGTCGAGCGCGTCTCCGATGCACGGACGCGAGGCATGTGCAATGGCACGAGTGGCCATCAGGGTGGCCGTGCTGGTGGGGACGTTTGAACTGTGGGCGACTTGAAGCTGAATGGGTGGTGACTGGGTGGTGACTGGGTGGTGACTGGTTGGTGACTGTGGGCATGGCCAAACGCTGCGTCACCGTTGGCTGATGTACAACAGGATACCTGGCACCCTTTCCACTGACTTTCGAGTTTGGCCTTTGTAGGCGGTAGCTTACACGTTTGCGATTCCTTTCTTCCTCTTGGACCAACAGTATAGGAAGTATGAGCCTCGTTGTCTTTAGGGTTCTTTCGCAGAATTGGCAATGGCCACCTCACGCATCGTGGCTCTGTTGGCGGTCGTTCCACTTTTGCCTTTTGTACTTATCTTGCTACTTCAACTGGGGCTGCGCGCCCTCGGCTGGCATCTACAGGCCAATACTAAAGAGAGGAAGGAAGCAATCGTCAGACGTGTCGAGGCTGAGAGAGCGGCTGTCACAGAACATCAACGTTCCCAAGAAGCGGAAGACGGGTGGGAAAAGATCGAAAAGTCTGGCACGGCTGAGAATGGCCATCCTGTTCCGGATGACTGGAATGGGGTTGTTGGTTTCTTCCATCCCTTTTGGTGGGTCCGATCTCTCAAGCACTGCGGCCAGGACGTCTGACTCTTAGCAGCAACGCTGGCGGAGGAGGTGAAAGAGTGCTCTGGGCTGCTATAGCTGCGACTCAGCGACGGTGGCCTAATGCCATATGCGCCGTCTATACTGGTGACCACGACATTGAGCGAGGGGCCGTGGTCGCCGCTGTCAGAAATCGCTTTGATATCGCCCTTCAAGAGCATTCATTGGTCTTCCTATACCTGTCAAGGCGCAATTTCGTTCTTGCCAGCAACTACCCCTACCTTACGTTATTGGGACAGTCGCTGGGATCTTTGGTCCTAGCATATGACGCCTTTCAGCTTCTAGTTCCGGACACATTCATCGACACCATGGGCTATGCTTTTGCCGTGGCCTTCTGCAAATACCTGTTTCCAAAAGTACCGACAGCAGCGTACGTCCACTATCCGACCATCTCAACCGACATGCTTGAGAGCCTGGACGACACGACTGGTGATAGGGGCATTCACTCCGGTGCTGGGAAGGGTTTGAAGGGTACAGGGAAGAGGTACTACTGGCACGCCTTCGCGAAGCTGTATGGCTTTGTAGGGCGACAAATCGATGTTGTTATGTGCAACTCTACCTGGACGCAAGGTCATATACGGCAACTGTGGAAACCGAAAAAGGCATCGTCATCTTTCGCCACCATCATCTATCCACCTTGCCCTGTGGAGGAACTAGAAAAGAAGATCGATCTGACGCCTGAAGGTGAAAAGCAACGAGGAAACACTGTTCTTTATATCGCCCAGTTTCGGCCGGAGAAGAACCATTCTCTGATCCTTCGAGCATTCGCCAAGTTTTACCATGCGACAAAAGACAAGCCTAAATTGGTGTTGATTGGATCCGTCAGAAGCAGTACGCCGGACGAGAGGCACGTCTACAACCTTCGGCTCGAGGCACGAGAGCTCAAGGTCCAGGATGCCACGACATTCATCTGTGACGCCCCTTTCTCGGTGATCCTCGACCATCTCAGGACATCGAGTATCGGCACAAATGGAATGTACGCTGAGCATTTCGGAATTGGAAATGTCGAGGGACTAGCGGCGGGACTGGTTCCCGTGGTCCATAACAGCGGTGGGCCCAAGCTGGACATTGTGGTGCCTTTCCAGGGTCTCCCAATTGGCTTTCTGGCGGACACCGACGATGACTATGCTGCCGCGTATGCTCGGGTGGCAGCTATGAGCGCACAAGAGAGGCTTGAGATGAGATTGAGAGGTCGAGCCAGCACGAAACGATTCACCGAGGAAGCCTTTGCCCGGAAATGGGTGGCAGAAATGGAGACCTTGGTTGGGATGCAGAAGTCAAGATGAGGCAAACTCGTTTCTCGCTAGGAGAAGACTAATGTCACATGAACAATACACCGATGATACCCTGTTAGCTTTTGCGAGATCTCTTCTTGAACAATGATATCTTTGCGTTAGATGCAAGCTTGCTACTGCCTGAAAGTCTCAGGTGTGGTGACAAGGCGGGGAACCGTCTGACCTTCCTCATCAGGACATACTGAGCTGAATATCCCGAGGATTTTCCGAGCGATCTTCGCCACAGCCTCTCAGCCTTACCTTTGAGTTGCCTCAGTCGCAACTCGTTCTTTTGTCACTTTTGCTCTTTGACAAGGCTTTCACACAGGATCCCCCGTCAATATAAACTTACCTGCCCTCTTACGAAAAGAAACTTCCTTACCTCTCTCCCTTCGCCCGTCTAGCCGTCCTACAGCCACCCATCATGTCGCTCTGTCTCAATCGCCTACAGGAAGAAAGGTACGAAGCGCATAATGGGAGCCAAGTTTCTTTCACTGATACTCGATTGCAGGAAGCAATGGCGGAAAGATCATCCTTTTGGCTTTTTCGCGAAACCCGTAAGGGGTGCAAACGGTGTGATAGACCTCAAGAACTGGGAAGTCGGAATACCAGGAAGGGAGAAGACAATCTGGGAAGGCGGGTTATTCAAGTTGAACCTCACCTTCCCAGACGAATATCCTACCAAACCTCCAAAATGTACGCCATGTCACATGCGCTTCTGAAGATGGAGAGCTGACCCGTTCTAGGCCGATTCACCCCTCCGCTATTCCACCCTAATGTCTACCCATCCGGCACCGTTTGTCTCTCGATCCTAAACGAGGAGGAGGGTTGGAAACCTGCAATCACCATCAAGCAGATCCTCTTGGGCATCCAAGACCTCCTAAACGACCCCAACCCGGAGTCGCCCGCACAGGCTGATGCATACAACCTATTCAAGAAAGACCGGGCCGCATATGAGAAGAAGATAAAGAGCGTCGTCAAAGAGAACCCCGCACCTTGAGATTGTATGGGCCATACCGAAGTGGGTTTGCGACGAGCATTAGTGAGAGAATGATGAACTGGCACACAGTCGACAAGCGACGATTGCGTCCAATGATGAGCATGTGGATTTCAAGCGCGGCGTCTGGCAACGGACGTGAATTACAGTCGCAGTTTGCAGGCGGGGACATTGTGGAACATTCGAGCTAGAGGATATGTCAGTGTGCAGTTTGCAGAGGGAGTTCGCAGGACTCAGGAGGCACAGGAACTCCACGGTCGACACTCCACGTGTTACTTTTCGTCAGCGGGAAGATGAGCCTTTTTTCCCAAAGGCTTTGCTTTTGTGGATACGCGCTTGGTTGGGCATTCCTGCATGGGTAAAGACCACAGGGCGATCTTGCCTCTGGGGTGTTTCGAAGGAGTCCGATCGTAACCCCCACGCTAGGCGCAGCCGCCACGCTCGAGGGGCTGAATTAGAAAGTGCGGGGACGGATATATGCATCTCATGATAGGCATTCCGTCAGGTCCAGCGCAAGTCAAAGAACCAACAGGCGTTTCTACCCACCACTAATCTTCGGGTTCTTATGTGATGCTCGTAATAAGGGGAGGTCGCGTGCCGAAAATCGGGCCTCCTCTCCCTCGGGATGTGCGGGCGGCCAGGCACGAAAACCCCAACTCTGGTTGTCCATTGCTCAAATCCAAATCACAGCACCGCTCACTGGGCGGGTGAAGTGAAGTGAACGGCGAAGTAAGGAGGGGTTGAATCTTACTTAATGGCCCTTCCGATCCGCTGCTTGTCATGGCTAGCCTCATCATTTTGTCTCTTATCTTTGCCCGAAGTCAAAGCGAGGTCCCGTGGAGAGTCAAGGTGAAGGCTGGACCAAAAGTGCGTTCAACCAAATCCCCGACAGAGAGCACGGGCGACGAGGTCCAACCGGAGCTCTTGCAATTCCGAGGAACTCTGTCATAGTCAGACATTGAGGTGAAGTGAAGTCTTGTCACTAAAAAATCAGCGGCGTTCACTCATGTGAGCAGCCCGGAATTTTCAGCCCTGATATTGAGTCATCCCACGCTCATCTTTTTGCCTCGAAATTTTGGCTCCGAGCGTGGAACTGCTTTTTATTACCTCCCACGCCCGCGCCGCCACACTCCTTTCACATCTTGCATACCTTTCCTCACCCTTCCTCCTGTTGGAAGACCAGGCAACCAGAACGTCGTGGGCAGCAGCGTGGGAATTCGTGGGCAGTCATGTGTGGAATCTTCGCCTGCCACGGGTGAGTGGTGCCCTTCGTGTCTCGTTGCCGAGCCCTGTCCGAGATCGGCGCGTTCGCAAACAGAATGAGCTGCTAACTCAATTTGCTCCCAGTCATCCGTCCATTGCAACCTTCAAGAACACCGCTCTTCACTGCGTCAAATGCCTACGACATCGTGGCCCTGACTGGTCTGGAAACTGGTCAGGCAATAACACCATCCTCTGCCATGAGCGCCTCAGCATTGTGGGAGTGGACAGCGGGGCGCAACCCCTGGTCAATGACGAAGGGACGATAGCCTTGGCCGTCAATGGCGAGATCTACAACCACAGAATCCTGCGCAAGCAGTCGAAAGTGCCCTACAGCTTCAAGACCAACAGCGATTGTGAGGTTATAATCCCTCTATACCAGGAACATGACTCAGACGCCCCCAAGCATCTGGACGGCATGTTCTCCTTCGTCCTCTACGACAAGGAACAAGACCGGACAATCGCTGCACGAGACCCAATCGGCATCACCTCGTTCTACCTCGGTCGATCGAGTCAAACACCGGGCGCTGTCTTTTTTGCTTCCGAGCTGAAGGCCCTTGCCCCGGTATGCGACAACATCATCTCATTCCCGCCCGGTCACATCTATGACTCCAAAACGGACAAGATTACCCGATATTTTGAGCCGAGCTGGTGGGATCCTGCAAGAGTCCCCTCCACGCCTGTAGACTATAAGCTGATCAGAAAGACGCTGGAAAAGTCGGTCCTGAAGCGGCTGATGGCCGAAGTCCCATACGGTGTGCTGCTGTCCGGTGGTCTCGACTCGAGCTTGACGGCGTCGATCGCGCAACGAGAGTCTCTGCGTCAGCAATCGATTCTCAAGCGTCGAAGCCAAACCAATGGGGTCAATGGCCATACCAACGGCGAGGTTAACGGCGAAACCAACGGATACCACCCTACGCCAGAGACTGGCACCAAACTTGTGGGTATCGACGATGATGATGAACTGTCGACAGTCACTTTCCTCCCCCAGTTGCACTCTTTCTCCATTGGTTTACCAGATGCGCCCGACACGAAAGCAGCTCTTGAAGTGGCCAAATTCCTGGGAACCAAGCACCACGACTTCACGTTCACCATTCAGGAAGGACTGGACGCACTCTCGGACGTCATCTATCACCTTGAAACCTACGATGTCACAACCATCCGCGCATCAACGCCTATGTACCTGCTGTCCAGGAAAATTAAGGCATTGGGCGTGAAGATGGTGCTGAGCGGCGAAGGTAGCGACGAAATCTTTGGAGGTTATTTGTACTTCCACGCCGCTCCGAACAAGGAGGAGTTCCATAGGGAGACCATCAGGAGAGTCAAAAACCTTCATCTGGCCGATTGTCTGCGTGCGAACAAGTCCACATCAGCATGGGGTGTCGAGGCTCGTGTCCCCTTCCTGGACAAGCAATTCCTTGAAGTCGCGATGAATGTCGACCCAGCGGAGAAGATGATCACCAAAGACAGAATCGAGAAGTACATCCTCCGAAAGGCGTTCGACACTTCGGACGAACCTGAAACCAAGCCTTACCTGCCGGATCATATCTTATGGCGTCAGAAGGAGCAGTTCAGTGACGGGGTGGGTTACGGCTGGATCGATGCATTGAAGGACAACGCTGAGATCAACGTGACTGATGAGATGATGGCGAACCCGAAGGCTGAATGGGGCGATGATGTACCGACCAGCAAGGAGGCATATTGGTATCGATTGATGTTTGACGAACATTTCCCGCCCTACTGTGCTTCGACTGTCATGAGGTGGACGCCAACCTGGTCCAAGCAGTCGGATCCCAGTGGGCGAGCGATCGAAACCCACGTCGCAAGATATGGGGAAGACGAAGCCGGATCATGAGCATAGCTAGCATACTGTGCGGAAATTCGTCGTTGGCGGCATTAGCGGAGTTGGCTGGGTCCGTGAGGAGGATGCGGTATGAGCTGTCTTTGACGGGACGAACACTGAAGCTGGGGTACACAACAGGAGGATTGCATGCTGTTCCACACCTAATCGAGCTGTGAAAAGCATTGAATGGGCTCTCCAAAAGCTATATCTCTGACCTGTTTTCGTCCTCGACAGTTAATTCATGGTACATAGTGCAATGCGAAAGAGTAAATAGGTACGTACCCCTGAACAGCCCGGAGGACGCAGGACGCAGGACGAAGGGCAACTTGCCCAAAGGGAGCGTAGACCGGCTGAGGCACCTCCCGCTGAGGGGCCCTGTGATTGGCCGCTTCAGCTATTATACTAGTACAGAAAGAGTTACTGCCAAACATCTCCGAGCCATTTTCTTTGCAAGCTCCGACGTGCAATTGAGCCTCTCTTGCGTTTCGCTTTCTCAATCGCTCCTCCTACTCGGCACTTTCTATCTGCATTTCTTTCTAGACGTCACTCTTCAGATCGCCCATCATGCCTGGCATCCCGGTCCCTTTCAGCGACATCGCTAAGCCAGCGAACGATGTGAGATGCCCGACCTCGATGGGATCCTGCTGCTAACGTTGCGACTTGTTCCGCAGCTCCTCAACAAGGATTTCTACCACACTACCGCCGCCAACCTTGAGGTCAAGTCCAAGGCACCGAACGGCGTTGTGTAAGAACCATCCTGTCTCCTGGAGATGGAAACGGTATCTGATTCGAGGCGTGTTGTTACAGCTTCAACGTCAAGGGCAAATCCGCGCACGATGGTCCCATCTCAGGCTCGGTGAGCACCACGATAACAAGAGATCAACTGAGAATATCACATGTTAACGGCCAGGGAAAGATCGAAGGAAAATACACCGACAAGGCAACTGGTAGGACGCCCATGCGCAATCATCCTGATCAACTCCGAGGTGCTGACAAGTGGTAACAGGTCTCGCCCTCACCCAAACTTGGACCACCTCCAACAGCCTCGACACCAAGCTCGAACTCGAAGACAACATCACCAAAGGCCTCAAAGCCGAAGTTCTGACAAACTATCTGCCTGCCAAGTCCACATATGGCGGCAAGCTGAACCTCTTCTACAAGCAACCAAACATCCACACCCGCCTGTTCACGGACCTGTTCAAGGGCCCTACTGCCAGTTTCGACGTCACGCTCGGCCACGAGGGATTTCTGATCGGTGCTGAGGGAGGATATGACGTCGGCAAGGCCGCGATCACAAAGTACGCGCTTGCCGCAGGATACTCCCAGGGTTCGTATGCCGCTGCCATCACGGCGACGAACAACTTGACCGTCTTTTCTGCGAGTTACTACCACAAAGTCAACACCGAAGTTGAGGCCGGTGCCAAGGCGACATGGGACAGCACGGCTGGAAGCAACGTCGGCTTGGAGGTTGCGACCAAGTACAAGCTTGATCCCAGCTCTTTCGCCAAGGTAAGCCGCAAATAACACCCCCGGTCGTCCCGTTCCCATAAAGTGCAAGTACTGATGCAGGTATGTGTGCATATAGGCCAAGATCAACGACCGCGGTATCGCCGCCCTGGCATACAATGTCAAGCTCGGCACCGGCGTAACTCTCGGCCTGGGCGCATCTCTCGACACGCAGAACCTCAACCAGGCCGCTCACAAAGTTGGCGCAAGCTTCACGTTCGAGGGATAAATCTCATGTCTGAAGATACCTTAAGGGGACAGTGGTGCAACATCTTGCGCGCATCAGGGAGGACAGGAGCTCAGTTGACAATTTGCATCGCGTCAACCACCAATTCGTGTAGGATGTAGTGGGCAGAAAGGGGAGAGCACGACTCCGTGCCTTTTGCATGTACAGAAGAAGTTTCCCAAGTAGAGCCAGCTAAGCATTGAGCGTGACAGTAATCCCAACTCGTCAGCTTAGTCTTCCGTCTTAACCCCCATCCCATAGCTTCGCCTGCGTGTCTTTGACGGCCGAAGCGAGGAGGTCTAATGGAGTTTGTTCTAGTAAGTACCCCATACGAGCTGGGCAAAGTGTGCATGCACCGATTTCCAACCGACGACGGATAGATTTGCCGTGTCTCATGACTGTCTGTCTGTCTCTATAACCCTTCTAAGCATCTGGTCTCTGGTCTCTGGTCTCTGGTCTCGGCTGCTCAAGTACCGCGCTGCATGCAGTCGACCCTTCTATGGATCTGGCTCTGACCTCAGGCCGCTCCAGTTCCGATTGCATGCAGTCGACGTGGTTCACGCACTAAGCGTCTACACCGACAGCAGAGGTATGTATTGCTAGCCTTTCGTCCACTCATTCTTCGCCGAATCCCTCCTACTCCCGTCCGCGCGAGTCAACCCGCCCCCACGAGGCGTGCTCGCCATCTTCAAGACGAGCGTGCCGATCCCGACACTCAACGCAATGATGCCGCTCACCACAACGAACCGGGCCCAGAAGTTATCCTCCTCGACGGCGGCCTGCGCGGCTGCGAGTTCGGCCTGCCGCCGACTCATGCGCCGGTAGTCCTCATGCGTCTGGGTCTTGAAGGTCGGGCGGGAATCAAACGCCGCGTTTGGGTCGTCGGAGAAGGCGCCCGCGTCGAATGTGCCGCCGCCACCACCACCACCACCGCCGCCGCCGGCAGCATATTCCTGGTCTGCTCCTGCTGAAGCCCGCGCGTCCTGCTGTTTATTCCGCGCGGCGGAGGCGCCGCCATGTGCGTAGAACGAGGGCGGCGGCCCCTTGAACACGCTCCGTCTCTTGCTCAGGCCCGAGGGGGGCCTATGTCCGGCGTATGTGCCTGACCTGCTGCCCCCGCGGCCGTGCCGGTCCCGGTCCTGCTGCTGCTGTGCGCGCATGACGTCGCGGTCGTAGCGTTTCCGCTTGTCCGGGTCCGCGAGGACGGAGTAGCTTTCGCTTATCTGCGCGAAGCGGTCGGCGGCGCTGGGGTCCTGGCGGTTCACGTCCGGGTGGGTTTCCTTGGAGAGGATGTAGAATTGCCGTTTCAGCTCGGATTTGGTGGCGTGCATGGGCAGTTTCAGCACTTCGTAGTGGTTCGGAGGTGCGGCGTTACCGGTCTGCTGTTCGAGGCGGCGGGTTTGAGAGAAGGGACGAGGGTGACCCCGTGCGGCCGCTCGAACGAGGCATGTTGAGAAAGCAGTGCTGGTGGTGGTGGTGGCGAGAGGGAGGGGAAGGGTCGCGTGCGAGGGGCGACGGGTGGCAGAGAGGGAGATGGAGGCTGGGCGAAGGATCATGCCTCATACTTGGTGATTTTTGCGTTTGTATGAGAAGTGAAGCTCTGAAGGAGGCGCGGATAAAGACTGAATTAGTTGGGACACCGGTGACGTCTTTTACTCGACCTTGCAGTCACTGACTTCGAACTTGACTATTGCTCCGCAGTTTTACCGCTGCGGTGCCGGGCGTGGGTAGGCAGTTTTCGTATTGCAGCCTTGCCCAACCACATCTTCGTTTGTCACAATCGAGTCGTACACGTCCGCCAACATGGCGGCAAAGACGGCAGACGAGCTCTCGAAGCTGGCCTTGAACGGCACTGCCACCAAGCAAAACCCACACACCAAGGGCACGAACGGTGTCAACGGTCACCTCTCGGATCAGGGCGACTCGGACGATGACAAGGACGACGATGCCCCGGTGAATGGCGGCGCTGCGGACGGGGCTGCCAGTGGAGCCGCAAAGAAGAAGAAAAAGAAGAAGCCAAAGAAGAAGAAGACGACGCCGAAAGTCCAGTCTGATCCGCCCCGGGTGCCACTGAAGGATCTTTTTCCGGGCGGCACATATCCCGTCGGCGAAGAAGTGGATTACAAGAATCACAATGCATATCGTACTACCAGCGAAGAGAAGCGCCACCTGGACCGGACCAGGCACGACTTCCTCCAGGAATACCGCCAGGGCGCCGAGGTGCACCGGCAGGTGCGCAAGTGGGCGCAGGCCAACATCAAGCCGGGCATGACGCTGACCGAAATTGCCGAGGGCATTGAGGATGGCACCCGTGCCTTGACGGGTCATTGGGGCCTGGAGGAAGGAGACAACATCAAAGGCGGAGTGGGCTTTCCCACGGGCTTGAGCATCAACCACATCGCCGCCCACTACACGCCGAATGCAGGCAACAAGTGGATTCTGGCCGAGCAGGACGTCATGAAGGTTGACTTTGGAGTCCATATCAACGGGCGCATTGTCGACTCGGCATTCACCCTGGCGTTTGACCCGAAGTACGACAATTTGTTGGCTGCGGTCAAAGACGCGACGAACACCGGCATACGCGAAGCGGGCATCGACGTGCGCGTCGGTGATATCGGCGCCGCGATCCAAGAAGCTATGGAATCATACGAAGTCGAGCTTGACGGCAAGACGTATCCCGTTAAATCCATCAAGAATCTGAACGGACATGATATCATCCAACACAGCATCCACGGCGGCAAATCCGTGCCCATTGTCAAGTCAAACGACCAGACCAAGATGGAAGAAGGGGAAATCTTTGCCATCGAGACGTTCGGTTCTACCGGTCGTGGATACGTCACGGATGATCTGGAGGTGTCGCACTACGCTTTGCGTCCCGACGCGCCGAATGTGCCGCTTCGTGTTCAATCTGCGCGGAATCTGTTGAATGTCATCAAGAAGAATTTTGGCACTCTTCCTTTCGCTCGAAGATACTTGGATAGGTTGGGTCAGGAAAAGTATTTGCTGGGGTTGAACAACTTGGTTAGCTCCGGAATTGTGGAGGCATATCCGCCGCTTGTGGACATCAAGGGCAGTTACACGGCTCAGTTTGAGCACACAATCTTGTTGAGACCTACCGTCAAGGAGGTGGTCAGCCGTGGTGACGATTATTGATGCGGTGAGCAGTTGCCAAGGACGGAATCGTTCAGTCGCTCGATACTTGGGGAGTATAGAGCTTATTCACTTGTTATGAAGCAATGAAAATGAAATGATGGGAGTCATGGGGACCTCCAGGACAAATCACATAGGTAGCATGGTACGTAGTAGTTTGATTGTTCAAGTGCTGCCGTTGAATAGTACACTCACAAGACGAGGCTGACCTACTTTCTGCAAGGCTGCGACTCGGTCCAGCTTCCTGATTGGTTCCGCGCCATTGATTTTTTCCTCGAATTCCTCCGATACACGGAGCAAGAACTATGTTCGTGATCTGGGCGGATCAGATCTTTGCCGTCTGTACAGGTTAGACCAAAATCATATATCTAGACTTGTCGTCTCTCCGCCCCCCGTATCACGCAATTTTTGACAGTGCACTGATTGTTGCCTCACTTCCTAGGAGGTGATCCCCCATCTGACCACCGTTGGAGTCCGAGTCACCACTATCTTGTATAAATTCTTGGACTGGAGGACTGAATCCTGCGCCTCTGAATTCGCCTTGCCTACTGTCAAGGTTGGCTCCATCAACATGTCGACTTGGGGTAGTTATTTCCGGGTGACCACCTATGGCGAGTCGCATTGCCGTTCTGTTGGCTGTATTGTCGATGGGTGTCCTCCCGGGCTCCAACTTGCTGAGAATGACATCCAACCACAGATGACTCGGCGGCGGCCGGGGCAGTCAGCACTTACTACACCTCGGAATGAAAAGGACCGGGTGGAGATCCATTCTGGGACAGAGTTTGGAGTCACGCTGGGAACCCCGATTATGTTGATGGTGAAGAATGAGGATCAGAGACCGAAGGATTACGGAAGCGGGACCATGGACATGTATCCTCGGCCTAGCCACGCTGATTTCACCTACCTGGAAAAGTACGGCGTCAAGGCAAGCTCGGGCGGTGGCAGGAGTAGTGCGAGAGAGACAATAGGTAAGGCGTTGACCTTCGTCACATCATGGCTGCATCCCCTGACCTAGAGCGCAGGACGAGTTGCAGCTGGTGCGATCGCAGAGAAATATCTATCACTTTCTCACGGCGTTGAGATCGTGGCGTTCGTCTCGTCGGTTGGATCGGAGCACCTCTTCCCACCCACGGCAACTCATCCGTCGCCCGCCACCAATCCAGCCTTCCTCTCACTCCTCTCCCGGATCACACGACAAGAAGTCGACTCCTTCGTCCCTGTGCGGTGTCCGGAAAAGTCTGCTACAGAGCGAATGACGAAGGTGATAGAGAAATTCCGCGATGCCTCAGACAGCATTGGTGGCACAGTAACCTGCGTCATCCGCAATTGTCCGATCGGCCTAGGGGAACCGTGCTTCGACAAGTTGGAGGCAGAATTGGCACATGCCATGTTGAGCATACCTGCTACGAAAGGGTTCGAGATTGGGTCAGGTTTCGGTGGCTGCGAGGTTCCTGGCTCGGTACACAACGACGCATTTATTGCCGCTCCCGAGGTCGCTCCGGGCGAACAGACTCCCACCTCGAAGCGGAAACTGACGACCAAGACGAACAACTCTGGGGGAATCCAGGGCGGTATCTCGAACGGCCAGGACATCTACTTCCGAGTGGCCTTCAAGCCACCTGCAACCATTGGACAGGCGCAACAAACAGCCACTTTCGACGGCGAAGAAGGCACCCTGGAAGCCAAAGGGCGGCATGACCCCTGTGTTGTCCCCAGGGCTGTGCCCATTGTCGAGGCCATGTCCGCTTTGGTGCTTATGGATGCGCTACTTGCACAGCAAGCGAGAGAGACCGCTCGAGCTCACCTTCCGCCCTTAAAGGCTATGTTGCCAGTGAAGGGCACCGGCACGTCAGCGGATCCTGAGAAAGTGCTGAATGGCAGTGCACTTCTAGGTGCACACGATTGATGGGGGCAGTGTACAACAGGCCAGACAAAAATTGGCCCAGGGAGGTAATGCCATCAAAAGATCTAGAGCAGCAACATCTGCAAACCAAAAATGATAGACTGTGCTTGCTCGGGCTAGGAAAATTGCCTCGCATATGGCTAACCCTTGACATCCCAACCTCGAATCCATCCGACGCAGCCTCACGTCAGGATCATCTAGCTAGGTCTGCCTTGTCCAGCCTAGTTCTATAGGGTGCATACGCGTAGCACGGTTCCGCCAGAATTGTTTCGCGCGCGCCATGACTTGTGGCTGACGCCACCTCGGTCACCAACAGGAAGTTGCGGGATCATGCCTCTCTTCCACTATTGAACATCATCCCGGTCCTGACCAACCGTCATCTCGCAAAGTTGTATCATCTCTCAGATTCACACCCTTTTCTCGACACAACAACAGCAGTGATGCCGGCATGTGCATGTCTCTTCATACTCGCGGCATCGTCGACCCATCGTCTCCGGTAAGGCTGGCAGGGATAATCAGCTGTTTCCACCCCCTGAGGTGGACGCCACAAGCTGCGAGTGTGCGTCAGGCTGTAACAGTCCCACCAGCGCTTGACTCGACATGCGAGGTGGCCGTCCTGTAGGTCGACACCCTGCTGCTCCTGCTCCTGCTCCTTTTGTGCGCAGGAAAGAACCGAAGTCAAACAATATGTCTCAGGCTGTCAGGCTGACACCGTATCTGGCCGTCTTGAGCACCGACCTCAACTTCATGATCACGATTGATCAAGTTCCAGGAAGGCGGCGCAGCTCGCGAGACACGCGTTGGCAGTCCATTTTGAGCGGTCCTAGAACCGACGAAGCTAGGTATCGCACGAGCTCCGTAAAAGCGGTCACCCACAAGGCGACCAAGACGCCATACTGGTCAGTCGTACGTCCTCCTGTCCTACCATTTTCGTGATGTCTACGACATCTCTGGTCTAGCGTCCATGGCTGGCCTTCAATATCACGTTTTGTTCCACGTCGAACAGATGGCATCGTCAGAAGGGTATCGTTGGAACCGCTGGCCTGGTCAGAAGGGCTGTGTCGAGGCACCGTCATTGGGGACGCCGTCTCGGTGAGGCTCATGGCCTGGGTCTACAAGAATGGACGCGATCCCTCATGTGGTTACTGCTTCGGGACTACAGTAGAAAGCTATAAGAACGGCCTGACACCCTACTCTTACTGACAGTATTCTCACACATCGGACATAGATTTCATCAATGACTACTTCCAAGCGTTCTCATATCTCAAAGATCAAAGTGTGTGCGTGGCTAACCCGAGCCAAGCACGACTCTAGCCATACTGTTGAAGTCGCGAGTCTCCCTCAATCACCACCAGGTCCATCCGAATTAGACGCCTTAAGCGCTTCTCTGACCATCTCCAGCCAAGAATTCATGGCCCCTCCCACTCAGCGTCCCATGCCAACAACTCCCACACCGGTACGTCACGCAGGAATTGCCGTCGGAAATGGTCCAGACACGCCCCCTTCTGGACGTATCACTGGAAACTATTCGAGGACATCCTTTCGCCAACGTCTCGACTCTTCGACAACTCTCTCTCCCGGAGTCGTCGGCGAACAACCTCGAACAACTCCTACTCATGGCCGTGTCATCGGCGAACAACCTCCAACGACTCCTCACCATGGACATGTCATTGAGCCTATCACGCCACCATACACTAGCGGGGAGCCAATGCATCTGCATACGCCTGGAACGCTTCCACACGGAGGAGGCATAGCCACAGACGTCGTTTGCGAGAAGGATCCTGCTTGCAACGCCATCTGCCTCCGATACGTGACCCAACGCGACCGCGACGGCAGAATGAACGCCGGTCGACCGTATCTCAAGTGCACGGGCGATCACTGGAACAGGTTCGACGACCGCTGTAAATGTGGCGAGTGGCCCAGGCGGCTCGAAGTCGGCTCTTCTGAAATACGACGAATCAGCATCTGTCCATTAGGGGTTTGCGACTTCTTCACGATCTTCAGGATCATCCAGGCTGGTGGTCGGCAAGTGGCATACGTCGACGAGGGCGTCAGAACACTCCGTACGGAATAACCGACCACACACCTCTCATGCGCCCCTTCAGTAGCGGGTGCAGTCTAGGCAAGCATTGGAAGTCCTTTACAAGGTCTTGGGTAGTACGCTTTCGGGTCTTGATTGATGCCTCCATTTCTGGCGTTGGGATGATCAGAGCGAAGGGTTTGCGCCACTGGTATGTCTCTACTCTCGGTAGTAGGAGGAGAATGGGTGACAGAGTGATGCACGACGTGATGACTTCATAGTGTCTTATGATTGATGATATCCAACCTCTTCTTCGATCTCTGCTCTGCACTTCTCTTGATGTTTCTGGTAAGCTTCGCGAACGGGACTTGAGCTGAATGTGACCGCACATAAGGACCTCCGGCTCAAACAACTTCAGAGGTACTTCCTCTCAAAGGCGACTGCCTCTTCTCGCTCCTGCCTAAAGCTTGTTGTTGTTGGCTCGCAGATGCTGGGAATGGTTAACATTTTGGTCACAGGCATGATGTAACACTACAACTTCGGTATGCCTCAGTGAGCGGCTGCTTCCCACCACTTTGCAGGTCATTGACTGGTGCAGTGTTTTGCTTTCCAACTCACCTATCTCTGCGCCTTCGCCTCCAGTACACAATATACCCACACTTGCTAAAATGGCACCAGATCTAGTAGGCCGATCTTCGTCCCAACTATGAGGTACCCAGTTAGTACGCACTCCCTGTCTGCCGTAACATCCGATCATGGTGTTCGGTTGATTTCGTCTAAGCAAGCTCGGCTTGAGAAGTCCGTCACGAGGTGCTAGGGCGAACCCTCTCCTTGGCGCATCTTGGAGTGACGGTTGCCATGGTGACGAACATTTGATCCGTCACGCACCACGTTCTGGACGACCCTGTGCAGCCTGTGGTTGCAGAGAGGCCATCGATGGCGCAAACTTCCTTGTTGCATCACGACAAACCGATTGGTCAAATCGGGAGGGTTTGCAGCTCAGGTTCGCTAAAGTCGCCTGGATCGGGCTGTGAGTTTGATGTGGCTGGCGGAAGTTTCAGTGTTTACCACTCGCAAACCAACCCCGCAAAGACTGCGATTGCCAGCCCAGCCACTCCGCCGCTCCCTTCTCGAGGTCCTCCTGCGCATCCCTACACAGTACTGTGAAAACCCAGGGTCCACCCCGCTCACTGGACTCTTCGGATTCCTGAAAGCAAACAAGTGAACCGCCACGACGACCTCTACAATCTGGAGACTGCGGAAGGCCGCAGACGGGTTTGTTTGCCAGCCTAGATGACAACTCGATCGCGACCACTATGACCTGACACCCGCCACGAGACATGTTACAAGCGCTCGTCCCTCTTTCCGCCGGCCTCTTGACCCTGGTGGCACCGGCACTCGCACGACCAGAACTGCCCTACAATCCGACGCGGATCGTGCCAGCGCAAAATGGCTCGATTGTCTACATCTTCTCGCCGCAGCCGTCTGCGACCCATCAGTTCGCCCTTTCCTGGCTCAATACATCTGAGACTGTGAACTCCAGTTCGCCGAGAACTGCCCCGTTTGAAACCCTACCGTTCCTATCCGAGTCGGAGCCACGCGCATTTCTAACGCTCCCTCCGGACGATGAAGGCTTCTCAGTATTAGTCGGCGATTGCAACGACCCTACACAAGATCTGGAATTATGGAGGTTCATGTTTGACACCAATTTCAGAAGTGGCGTATGGAGTACGCCAGCGCTTGATACAGATGATGAGTCCTTGAGCCTGAATTACCTCTCCGCCGGCTTCACGTTCTCTCCGACGAACTCACTCGACAATGTCTCTCTGTACATTTTCGGGGGCATGTGTCCTGACAATAAGTCTCCCGACGCCAGCAGTTGGATCTCGGATGCGGCTTATTCGAACACCATGCTTACCTTCGCACAAGGCCATATCACGAACGACGACCGGCCTTATACTGTCTCATTGACCGGGGCAAGGGCTCCGCCGGTCGCAGAAGCGGGCTTGACCATAACGCCACTGGTGCCAACTTCCTCGAACACTTCGGAAAACACGGTATCGCAGCAGCAGAACTTCGCCCTTATCGGCGGCCACACGCAGAATGCCTTCATCAATATGTCGCAGTTAGCTATCTTCTCCTTACCCCAGGAATCGTGGGCGTTCGTCGATGTGACCCAAGGGAAGCATACGGTTGAACCACGATCCGGCCATACTGCGATCCTGACCGACGACGGGTCCAAGATAGTGGTGTTTGGAGGTTGGGTTGGCGACATCAATACCCCTGCGCAACCACAACTGGCCGTCCTGAACATAGCTCGAGAATATGGTGGCGAGGGGGATTGGGCTTGGACGGCTCCTTCATTGAAATCCAGTCCGCTCGATGCTGACCAGGGCATTTACGGTCATGCCGCGACAATGCTATCTGGAGGCGTTATGATGGTAACTGGTGGCCAGTCGATAGCTCCGTCTGGATACCAGAAGAGACGCGATCTCTCGCATAATATCTCCTTCCTCAACACCACAAGCTTCGAGTGGACCGATGTGTACACGAACCCTCATTTTGCCGGCTCATCGTCCAACCCCACAAGCGCCGCACCATCCACTTCAGGGCTGAAGACCTCGGAGAAGGCAGGAATAGGCGCAGGCGTCGGCCTTGGCGTGGCAGCAGCCGCAGTGGTCGCCATAGTCTGGCTTCTATACTCACGGAAACTCAGGGCAAAACGCGCTTTGCGCGAAAAAGAACTTCGTGAACTAGCTCTTGGTGCTGAGCGATATCATTCACCACTCCCACCCGGTGCAGATGACCCGGGATATTCAAGCATGCGAAGCGCCAGTTGGGCTGCTGCGCAAGAAGCAACGATTGGAAGCGCGAAGAACCCCTTTCCGTGGATACCTGTGGTCATGGCCAGTCACAACGACCAGCAACGTCCCACGACTGCGGATAGTAAGATTAATAGTGCCCGACACGCCGAGCGTACTGGCGTGCAAATGGAATTACCAAGTCCTACAAGGGGCTTGAGAAAGGGAGTGAATACAAGGGGACCCCCAATATATCACCCATTCAATCAACATCCACCTACAGGTCCAGGGGCAGTCTTCCGCATCGAGGAAGAGGACGAGCGCAGCCACAGCGGGTCTCTGAAACGGGCAAAGACTCCCAGGGCGGCCACCGACAACTGGTCGATTGGAAGTAATCCGTTCAAAGACCCACCAGCCATTCCGGAAGATGCTCCTCGGGACGAAGCTGCCGTACAACGGAAGAAGGAAGTGGAAGAATGGGTTGACGATTGGCAGTCGGCTGCTGAAAGTATGACCGTGTCGAGAAGCCCAAGCAAGGCCCATAGCAGAACATACTCGAATCTTTCGCAGTCCCGCAACGCTCCAGCCTCCAGAGAGGTGGGTGGTCGTGGGTCGCCCGAGAAGTCTGACAGAACCGGGAGTAACATCTCGGAGAAGAGCATGACGAGCATTGCGTCCTTCCAAAGATCGGTGGCTGGCACTTTGTCGCGCAATGTCTCTCAGCGAAGTGCCAGCGCGGGTCATGCGTTGTTCTCAAGTCCCGCGGCAGCTATGGGCCGATTCGGGTTTGGCCGACAAGGCGCTGCCGCTCACGATGGCGAAGCAGGCCTTTCTCGAGCGCCCTCGAATCGCAGCGTGTCGCTCAATTTTGACACCACTCGGGATATTTCTGCTTGGGATGGTCCAGACACGCTCGCCGCTGCTCGCAGTAGGTGGGCGCCGTCGGCGGCGGGAGAGGATCAGTCTCTTCTCAACCGTGGCGACCAGCCTCGACAAAGCGAGGAGCGCGACTACAATACGCTCCAGGGCAGCCCCAGCAAAGACAAATATTCGCGGGCGGGCAGCCTCACAAACACCAGCCGAAGGGCTCTGAACCTTCTGGGAAGCGTGAGGCGCGTCTTCACTGGGACTGGCGGGGTTGACGTTCAAGATCGAGTGGCGGCTTTTGAGAGTGGAAGTGGACAACCCAGTCCGACAAAGCATTCGCAACCTCCCGAAATGACCGAGACAAGTCCGCAAAGGAAGCTTAGTGGAGGAGCAACCTCGTTCTGGCGCAGCAAACAAGGAGCCAAGGACTGGGAGGATGATTTGCCAGGTTCGAGTCATACCGGACCGTCGTCCACAGTCCGCCGGAAACCCGTTCCCGGGCTGATACTGGACGATGGCGATGGCGAACCCTTGAAAGACGACGACTGGGACGTGGAAACAGCTGTACAGCAGCGACTTGTCCAGGTCATGTTCACCGTTCCTAAGGAGAAGCTGCGTGTTGTCAATGTCGATTCCTTGAGTCTGCTGAGCAGTAACAGGAGCGAGGTTGACCAGGACGAGGACAAAGAGAGGGACCAGGTGAAAAGGATGAGCAGTGTCAGGGAAGGGGATGAAGACTACCATGATGACCATGCTGACGATGATACGGTAAAGGGCAAAGGGAAGGCGAGGGCGCTTTGAGACGATTTAGCTACTGGCTTCGTCTCGCGGTCGTTATGTTTGCACACGCGTGTACAATGGAAAGGGTGGCTATCTTGGAGTTCAGTCTGCATTTTGATTTTGCGAAGGTGTTTTGTACCAAGCGTTGTTGTAGATCTAGCTTGCTTGGACATACGGCTGTATCTCGAAGAGAGCTCAAAATGTGATGACTGACGTGTAAGATTGAAAGCCCTATGCATTTTTGAGTGCATTTGTAAGCCTTGTTTACCGGGCGTGGAGGCGGCTGTTTCTAGCCGCTGGCCCATGATCGCAACATGTGCCTTAAAAGGAGATCCTGAGCCGGCCCCAGCAATGCAGACTGATAGAACGTTGCAACCGGTGGCTGGACGTCAGTCACTGTGAAGGCCTTTTTGCTGAAATGCATCCAGAACCGCGCACGGTGATTGACTAAAGCATTCGACGACCTTCATAGCGACTTGACTGGAGAGCGAGAAGTGAGTGGCAAATGAAAAGTGACGTGTGACGTCGTGCCCGGGGCTTGGCGCCCATTTAGGAGGGTGGGGCAAAAGTGCGAGACTCCAAAACGCGAACGCGCTCTTAGGCGTGTTTTATGCGGGCACGTTATATCTACATGTTTTGCACCCTCTCGTCCCCCAGGCACCGTCTTCTTCATTACCAACACCAGCAGACTGCTGCCTGCGTCTCTACAGTGACTGAAGATTGTGTTGTGGACTACCAGGGTCTTTAAGAGGACTGCTGTGCTTTCCTTCTCAAGCATCATCCCTTCCAACCTGCATAACCCGTCTACCACTGAACAGCACAAAAGAAGGTGTATCCGTAGCAGTCATCCGCCAACATGTTCGTCTACAAGCGAGGTATGCCACATCTTATTCACAGAGACGCAAGTGTTTGTGTCTGCTCGTGCGAGCCGTTACCATTATGATCACGAGCTGACCACGCGCGGACAGACGGACGCAAGGAACGCGTGCAGTTTGACAAGATCACAGCTCGTGTCTCGAGACTGTGCTATGGCCTCGATCCAGAGCACGTTGATGCAGCAGCCATCACCCAAAAGGTCATCTCAGGTGTCTACCAGGGCGTGACTACCATTGAACTCGACAATCTTGTCAGTATTGCCACCTGCTGCTGTTTGGGTTTGCTGACACAACCTTGTAGGCCGCGGAGACGGCGGCATACATGACAGTCACCCATCCCGACTATGCCATCCTCGCAGCACGTATTGCAGTCTCAAATCTCCACAAGCAGACCAAGAAGCAGTTCTCTGCCGTCATCTCAGACCTCTACCACTATACCAATCCCAAGAACAACAAATTCTCCCCCATGATCTCCAAAGAGACGTACGAATGCGTCATGAGACACGCCGACGAACTCAACTCGGCCATAGTCTACGACCGGGACTTCAACTACCAATACTTTGGCTTTAAGACGTTGGAGAAATCATACCTGCTCAAAATTGGCAAGCAGGTCGCCGAACGACCACAACATATGATCATGCGTGTGGCTGTTGGCATCCACGGTGACGACATTGAGAAGGCCATTGAGACATACAACCTCATGTCCCAGAAGTGTTTCACTCATGCGTCCCCGACCCTCTTCAATGCTGGAACGCCACAGCCCCAGCTATCCTCTTGCTTCTTGATCGACATGAAGGAGGACAGCATCGAGGGTATCTACGACACTCTCAAGACCTGCGCCATGATCTCCAAGACAGCTGGTGGCATCGGCCTCAACGCTCACTGTATTCGTGCCACTGGGTCCTATATTGCAGGAACCAATGGCACCTCAAATGGCCTCATTCCCATGCTCCGGGTTTTCAACAACACGGCCCGCTACGTCGACCAGGGCGGCAACAAGCGACCGGGCGCTTTCGCCATCTATTTGGAGCCGTGGCACGCTGATGTCTTTGAGTTCTTGAATCTCAGAAAGAACCATGGCAAGGAGGAAGTCCGAGCTCGTGACTTGTTCTATGCCATGTGGACTCCCGACTTGTTCATGGAGCGTGTCGAGAAGAACCAGGAATGGACTCTTTTCTGCCCTCACGAAGCTCCAGGTCTTGCCGATGTGTACGGCGATGACTTCAAGGAGATGTACGAGAGATATGAAAAGGAGGGCCGTGGCCGTCAGACAGTCAAGGCCCAGAAGTTGTGGTATGCCATTCTTGAGGCCCAGACTGAGACGGGTACTCCCTACATGCTCTACAAGGATGCCTGCAATAGAAAGAGCAACCAGAAGAACTTGGGGACCATTCGAAGCTCGAATCTCTGCACCGAGATTGTCGAGTACACAGCCCCGGATGAGGTTGCCGTCTGCAATCTGGCTTCCCTGGCTCTCCCAACCTTCGTCGACCAAGCCCGTGGTGAGTATGACTTTGGCCGCCTCCACGAGGTCACTCAAGTGGTCACCCGGAATTTGAACAAGATCATCGACATCAACTACTATCCTGTGCCGGAGGCCAAGAAGAGCAATATGCGACACCGACCTATTGGTCTTGGTGTCCAAGGTCTTGCAGATGCATTCCTTGCCCTGCGTCTGCCCTTTGACTCTCCAGAAGCCCGACAACTCAACATCCAGATTTTTGAGACCATTTACCACGCAGCTCTCACTGCTTCGTGCGAGCTTGCAAAGGAGCAAGGCACCTATGAGACATATGAGGGGAGCCCCGTCTCCCAAGGCACTCTCCAATACGACATGTGGAACGTCACTCCCTCCGACCTGTGGGACTGGGACTCACTGAAGGCCGACATCGCCAAGCACGGTGTTCGCAACTCTCTGCTCGTTGCTCCCATGCCTACGGCGTCAACCTCGCAGATCCTTGGCAACAACGAATGCTTCGAGCCATATACTTCCAACATTTACTCCCGTCGTGTCCTGGCGGGTGAGTTCCAGGTCGTCAACCCCTGGCTCTTGAAGGACCTGGTCGACCTCGGTCTCTGGTCAGACAACATGAAGAACCGTATCATCGCCGAAGGTGGTTCAGTCCAGAACATCCCCAACATCCCTTCTGACATCAAGGCGCTGTACAAGACTGTCTGGGAAATCAGTCAGCGGACAATCCTTCAAATGGCAGCCGACCGAGGCGCCTTCATCGACCAGTCGCAATCCCTAAACATCCACTTGAAAGAACCGACCATGGGCAAAATCACATCCATGCACTTCGCCGGCTGGAAGATGGGCCTCAAGACTGGCATGTACTACCTCCGCACCATGGCCGCCACACAACCTATTCAGTTCACTGTCGACCAAGAACAACTCAAGGTCGCCGACACGAACATTGCCCGAGAACGTCTTGGACCCAAGAAACGCACATCTGTTGGCTTCAGCAGCAGTGTGTCAAACTACAACTCCATCCCCAGACCTATGTATCAGTCCAAGTCGTCAAACCTGGGCGGTAGTGCCACGGCGTCTATTAATGGGATTCCGACCCCGACATCGACTCCACCACCCGTCAGTGACGAGACCAAGCAGATTGGGTCGATGGCTCACAAGCTCGCAAAGACACGTCTCAGCGAAGGCGAGTCGAGTGCCGAGGCCTCGCCCCGTATTCTTGCGACAGACGCAACTTCGAGCCCACCCGAAGCTATTGCCGAGGAAAGCCTGGAGAGCAGATCCAAGGACGAGCAGGAAGAAGACAAGGAGAGCGAGAACGGAGAACGAGAAGAGGATATCTATGCCCAGAAGGTGCTTGCCTGTGAGTATTTTCCCTATCGGTCGACGTACAGTGGAGGACGTACGTGGCTAACAGTTGATCACAGGTTCGATCGAGAACAAAGAGGCATGCATCATGTGCAGTGGTTAGTGGTTGAGTGGCCGGGCTTGAACTACAAACCGCGCTCTATGTGGTTGTTGAGCTCTTGTTTGCCGCTGATCGGACACTTTGCTACAGTATAAATGTTATCGAACTCGTTGGATCACGGAGGGCGTATGAATGGCGCAAACTCATGATGTCGATGGCTGTTGTTTTGCTCTGCATTGATCCACAAACATACGGAGTACTGTGTCGCAGAGACGTAAATGCTAGAAAGGGAGCTTGCATACGCAAGGCAAGGACGTGTGAATTGTACCACAATTATGGCAGTAATGAAACGATATCCGTACGGAGCCCCCAGTTGAGTAGGGCGTGCGTTTCTTTTTTCCCACTGCATAGGATCGTCTTCACGTCGATTTGCCCATGGACGGCCAAAGGAAGGTAGGTAGTCGTCCCAAATATTCGCAAACAAGAGTGATTGAGATTGAGTCTACGGAGTACCGACCGACAACAACTGGCCGAGGTGGTGGAAGTGATGGACGATTCGGTCCGTACAGACGGTACTGTGTAGCCAGACCTTCCACCCGGGCTAAAATTGCAGGGCACATCATCCGCCAATAACCGCTGATACCCAGCTGATGTGACGAAGTCATGGACGACCTGGTCAGTACCTTACATTACATCATGTCCTGTAGCCAGACCTTTCACCCGGGCTAAAATTGCAGGGCAGCCTGGAGCGTGCGCTCGCATTCTATGATACTGGGACGCACCATGTCTCCAAGCCTCGCACGGAGTATCGCCTCTTGCAGGTCACACACTGGGCGGACTTTGCCAGCATTGCTATCCAAAGATCACGGCAACCCACAGGCGGAGTTACCTATCTATCTAGGTGTATACGGGGGTAACGGCCAGAGCAATTCTAGATTCTGGGTTCCTTATTCCGTGGCTGTGTAGTATGTGCTTGCTGTGTGTGAACTACAGTACAGTCCATACCTACCTAACTGGGAACATCCTGGCTGGTTACCGGGTAGCCTCGTGCCGTACCACCATGTCCGGTGCGCTGGTAATATGTACCGATATGGAAGATGATCCCCGTATCATGAGATTCACATTGTATCTCCTCCTGCATAGTCCTATGGGTATGTCCACCAAGCTGCACTGTGCCTTTCTCCCTTAAAGCCACGATAGATAGGAGGGGCATCAGGCTGCATTGTCTCCACAGGCACCCGCTTCATCAAGGCTAAAATTGCAGGGCAGTTTCGGACCCCGAATCAGTCTTGTCATACCACGGTACTCCTTAGAAGGGTGTACAGCGGAGTCGGTGTGTCCCCCATGTGCTGAAAGTACGGGGTATGTACTCCGTACTCGGATCGACTGACCATGAGGCTAAGAATGATGCCCAATGACCTGGCTCCCTTCTCCTCTCCTTCTCCTTGCTCTTACCCCGTAGTCCAAGCCGAAAATCGCAGGGCAGTTAGCTCATCCTACTACTCATGTTGTGCCGAGTGAGCATCACGTTGAGAAACGAGCCCAACGAATGCCCCCCCTCTCTCCACTCGTTCTCCCATCCTCTCCTGCCTCTCTTCTCCTTTTCTCTATGTGGTCCAGACTAAAAGTGCAGGGCACTTGCCTTATGTCGTAGGTACTCGGACTCGGCCACTATTCCACACCTAGTGGTCCGTGTTCTCTACTCCTGCGTACTGTATGTGATCGCGATGGCACATCACCCAACATCGACATCAATATCGATATTATCGACATCAGTACTGTATTGAGATGCGTCCAGCATTCGGAATCCAGCATCCAGCATCCGCTCCAGCATCCGCTCCAGCATCTGCTCCAGCATCCGTCACCGCATGCTACGGTGTGTGCGTCCTGTCCTACGCGACGCTTATAATTATGCCTGGCAGCCTCGGCCAGAACGACAACCGAGACAGTTTACTTGTGCCCGTACTGACTGCATGTACCGAGTACTAATTCATTTGGTGTTCACTGTTCCCCAGGCTGTGCTGGAGAGTGAGGCATGCATGTTCTGAGTGAGCACGACCTACAGTAACAAATGACATGCCCACACCCGAGGTGTCTGTTTCTGCCCTGACTACACACCTTCTTCAGGCCAAGCCGAGCTCCCGAGCTAGGTGGCTGCTTCGTTCCATGAATGGCAGCAGTGTCGATACGTTCCCTATGCAGGATCCGCCGCTTCGTCCTCTCTTCTCGGTGGAAGACTATGTTGTCCTTTCGGTTTGTCCTGAATTCACAGTCGGAGCCTGGGTGTCTTTGTTCCACGGCGTCGGGAGCCTCTGTGGCGTTCAATGTGAAGGCTAACCTATCTCGCTGGGGACACACTCTGGTCTGGTGATTATCACGTCTCGACGTCGTGCCCTCGAGCTCGAATGGCCTGAGTTTGGTGATCTGTGTTCCAACTTCCTTCTGCGCGGCTATCAGACGAGGGACGTGAGATTGGGTTTCAAGGGCGGAACTTGCACCGACATTGCAGTAGCTAATCAATCACCTATACTCGAGGCACTTCCTTGCAGTCTGTTCGCCTGAACCGGGTCCGCAGTACCATGGAACCCCACCCTCACTTCATCAGCGTGGGACGCCCGCCCGCGCCGGTGACATCAAGTTCTGACAGCCACAGTACCAGTAATTACACCAGGGTAGACTGCCCGAAGATGCTTTCTTGCTTAATTACCCATTCAAAAAAGTCAGACCTTTCAAACGCTCCGCAGACACATTGGTTGGGAAACTCATGTGTCGAAACGTGAGTGAGCCGTAAATTAAATTAACCCATGGTCACCAGAGTCCAGACAGCCACTGTACTGGTTGGTACATTGGTGGACTTCACCCAAAGATGCTTCCTCACTCATCCAGAGTGCAAAACCTCCCAAAACGCCTCGGCCCACACAAAACACAACACCGGAGCGGTAACCGATGTGGAAATGTGATGGAGCCGAAGCCCGCGTTTCCGGGTAGGAGGATTTTGGACCTTTGAGCGAGAAAATTCTCACATTTGAGAAACGAGAGCTCGGTGAAGAAAGGGGACACAGGAAGGGGGGACTACAGTACAATTGCACTCATTGATGACTGGACAAGGCGACTTGCCTGCGTCTACGCCTTGGTCGCTTCACACAGGTTCCCTCCAGGTTTAGCTGTCGAGCGAGCCGATGAGCAACAATATGAAAGATCTGAGGAAGCTTGAGAAACAACAACGCCGAGAACGAGCTAGAAAGTGACTTGTCCTACTGTACGTAGTCGCATTGTCGCTGAAACCGCTTGGCCAACATGGCCCTGGTTCACAGTCTAGATGAGCCAAGGTCTCCGTGGCCCGTAGGCTCATTAAGAAGGCAAATCTTGCCGTAGCGCGCTCACGAAGGAGCCAGCCAGAGGTATTCAAGTTCATTTTCAATCATCTGCGGATCGGCTCGTAGCAGCCTTGTGCTATGGCCGTAACCCGAAAGTACGTTATAATGTAGCTCCTGACGCTCTTGGTTCCATGTCAGTGTTTCGCGGACAAGTATCAGCATCATCTCGCCCATTGCTCGGGTCAGCACGGGCTCTCACAGACAAACTCTCTGAGACTGGCGAGGTATACATTTTTCCAAGCGCCCGGGAGTGACCGCGCCTGTCCAAGCCCCGGTTTTCTATGCTCATTCAAGCCCTGTTCGGTTGACCATCTATTCCTTTCCATTTCTCTTCCCTTGCTGGACCTTTCGATGTGGATGTCGAGCTCCCTCGTCAACATCGACCTCGTCAATAGTGTGGCAGGGAACACTTTCGATAGCGCCAATCGTATCCGCCTGGTCACAGCCCGGGCACCGCGCTACCGTCGACACTGTTCTCCGTGATGACCATTCGCCGCATCGGAGCTTGAGAGACCCTCCAAGCAGAGCGTCTCGAATGGAGATTGACTTCTAGTGTTTCATGCTGGCTTCGAGTGGGACCGGCCAGGGATGCGGAGAAGTCTTCTGTCCAAGGTCGATTCGATCGTATGTCAGGAAGTCGATGTGTAGCTCGAAAGACCTCCACAACATCATCTTGGGTGCAGGGCCGCTCGACGGTTTCAGACAATGCAGGTGAAGTGGTTGTGAACAAGACCGGTCTTCTGTCACTCCGGGTACCCGTCAACCGGCTTCTTCAGCTGCTCGCCTTTCTCCTGCGTTCGCGTAATGACGTTGCGTAGCCACTCGTATGTGAGCATAGTGGTCATGGCGGCTGGAACTGCTCTTATCAGATTCGTGCCGATGCCCGCATAGAAGGCGCGCCATCCTTCCTGTTTGAGGATGGCTTTGCACATGTGGAGAATACCCAGATACTTTTGCTGGACTTTCATGCCGTCGGATGTGGTCATGGCTGATCTCCGCTGCTGGGTTTGTAGTCGAGTGCGAAGGACTTCGTGAGGATAGGTGGCCGTACTGGCGCAGATCTTGCTGAAGAATGTGGCAGCGGAGATGCCAATCCAGTTTGAGGTGCTGTCTTCGGGTGGGTGTTCACCCATACCATAGCCGGTGAACTTCATCTTGAAATACTCGTACAAAGGGAATTGTACCGCGACATGGGTCAGTCCCAACAGTGCCGGGGTCAGACCGGAATAGAAGGACCGAATGCCCTCGGTGCGATACATCTTGCGGGCAGCGTCAAGAGTGGAGGTGTAATGCCAGGGGGCTCGCATGCCGTCGCTGGCGCTAGGGGTCTTTGCGGACTGAGACATCAACCTTGTCTTGATGACCCAGATAGGATTGGTCAAGATGGTTGAACAGGCGCCGGCGGTTAGGGAGGAATAACACCGGGCCATCCACCAACTGCCACATTGATCGTACCAGTATTCCCGAGTATTCTCATAAACTGTCAGATACACAGCCCATGTTGGCAAATAGCCCAGTAGCATGGGACCCAGGCCTCTGTACATGCCACGAATGCCCTCTTCCCGCCATATGACACTCCCGGTGCCAAGGATCCCTTTGTACAGCTGCTGCGTATTACCATAAGGATTTTTGGCCGTCCTGGTGTTAAAGCCGCCTTGTGCTTGTAGCTTTGTTTTTATGACGTCGAGGGGACAGGTGACGATGCCGGATGCCAGACCTGCGCCGGCACCGCAGATGGGCGAGATCCACGCCTTCGGAACTTGTGTCGAGTGTATCTGGATGCGGGCCGTGAAGGAATCTCGCGACGACGTCGAAGACATTGTGGATGGGAAGTTGCTACCGTCGGTTGGGGTTGCATATTGAGCTTGACTGACTGATTGGGGAGACAAGATAGCAGGAGTCTGTTCGGGGTCTCGGTCGAAGGACATTGGATGATAAGGAGTCGGTAGCAATGTCTTTGTCAAGAGCGCGGCGAAAATTGTGGCCCATATGACCAGCTCATGGCGGCAAGGTGGAGATGAATGTGAGCAGTGGTGTCAGTCGCACCGTGACCGCCTTGACCGTCGGACCGTTCAGTTGAGTTGTGAAACTGCGGGGTCCGGAGCCGGTGAGTAGCCGGCCAGACAGAGCAGCGGAGCCCCGTCAACGAGTGACAGAGGCAGCCATAAAGGAAGTGTAAGTTTGGCGAGATCAACTGGGTCCAAGACAGTGCAGGATGAAGTTGAGCTGAGGTGATAATGATGGGGAAGCGGAGGATGATGTGATGGGTGAACGTTCTTGCCGGAGTTGGTGAGGAGGCGGAGAGCGATGAGCGATGAGCAATGATGCAGTCGGTCAAGCTTCCCTTCCGAACGAACCAATTGCCAAGCTCCACTCAGAATGCCTCCATTGGCCGACGACAGAGCTCCGGCCAGGGTCAGTCGACTGCGCGCAATTGATTTCTACCATTTCCCTAGGTAGAGCACCAAACAGCACGACGTCCTCAAGCCCAACATGTCCGGTCCTTCTCTAGCCCCCTACATCCTCAAGCGGCCATGGCTCAAGCGGTGGATGATGCCCTTTGCCAACTGGTACGCCAACACAGCTGGCTACAGATCATTGGGTCAGTACACCCGTCAAAGAGAATAGCTTCAGTCGCTGTGAAAGCAATCCCGTATTGACCTCGAGTTGCAGGCCTACGCCATGACGACTTGATCCCCGAAGAAAACGACATTGTTCAGCTGGCGCTAAAGAGGCTGCCACCCAAAGAAGCATACGACCGAGTCTTCCGCCTCAGAAGAGCTTTCCAAGTACCACTACCTTTTAACGAGAGGAGGGGAAGACACGCTAATGGGAATTCGCAGTGCTCGCTTTCACACCACCTACTTCCACCTGCAGAACATACGAAGCCCGAAGATGTAAGAGCGCGTAATTTGTACGCCTGAACTATTCTGATATATGTCTCCGCAGGATATCCCCTACCTAAGTCCCATCATCGAGGAGATTGAGAGAGAAGAGAAGGAGCGTGCCGACTTGGAGAGTATGATTGTCGAGCCGAGAAAGAAGTCATGAGCAGCCGATCTCGCCTGGTCAAGCGGCCGGATCGCAAGGAGTTTCAATGCTAAATACTGTACATATCATACAGAGAGGAAGGCCTCGAAATCAAAACCAAGGGGAAGTTGATTGATAACTTGCAACGTTCTGTGCTCGCAGTTGGCTTGCAGATCCCGTAAAAGCTTTGCTGTAGTGGAATCTGGTGTAGCTGGTGTGACGAGGCTTAGAAAGTGAACAGGCTCTCGGACTGCACCAAATAGTTACGGTTCGCGGTTATGTGTCCCATACACCAAGGAGATAACCGAGTCTCTATCCTTAATACAGTTACTCGCGAGAATGCTACACATATTCTACTGTGCCAGAACTTCAACGTCCACATCCTCCACCCTCCACATATACCACATGAATAAACTCCGGTACGGCGCGTACGGCGCACTCTTGTCCAGCATATCCTGCTCGCTCATATACTTCCACTTCCCGCCCCCTTTGACCTTCAACTTCTTGACGTCTTTGCCAAAGAATGCAGCCATTCCTCGCTGGACACCTAGATCGCCCGTGCTCAAAATATCGAGCCGCTTGAGGCCGAAACAAGCAAACATCTCGACAGACCACTTGCCTAGTCCGCGCACGGCGATTAACTTCTCCATGACTTCCTCGTCAGAGGCCTTCATGAGCATATCGTTGGTGAGCTCCCCTGACACGAATTTCTGGGCCAGGCCTTGAATATACTCTGCTTTGCGTTGAGAGAGGCCGGCCGATCGCAGCCGTCCGATATCCGTGGCGGCAACTTGAGCTGGGGTCGGAAACCGGGCCTTTTCGGGATCTTGGCCCTCGTTGAACAGCGCGATGAATTTGTTCTTGATCGACTTCGCCGCGGCTCCCGAGACTTGCTGGCCCATGATTCCGCTGGATAGGGAGCGGAAAGGGTCAATGATCTCGGCGAGCCCTTTCGCGCTGAAGATATGGCACGGGTGTTGTGCTATGATGGCTTCGAAACGCGGGTCTACGCTGATGAGGTGTGCGCACGCTTGGTCCAGGACGGTGTTTGCTGTTGCTGTGGGGCGAGGCAGTCCTGTCTTTGAGGGTGTCGAATCCGGGAGAGTGTCTTCATACGCGACATGCTGGGTGCCTCCCGGGGTTATGAGAGGCGCATTGGTGATATGCGGTCCTACAGGGCGGTCAGGGGGTGGAGCTGCGTCCTCGACGTCCCCTGAGCTGTACGGCGCTCGGATGACGTTGACGAGGCTTGGAGTGGGTGTCAGTGGAGGGTGCTTTGCTTTGGAAGGTGTGCTGCGTCTAGCAGTCTTCTTTGCTGGTGTCACTGGCACTTTAAACTCGGGCTCGTCCTTGGCCGCTCCGTTGACCAGGAGATTCGTCTGCTCTGAAACTTCAATGCCTTTCTGCTCATTGTCTTCGGCAGACCTTTGCTTTTTCGCTGGGATACTCCGCGCTTGAGTGCCTGCTGGCCGCTTCTTTGACGCATTGACGTGGGTCGCAGCCTTTTCTGTCACTACTGTGGTAGGGATCGATGCGATCCGTGTAGATCGACGGACGGACATGATCAAAGAGCTTAGAAGCATTCAACGAGTGACCAATATGAAGAGGTTGAGGCTGCGTTCCCGAGCCTGTCGAGTGTAGGGATTGCAGTAACGTACTTGGACACAACCCGACAAGAAGAAGACTTACCTTGCTGGCGGTCGTCAAAAGTGACGATATGCCATCCTGGAGGTCACTTCCAATGTCAGATTTCATTGGCTGGCGCGTTTCGGTGCCTGGTCGCGCCCCGATCTTGTGGCTGGTGCACAAGTGGCTGAGGTAAGCCAGTCTGTTATGGCTTTCGAGCCATCGCATATTCCCCACCACCGGGGTCCACGAACTTGTTCTTGAGTGCTTCTACAGGCCACCAAGCATCAGTTGGTGTCTCCAAGATTTCCTCAGTTAAGACGGTCCTCGGGTAATTGCATCAAAGAACGTGTCATGTCGTGCGATATATGCAGAAAGGCATGTTGCGGCAGTTACTCCGACCTTGATCCGAGCGCTCGGTTTGTAAAAGGTTAAGCGTGTTACGCGTCCACCAGACTGCGTGCCATCCCTGAGTGCATCCTCACACAAATGACTCGTACTCTCGACATGAACTGTTCCCGCACAAGTTGTCGTCCATCTGTATCGGTAGAATTTGAGAGCTTTCCAGCATGTTTTCTACGTCGAGCGCCATCGAGGTCATGATCCTCACCTCATCACAATCTCGCTCAACAACGGCGGATCTCGTGGAAATTGAAAGCCAACATATCGAAAGTGGCCGCCTCAACAAGGTATAGCTCTATCTCTGCTGTGGAAAGCCGGCCGGCATGCCTGCATGTGGCTTGGTATTGTACTGTCATTAAAAATGCGCTAAAGTCAATGGTGCAACAAGTGTGGCGAAGCTCTCACCAATGGGGCAATTGCACATCCTGATGCGCACAAACGAACCAGTCTTTTGCGCGCTTGTGAAGTTGGACGCGTGCAGAGGCGCGATATCAAAAATGTCGATGATGACGAGACACACTGATCAGCAATCTTTGAAGCACCGATCCAAGAGGAGTTTGATATTCGACCTCCCCACAGCCGACTGCGCCTGGAACCCGGCTGAAGCCAGGCAAGGACTCTGATCTTGAGATATCGGTTCTCATACAGAGGAGACGCTGCTGATTGCACTTTGTATTGACTCCAGGCCACGTTGAGGTGTTTGCTGTCTGTGAAGCACTTTGAACTGAAAAGTCCACGCGGTTGACAGAAAAGCCTAGAAGGTGAATCAAGGAATTCTGCCAAAGTTCTCGGTGGAAGCTTTGTGCTGTGGTGGAGAGCGGCGATATCAAGCATGCATGGGTTTTGCGTTTACAGCAGCATGTGGACCGATAGTTCGCAGCGAATGTTCCGTGGTCATCACAAGAAATTAAGCAAGCGAAATCGAAGTCTTACCGAGTGTTATCAATGCTTCTCCTAATAGGGATAACTCAGTACCGTACTCCGCACACGGAAGTTTTATCGTGATCAGATCTTAACCATGTACAACTTGTTCTGTGGTTTTCACTGTGAGAGACGACAACGAAAATTGGCAGCTTCTGCCGCATTCCGACACACTCAAACATTTTATGTCTCAGATCGAGCGTCTGTTGAGGTTCTTCCAAGTGTTGTCTTGCAGACCGAGGGATGGCACATGCGTTTGCGTGGGTTGGCTTTGCATGAGGTGGCTGAAGCACAAAACTGGGTTGGCGGAAGATCGAGACCATACAGATTGTGGAGCTTACCCGTGACAATACGGGTACCAAAGCCATCTCCTTTTCTTGCTAGATATACGCTAATGATGCACATCTAACCCCACGTCTCCACCCGAAGCCGCCAGTGCGGCAGCCACCCAGAAACCCGACCACTGGCTGCCGCACCGCTGCTGCAGCTTCCCTTGCTCAACCCGCCGGTGGTGGCCAGCTACCCACCATCCAGGCAAGCGGTGGCCCCTGACTGCGGGTCAGAACCCGCCGAGCGGGCAAAGGCAGAGCCACTGACCAGCCAGGCCGGAAGTCCAAGCAGGCCATTTCGGAGGTCCTCTGGCATACATCTGGCCAATCATCCGCCTCCCTGCCAACCCAATCCATTCTTCCGGCTCGCCAATCCTTCAATTGCCAGGGCACTCCCTTTTCTACAGGCGTGTATTTTCCTGCCTCTCCCTTCTTTACGCTCACTCACGCACAACAGTCTGTCGTTGCTGCTCCTTTGACCTTTTTCTTCCATATCCTCTTTATTTCAGGAAGCCAGTCACGCGTCGACATCTCGAGTCAAGAGAGTCGCTCCTGCCGTCGGCTGTGTTGTGTTAACATTTCGAGCAACAACAATCAACAAACCCAGCTTCTCCCTCGCTGAAGCCTTTTTTACCTCGCCCTTGTTGTCTTCCACCACCGAGTCAACAGCTTAATTCTCTTACTGCAAAAGTTCTTACGACTTGCTGCGGCCCAGCTTCTCACCTTCTATCGTCTTTAATATTGCATATCTGGTGAGTCCGGCCTTCTTCCACGGCGTTGCTCCCCAGCAGCTTCGCGTCGGTCACTCGCGTCGCTCGTCTACGAGTCATTTTTGTGACCTCTGAACACACGTATCCCTGCGAAGTGCGCGTCCATGAGGTACGTCTGCTAACCGAACTGCAGCTCTTCCGCCGATTCATACATTCAAAATGGTCTTCTCGAAAGTCATCCTTCCCTCCCTGGCGCTGGCGAGCTCTGTCTTTGGTACGTGCTATTTCAGCGAGCAGCAGAAATCTTAGACCTGTTCAAGAGCTGGCTACACATGTGCACGAATCAACAGAAGCTAACACTGTCCCAGCCCAAAGCAGAGATATCTGTGATGGTCCCTCGATCACCATTGTATCGAGCGCCGACGCCGATTCGATTGCCGGTTGCGAGACATACGACGGAGACATCATCATTGATCCAACAGCTCAAGGCATTATCGCCATCAATGGTGTGCAACAGATCACGGGTGATTTCACCTGCCTCAATGCTACGCTGTTGACCTCGATCACCTCGGACCAGATCAATACCATCCAGGGCACATGGCACTTGGAAGACCTCACAATTCTCTCCAACCTCCAATTCAGTTCCCTCACCGGGGTGAACACTATTGAATGGATCGGCCTTCCTGCTCTACAGAGCCTTAATATGGCTCAAGGCATCCAGAGAGCGAACTCAGTTTACATCTCGAACACCCAATTGAACAACATTAACGGTATCGAGCTGTCTGCAGTGGCGACGCTCAACATCAACAACAACCCTTACCTCACTGATGTCAACGTCAACGACCTGAAGAACGTGACCAACGCCCTTTCTTTCTCCGCCAATGGTCGTGACTTGTCCATCAGCTTCCCCAATCTCGAGAGTGCCGCCAACCTGACCTTCCGAAATGTCAGCAAGATTGACATGCCCTCTCTAGCCACTGTCGGAGGTTCCATGGGATTCTATTCCGACACCTTCAAGACGTTCTCTGCGCCGAATCTGACAACTACCGGCGGTACTTTGGCTTTCGTGGACAGCCCCAGCTTGACCAGCTTCGCGTTCCCGGCCCTCACCACTATCGGGGGTGGTTTCTTGGTTGCAAACAACACCAATCTTAAGGCGATTAATGGACTCCCTAAGTTGGCAACCATCGTTGGTGCTCTCGACTTCGCAGGTACTTTCAACAGGTAAGATGCAAAGGCTCCGTTTTCCCTGTGTGTGCGTGATACTGACCTGGCGTTTAGCGTGGCCATGCCCAAGCTCACCGATGTCCGAGGTGGATCCAATGTGCAGACTACCTCCACCAACGCCACTATCTGCGAGTTGTTTGACTCGGCTCACGACAACGGCGTCATCAAGGGCGTCAACACTTGCCTGACCAGCAAGGCCAACCCCGAGACCAACCCAACTGCCACTGGCGGTGGTACTGCTTCGACTGGTACCAGCTCAGGCGACTCAAATGGAAATGCTGCCGTGACCTTCGGCCCTGCCACACCCCTCGCTGGTCTCGGTGCACTGTTCGCCGCTATCTTCTTCATCTAAAGCATTGGGTCAAGCGGCGTTTCTCTTGCAGTCAACTTAGAATAGTCTAATATGCGATGGATGATGTCCTTCGAACCTTGTGTTTGTCAAGCCTGTTTTGAGCGATCAACCTCCCTTGACGAGAGTACAAACAACAGAAAGATGAGGCGGCTTCCAGCCAGGAATTGTCAGAGAACAAAAGAAGCGCGAGCGCATCTGGAGTGGTAGGGTCCTGGGTTTCTTGTCTTGGGAAAGATCTAGTGCTGGCAGGTTGTGACGAGAGCGAACAGCGCTCCCGAGTGTTCTACTGCGTGTGGATAGGCATACAAAATGAATATGTTCCTTTGACGACTGATTACGTTCTATGTTGACACCTTGTAGCTGCGAGTCCCAGCTTATGTTGCCGCTTCGTGGAGTACGGAGTAGAGGTCATGCATATGTCGCCGTCGACTGCGAGCCTGCTTGTCCACTCTCTAAACATCATGATCATCTCACCAGCAATCTCTCTGCCAGCGAAGAAGCTCTGGGCGTGCGTGCTTGAGCAGAATAAGACAGACACTGGTGTAAGGCGAATGTACCTCCACTCTACATAGAAGGGACGTCAGTCTTTAAACAATCGTGTAACCTTTGCGAGTCTGCCCTTGAAGCCGGACTGCATTGATACTCACTGTTCGGCAGCCCGTGGAAGCTTCGTGAGCCTCGGACCGTAGTTTGGAGGTCGACGAGGTCGAAGAAGGTATGGCGGAAGGTGTCACCGGAAAGGGAAATGTCCCTGTGGAGGGACACTGTAAGCCAACCTGATTCACCACGGTCCAGCATCGTCTATTCTTGAACAGCATCGCCCCTATGTGAACAGTGCAACACGATCTACTTCTCGCGCTGCCCTGGGGCCAGACGAGGTGTACGGTCTGTTGAGGCTGAGCGGACGCTCAACACGGCGTGAGCGTCAGTATCTCAAGACCAGTCTAATGCAAGGCAGCTCCAGCCTCACCATTGGTAGGGAGCAGATGTACGTCGTTCGCTATTTCTTCCCGTGCATCTAAGCCGCGTCAGATACATTTCAGCCTGAGCACTCAGCTTTGTCATCTCTGTCATTATTCTTCTTGAAAGTTCACAGAGGACGATTCTTGCTGGTGACTTGGACGTCGGTCGACGATGGCGTCCTTCGAGGTGATCCGACAAGGGGTGAGGCCTCCTCCGTCAGATGAATATGATCATGCTCATAACCGGAGTGGGAGCTGTAGGTGATGGCGAGTATGAAGAAAATTCCGTCCAGGCCAAAGAATTCCTTTGCATCAGTCGCCAGAGTATAGAGATCAAGGGCCGGAGTAGCTCATCGATCATAGAAGCCACCGCAGCAAGGTGTTCAAGTCCTGTAACGTCTGTTCCGCCTAGGGGCGAGCCATGGTAAACTGATACTGCTCAGCTTCGCAGAACGGTCGGTTTCCGACAAGCACTCGAGGCTTAGGGACCTTTTGTGTGACAAGTGGGCGTACCCGTCCATGGTGTGGACTCAAACCTGCCGCCAGGCCAATGGCTACGCAGGCAGCGCCCGACATCGTCAAGATGACAACAAGGAAGTGATGGACTGTAACTATCCCACAACCTGTACTGCGAGAAAGACCGGCCTGTAACACGTCCATCAACATCGGCATCATGGTGTCAATTCTTCATCAAGCAGATGGAAGGAGGCGTCAATGCGTCTCAAAAAAAAAAGATCATCACTGGGATGAGATGGGCTTCCACGTATGCATTCATCCCGGTGGCGCGGCAGTAGCATTTTGTTCTAAGACGCCCTCAATATCTCAAAAGAACCTCCGACAAGCATTGAATGCCAGTGTGCGAAAGGGGCTTCCCACAGATTTGCATGGCGGCGCTCCAATGCTTGATCATTGGAGAGGCGGTCAAACTGTACGATGTATCCATATAGACCGTACGGTACGAAATACGGGGGCATCGACAAGGTAAGGCTTGTCGTCTGCCACGTTGAAATGCCCCCACTGACTAGGAACTCACTGGGCGAAGAGACGATTGGGCCCCAATAATGTTGAAACGGCACCGGATTTCGCCCAACTTATGACCTCGCGCGTCACATCATCCATGCGTGCGAGATAGTCGCTGTTGCTGTCGACACGGTCGCCACATTGGCTGGGTGAACATCGCACCGGGATGTGTGGATGCCCCGATGCAACAGGGACGACACCAGTCAAGTCCAACTGTCTCTACAACCAAATGATCTTCTGGCTTGGAATTTTGCAGTACCTGGGACGCCGCGCACAATCTCTCAAGGAAAGACTGTCCAACGAGATCAACCTGGTAGGCCAGTAGACACTACCGAAACGACGTCTGACACTAGGCAGGGCTTAAACCTCGTGGTGCAGCCGGATAGCCGGGAGACGGTGCTGATTAGTAGACACACGGCCTCTACGAGCAGCGCAGCAAGAAGGGATAGTGCCGAAACGAAGACGATCGCTGCGGTCACCCTCGCTTTCCTACCCGCGACGTTTGTGTGCGTACGTGCTTGACATCCCGGGAAATCGAATCGCTGGCACCAAGCCTAACGGTGTGACAGACCATTTTCAGCATGAGCTTCTTCACGTTCAACGTGGGTGATGAGTCCGGACAGAAGCATTGGTTGACAAGGACCCGATTCTGGATATACTGTAAGTCTCACTCGAGACTTGTGTCAAACCACTCCGTTAGGTGCTGTCCTATTCTTGCTAATGCGAACACAAGGGCTCATCACCGTACCACCGACGATCCTGACTTTGGTATGTTGGTACATGGGGCAAGGAAGGACGAGAACAGCCTGAGTTTCTGGAAGTCGAGCTGGAAACCCGGAGACCCGTAAGCTAGAGAGTGTTGCTCGACCCTGGATCCTCTATCGACACCGACCTCGCCTGCTTCCATTGTATGCATTTTCCTGCCCGTTGTCAAACCACGACTGCAGGTCTACCACATCAACTGTGAATTCTGAGGGCCTAACACTGAATGGTACAGCCCTGTCAAGCAAGTCCTCTCCTCCAACTTTTAAGCTATCTACATTATACTCCCACAGCCTCCTTGAACACTCGCACAAACACCCACACATCATGGTAAGAATTGTACAGCGGCACAGGCGCAACGCGGATGACGTCCGGCTTTCTCTGGTCCACCACTATGCATGCCTCCTCCAACTTGGCGGCCACTTTCTCCAGTAAGCCCGGCTTGAGCAGCAAGCTGAGTTGAGCTCCTCGCTGGGAAGGGTCAAGCGGCGTGAGGATACGGAAAGGTCGGTCTCGGTCACTGGTCGGGGTATCCTTCAGCAGCAGATGTTGCAGGTAAGCCGTCAATTTCAATGACTTCTGCCGCAGGTCTTGGATCGAGGTCTCTCGAAAGACAGATAGCGAAGCGCACAAGGCCGTCAGATCAATCGCCGATGGATTGGAGATCTGGAAGCCTCCAGCTCCAGCGATGGGTCGAAACTCTGGTGAACACGACCAATGTCAGCATCTTCAGATCCAGAGACTGGACTGCGGGAACGAACTTACTATTGTCCATCTGGAACCGCGACGCTTTGTCCCCGCCATACCACCCCGTCAAGCGATGGCGGAACACGGGCTCGCCCGAGCCATTCGCGTACTCGACCTTCCCATGCCTCTCATGCACGAATAGCCCGGCAATCGACCCGGGCCCGGCGTTTATGTATTTGTACGTGCACCAAGCGGCGAAGTCGACGCTCCAATCATGCAGCTGGAGGGGCATGTTACCCGCCGCGTGCGCCAAATCCCACCCAATGACCAAGCCGCGCGAATGGGCATGAGCCGTGATGCGCGCCACGTCGAGGAACTGGCCGCTGTAGTATTGCACGCCGGGAAGCAAGATCAGAGCAATCTCCTCGGCATGCATGTCGATAACGGATATGATCTTCTCGGTCGAGATGATATGGTCTTGGTCCGGCTCGACCAGAATCATCGCTTCTTTCGGGTCATGGCCGTGCCACGAGATTTGGGATTCGATTGCATACTGTTGTGGGTGAAGAGAGTCAGATTAGCAGCCACCCTTCACAGTACGTGCCCTTGTTGATAAGAGGCAGCAGAACCCCCTTCAAGCCAAACGACACACCAGTGCAACACGCCCCGGGACCTCACCCCACTTGATGCAATACCGCAATGCACAAAGAAAGACCCAGACTCATCATCTGCGTATGGTACTTACATGATCGCTGGGGAAAGCTTTCCACTCCAACAGGATCTTATTCCGTCGTGTCGTGGGCCGATAGAACGAGGCCATCAGCAAATGCAGATTCACAGTGAGGGTGTTCGCGACGGCCACTTCCCCAGGCCGGGCGCCCACAAGCCGACATGACTGCTCGGCGGCCACATCGGCCATGGCCTGCCAGGGCCGCAGCGGCGAGTGCGCGACTTCGGCAAAGTGTCCGCCCACCCCCAGCGCCGCCCACGTGTCGAGCTGGGCTTGGATGTATTGAGCCGTACATCTCGGCTGCAGGCCCAGGGAGTTGCCGCAGAAGTAGATGGCCTGATCGGTGCTCTTGTTGCCGTTGGAGGAATTTGCTGCGTCTCCAGGGGACGGCAAGGGGAAGGTTCGCCCTTTCAACGACGCCTGCGTCGGAATGATGAATTTAGCGCGGAATTCGCGCAGTGGGTCTGCTGCGTCGAGGGCGTGGGCGTGGTCTTCGGTGTCGAGGGCACCGTTGCTGTGGCTGTTGCTATTGTTCTCGTTGGGGTATATTTCCTTTGACGGCAATAAAGGTTGACTCTTGGTCGTCTTCGCAAAGGGCATGGCACCGTCGTTTGCGTATTCCAGCGGAGTGCTGACAATGGCGACGGTATCGTCGCTGATGATGCCTGGGGCCATCGTGTCCACCTCTAGGGGTATGTGAGTGTGAGTGTGAGTGTGAGTGTGAGTGTGAGTGTGAGTGCGAATGCGAATGCGAATAATTCGCGGGAGAACGATGGAAAGACACCGAGACGGGGCCCGAAGCTGGCTTGCGGCGGGCGGAAGGGCTAGGCGGGTCCGTTCGGCTGGGTGCAAGCAATTTGGAATCGCTTCCGATCGTCTCGACACGCTCGATCTGTTGCTAGGTCGATCTCGAGCTCGGTCTCTCTGCCAGGTCGACAGAGATGGATGGGTATGCGTGGGATGGCAGTCTATGGAGTGCTCTTCAACGACGACACAACTCGGTTCAATTCAACTCGACTCGATTCAATCTATGTGATTACGATTCTATCGCTTCATGAACAGAACTCGACTACGGAGTTACGTGTGTACATGGCCATATGTATATCGTCCAAAGGGGCCGGTAGGTATGCTTCTCGCCAGGACCCGGCTCGGAAACCGGCAAGAGTTCTTCCTCCTCTCCTCCATCTTCCGTGCCGTGTCCGCTCTCCGGTCCGTGTGGATACAGTACCCCCAGGTCGGCCGGGGCATGGGTTCCGGGTCCCCTGTACGCCACGTTCACGTTGTTCCAGCTTATGCTTCTCCATCATGCGATTGACGGGAGGTGGCTGGCTAGCTGGTCGCTTGGCCTCCCGGCTTCGTGGTCACGGCTACTGGACCTGGAGACCGAAGTTAGGTAAATTTGCAACCTCGCGTGCCTCCGTAGTGGAGAGGCGGCGAGAAGCTAACGGACCGTGTCTTGGCACCTCTTGGTACGGAGTATTTGTTACGGCGATTGAGGCATAGATCCGGCGGGATAATCGCGGATCGCCGAAGGCACTGACGTACAGTATTGAATGATGCGGAACAAGTACCGTCCCATCTTGCCAGAGCAGGGGCCCGACTCTCACTCACCGTGGCGTACTCTTGAGCTCGGGACGTGTGGATATCGATGTGAATAGTTGGTCTTCTTTACTTGAACTCGGGAGCTAGATCCTAGATGGGATGAAAGTTCGACTCGCGTCGTCATATATAACCATGTACATACCCACTTGACTTGGGTGGATTTGTTCTTGGGAGCGGTCCGACATGATAAAAGGCATGGAGAATTGATGTTGAAGAGCTTGAAAACAAGTTTTTGAGATCGAAAGCGCAGAGTACCTCAAATGCAGAGCACCCACGTTGTCTCATCTAGAGGTGGATATGCATGCCCGGTGATATTCGGATAAGTAACCGATATATACCTGATCAGTCTTCTTCACAGCCCACCCCACTGCCTCGGTCTGCAGGTGATAATTGACAAACATGGTACAAGTTCAGGTACTGCAGTCTGTCGGTATCGTAGTCCCCGCAGTCTCATCGCGAGTCCGCTTCAGGAATGGCATCACACTCGTGCCTCCCGTGCCGTGGAGTTGCCTTGTCACGGACGTATTGCCATCCGCGTCTTCCGCCGGATTCTTCGAACATGCTGTTGCTAGGTTCTTCCCCTTTCGAGAGACGATGTATGGAGCAGGAGGGCTCCGAGACGGCATGACGATGTAACGAGCCACGATCTGGATGTGGATGTTGCGGAGATTTGCCAGGGCGGCAACCGCATCGTTGTATGCGGCGACAAGCTCGGTTGATGCTGCAGGTGCAGTGGCGTAGGTCAATACATAGTCTCGAACATTGCTCGACTGTTCTAAGGCCGAGAGAAACTCGCGGTGTGGCCTGGGCATGTAATCCCGCATTTCCTGTCATGGGTTAGGATAGAACTCAGAAGCAGGCGCTTGGTGGCATGACCAACCTGCAGGTATCCCTTCGTTCGAACCCGTGCTCCGACTGACCCAGCCTGCGAAAGTTCTTGACGCCCGGGGGTATTGTGGTCGACGGAGAGGAAGATATCGAAAAGCTGAATCAGCGAGCTCTGCGCGTTGCTGCCACCACTGTACTGTCTCCACTGGCCCTGGCCGTTGCCCTCGTCATAGAAAACTCCTCGGGGCAAGCCAGCGGCTGCCATCCCTTTGGTGCCTGCGCAGAGTGGACGCACATTGTGGTAGAACACCTGAGGATCGCATCGTTCATGCATGCGTTGGAGGAGTTTCCCGATGTCCTGAATGCCGCTTGTCAAGGATTGTAAGCACGATAAGACAATGTAGTTGTTGTTGGCTTCCACAGCCTCCACACATCGAAGCATCGTCAATATCAGAGGAGCGCCCATGGCCTCGATGGCGGTGGAGATCATGTAAAACCATTCTTCGTCTCTGGTGCTGGTGAAGGACAGGAGCGATTTGAGGTTCTCCGGCTTGGTTGGATCTTTGTTGGGCGATTCCATTCGGAAATTCCAGAGGCTGAGCGTTGAAAACGTCGCGGTCGGAGGCAGGCCGAGGTGTTCCGACACGGCGAGGAATGGGCATGTGAGTTGCGGTGGGAGTCGCTGTGCTCCAAAGGGTCAGCACAGTCGGGAGCAGAAATAGCGTATCAAAGGCGAACTTCTGATGGTTCCTCTCCTTCCCAGATATATGCGTGAGTCAAGAATCCCAGGATCACATATGCCCTCCGCCACTCCGCTTCAGAAATCAATCGAGCTGGATCGAGGACGGAAAGCATATCGATCTTCCGCCTGGCTCGTTCATCCGAAATGTGTCGGGGAAGGTCCGCTACCAGGTCCTCCCAGGGGTTATAGTAGGGATCCCCCAGGCGTCTCAGAGGGTCGTCATCCGGGAGAAAGCCTTTCCTGGGGGACAATCCATATCTCTGGAGGAAGTCTTCAAGCCTCTCCCTCATCGTAGACGTGGGAGTACAGACTGGCCGTCTATCGATTACGGTGGTAGATTGGACAGACGATATTTCTTCGTCTTGCTAAATCGGCTTCTTGAGGAATGCAAGAGGCACAACTCTGCCACTCAGTGGTTCTAGCCTCTGCATCATCAGCAGATGTCTTTCCAGTGATATGACGACGCCACGTCCCGGATATTAGCGGCATTGTCAGCGAGTACTGCTGTCACCACGGTCAGGTGTAACACGGAGGCGGATGCGGCAACGGAGGCCATTTTCGCCAAGCAATGTGCTCCGCCTGTAGCCCCAACCAATGACACACGTCCGCACTCATCATTATCAGGTAAACTTCGTTGACCCTAGAACAGGTTCCTGCGCAGGTGGACTGTCAGCCCTGTAACGTAACGTAAGGTTGGTTGAACGCGTCCCGGCACATGACTGCAGGCGTTGACCAAGGATCCCTGGGTACTGCCCTCAAGCGTACTGTCGGGAAAACCACCATTCATCCAGATTTCCGACCAAGTCTTCCCCAAGGGCAAAATAGTTCTGTGCCAGGATCGATGCTTCTCTGTTCTCCGGCGGTAGCAGGTCCGGTGTGGGGTTCGAAGGGTCTGCTGCGAACGTTGGTAGTTGCATCGCAGGTGCTGGGTCGGTATTGTCGTCCGTGCGGTTAACGTCCGAGCCAATCCGTGTTGGCTCAGGTAGAAGACGTGACCGCAGGACCTCTTCAGAATGGATTGGTTGACGATGAGATGCTAAAGATGCGCCGAAGTAAGGTTTGGTGGTCCGAGGCAGTTCGGTGACAAAAGGGGACTCAATGATCTCCCAGAACAAATCGAGGTCAATGAACACCTTAGAGTCGGGAAGTTGCTGCGATGTGGGTTCACGGTATGAGGCTGAAACCACCTGCTCAAATTGCTCGATCTTGAGGGCCTTCAGGCGACATTAGCAATGCCAATTGAGACACAAGATGCAAGCCAACGAGTCAACACTTACCAGCTGCTCAATATAAGGCCAATACAAGCCCAAGCGTTTGATAAACGTAACGCACTTTCTGAAGCATTCCTGCTTTGTCGACCTGACCGCGGAGTTCTCAGTGTAGCTTTGCTGCAAGTAGATTGTTGCCGCGATCGCAGCAGAATGTGCAAGGAAGGGGTTGTACAATACGAATGCTTTCCTCTCGCACACGTCCAGTAAGTGGACGATCCACTCCGTGTGCGTTGCGGTGAGGTCGGCTGTGTGCTGCAAGAAGACCTCCGGGACCATCGTGACCCTAAAGTTTCTCAGGCGTAGGGACAAGAGGAGCGGATGGTTAAGCAGGCAGAGAACTGTGTGGTAAAGCATTTGCAGAAGAATCCATGAGGCCCAAAATTCATGGTGTTCCTGTAGCTGAGCAGGATCTTGCTCTGCAAATTTAGCCGGACGGAAACGATATTTGTAAGGCAGGCGAGTCTCAGAGTCCATAAGCTCGGCAGTTATCTGCGCATAGCCGGACTGTGTGGACCAGGGTGGCAGTCCACTTACCTTTCCTCGGCGATGCGCATACCGGGCGGTTTTCTGCCAGATCTCGCTCAACTGGATAACATAAGCAACGACGCCTAGATCAGACGGTCCGCAAGCGCTGTTCGTGGTTTCTGGTTGCTCAAGAGCCGCATCGGTCATAAGAGAGCTAAGACCCGCTGGCGGCCGTGGGCTTTCTGGGAAGCCGGGTGTCTTTTCATCGTGGACGAATGCGACAGAGCTAGCATGACTTCCATGGAGGTTCTTCAGAAGCACTATACTCCAGTAGCATCTTAATCGCTCTTGAGCCTCATGGCCTGAGTCAGGCTTCAGCCTTCGGCTATCAGAAGACAGCCCAGAGGATGACGCCAGATCCATCGCCAGTGTACTGTAGGTGCTTGCTTGTGGAGTGTTTCCACCTGCGATCGTCAGCGGGACATGCCAGAGATGTAGAAGATATCCGTACTGTTGAAGTCGGCCATGCTTATCAGACACAAAGCTTGTATTGTGGAAAGCTCAATGGGTCCGCAGGCAATCCGCCGCATGATCAACTCCCTGCCGGGCACAGCAAATTCCTCAAACTTACGAATCCAGGCTGTATCATGTATCCCAGTACTGGTGACTTCGAACCGCGATGCAATGGCCATCATCGCGAACAACAGTTCCGGATCTCGCGAGCGGAGCGTGGCCGTCAAGTTCTCGGAGAACAAAGGAAGTGGCTGGTAATTGCAATGCCTAAGATAGAGCCGGCTGTACCTCTCCACTATATCCCAAGGTGGAAGGCTGCACACGGAAGAAGTCAACATCGGAGTCTGAACAAGGTGAAGGGGTATAGTTGCATACACGGTACCTGGGGATGAGTCCTGGAGATGGCCATTTAACTCGACAATACGGGACGTCGGGGTGCCAGTGGACGTCGACGCCAATCTTTGGGCAAAATTTGCGGTCGTCGTAGTCTGTTGGAGGCTCGGATCAGACGGTCGATCTCTCATCCTTGTCAGTTTTTCGAGTGGACATGATTGTAAGGCGAGCCTACCGCAGGGATCTTCGCAATTCGGCCATCTGTACTTCGAGCATAGCTAGTCTGTCGACCTGGATCACGCGGTCAACAGCTGCTCGGAGCCGTTGACACGCAATCTTGACATACCGTGCTCTGGTCAACAGGTTGGGGAAGCGATGGGTGAGGTTGCACTGGAGCTGAAGCTCCCACTTCAATATGTGCTGGGCTCGTAGTGCTCTGGCTGGGCGCTGGGGCGTAGGTACAGTGTTGACCTAGCCGTGCACAATGCGAGCACACCGGGCGTTGTGCTGGGCATCGTGACTTCTTGCGGCTGAAGAGGTGAATGAGCTAGATGGCCACCGAGGAGCGTTCCCCAGCTTACCGGCAAGGCTCACAGGCCTGACGCGTCCTTTTCATGGGCCGTGGCGAGCCTTCCATCACTGATGAAGCAGTCTGCGAGCGCCCTTCCGATGTGATTGTTGAGGAACATTCAATGTATCGACCATGTCGACATAAGGAACAGCGCTGCGCGTGATACTACTTCGCAGTAGCTGGCGTTTCGTCGGAGTATAAATATGGCTAGATGCACATTACCCTCGTGGGTCTTAGCAACACGCGCCGCTCTATTCGCGCATTCCTTTCCGCTTTCTCGCTTCTTCCACTTCCTCCGGCCTGGTGTTGCTCCTCCGCTCGCTCATGTCGACAGGTACTCAGTACATGGGTACGAATAGGGTGCCAGACTGCTCGAATGGGTTCGCGGTCACCGTCCCGCAAGCGACGATCGAACAGCATGACAAACTTTCGGCTGTTTCCCTGAATCGCTCGCGTGGTCATTCCATGATGGGTGCTTGATCGACACCTCCGCATTTTCCATCGTTCCTCCATTGATGTCATTGCTGACCGTCAGCCAAATTGTGAGCTCGAGGGCAGCTTCACGTGTTGAAACGTGCCTCGTGGCGGAGTGCTCCGAGCCCACTCGTGGTTGCAATGGCTTCCTTAAAAGTCCTGCTCCAACCGCTGTACAGGTAAGTTTCGCACCTCTCCTATGTCAAACATTCCCGCCCGGCACGAAAAGGAAACCTCTAACCGAGCCAACCTCACCATGCTGGCTTCTCTCGTCTTGTTTCTCGCTCTGGGGCTTCAGCAGTGCTGGGCGCAGAACTCGAGGTCCTGCCCTGCTGTGACCCAGCATCTGACCGATCCTCCTTACGACAATTACTTCTACTCCAATTGCAACAGTGACAGTCAGGTTGTCGTCACTAGTCCATTGCCAGACTCGAACTTGACCATCATCGGCCCTCGATTCATTGTTGCTTGGCCTGCTGGTGCCAGCGGGATCTGCACCTTCTTCCAGCCCCAGAACGGACCAAATGGATCTCTTGCCATTGAGCTTGTCAATTCCACACTTGGGAGCCCACTAGGACCGGTATATAGGACTAGCTCAAATTCGGACAACTCATTTGTCGGAGTCCAAGGGGTGCTCGCATTCAACAGCTCTGCTACCTTGACCGTTCCGATTCTGGGAAGTATACGAACCATACGGGATTTCACGGAAGGGCCGAGCCTTCTTCGTCCAGTAATTCAGGATGCTGTGAATATTACAAGATCAAACGGAACCGGTGCGACTATTTCACGGCTTTGTGAGTCACCATAACCAAGCACTCTGCTGAGAATTCCGAAACTTCGCCAAGTCGTCCTCTGACGCTCAGGCACTGACAGAGCTGTAGGGCTTGACAATGTCACCACCACGAGCTTCACTTTGGTGCCGTATCAGAACCCAGGCTCCAACATTACAATCAATCAGCGGAACAAGACCGTAAGCTTCGGGGCCGGGTTTTACGCCTTTTCCGCCAGCTTCAACTACCCGCAGTTGACTCAGCTGCCACCAAGCCAAGTACTGAATTCCGCCTCACAGAATCTGATCGACCAGCGACCGGACCAAACCACTTCTCTTTCTTTCCTCTCCTACACCGAGAAGCTGCTCGCTGGAGCATGGAGGTTCCTCACGTACTTTGGTAGGGACAGCATGATCAGCGCCCTGCTACTTGAACCGGTGCTCAGTCAAGGCAACGGTTCGGCCACTGAAGCTGTCATTGGAGCTGTCCTTGAACGACTCAACCGGAGCGACGGGTCTGTATGCCACGAGGAGACGATCGGAGACTACGCGACGTACCTTAACTTGGAGAACAACATCACCAGCACGTCACCCGGCTTCACCTATCCCATGATCGATACCGACTATTATCTCACTGTGCTGATGGCGCAATACTTCAACACCAGTCCTTCTCGTGTGGGACCCCTCCTCAACCGAAGCGCCGGCTCGATTGACGTTCAGAATCGCAACCTGACATACCAGGCTCTCGCGCTCATCAATGCTCAGAAGATCATGAACATCACAGCTGCGTTCGCCCAGAATCAGATAGCGGCCAACCTCATCCATCTCAAGCCCGACGAGATCGTGGGACAATGGCGAGACTCGACATATGGTCTCGGCGGAGGACGCATTCCATTCGACGTGAACACCGCCCTTGTGCCAGCTGCTCTCAGGGCAATAGGTCAACTGGCACGCACTCCAGGCGTCTTCCCAAACAGTACCAGTACCTCTTCTTGGCGTACCTTAGCCGACAGGCGTGCGCAAATCTGGGAAGAAAACGCGCTCCAGTTCTTCGAGACGAACATCACGGCCTCGACTGCTCGTTCCCGCCTCCAGAACTTCGCTAACACCGCCACCTTCTACGACGGGCCGGCAAACGCATCCTCGCTCCCTTCTTCAGGCAACATAACGACATACGCGATTGCACTCAACGGGTACAACAACCTGTCGTCCGTGAATGTCCAACACAGCGACACTGGGTTCCGCTTGTTCTTCGTCAATGCCTCTGCCTCGACCCCCGAGGCGGCGGCGCAGGAGACCCGCTTCATCAACGCCACAGCCAACAGCTTGATCCGCTCGTTCCCAGCCGGTCTCATGACCCCACAAAGCATCATCGTCGCCAACCCGGCCCTCTCCGGCTCCGACGTGCTGATTGCCAACTTCACAAATGCCGCGTACCATGGCTGCGTGATCTGGTCGTTCCAGCTGTCCATGATGGCCAAGGGGTTGGAGAGGCAGCTTGCGAGATGCGACAGCACGAATACCACCAGTGCCGCAAGTGCCACACCGGCATGGTGCAGCGACTCCTCCGTCTACAACAACGTCTTACTCGCGTACAACACTCTCTGGGACAGCATCGAGGCCAACTCGGCGCAGCTGCAGGGTGAGGTATGGAGCTGGAGGTACAACAACAGGACCGGCAACTTTACGACCCTGCCGCTGGGTGTTCTGCCTCCCCCACCAGGCGTGAGTGCCGGGACGGAAAGCGACATCCGGCAGCTTTGGAGTCTGACGTTCTTGGCTGTGACGAGGAACCAGAACTTGACGGTCGTGTGATGACCGCACACGCACTGGGGCAGGACATACCCGATCACCCTAGTTGGTGGACATAAGAAAGGAAATGAAATACATAGCACCAGCCTCAGAACGGACGAGGGACGTACAGCAACGATGAGAGCCAGGCTGGAAGTATGCATAGCGTGGTGTTACTTGCGACCAAACCATTCTTATCCTGCGGTCTGTTTTTTGTTTTCTCCCACAGAGTTCCTTATGCACGTTGAACATGCGGACCACCCAGTATACTACACCACGGTAACCACATCGATTGTTACGTCGGTCAGGTTCACAATCTAGCCTGAATCTTCTCCGCCGTCTCACCCAACGCATAATCGCTCCTCCCACTCTTACTCCTGATCTTCTCGAAATCCTCCTTGGTGACCCCCCTGGCCTCCACCGCCGGATTATACCCCACACCGCTCAGTTCAGCGATCTCGGCATCACCGAGGGCCACATCCGTATTCTTGCGCCCATCCCCGCGCTTATACACCGTGATGACGACAGCCCCGCCCAGACCCAAATTATGCTGCAGCGCGACATCGACGTCTTTCACCAACCGACCATTGTTCGCCCACCCTCTCAACTGCCACGTGAGCTCCGCGCACTGCGCCAGCCCCGTCGCGCCCAGCGGGTGACCCTTCGAGATCAACCCGCCCGACGGGTTGATGATGGGTCCCTTGCCGCCGTACGTGATGTCGCCATTCCGCACCATCAGGTGCGCCTTGCCCGGCTCGCAGAACCCGAGCCCCTCGAGCGTGATCAACTCGTTGGCCGAGAAACAGTCGTGCATTTCGCACACCTTGACGTCCGTGGCTGCAACGCCGGCCTCGGCCAGCGCCGCTTTCGCGGCCCGGCGCGTCATGTCGAAGCCCACGAGGTCCATGGCCGACCGGGAGAAGAGGGCGGGCGAGTCCGTCATGAGCGACTGGCCCGCCATGAGGACGGCGTGGGATTTGAGTTCGGGCCGGGAATCCAAAAACCGCTGAGAGACGATGACGGCGGCGCCCGCGCCGTCCGAGGTGGGTGAACATTGCAGTTTCGTGAGCGGGTAGTGGATCATGGGCGACTTTTCGATCTGTTCGAGCGTGTAGACGTCGCGGAACTGCGCGTAGGGGTTGCGCGACGAGTGTTCGTGCGAGATGCGGGCGATCTCGGCAAAGTCGCGCGCCGTGGCGCCGTACCTGGTGGCAGCAGGACTTGGTCAGCCGGTGCGTTGCGTGTGGCACATGGAGAGAGAGAGAGAGAGAGAGAGAGAGAGAGAGAGAGAGAGAGAGAGAGAGATGCCACATACTTCTCCATGTACTCCCTGCCGGCATTGGCAAAGAACTGCGCATTCCGCGGCGAGTCGTACTTGCCGCGCGTCTCCTCCATCAACCGCGTGCCCAACCCCATGGGACTCGGCCGGTCGTCCCAGATGGATTTGATGCTTCCCGGCTTCATCGTCTCAAACCCAATCACCATGACGACATCCACAATCCCGCCTTTCACCAACGTCCGGGCCATCTGGAGGCCCGTCGACCCCGTGGCGCACGCATTGTTGGTGTTGTAGATGGGGATGTTGGTCATGCCGAACTGGTAGAAGATGCGTTGCCCCGAGGTCGTGTCGCCGTAGCAGTAGCACGCCACGCCGGTTTGGACATCGTCGTACGTGATGTGCGCGTCCAGCAGGGCTTTGGTGCCGGCTTCGAACCCCAGCTCCGGGTACGGGCGGAGTTGGCGGGGTTTGATGAATTGCGTCAGGCCGACGCCCAGGACGTAGGCGTTTTGCTGGAAGGACATGGTTACGATTGCAGGGCGTATAACTATCGTCGCTGCTACTGTCAAAAGAGTTGGACTCGTGATTGATATACCTGATGCTCGACGTGGTAGACACTGATTACTTTACTAGTGCCACCAGCAACACGGCACCCCCAGCAAGCTGGCTGACTTCCCCGCACCCCCAGTGCCGGTGCCGGCGGGCCTCGGCATGATTATGATGGGTCACGTGAATGTCGAGCGTCAACACCTAACATTCATCGTAATTAGGTCTATTCGTACATGGGTATCTCTCCAAACATGTAAACGCCCAAGTGCAAGCTTTTGGCCTAGTCATCTGAACAAGCCGTGGTTCAACGCTACCACAGCCGAGCGGCTTCAAACCACGCCGCTGTCACCGCGGCATGACCAAAGAACACTGAGTATGGCTCGTGAGAGCCCCCGGACACCCGTCTAGAAGGGCAAACCAGGCAAGTCAAATTGGACTTGAACCAGAAAAAGGAACATTCTCTCATCAACCATGCACATCTATCTACATCATCTCATCAACTCATATATCATTTCATCAGATCTTCCCTGGGTCCGTGATGCCGCACGAATGCAGAAGAACGTTTCGTATCCGTGCTGGTAACGGAGGGTATCATGAATATTGCGTACGTCGAATGCCGGCGTGGCACCCCAGTCGCTACCCCGAGCCCTGACGTCGGAAGGGTTTGGGAACCGGTAAGGAGTTGGGAACGAGCGGCACGCTAGCCGCATTCCCCGGGTTGAATAAGAGGGATATCTGAAGAGGCTAAGGTATAGCCAATGGTCATTGGTCTTGCATGTAAGAATCTGTAGATTGGAATGACTGATTCGAATTCGAGAAGGTCTGACTCAGTGGTGGGAAGTAATTTCCGAAATCCCAGTCCGTCTGAGACGAGCCAACAGTGTCAGTCGCAAATAGGGATGGGAAGGACTTGTGCGGATAACGGGTTATTTCGGTTTCGGTGCCGAATGCTAGTATGTCCGGAAGCACGGTATCTGGGTTGGGAGTTGAGGGACGCCCATTTCCTGGCTCAACAACAGGATGGAGAGGCGTGTGCGGCGTCGAAGCTGTAAATAGCGGCTGCGGCTGCGGCTGGGGTGTTGTAGGCCATATCACTTCCGCTGCTGTTCGAGAGCCCGTATGCTCATGCGAATTGTTCGCCACAGGATGTTCGTGACTAGGTATCTCGCGCAATGAAGTTGAAGGATCATGAGTTGGCCATTCGGCGTGGTGCATCCTCATGTGGTTGTCATAATGTCCTTGACGTGTGTAACCCTGGCCACCATAGCTTCTGCGGCAGTTCTTGGAAGGGCAATAGAAGAGGTGGCCCTTTGGAGCTGTACGGCCCGCGTTGCCCACAGAGGCGTGGCCTTCAGTGGGAGTAGGACTCCCTGCGGCAACGGAGGAGCCGACGCCCTGGTTCGAGGATTGATATCCGGATCCAATGCGACCATATTGAATGCCCGGGGGAACCAAGGTCTGGCCTTCTCTCGATGCTGAGGGCACAGAACCAGTGGCAGGTGTAAGATGGGTGGCGTGGTATGGACTGAGCCCCGAACCTCGAGAATCGGGCCAAGAAGATCCTGACATGCGTCGAACATTGCTCACCAATGTAAGCACCTCCAGCCTCTTGGCTTGCCAACTCTTGTCCTCCCGGATCTGCGCGACCAACGCGAACAGATCCGGTGGAGGGTTGTAGTAGATACTTGTATGGTTCCTTCGGAAGAGGGCGCACTCGGACTGCAGCCGAAGGAACCGTAGTATGACCCAATGCTGGTGGTCGGCTTCGAACATATCTTGGATCATTCCAGAATAGTGGTGGAAACATGTGTGGGCGAACATTTCCTCGAGTTTTGTCGAGATGAGGTCGGTCAGCGACGCATCGAGGTGGTCGTGGTCTGCGATAGGGATGGCGAGGTGTGGTCGTTGAGGCCCATGGCCCTGGGCACTGTTCGACTGCCTTGGGTGGTTGGGCGTGACCGGCGGTTGAAAAACGAAAGCCATGGTGAAAAGCTAGGCCAGGTCGCAATCAGGCGGAAGGTGAAGTCGATTCGAAGAAAGCTGGCCTTGCTGGTCGGGGCGCGAGGTTCGCACAAGCGGGCACGGATACGATACCCGTGGTTCAAGGCGAGAACAAGGAAGCAATGAATTTCACAGACAGTAGTAAGAAAAGGCTGAATCAAATGGAGCTTGCGTCTGAAAAAGAGGCTCTCACACCGAAGATAAAATGGGCTGAGGGAAAGGGCGAACAGAAGACAGGGCGCGCCACGGGCTTATGAAGGTGTGCAGGGCATGGCACGGTAAAGACGATGGGCGAGGAGACTGATGTGTAGACGCTAACTGGAGTTTGGACAGACAAGGCAGACCGGCTGCCATCATTATTGTTGCTTTGATGATAGCAGATGGTAAGAGCAAGACGGGGAAGCAAGTGAGCAGAAGTTCGACAGCTTCGCAAGTTGCGATGTTTCGGCTCATTTGGGTTAAGGAACGGCTGCGGAGTGGAGGCGCTGGGGAGCTAAAACGTCTGTTTGGGCATGCCTGGAGCATTTGGAGATGGCCTGTGACGAACGACAGGCTCGCCCAAGGGACCACAGTCCCACTGCGGCGGAGAATCGCTCGTACTGTGTTCTGATTTGCTGGACTTCCGTGCGTTTCTCGCCCTCAACCACGTCCTGGACCACTTTGCTTGTGTACGCAGCATCGCAGTGCGTACAGAACGTTCCGCTCTTCGTTCGGCTGTCGCTGGATTCCCACCAGCATCTTGCACATCGTGGAGTGCGCTTGGGTTAAGACGTGCTCGATTTCGCGAGCAAGCACCGACACCAGGGATACACCCCACGAGCGCACAAGCTCGCCTCTTTGAATGTGAGTCTGTTCTCGAGGAGTCCTCATTCGCCCGCGCAGCAACTAACCGTCGGTCATATCTACCACCGCGATCCGGTCTCCACTCGACTGGACGAAGCTGCTCCATTATCAATGGCCATGAATCGAGCATTCGAAGCGCGATGTGCCTTCCCCCACCTTGCGCGGATTCTTACTGCTGACAAGCGAAGAGAAAAGACTGTGACAGAGTATGTATGGATCCAGCCACCTGCGCGACCGCCACAGATGTGCTTCTTCTTCGTCATACGTGTCCGGAGTATGTACCATGGCAAGGTCTTGTACTGTGTACATGAGTCAAACCATTAATGTGTACTCTTACCACGGTCACCATGCTGAGTTGGCAATACGTCACTTGTGCATGCAAACCCAGCCACCAAAGCAGATTGACTTTTGCCGTTAAGTATTCGAGCAGTTGCAGGACCCTGGGCATGCAGCAGTGGAAGTCGAATCTATATTTGGCGCCGATCATGGCTTCGTCGTGGCGCACTGCAGGAGTCTGCCACAACAGCCACAACACCCAACGCTCGGGACCATGCCACTTCACACCACAGGTAATAATGTGGGAGATGAGATTCACAGAGAAGGGACATTCGGTGCTTGACAGAACCTGGGTAATCGTCAAAGCTACCGTACTCCGCATTTCGTAGCTTATTGTGTTGAACGAAACATTGACGTGCAACTGTCGGGCGTTTAAATCCGACTGGTGCTCACGTCCACCCCAGGCACCAGGCACGCTCTGGATCCACTGCCATTGCCAGCACAGCAGCTCGTGTTTGATGCAGGTCTGCCAGCCCCGAAGATTCCGCATTGCTCTTTCCGGCAGCGGTACGAGGTATGGGGGAGCACTGCAGACTCGCGCCTCTCTGCACCTGCAAACTCTCGAGGTCAAGTTCTTCCTTGCTCGTCAAGCACAACCCCTGACCCATGCACGTCCGTGCCTGGGGATCGTTCTTGGGGATCATGCAAGATATCACAAGATCTTGCCTTACTAGAAAATACTTCTAGCCGGTCTGTTTTAGCGTTTCCCGTCAAATATGTTGTCAAATCAGGAACATTTCTTTCAGTGAGAAGGGATTACATTTTCCGACTCTTTTCATGGCGTCGCGCTGCCGGTACCTCGAACCTCTGTTTTGCCACATTCCCGGTGCTTCCAGACCAAGCCGTAAATACGTTCCCCGCACCTATCACGGAGTACGGTGCCGTCGACATCGTATCGAAGAGTGACAGAGGATGTGGGAGAAAACGGCTCGGTACAGTAATGAATTGTCCCTTCTAATCAGGAGGGATATGTTTCTCGATGCACCCAGTCGCGCTGGGAACTGCTCGAGACCACTCGACTCATACTATTCCAAGTATCTGTCACCACACCTGCTTCTCTCCATCATTTGGAAGTCGTGAAATCCTACCGGGCCTGCTTGGGTAGGTGACGGGCGATTTGTGTCGTCGGCAGCATTGTCCCAAATTGTCCCTGGCTGGTGTTGGCGGCTGTTTGGAATGAACGTGAAACCCTCGAGAAGCGAGCTGTTCACCAGCCCGCTGGTGACTTGGGCTTCTTGAGGATCAGCATGATTCGGATCTCCTCGCGTCACACTAGCTTCAAGTCCAGCATGACTGGCAGGATAGACTGCATTGTGTCCCACACCTTCGAGCGTATTCCTGTCACCAATGTCCAAAGCCTCTCCGTTACCAAACTCCCGTGACGGTCTACGGTGGCTCAAGGGTGAACCGCTGGAGTTTGTGACTGCCGAGGACATTGTATCCCCTTGAATACTATGTTGTGGAGACAGGTCTGCGACCAGGAAGTCTGAAGGATGTTGATTGCGGTATGGCGATTCGGCATGGCAACTGCGCATATGATTGTTGAAGTTCCCAGCATTCCGAAAGGGCTCGTGCTTGCAGTTGGTGTACGGGCATTTGTACCTTTTTCCCCTTGGTGCTCTTCCTTTAGTCCGCTGAAATGGAGTCTGTGGGGTGCTTCGCGCATTTCCCATGGAAAGGGGCGTGGTGACTGCTGTTTGACCGCTTTGTGCAGTTCTGGGACTGGATATCACGACACCCGGACTTGTCTCCCCAGACCTGTCGAAGTCTGAACCACCACTGTGATTGATCGTCGGTCTTAAATCCTGCCCGGAGGGCACTGACTGTGTCTGGGGGTGATCCTGCTCCGGCACAGCCGACATGGTTACGTGGACAAGGTGAGCCTGCAAGTGTGGAAACTCGGGAAGATCTCTAAGCTCGTTGATCACGATCCTGAGGTCATCAGGGAGCGTGCCATAATTCCGGGCAAGGCATTCGGTAAGCAGGTGGTGGACGTGTTCGGACACCTGAGGGTTGTAGAGCTCGTTCCACAGCCCAGTTGGGATGCGAAGGTAGCTGCAGACGCCGTCTCGGTGAATTGCAATATCCGGGTGAGAAAGAATACTCCTGAAAGCAGTATCCCAGGCGTGGCTCTGAGCACCGAAGGCTTGTGAATTATTGCCAAAGGGATCGAGCTTGGGTACTTGACGGGAGGAGGGCGGGAGAGCTGACTGCTGAAGCGGGAATGAAGCATCCGGCTGGAGGGCAACTGTGTTGTTGAAAGTAACTCCTCGTTGATTGGCATCTCGGATTGCTTGCGCCGAATGCCCCAACTGCGGAAGTCGAAGTTGGCGCTCTCCCTCCCAGGCCAGCGGGAAGCCGGGTTGGTGCATTTGCAACGGCGGTGCCCAGCCAGGCAGATTTCGTAACCAGACGAAATCAGTGAAAGAAGATCCAATTCAGCGCGTAGTGAAAGAGGATCAAAGAAAAGCACAGCTTCCAAGTGATTGAACGAACGACCGAGAAGACAAGAATTAAAGGACCGTCGCTTCGTACCTGTGATTGCAAATGACCTGCCAGAGGGGACTTGCAAATATAATTGATGAATAGAAAGGGACGTGTTCATCGAAAAGCAGGTGACTCGATATGAAATGTTCTCCCACGTCCTGGGATGCGGACTGAGGGCATGCGAGGCCAACGCCATGCTATACTTACCTGTCCAGATCTAGCATTAGTCTGAGCCAGCAGGACAGCATAGGCATGTTCCTGCAGCTCCTGCAGCAATTGGAATGCACGAAGGGAGGCGGCGCCCTGCTGCGGCGGCGTCTCTTTTGTTGTTGAAAGAGAGCAAAAGACTCTAGCACATTTGTGCACAGCCTCGGAACGCTCGGTCGAAGCCGAAGCCAAACCCGATGACGCAGAATGCAGGGGTCGACGCCAAGATCCGTCGACGCTACTCGAGTTAGTGGGACTTTTGGATTGTGCTGCCCAATCACAAGCTCCACTAACAAACAGTCCCCATTAGCCACATTTTGTGCCACGTGGTGGATTGTTCTTTTGCACAACCGGTACGACGTCCCCCGATAGTGGTCACAGTCATACCAGACGTGCTTTTTAGGACTTAGCGGAAGTGACACAATGGAGGAGGAGATGAAGAGCGAAAAAGATTCTGCCTCTGACGCACCGCCGTTAGAGCCAGTCATAGGTACGTCGGAGAGAGCAAGCCACAAGAAAGGCAATGAAAGGCAAGTCGTGGCTGAGGCTAAAGCGGTGTGAGGAGCGCGAAGTGGGGCAATCGTGGCTATACAGGCATATGACGCCACACAGAGGATGCCTCAACTCACACCATCGACTCGCGATCTTCACCTCACCATGCATCGGTCCCAGACTCGCACGCAAAGTCCTGCGCCTGGAGTACGGTATTGTACAGGCCCAGTCCAATCATCAATCCACGGCACGGTATGCCCGTCTCGAGAGACTCGGTCTAACGCGCCTGGCGGTGTTGTTTCTCTGGCCCGGTGCATAACGAAAACTTTCCAGTAACTGGTGTCGTTGGGGCGAAAATATTCCGAGACGAATTGAGGGGGTCATTCCACGCCATACTCTGGAGCCAAACCCAGCAGACTACGTCTCCTATTCGCGGAGTCCTCCATATCCCCGTGCTTGGAGATGTTATGCGTTAAAATCTTTGTAACGTGTGCTGTGGTGCCCAGCAGCTACCTAGCCTCGTAGCAGGGGCTCGAATCCGCAGGAACCGTCTTGCCCAACCTGGAAACGCCAGCCGTGCAGGAAGCGTGATCCAATTCGCACTGCACCTACCTGATTGCTGCGTCCAGTGACGTGTACTGGTACAGGATGAGTGTTTTACTGTTCGTAGACTATGCATACTTCGTGCTGGGGGCTGCACCGCGGCTTCACTGGCTCTCTGGATCGACCACCAGGCACTATATTGTAAGGCTAAGCCAGGCAGCCAAAATTGGATCCTGCGAGTACGTCCCAAGGCGGGGACAACCCCAGATTGCTAGTTTAGCCCACCATTACGAGGCATACCGCGGCTATTTGTGCCAATATCCGCAGGCTGTGGCTGGTGTCAGAGAACGGCTTCGAGATAAGTCTACCTCGTGGCTCGTGATTTACCGAGTGCCAAGCCCGTGCAAGGGGCGATGGCCGAAGTCTCGGGCTCCAGCTTTTTGGTGGCTCCAGATGCATTCATTGCATTCATAGGAGTACCATCGAGAGGGACGTTTGTCGAATCGGCAACTCCTCGAATGCGCAATCGGGACCATATTTCTCCTGCGCTATCCAGAGGCTTCAATGCCCTCTGGGGCAAAGACGGGCAAGGTGCTTCTGATCAAGGCCCGTCTTCCCATCGTCCCAATGCAGGTCCAGAAGCGTTATGGTCCTGCTAATTTCCCCGGGCGTAGACATCGGTCCTGATGCTGGTTCCAGGGGCCTTTCACGGTAGTTGCGCGGTGTAAAAGGTAGTGGCATCGCTGGTAAGCCTGCTAACGTCTGGTAACTGTCCGGCACTCTGTGCACTCTGTAGCATGGCCATGAGCTCCATCTGCTGTTGGGAGCTCAGCGATTGCATGGCATAGGGACTTTCTCCCGCAATCGCTGGGCCAGGATGTGTGCCTGGAGGTCCGGACACAGTACTGTTGCTACGACGCCCGGGTGGAGGGAAGGACTGCCCCATATAGCGACTATATTCGTGTCCGAAAGAAGCGAGGTAGGGCAGTTCGTCATAGTTCAAATTAGGGGAGCCCGTGATGCCAGGGATCACTCCAGGTATGAGGGGTGCAGTCGACCACGAGGCGGTTCCAGCTGAAGTTGTGGTCGGAAAAGCATGCGGATCAAAACCTGGCAGGCTATAGTGGATTGAGGTGGCATCGAGCCGAGGAAGTGAAATAGCGGTAGTGGTTGGAATATAGTGCTGCGGCGCCGCAAAGGGTTGGGTCGAGGTTGGAAGCATCTCTGGCTGAGACTGGGGTTGATAATGGTGTTGCTGTGTGGTATGGTTGATGTGCCCGGCCGCTGCGCTCTTGTGGTTGTGGCTATTTGACGCACCATGGATGCTGTGAATTGACTGAGGAGACTGAGCGCCGAAGTAGGATGTATTCGTCGTACTAGCCGGACTCGTGGCGAACTGAGAAGCAGCAGAGGAACTCAGGTCATGAGTTGCTGAGGAAGGGTAATCGGATTGCGAGGCCGGAGATTCCTTGTTGTCGGCCTCATAAGCTTTGAGACAGCCCAGCACGAGGTTGTCATAGAGCTGTTGAGCAGAACGAACACCTGGCCACCGGTCCGCACAAAGATCGATCGCTTTCAGCGCGTCCTGAATATGTAGTTGAACTTCCTCCAAGGGATGCTGTTGGCGGATATCCGGGTAAGAGATGCACCATAGTACGGTGTTGAGAGCCATAAAGATAGCCTGAGTGAAAATCCAGGTGATATCAATCAAATGGGCTTCTACCTGGCGTTTTTGGAGTTGGATGTTGAAGATTGCTGCCGAGTAACACTGTTGTGCTGCAAAAAGCGACGGGTTCGGGATTTGAGGTGAAGGACGATATAGAAAGACAATCATTGTATTCTTGCGTCCAATAAACCAGCTTTCACTGAGTCCGGAACCCTCATCATTCTTGGGACAGTCTCGAACCCAATTGTCGATCTTGGTCAAGATTTGGTGGAACCAAGGGTCTTGATCATGCGAGGGAGTGTCTCTCTTCTTGAGGTACAACGTTCGCCTGATCTCGGCCTGGAGCAGTCGCATCCTGAAGAAATGTATCGATATACACTTCTTCATGATTGGGTGATGACCAGGCAGAAGACCGTCGGCGCTAATATATCGGTCGTCGCAGAGCTCGAAAAAGTTGACATTGATGTTGTCGACAGTGACTCCAAATGCGCTCGGTCGTCCCAAACTATGTGCGAGGCCGTATTCCATTGATGTAATGATCCAGAATAGCCGTCGGCGCATGTCAACTTCAAGGGCGTTGGGTCGGGCGCCGGACGGCGGTCGATGGATGGTCTCTTCTTCGCACAAGCCGAGGTCCTGACACAGCTTTGCGGCGATACCGACAACCCAGTAGGCCGCTGTTCGTGTTGGTGTGAGCAAGGAATATTGAGCGATGAGGGCAAAGCATTGCAATGTCGAGAGATCCATTTTCTGGACTGCGCCAGTCAGGAAAGGTAGAGCCGCCAGATAGTAGCTGTCAGCCAATCCGGCGTATTGCTTATCCAGTTTCTGCATGCTTATGGCAATCACGAGCCGCACCTGGAAGTTGAGAGTGGGATCTTCGGACCCGTCGTAGACCGCCTCGAGCTCTCTTAGAAACGTCGGTTCATGGAGGAGGGGCAGCATATATTGAGCCTTCGCCATGTAGATCTCGACAAGACGATCCATCAGTTCACGGTTGGGGAGATCTGGGGCCGCAACTGAGCTGATCAATGGATAAACCTTGGATGTGGGTTTGTCGCTTTCGGCACCAAACTTGTCCTTGATCTCCTGGGCGGCATGGTGGGGTACAACGTCCTTGATAGTCCTTCGCGACGAGTTCTGCTTTGCGAACTCCATGACAAAGCGTGTAATGGCGATGCCACTGGAGGGACCCAAGAAGCGACTTTCATCGTTCTCACTGAACTTGACCAGACCAGCACCCCGCGCCATTGCCTCATGGTCCGGCTCATGCTCCTCGTCCTTTTCCAGGGCTTTCAGTTCTTCATTTAGTCTGCGCACGGTGTCTTGCAATGAGGTGATGTATGTCCGTGGTATGGTCCTGTTCTTGGCCGAGTCGTAGTATTCGCAGTAGGCATTGCTCCTCTCACATGGCTCACACCGGGGTAGGGTGGCGTCGCATCTCGTCTTTCTCTGCCCGACGTCAGTCACGATACTCGCCCGACCACATAGACACATGCTCACCTGTCTGCACCGCACACAGGCGGTCACCGTATGGTGGACCTTGTCACGAGTTCTGGCCGTTTCTGGCGAGTCAGCCATAGTCGCATTTTCGTTGTCTGCCATCTGTACGCAGAGGCAGCGCCAGATGATTGAGTCTAAAATGCTCAGGTCGTCGAGAAGTGCACCTTGAGCCCCCTAGCCGGATTTCCATCTCTCATCGTGCGTCCGTGGGCTGTTATAAAGCCTGAGGAGGGGATGTAGTGGTGATCAGTGGTCGTACGGCGGCTGTTTGAGGCAAGACCTCATTGGGTTGTGCCGCAGCGCACAAATTTGAAGCTTTTTGGCCTAGCCAGAGAGTGTCGCGCCTGTCAGCATTGAGAAATTGGGAGCATTTGGCTGCTAGAAGGGTCGGGGGATCAGTGGCGCCCTGTCATGATCGACAGCGGCCTGCAGAGAATTAGGAAGCCCATGTTGGAAGAAGTATTTGCCCCTGCGCAGCTCAAAAGAGTGCGCGAATACAGGGCTGAAACACAAAGCTGAACACAAATGGGCTCCAACTAATGCCTATTTGCCAGCTGCAGGGTGAAGGTCCTGCCTATAAGAAATCGCTAGGGGAGTGGCTTCGGGGCCTAGTTAAATGGCTTGCAGGCGTTCAGGGATTATCCTGCTGGATACGCGTATCAAGCTGGGCACAAAGGCGCCATCGCACTCGGCAGCTGCTCATCCTCCGACAACATCGGAAGGAATAGCCTAGGCGTGCCTAGGTCAGACGCTGTCAATTATCCATGGACCCCTCCACCACCTCCTAACCGTCACCCAGAGAAGATTTCATCAACACAATCTCGCGGCATTAGCCCAAGACTGGATCAGCCGCGAGCTATCAGCTGTGTTCATATCAATCGCTGAACCGCCCCTACCGGCTGAGGGAATTGTGGCCCTCTCACACATCGGCACAGGCTGGTGCGGATAAGCACGTTATCTGCGTGGTGAGCCAACACTGTCCGCTTGACACAGTACGTAGCATTGCGAAATCGACTGCATGGAAATGTATTGAAACCTGCATGTGATCTATCCTTCAATCATGACGAAGCCCGAGCCTGTCGAGGCACTCTTAAACCCTTCATTGAGGGTTTCGAGGCCCGTTGCCGCATGCGCCCGCTGCCGGTCTGCCAAAATCAAATGTGATGGGAAGCTGCCGGCTTGCTCAGCCTGTGAGAGGTCTGGCAAATCGACAAGCTGCACGAGCGCCAACGATGAATTCGCCCGGGGAAAGGAACGTAGCTATGTCGCCGCTCTCGAAGCTGCTGCTCAGAGGCTGCAGAAAAAGATCGACATGGCTCGAGTCGAAGCCGCTGGCCACCAAGCGACATCGGGAGCCCCAGCCGCAGGCCGACCACAACAAAGGAGAAAGATAAGTGGAACTCGTCGAAAGGAAGCATCCGACGTCGATGAACTGGTGAGCGACTTTGGGTTTCTGACCGTCAATGCGACATCACGCGACTTTCACGGATTCACCTCGACCATGTCGTTTGCGAAACTCCTCCTCTCAGCGGCCGCAAGAGACGAGCTACCTCCGCTCGAAGTGCGAGGACTACCACCGCGCTATGCCATCACTCCTATGATCAATCAGTACCTCGAGAACATATTTGTCTTGTTTCCCTTTTTCTCCGAAACCGACTTGATGGCCAGCCTCTCGCGGATCTACAATGAGTCTGCTACTGTGTCGTCAATGGTGACCCCGCTGGACGTGTGGTATGTCCGGCTCATTCTGGCCACTGTCCACGCAGCAAACTCCCAGCGAAAGGGAGACGAGAATGACAGTACAGCTCTTCAACATATGTCGGCGGCTAGAGGCCTGGCGGGATATGTGCTCCATCCAGGGTCGATTGCTGGCGTCCAAGCTCTGTTGCTGCTAGTTCAGTACTCGTTGGTGGATCCTGCGCACTACGACTCCTGGTATCTCGTTGGAATGGCTGCCCGCCTCGTCGTTGATCTAGGTCTCCACTGCGAGCCAGCGCCGGAAACCAAAATCAGCAAAAGCGCATTGGATCTACGGCGGAGGATATTCCATTGCACGTACGCATTCGACCGTCTGGTCAGCATGTCCCTTGACCGGCCATTTTCGTTCACAGACGATTCCGCCTCAGAGGTACCTCTGCCTGCTTCAGTGGCAGATCCGTCACCGTCCCAAGTCTTTCAACGACTGCTGAAGCCATCCCTCTATCTGTTCGACATCCGTCGAGTCCAGTCGGCGTTCTATCAGACGACGAGATGGTCGTCCCGTTCACAATGGCCGCTAGCCACGGCAGCCACATATGCCAGCACAGTTTCCAATGATATTCATGCATGGTACAGCACCATTCCACCAACGCTGTCGCAGCGTCATCTTATGTTGTTTAACCTTGAACGACTGTATTCCCACATTTTGGTTGTTTCGCCAAACCCACGAGTCCCTACAAGCAGCATGACTGACCTGAACAAAGAACTGGTATTTGAATATTCGGCTCAGTATGCCGACCTCCTACAGCCTATTGCCCAGGATGTCAGTTGGCATGCCTATCTCACCTATGCCGACATCTGTCGGGCGAAATACGTCGGGCAGAAGTTTGTGGAAGTGATATGGTCTGACTTTGACCGGCTCATCAAGACCACCCACGCTGTCCGAGAAGGCTCGCCGCTGGCCAACAATCTGCCCCTCGATAATGGGCAGCGAGCAACAATTTTCCTTCGGAAGATTATCGAGATACTGGACTTCGCACGGCACCGCTGGGCAATGCCGGAAATGCAAGAAAGGTTCGAACAAGAATCGGCCGTGCTCTTTTCCCGACTGAAAAGCCGACAGATGGAGTTTGGTGCTTCGCAGTATTCCAATATGGCCAATACGAGCCCCGGCTTGGTGGGCCCTAATACTGGGTATGGGTCAGGCTCAAATCAGTATGCATACGATGGACCAGTTCTAAGCCAGCTTCCAAGTCCTCCCACCAAGCAGGACCCCGTCCGATCGGATGTCCAGCAACAACGGATGCTCACGCCGCCGGAAGAATATCACATGCAGCCAGGGCTTTATCCCATGCCACAAGGTTCATTGCCTCGGCGCAGCTACGAGTTTCATGGTGGCCGAAGTTAAAGCCAGTGGGGTTTTCCATTCGGGCTCCCGTCAGTCACTATACGCCCAGAACAATGCGGTACGGGTCGCACAAGGTCGCGTGCCTAAAGTTTCAGTTGTCATCGTGGCGGCCCGTGGGCGGATCTTATCGGAATACCAACTGCCATCAGGATCCTGCCAGAAAATTGCGGTAGAACCCTGAGCCAAGCCGAGTTCAGCGAGACGTGGGTGTCAGCTCCGTAAAGGGGGGCCGGCAGCACAGGTCATCTGAGAGCAGAACAAGCCCACGTGTGCCGCTCTATTGGCCTCGAGCAGTTGACTCGTCAAGCCGGGCTCAGCTAAACTCTGATTATGAGGACACTGCTGGCGTGAAGAAGGGGGCAGCAGACGCGGTCACACATGTTCTCATGACCATCCACACCTGCATTGTGAACTTCAGCACTTATATTCCTGGAGAAATGTCACTTTCGACCTGCGTCCTCAAACGACGGTTTTCGGCAGCGCCAACCATCGTCCGTGGCTCGTGGCCTCTAAGAAGTGTTTCCGGGGTTCGGGGCGCCGTTCCTGACAATCGCGGGGCTCGCCCAATCAGTGCCCGTTACGCGCTCGCCTCCAGCGGCTGCACTTGAGCCCATCGGGGAATGACGTGTGTCGTCTCTCAACCCTGCGTTCTGCCTAGCTGCAGAGTTTCCTCTCGGATTCCAAAATCCGCGTGACAAGAGGAGGTGAAGAACAGTGTTCCACTCTCGATCACCAAGTACGCAAACTTTCCCCGCCAATGTGAACCTCAGATTCCTCGGAGCCATGGTCCGCCTCGCAGCCGGGCTCCTGCTTTGCGCAGCTTGCACAACAGCAGCACCTCCAAACATACCTGGCAAAAGCAACGGCTTACAACAAGTGATTGGCGATCCGTCAATATCAAGAGCACAACCTGCGCCGCGGAAGCTGCGTGGCAGGTTCCTGCACATCACAGGTAACTGCGGCACAACGCTCGCCTCCACCAATTCTCAACTGACTGTCTCCTTAGACATCCACCCCGATCCCTTCTATAAATCCCGCTCCGAACCCGCAGAGCTATGTCACTCCGGCGAAGGCCAGGCTGGAATATTTGGAGCGGAAGTCACGGATTGTGACGCACCCATTAGTCTGGTCAACGCGACCTTCAAATGGATCGAGGAAAATCTGAAGGACGAGATTGACTTTGTCATATGGACGGGGGACTCGGCCCGACACGACAACGACGAACGGCTACCTCGATCAGACAGCCAGGTCCTCAAGCTCAACCGCCTCATTGTCGAGAAGTTTGTCGATACCTTCGGAAAGCCGGACAATATCGACGACCCCGACCCAACCAATGACTTTGTCGTTCCGATTGTCCCTACCTTTGGAAACAACGACATCCTCCCTCACAACATTTTCACCCCCGGACCGAACAAATGGACGCGGGCGTATCTCGATGTCTGGAACCGATTTGTTCCCCAGGCACAACGGCATTCGTTTGCAAGAGGTGGCTGGTTCTTTACCGAAGTGATACCCAACAAGTTGGCGGTTTTCAGCTTGAATACCTTGTATTTTTTTGATTCGAATTCTGCCGTCGATGGTTGTGACCTGAAATCAGAACCCGGTTACGAGCATATGGAATGGCTACGGACACAACTACAGTTTCTGCGCATCCGTGGGATGAAGGCTATCTTGATCGGCCATGTGCCGCCAGCAAGGACAGACAGCAAACAGAATTGGGACGAGAGTTGCTACCAGAAATATACCCTGTGGATGCGTCAGTACCGCGATGTCATTGTTACATCTATTTTTGGACACATGAACATCGATCACTTCATGTTCCAGGACGTCAAGGACTTGACGTACAAATTCCACGTTGAAGGAATCAATGACAGATCCGACCCCGCCAGGCAATGGCCCGCCAGGTCACGCGACGACACGTTTAGCATCTCCGCGAAGGCGCAATACTTGAATGAGTTGAGATCGGGGTGGTCAGAACTGCCTGCACCGCCGGCGGGTGCTATTCCCCATGAGGACGGCAGCGTTCGTTACACCGACAAGGATGGGTCAGGCGACGACAAAGAGTTGAAGAAGTATTTGAAGGCGATCGGCGGACCTTGGGCCGAGAGATTCAGCCTTTCGCTGGTATCCCCGAGCGTTGTTCCCAACTTCTTCCCAACCTTGCGGGTGATGGAGTACAACATCACAGGGCTAGAGAATGAGCATCCTGCGGGAGGCCCGATCGGAGAACCGGCCGAGTACTTCCACACCGATCTATTCGAGGGGGATATTATTGAGCAGAGCGACGACGAAGATGACATGGAGGTTGGTTCAGACGACGGGGTACATGAAGCCAAAAAGAAGCACAAAAAAGGCAAGAAGAAGAAGCCCAGGAGACCTCCATTCCCCGTGCCAAAGCCTCCCGCGAAGACCTCACCACCCGGCCCAGGCTTTTCTCCACAACCGCTTTCGCTGCTGTCATTCACGCAGTACTACGCCAACTTGACGCAGATCCACGAGCAAATCCGATCAGACGAGAAACACAAACACCACCCCGAGAGGCACTTTAAGTACAAGGTCGAGTATACCACCAACAACGACAAGTACTATCAGATGAAGGACTTGACGGTCCGGTCGTGGCTGGATCTTGCCGAGAGGATCGGGCGGGATTCATTAAAGATCAAAGATCAGGCTGATGGCTATGAATTGGTGGAGCAACACGAGCGTGAGGTCGATCCTGAACGCAAAACCAAGAAGCTGAAGAACCGGTTATGGAAGGAGTTCATCAAAAGAGCTTTCGTCCATACGAAGCCTGACGAGGAGATCGACCAGGAGTTTGGGTGACAGATCGCTGAGTCTCGCGCTGACGAATTTTTGAGTCGAATCGTACTTTAGCAGGCGACTTTGATACTTGACGATTGGACGGGGAACTGGCTAGGCTTCTATAGGATCCATGATACCAAGATACCAATGATTTCTGGTTGTCCCGGCGAGGACTTGACCAGGGGTTCAGTCCGGCTTTGCAATATGTATCTTAGTCATTTGAGCCCTACCAATGCTCTCCCAACCATGGGGGTTTATCCACTCGTAGCAGCCACAAGACTCACCTGCAACCACTGTGAGCAGGCCTTCCTGGGCAAATCTACTTTTGGAACTCAGCGGTCGCGAATACCAGGGCATTGTGGAATCTCCTCAGTTCCTCTGTTCCTACGTTCATGGCGTCCACAGCAGTCCAGTTCGAGGCTCTCCTACATAATCGATCAAAGAAAGTACGAGAAAAGCAGAAGGTCTCCGAGTCAGTCACACGGTGATTTGATGGTGGGAGGCCGTGCTATCGATCGTCAGGCAGACTCGCAGACCAGAGAGACGCCAGTCAGTGATCAGGTCATTTCATCCGCTACCACCAATCCGGGTCGACAGTCGGTCTACTCTTGGGACTCAACAGCTGGACAACATATGTGACATATACCATGCTACACAGGTACTCGGCACTTGGCTGTACGAGGTAGTACTCACGGGAAACCCACCATCTACCAAGAGACGGTAATCACTCGTCCCCACGAAGCATCTCCCATCCGAACCCCACCGTACCAGGTACTGTGATCCACCCATCCCGCATGGTATCCCATTCTGCAAATACGACACTGATCAACAATCCAGTAACATCCAGTAAAGCCCAGGCCGCTCAATCCATCAAGCAGACATGGCAGACCCAACCGACCAACACTCAATCGAAAGACCGACACCAGCAGTAGCAGCAGGACCGAGAATATCAAGTTCCGAAGCCGAAGCCCAGGCCCAGCAAACGCGCATCGACACCACCAGTACATCCATGGCGCCACCAGCATTAGCCTCAACATCAACACCAACACCATTATCGACAGCAAAATCCACTACTTTCACCTTCCCCAAATCGTACGACTTCCCCCCCTTCTTCACGCTCCAACCGACAACCCAGACGCGGCACGCCCAACTCCAGAAATGGTCCGCACTCACGCAACGCTACTGCGCGCACCACCGCCTCTGGAAACTACGCCTCCCCGACGCCCTGGCCACGCCCTTGTTCCACAACGCAGCTCTCAACAAGAAGTTATCGCTCCGCGACGCGCGCGCCGTACTCGACTTCATGGCGTCGCGCGAGGGTGGTGAGCGGGCGGAGTGGATCGCACACGGCACTGCCGGGGTCGCCCACGGCAAGGGTACAGACCACCACCTGCCCTCGGAGGCGTGGATCTGGTGGCGGCGCCCCGAGGAGTGGGGTGCCTTGATTGCCGAGTGGGTTGAGAATACGGGGCAGAGGGGCGTGGTGTTGACTCTGTATGAGCTGGTCGAGGGCCAGGAGACGGAGGGGCAGGAGTTTTGGGGCTTGGATGCCGACGTGTTGCGGAGGGGGTTGGGCGCGTTGGTGAAGAAGGGGAGGGCCCAGGTTTTCGGGGGCCAGGAGGATCAGATGGGGGTCAAGTTCTTTTGAGTGCCCTTGATACAGTGGTTTGCGGTGCGGCGGTTCAGCAGTTCAGCGGTTCAGCGGTTCAGCAGTTCAGCAGTTCGGGAGTCGGAATCGGTGCTGCGAGTCAACGCGAGAGAAAGACAGGAAGGCTCGCTTGAGTTGCGCGCAGGGTCAGGTGGGCGTAGAGTTCTATTGAAGAGGGTCAAGGGTTCACCAGTTCAGTGGTTCAGCGGTTCAGCGGTTCAGTTCTCCAGCATTTTGCAGTTCCGAACCGGCATCGCTGCAGCGAGCCAAAGAAAGAGAGAGAGAAAAGTCTCCGTTGGGGCGCACGGAGGATCAGACTCGTGTTAGCCGGGCTGCTTCCTCGACTGGGCTCGAGTCGAGGCAATAGTTCAACGGTTCAGCTCTTCATCACCGGGCATCATGCTACAGGGGAGAACGGTAGGTCTACGAAGAGAGGGTATCACACAGAACGGTCGATGTCATGTCAAGCCAAGTCAAGTCAATCTATTGAGGGTCGCTATTCATCACCACCTTAATCAAACGCTCATACTATCGTGGCAAGTCGATAAAGTCATAGAACATCAATCATCCTGGCCAAATTACAGAGAGCAAACCCCTCATAGCTCGTACGGCTTCGTCGGACGCAACTGCTGGGACATGGCCGTCTCGAGGATCCAATCCGTCTTCACAATTTTGGCCACTTTGCGGCTACCCTCGACCATCTCTCGGAAGCGTGCCAGAAGGCCTGGAGCGCTCTTATTCTCGTCGCTCAGCAGGTACACATCGTTATTGGCATCTGTGTCAGTCGTGGCCTCGCTGTCTGCTCGTCCCGATGGCACCGTCGTGCCTTTGCGGTTCCTCCACAAGATACATCGCCCACCGTTGGCTTCTACGATGGCCTTGAAAGTTTCGAAGCCACCCGTAATCTGCTCCATGCAGTAGATACACCGACCCTGCAGCAGCTGGTTGGCGTTCTTCTCAGCCCGCTTGCGAGAGTCACTTAGCGAGATATGGAACTTCTTCTCATTCTGCGTGTCCTTGAGCACGTAGTCCTCTGGATCGACCAACCTTCCCTCCTGCAGGCAAGCGTCGATGAACTCGGTCGATATGACCAGGGGAGCGTAAGCAAGTGCAGTGACGAACTTCATTGTCCGGACGATATGCGGGGCCGCAAGGTGTGTGGCCCTGCTGGGGTCTGTTGTAATCAAGATTCCGAGGCTGCGGAGTTGTTTCTATTGTACGTTAGTGGAAACAGTTGGACAGCAGGATAGAAATACTCGCCCTGTCACGATCTTCGTCTTTCGGCTTGTTCACCCACTTCTCGTACTTGGAAATGACGAGCCGCATCTGAGGAGCATCGATGCTGCGCTTGACTTTCTTCGCATCACTATCGTTGGAGGTTTCAGCATCATCAATCTCATCCATTGATCGTTTTCGACCGAGCTCAACTCGTTCCGGGTCGGATTTTCGCCTTCCACCATAGATGACACCGCCTTTTCGCTTTGTCTCTTTCTCGTAGAGCGCAATATCTTCGGCGGCCATGTGCAGTCGGGACGCTGCAACTTCCTTTGACTTACGACTGTTGGTCGTGGATGGTGTGACGTTCTCCTTGCCAGGCGCAACAACTCTGGAGGCGGCTGGGGTCCGGGGAGTCTTGGATATCTGTTCGCTCTTGACTCTTCTTGCAGACGGCGGCGCGAATGTGTTCTGATTAGCTTGGCCCATTGGGTTGGTGGCTGGAGCATCGGTCATGTCAGTGTCTTCGTCAGGAAAAAACTTCTGTTCGAGGACGCCACGGTCCAATTGTGTATGGCCACAAACATCGCCCAGGTTTGTGCGCTGAGGAAAGTGTGTGTATCTCTTGTCGGTTATGCTCTGCATCTTCCAGCGAGCATAGCTCTCTTCCAGCCAGAGATGATTGATGATGTGAACACCCCATTCCCTTGCAGCGGCACATTTTTCGCTCGTGTCGTGGGCGGTAATGAGATGGGTATTGTCCTGCTTGAGTGTTTTCGTACACTTGGCCCCTGTAGCAGTGATGAGATTCTCCAGATATGACCTGGCGTCGCCGCTGTAGTTTGATAGGCTTATCAGCAAGCCTGGAAACCCAGGAAGACCCTCTTTTGCGACAGGGTAGTGCAACATGCGCCGCATGGGAGACGTCCACTGGTCGGTCTGGATCAGGAAGTAGAGCCAGGCCAGGTTCCCCACGTCTTTCCCTGCCCTTGAGGCAGTCTTGTAATCTTGACCTTCACGATACTTGCAGATATACATGTCAGTCTTTGAGACAGAGTCCGTCACTCTGCCACCACCGGCAGTGATAAGCTCGTTTAAGATGCCACGCAGATATGGTGAAATGCCCAAATCAGTTGCGAGCATGACCAGCTTCTTTTTGAAGACCTTTTCCAGCTTGCGCGGTGCAGTAGGCTCCTGCCCAGACTGTGTCGGATCGGGATGCAGGGCGCCTTCCACGGGAGTCTTGCGCTTGCCCATAGGTGGCTTGTTGATGGACTTTAAGATCTCTGGGTCGGGGAGTTGATAAGGGTGCTCGTCAATCTTCCTACCCAGTTTCAAACAATCATCTACCCAGTGAGGAAGTACAACCTTGGCATTGAGTTTCCTCTTCTCCGCCACGGCGGCGGTCTCTGACTCCATCGACAGTGATATGATGTGGGTGACTTGGCTCGTCAGCTTGGGTGACCAGAGACCTCCCATCGCCAGCACCCCGCCAGCTATCGCATCTGCGTCGCCCGGCGGCAGATCGGCAATACATACACAGACCTCGGACATGAAGTATCGAGGGTCAGGACTGTACTGCCGAGGGTTCAGGAGTTTCTTCTTCGCAAGGCAATGTTGAACCCAAGTAGGCCTGACAACGGGGATGAGAGCGTCGGCGCAGGCATTGTAGTCAGGAAAGTCGTATGTGTCAGAGACAACATGCGTGATCTCTTTAACGTCAAGGTTCTCTTCGGGGTATCGGGCAATCAATGCCTCGCCGTCGTGTAGCCTCAGCACCTCAGCCATCTGTTCCCGTTAGTCCTGATCTCGCTGAACCCATTGTCATACATACCGACGTGGCTGCGCTCTCGGAAAAGGTGTCCGTACACACGAGAGCGAAGCTGCATTGTACAAAGAGGCCAGGCTTGTTCACCTCGTTGACAGCCTCGTCGTTCTCCATGTCTGCGGTGGGGGATGTGGTGGTGGTGGCGATCAGGTTGCGAAAAATAGCAGCACAGGTTTCAAGGAAGGAGCCGGTCATGGAATACAAATAGGAGCTGCATCACTGTGGTATACCACCGTACTGGGTCTCGAGGCTGCGCTTGCGTGGAGCGTGAATCATGAATCGTGAATCGTGAATCGTGGCTGATGAAAGAGGAACGCGCTTGTGGAGGCAACGCGTCACGTTTCCACCGGCGTGCGATTGGCGCCAAAGCACGTGCCGAGTTGAGAATGAGCCAGATTCAACATGCCCAGCAAAATTTGGCATTATTATTCCAATCTCCTTCGGCTTAAGCGACAACCTGTCCGCTGAGTGGTTTGCAACTGCTCTATCTTCCGCGCTTCCTCAGCGATGCTGTGGTGTAGGTGAGAAGACCATTGAACTCTAGGTGCGCCGTCGTCTCGGCCCAGCGATCGTCACACTCGCATCTCCTTCTCTCAGTTCTTTGTCACTGCATAGATCCCTTATTCTCACGTCCGAGACAGCCTTGATCTCCGGTCGTTGATGCACAGGCCACGCAGGCACCCAGCAGTGGAGGCACGCCACTTCAAGCGTGGCCCGGATCCGATGCGCGGCTGAGACCTCGGCACTTCCCCCACCACCTGCATCTGCAGCTTCTCTCGCTCGCTAACTGCCCTGTGAACTTGAGTGCTGCGTCCTCGAAGCGCGAGCCTTGCATCCTCGGCACATTTGTCGTCAGTGCTGAGGTTGTACAGGGCATTCTGTCTGCGGCAACCGCACCTCAAGAGGCAGCCTTGACTCATTCCCTTCCTGTCCCTTCACCTCTAGACCTTCTAGAGATCCTCCCGGTGATATCCCACTCCCATTTGCTGCGCACAATGTCGTCGTTCGACATTATCGAACACTCGGTGCCCTGCCAACACATCCGCGAATACCCTCGAGGCACAGCCGACGCCCAAGAATCCGTCCTCTACCTTGCAGTCAAGCAATACATCCCCAAGGACAACCCCAACCCTCAACCTGGCGACGTCACCATTATCGGCGGTCATGCCAATGGGTTCCCCAAAGAGCTGTATGAGCCGCTCTGGGACGACATCCACGCGCGGTCGAAAAAGCATGGCTTCCGCATACGGAGTATATGGATTGCCGATGTTGCGCACCAAGGTCGGAGCAGCGTGTTGAATGAACAGCTGCTAGGGAACGACCCGGGGTGGTTTGACCACTCCAGGGATCTGCTCTTGATGATCAATCTGAAGAGACATCTCATGCCCCGGCCTATCGTCGGCATTGGCCACTCCATGGGAGGTAGTAACTTGTAAGTTGCGCGTGGCACTCCTCTTGTCTCTACCAAGCTACCCCTAACTGCACTTTCCTGACCTACAGTGTACTGACATGCATACCCACAGAGTAAACCTTGCGTACATGCATCCGCGACTGCTGTCGACTCTCGTGCTCATCGACCCCGTCATCCAGGTCTACTCTTCCGTACCCCCCGAAGTGGGGCCCTCTCCCGCTCGTCTATCCACCTTCCGCCGGCAAGTATGGCCGTCTCGCACTGCTGCAGCCTCCTCCTTCGCGGCCTCGAAGTTCTACCAAGCATGGGATCCCCGCGTCTTAGAACGGTGGGTGAAATATGGCCTCCGCGACATGCCTACGCTTCTGCACCCGAACGCGGACACGGACTCGTCCAAAGACAAAGACAATCAGTCCGGCCCAAAAGTCACGCTCACGACTCCTGCACCACAAGAAGTCTTTACCTTCTTGCGGCCCAACTACGAAGGCTACGGCCAGGACGGCCGGCCCGTAAACCGTAAGACCCATGCGGACTTAAATCCCGCCCTGCCCTCGATTTACCCGTTCTACCGCGCCGAGGGCCCACAGACGTTTTTCCGGCTCCCCGAACTACGGCCCTCGGTGCTATACATCTTCGGCGGCAAGTCCGACGTCGGCACCGCCGAGGCGTGCAAAGCCAAGATGGACATCACTGGGGTGGGTGTCGGCGGATCAGGGGGCGCGGCGGAAGGACGCGTCCGCAGCGTCACCTTCGAGGACATTGGCCATTTGATCGCCATGGAGGCTGTCGACCGCACGGCCGACCACTCTGCCGAATGGATCGGAAAGGAAATGGAGATGTGGCGCAAGGACGAGGACGAGCATCTGCGGACATGGACCCACGCCAAGTCGCTGGTCGAGAAGCAGAGCGTGGATGACCAGTGGAAGAAGATGATCGGTGGGCCATATGAGCGGCCTAAGAAGTCCAGTCCCTCAAAGTTATAGCGTGAGTGAGAGCGGCGGGCTGGAAGTTGAATTGCATCACCATATATGTCTATACATACAGACATACATACATAAACGAGCAAAGGAGTGAGTGAGCGAGTGAGTGAATCGTCGGTCAGGCCGACTAATCACTCACGCGGGATGGCGATATCTTCTTCGGGCCTCCCTGTCCCATATGGATACAAGGATCGAAGATAGACGATAAAAGAGTGAGTAGATCAATGGCCCGATTCGAACCGAGTCGTACTCCGTACTCGACACTCCTCCATATGGTTGTTATAGACTATAGAATGAACACAAACAAACTCGCTTCGTGGTTCGCTGTCGTGCAAAGAAAAGAAACCATCCAACGACAACTCTGGCACCAATACTGTAATCCTTGGCAGCCAGCAACATGAAAATAAATGTTCTTTCATACACGGTCATTAGATGCTCATTCTTCGAGTCCGTCTCTTGCTTTCGCGCAAGTCACTCCATGGTGGTGGTGCTCGAGGACCATCGTCCGAGTCGGGCTCCGACTCCGTGGTGTTTGCCAGGAGTGCTGCTGTTTGCTCGTCCTGGGCTGGATACATACCGTCGTATCTCCCCTCGGGCATGCGTCCATGTCTATACCCTAACCCTTCACTTTCCTCCAGTATGTCCAAGTGCTTGATCTTGTCGTCTTCGGTGCCCACGATGCCGACGCCGACGCCGATACCACCACCGAATCCAGCATTGGGTTCTCTCACTCCGTAGATGATCTTGTAGTTGCCGAGTTGCTCGGCGATCTCGTCGCCAGTCAGCAGGCAGCCGCGGTCGCCTAGTTTCTTCACGACTGGCCTCAGCAATCTCGCCGTACTCAAGTGACTTGTGTCCTTGATGATGGCTTTGTTCGCGAACATGATCACGATCAGCAACACCAACCCCTGCGCCAATGGGATACCCCCGAGGATGGAGGCCGCAAATCTCCACTGCACATGGATTATTTGCGCTGCAGCTGGTCCCCACGCCGTCACATTGGAGCGTGGACCAACCGCATCCATGGCGCTAATCGCTCCAGCTGTGAATCTCATAACTAGCCACGCCATGTCATCTGCCGTGTAACTACTCGGTGGGCTCCATGGACTGTCAGCCTGGTAGGAAACCATCTGAAGCTGTGACTCCGGTGTCGCGAACGTCAAATCGCTGGCATTTTCCACCGTGCGCACACCTGACCACCCTATCGCTCCGGCCAGTATCCTGGCCTGCTCATCCGGGATTCGATACCAAGCTGGATCAGGATATAGGTCGGGATGCTGGTCGATTCCGTCTACAGTAGAGACATTCGAAAAGCAGCTCCAGAAGCGCGGCGTGGGCACGTCAGTGGTGATATTGTCAGCGACCTGGAGGGCGTATGTTTGAGTACACCGTGGCCCGCAATCGCTCGTGAAATTACTCATCCAGGTTGTTCCACCAGTTGATTGGGCCGGGATCGTCCAGGTGTTCTCTTCGCCGTTGGCATCCATCCACGTAACCACGGGTTTCAGGGAGGTGTCGTTGGTGTTGAACCCAGCGTAGCCTCCGAAGGTGACGGGATGGGTTTGGCATGCAGCTGTGATGTTTACAGTCCGATACGTGATAGCAGACAGGGACCAAGCAAGGGGAGAGCGATCGACAAACCGGTACCAGCAAACGTCCCCATCAGTGTAGACGGACTGGTCGTAGCTGAAGTATTCGTCAAAGGAGGCGGTCCAGACGGAGAAATCTTGTCCTGTGACACCAAAGTCATTCGCCGCTGAGAGCTCGGCAAGGTACGCGTCAAGACTGCTATAGTCGCCAGCGTACAAGGCAGCCGTCTCGGCATTGCCAACATAAGAGACATCGGCGACGCTCACGTTCCCATAGGTCAGAAAGACGTAGTCCGAACTGACATCGGTGGAATACGTGAGACCTAGCAGAGCGGTGACGACCTGGAGTGCAATATTGATCAGGAGCCAGACAAGGGCAAGGATCTGAGTTGTGTTGGGCAACCACCTCCCACGAGTCCGCCCGCCCCAGAGCAAGCGGAAGACTTTTGACTGACTGTCGCAGTTCATGATGAGCTCGAAGTCCTGAATGGTGCGGTATCCCGAAGCAAGGAATCTCCACCGCATCATTTGCGCATAGCCCCTGAAGGAGGAGGCAAGGTTCAAACCCAAACACAAGGACAAGCCGGTAACCAATGCGTTGAAGACATATTTGCGTGTCGTGCTCAAGCCAGAAACCACGGTTGAAAAGCCGTACAAGCAACCGGCCAAGGCAGCACATATGAATGCCGTGACAAACCACTGAAATGTGCTGTTGATGAACAGTCTCCGTCTCTGGCGCCGATGGTCGAAGTACCGGACACTGTCGGAGGGTGGCAGGCTTGCGCCATTTTTCTCAGATAGTTCGTGCTCCCAAGGTGCCGCGACAGAAGGCACCGTAAACTGTGAGACGGCGAAGTCTCGGATCGAGGCTGCTACCTTGTACAGCGAGCTACTTGTTCGACGGCGGTTTGCTGATGAAGTAAGTCTACGCCAGCATAGATCCATCTCACGTAGACTTACTGGGAGACCTTAAGTCGGCGTTTGCGTCAAACCGCGTATAGGGGAGGCCACCGGATGTGCCTGAGATCAGACGGTTCTGGACCGTTACCCGCTGTTTCTCGGATGTACTGTCCAGACTCTCGTCGCTAACATGAGAAGTTGGCACTGGGTTGTATGACGAGTTCGGAATAGGATTCGAAAAGTGCATAGGTTCTTCAGCAATGGGGCTCGCGCTCGGCTGTGAGCTCCCGAAAGGATTCAGCCGAGCATAGCGGGAGCTCTGCATCATGGGAAGCTCTGAGCAGCACTCACAATTGTCAAGAAAGAGTATTTGTCTGGTTGTGTAACCGTAGGATGCGAGTGTCATCAGGAAGCATGATCTGCTGGCAAGATTGGAGCCATCGTGCGAAGTAATAGAGGGCATTAAAGACGGACGATTTCAGCGACGCCTTAACTTGCCCGTCGTCGAACGATGCAGAGGCCGAGACGAGACCTGCCAGGGTGCTCATTCTGCCGTAACCATAAATAACCAAGCTGCAGCTCTGGTTACTGTGTTGTGAGGTCGGAGACGAGACGAGACGCGGAGCTCGTCGCTTGGGCCAGTTCCAGACCACAGGAAATAGGAGTCTGGCTCCGCATTGGGACCGGAATGGGTTGACAGAGCACAAGTGGCTTGCGGCTGAAAGCTGAGCAACGGTCGGAAGGTGGGAAGGTACGAAGGTGGGAGGGGCAATGCAGCGTGCAGCGGTAGAACAACGATGAAAAGGTGACACGACGAGTCTCAGCTGGAGTGTGCATGACTGCGATAGGTGAGTGTGAGGCCGACATTGATAGGCAGAACGCAGCATGGGGCATCGTGGAGGGAGCGGCGGCCGCGTCCATGGTCAAAACGTAACACGCAGGCCAAGTCACCAATCTGGAAGGTCAGTAAAGATACAGATTGGGATGGTGAGGCGCGAAGGAAGTGATGAGTACGGAGGCGTGCACACAAAGGCGTTGCCACGCTAGTGGTGGAATGACGGTGCTTTGAAAGACAAGCCTATTTACTATTGGTTGTCCGAGGCAACCACCCCTGAGTTTATTTAAGCGGGTTAGCGAGCACCCACCGTGACACCTAGAGGCGCCCCTGGTGTGCGATGGTTCTAGGCGTGCTTTAGGCACTGAGCCCCTAGAGAGTGGTGTCATCACATGAAATTGCTCTGTCATTCCGCCGGGGGCTGTCATTTTAATTAGCGCGGCAACGCCTTTGTGTGCACGCCTCCGTAACGGCTGCAGGTGCGCTTAACACAGCCTCACATGTCCACCAATCCCATTTCGGAAGAATATTTATCCGGCAACCGCCACAAGTCCAAGCCACCCCGCCATGCCCGCCTCGCGCATATTCTTACCCGTAGATTTTACTCGGCTGCATCACTCGTAAGTACGTACAAGAAGTAACCGGCCACAGTACATAGCAGTGTTGTTCGTGAATCATTTGTGGCTCAATATCCGGGTCATTATGAATATCACCATGGTCAATGCCGCCACTGTTGACTGGTTGAATCACGCCATGTCCCCGTCAGTTCCATCTATTTCCAGCTGATGTTGGGTCCATGTCCGTGGCCGCATCACACCGATCCAGGTAAAGATTGCTCACCTTTGAGATTAAGTTGAGCCTCGACAGCCCCGTTGTGTACTTGGCAATCCCGGTCAAGGCTGAAAAGTCGATAGCATCCAGTGGTGGCAGTGACATCGAGAAGTCCTGTAGAGTCTAGCCTCCCCTAACGACATCAAAACAAACAGCACCCCTGCGCGGTCACCCGGGTGGCCGTAGATCTGTGTAAGATAGCTATACCTAGGCTGTCCAGGGTGAGGGAAAGTGTCCTATCGTAGCTGTGCCACTCTTCCGCAGCGTTAAATGGAGCCACATTGCCGATATATACGATGCCTTCTTGTAGATGTACCTAGTCAGCCACCATGACGTCGAGTAGCGGATCAATATGTTGCCATGGCATGGACGAAGTCAGTAGGAAGCTGGACGAGTTTCTCCTCGGTAATCCAGTCTTTGTCGTCCGTCTACCGCAGCCGGAGGAGCTGCTGTGCTGGACAGCACTTCCGTTTTCTGACATGTGGTTCCGTCCTGGAAGCCTTCCGGGACAGGTATCGTCAAGGTCGGAAGGTTGTATCTGGCGGCAGTGTATACAGCGGAATGGTGATGTGACCACGGCTCATTGACGAGTATTGGTCCATAACGCTTGACCAACAGATGGAGACCCGGTCGCAACGGATCCCAAACTCATGCAGCGAATGCATAGCTGCCCAAGGTAGCATAGACAGACCAAGGGCTGGTACCGTCCCGCCTCTCTAGCATTTCAGCCACGATTGCAGCATTCTTGATGCCTAGATTGGTAGCCATCGATCTGAACCGCTGAACGACCCACTCTCGGACCCCAGTCTCAGGACTTGCAGAGAATGCAGCAACGTAATATGGCAATAGCAGTGTATAGCAATGCATTCTCCGGCTTGGGGACGAATTGCTGGGTCTGTTGCGAGCTTCAGGGAGGTCAACAAATTGGGGTCCGGCCGCACAAATCTCTTTTGCCATAGAGTCGATTAAATGAGAAGCGAAACCGACGTTGAGGGCTTGAGGCTCGAGGTATCCTGAAGCTGCGACAGTGCTCAGGTAAGTCTGTCGTATCAGATCGTTCAACAATATTCGCATCATTCGGATGACGTTGCATGCTTGTGCCGTAAAATAATCCGGATAGACATCGTAGTATTGCTCCAGCACTGTGGATGACGGTTTTTGAAGAGCAACCCTTTGCGAGATCCAACACGGCGGGAGGTCTCGGGCAAGTGAACTGAACTCTCCGTCTAGCTTTTTTGCCCTTTTCAAAACTTCAGCATGCGACAAGAGCCCACCTTGAAGGGTCCCGCGAAAATTTGCGTACTTCATCACGAGACTAGAAACCCGCCATTTGGGATCATCCCCGCGCACGTGTGGCTGTAGTTCGATGTGAAGCTTGGTCAACGCTGGTGGGATCGGAGCGTTCGCGGCGACACAGCTGATGAGCATGTTGGTGAACAGTCGAACGGATAAGCGAAGGCCAATGTATGTGTTGAGCTGTGCAGGGTCCCGAAGCCTTGCGAGCACCAAAGCACCCCTGACATGACTCATCCATGACTCAGATGAGATGGGACTGCGGTTGGTGATCTTCTCGAAAAGGTCAAGAAGGAGCACTGCCAACAAGGTCGAATTGCTGGCCAGCAATTCTGGAGCCCCGAGGGCGGCTTTGACGAGCGGGAGAGCAGACAAATACTTCTCTCGAGCTGGCTTCAGAGCTGATACGGCGTCGTATTGGAACGAGAAGAACGCTAGGCTGACGGCATCCACACTCGCCGCTAGGTGCTTGTCCAGGCCAGACTGCCCACCGATGAGTTCCAGCACATCGTACGTTGTGGAGAATCCGTGGACATAATGGGAGAAGAATGCTGCCCGCGCCGTTTCCTCCAGTGGCACCTGTATAGCAGACGTGATTGGTCGCGATTTAAACCCCAAGGCCCTTTGCTTGGTCGATTCGCTCTCATCCTGGATTCTCAATTGGCCTGGATCCCGGTAGCCAGTACAAGCAAGACCAGCTCTCAAGCATTGACCACATGCCTGCTTTCGAAGATCACACTGACATGTGGTTAGCTAAACCACATCAAGTGCGTCAAGGATGTGGAGTTATACCCGAAGTTTCCTCCGCCTGCAATGAGCGCAGGCTTTCGATGGCTTGCCATTGTAGACCATGTGCGCCGGCTTCTGGCCCTGCAGAGGGGCATAGGAGTCCAAGCAATGACAGTAAGGATAGAGGGAGGTCTCAACCTGGAGACGACACTTTCGCCAAAGCACGCCAGAGAATGAGACATGATGAGCCAAGTCTAGGAACGCGAAGGATGTGTGAAGAAGGTTTTGGTGCGCAGGAAGCGTACAACGGGACAGACACGAGATGCTTCCTGTGTCTGGCTCGGTGGCTTCCTCGTCTGGCTGGGCTGGACCGGTCTCCGGCGAGAAGATACCTATCTCCGCATGCGACTATGCCGCATCGAGTAAGTCTTCCGTCGACGTCATAGAAATCCGAGTCACGACGCGGTGGTGGAGGCACTAGCGGTACCTAACGGCATGTCTCGTAGAGCTTGTGTCCTGCTTCGCCGATGCTTGTCTGGTGTTTCTGCTTGACTTTTCCATGGCCACCGCTGGCTACAATGCAGTCCACCTCGTGAACCCAACGTGTCAGCCCCGGGTGGCGCGGATTTGGTTATAGCTGGTTTGGCCTGTCAGCTCGCGATCTCCAGATTGCAGCACACGTTGCCGAGAAGTATCCTTTAACTTTGAGCTCCAGTTTGTCAGACCCGCATCTGGGTTCTTTGAGCTTTCCCCGTAGGTTCGCACAATGAACAACATCATGGCCCAGCTGGCCTATAAATACACTGCTACAGACGGCCTCATATCAGGATCACCTCAAACCTGTCTCTCAATACTTCAGGGAATCTGCTCAGCCTCGCGCCTTCCCTTCAGTCCTACCGTGACAAGGGTCGAATTCTCACTAGCATGACGTTCGCCTATAAGAGAGTGCTCCTGGTTGGAGCCACCGCCGGGATCGGCGCGGCAATTGGAGATCGTTTGGTCCGTGAAGGGGCCAAGGTCATCGCAGTCGGACGACGACAGGAACGTCTCGACACATTTGTTGAGAGGCACGGCAAGGACAAAGCCAGCGCTCTTCGATTCGACATCAGCGAAAGGGGCAATATCGACCAGTTCGTGCAGAACGTCACAAACACCTATCCGGACCTTGATTGTGTGTTCCTGAATGCAGGAGTCCAGCGCCCGTTCGACCTAGCAAAGCCAGAGATGGTCGATCTTGCCGCGTTTCACTCCGAGATCGAAGTCAACTTCTCGTCCTTTGTCGATCTGACCATGAAATTTCTCCCATTCCTACAGAACAAGGACACCGAGACGAGTCTGATTTTGTGAGCCTTCCCCTTCTCACGAGAAGTCAGCATTTGCTGACGGAACCAGCACTGGATCGAACCTGGCAATTGTGCCTGCAGCTATGTTACCTGCGTATTCGGCTTCAAAAGCAGCCCTGAATGTTTTTGTTCTCTGTCTGCGCGAGCAATTGAAAAGCTCATTGGTCAAAGTCATCGAGTTGTCGCCGCCTCCTGTTCAGAGTGAGTGCTTTGCGCATGTGGTTCCAAGGGAAGTGGCTGACAACCAGAAGCCGAGTTGCATGATTATATGGGTGCAGATAAGGGGCGAAAGCTTGGTATGCCGGTTGACAGGTTTTGTGACGCTGCCTTCGACGGTCTGCTCTCTGGCAGCGATCAGATCGTCATTGGGTCCGTTGGTCCAGCACAGTTTTTCAATGACATTGTCGACAAGCGGCGGCAGACATTTGAGAATCTTGCAAAGATGATGAAGGAACGACACTGACGTGATGAACATGACTATAGCCCGGTAAGCATGATTATTCTTGTCTCTGGCTGGCTAAATGGTATTCAACTGCTAGACCGCCGTGATAGCATGGCGAGCATGCCGAAGGAAATAGGATCATCTAATAGCTTGGCCAAACTGGGTTGCTGATAATTTCATCATCACTCATCTCCTTAGCATCTTTGTGAAATGAGATGAATTGGTCAAGAAGATGCCCTTCAACGCACGGGCATCATTCAGGCACCATTTGCATAAGTACTGCGCCCGCCGCAACGTCAACCGGCCTTGGGATATGCCGCAAGTACGAAAGTTGTAGAACACAGAGATGTCGTAGCCTATTGGGCTCGTGCGTAAAGGCTAAGAGCACCTTGACTACGGAGTACTAAGGCGGCCTTGGCAAGTTTGACATGTTTTCGACCATTGTTTAGCCTTGTCCACCAATTCCAGCCTCGTTGCGGACTCGAGGCTGCGTTAATTAAACCACATCTGCATGCGGCCTCCAGTAAGAACAGTATCCCCTCTCCAGAGGTTCGTTAGGCGTCTCTCACAGCTGGTTCCACAATTCTCTAGAGTGCCTTCGGACAGCAACATGGATCCCTCACTTCGATCTCACTATCTGGCAGACAACCCTCCAACGGTCGTTCGACTGGAGATTGCCCCTCACTTCGCCGCCCTTTCACCCAAGGAGAAGCGTTACGCCCACCATCTGAGCCGGGCATCTTTCCATGGCACGCGGGTAACACTGACCCAAGTATCGCCTGAATCTCCCGTCATTTATGATCTCATACTAGCGTTCCATCGTGCCTGTGGTGGTGACTACAGCAAGCTCTCTGCCAATACTTCCGTCGCTTCCTCAGATATCACCTTGTGGCTCGAGTATGCTGCACAATTCCTAGGCAATGCGGGCAATTACAAAGGCTTCGGTGACTCAAAATTCATACCTAGAATATCGCCGGAAGAGCTGAAAAAGCTCAGTGGTGTGAATGAAGAAACGCAGAAGCTATATGAGCAGGCGACCAAGACAGCGGGAGGGATATACGAGACCAAAGATGTCGCTCTCATGCACCTGGGTTACCCTGAAGCAGGCCATATGACAAACTACTATCCAGACTCACCAACAATCACGAAAGAGGAGATTTCCATTGTTGGAGACGTGCTGGAAGAGAAGAAATTGTTGATCGAGAACACCAGGTTGCGAAAGCTCGACTCGGGTGATTTTGAACTGCTCATAGCTTCTGGGATATCCAATCCACCGGCTTCAGAGCGGGACCTGCGCGACGTCACCTCAATCGACCTAACAGGCACGCTCGCTGGAAAGAAGTTGCACCTAGTCTACGGTGATTACCAAGAGGAGATGGCCAAGATTGCCCTTGAGTTCAAGAAGGCAAAGAAAGAAGCCGCCAATGAAATCGAAGAGAAGATGATGGACGAGTACGCGAAGACCTTCAGTACAGGCAGCATCCAGGCCTTTGTAGAATCTCAGCGGTACTGGATCAAGGACAAGAAGCCCATGGTCGAAACAGACATAGGCTTTGTGGAGACTTACCGGGACCCTCACGGGGTCCGGGGCGAATGGGAAGGGTTTGTCGCTATGGTCAACCAAGAGCGGACTCGCGCATTCGGCAAGCTTGTCGACGCCGCTCCCAGCATGATCCCGAAACTGCCGTGGTCCAAAGACTTCGAGAAGGACAAATTTCTGAGCCCGGATTTTACTTCGTTGGAAGTCTTGAGCTTCGCTGGCAGCGGTATCCCGGCGGGCATCAACATTCCGAACTACGATTTCATCAGGCAGAACGAAGGCTTCAAGAATGTGAGCTTAGGAAACGTCCTCAGCGCCAAAGCTCCTAATGAGCCTATTCCCTTCATTCGCCAGCAGGACGACGAGCTGTATCGCAAGTACCGGGATCCTGCTTTCGAGGTTCAAGTGGGCATTCACGAACTCCTCGGTCATGGCTGTGGCAAGCTGCTCCAGGAAACTGCTCCAGGGAAGTATAATTTCAACATCAAGAATCCTCCCGTCAGCCCTATTACGAAAAAACCGATCAAGTCGTATTACAAGCCTGGCCAAACCTGGTCAAGCGTCTTCGGACCCATTGCCTCTTCGTACGAGGAGTGTCGCGCCGAATGTGTTGCAATGGCTCTTGCTTGTGACTTTGAAATTCTGCAAATCTTTGGCTTCGGCAACGGCAAAGAAGACATCGACAATGAGGCTGGCGACGTCCTATATGTGTCATATCTGCAAATGGCGCGAGCTGGTGTAGCGGCTCTCGAATACTGGGATCCTAAGTCTAGAAAATGGGGCCAAGCTCATATGCAGGCCCGCTTCTCCATTCTCCGCACATTTTTGGACGCTGGCGGCAGCTTCTGCGAGATCAGGGCTCTCAATGGTGACGCGAATAACCCGGAGGACTTGGAAATCCACCTGGACCGCAGCAAGATCATCTCACATGGACGACCGGCAGTCGAGGCATATCTGCAAAAGTTACACATCTACAAGGCAACTGCCGATTTCGAGGCAGGTAAGAAGATGTACGATGACATTACCAGCGTGGACCAATGGTGGGCACAGAAAGCAAGACCCGTGGTTTTGAAGAAAAAGACCCCAAGGAAGGTATTTGTGCAGGCCAATACGGTGTTGGACGAAAAGTCCGGTGATGTCAAGTTGGTGGAGTATGAGCCTACGCTTGAGGGCATTGTGCAAAGCTATTTTGAGCGGGGCGTGTGAGGTCCGGCATTTCCATTATTTACCTGCCATGTTACTGTGACAGTGGCGGAAACTATGCGGTCAACAACGGTACCTGCCGCAGTACCCAGCTCCTCTACCACTCTCGAGTCCTTCGACGAAGCCACAGTCCTCTATGCCTGGAATTCAGCCTCTAGAGAAGAGCTTTCCGGCTATTGCCCCGCGAGGTCAATACCGAAGGCTCAAATACATCTGCAAAATAACCCGTTCTTTGCCTGTCCATACCCCAGTCGATCTTCTGCAGCCCGTGGCCCTGGCAACACTCTTATCCTAGCTTGCTCTGAGCGAATGCTACGGTGTTCTGCCGTATTCTGACCCGTATCCTTGATGAGTGGCTGCGTTGTTGCCATTGCAGCAGTATGGATCAGAGGCATCCCAGTATTGCGAGGCTGATATGTTGGGCAGGAGAGGCCGGTTGGGCGAGCATCAAACTGTGCGCAGATGATAATCGGTCTCAGTCCCAGACGTCGAACATGGGACGAACTCACCCCTCCTGCAGTGCAACCGCCATATGGAATGTTTCGGTAGGCGAGCTTTGATGAAGTGGCTTCTTTCACCATACTCCGGAGGTCTGTTGATCCCTTTCATCTTCGTCTCACACAGCTATTAGGGCTGCTGCAACTGGAGAGGTTCGGGCAGCTCGCAAAGAGCCCAAGTCCACACGAGGAGCTGAAAGCAACAGGCCTCGAGCAACCTACTTCGAAAATTTGCCATGCTCTAAAGCCTCAGCAGTTCTTTTTAGGACCGAATGGACTGACGAACTCGACTGAGCCACTACGAGCACAAAGAGCAACTGGCAGTGTGCGACTCTAATACCAGAAAGGGTCAATCTGTTGCCGAATTCTCGTGGCGCTGCTCGCGGCTGTCAGGTACACTAAAGGCTTATTGGTCCTAATAGTCCATCAACATGCAGCTACCTTTCAACCAGTTCCAATACCAACATTGGCAGCCGATTGGGCAACCCAGGCTATGGTTTCTGGTCTTCCCCTGCCATGAAACGGTTTGGTTTTAACTGCGCCCGTGGCAATGCTCATGCATCCCTTGTTCCCCGGATCGATGCAGGACTAGCTGATGCCAAAGGTACATTGTGGTGTACGTCAACCAGTGTACAACCCAATTATCCGGCTCCTGCAATTATCACATACATCGCTTGCATCTTGAAAATATCTATGGTCTGCGACACGAACGCTAGAAGAAGCAAACAGATACCTTCATTCTAGGGCACTGCCTTGTGATGATCGCGCTATGACAACAGATCGTGGCGTTCCGCACATCTGTGGACATTTAGCCTCATAACATTGTTGACGATGCGCTGATGGCAGGCTGGCCCGAACCAGGTCCATGCAGCGGAGTGGAGAACATTCTTCACATACGCCTCGTCAAGATGTTCGCCAATGTCGTATGAAGCCGGGCCAGTGGGTGGTGTCGTCAAGACTGTCTTCTGCAGACGAGAACCTCCCCGTTACAGCAGGATATGTCTGCTGGGCTCTGGAGAGATGAACCACCGTGCAGGGTTCATAACCGATCATATCAGGAGCTCCACAACACGTTCGTCAGAACCTCACCGGAGTGTGGCGAGGTCAATAACATCGGTAGTCTAAGTTGGCGGATCTCACCTCGCACCGTTCGAGTTATGTGAAGAAAATTGCCGGGGTGAAGCTGCGCCAAAATTGTTGACGAGCATGGTCAGGGGTCTGGAACACTTCGACAAAAGTGGACTTCAGTCACGAAACTACAATATGCCAAGAAGCAATCCCAGCGACACGGCTAAATGGTCGAGCCCCTGAATGGCAACTTGACCAGTCTGAATGGAAACAAGTGTTCAAAACGTAGTGCGCTGGCTGCACGGGCGTGGCAGGAATCGTGGCGGCCTGGGGGATACTTTGCCATCGCAAGAAACGCCAAATCGTCCTTCCGGAATCTTGATTTTCATTTCGTACGGACCCTTCCGGACGACATATTGCAGCAGACTAGCCCTCATGGACAGGGCACGCCTTGCTATCGCGGTCCCTCTCATGTCCTATCCTGATGTTCCCCTTGATCAGCTTGCCATGCTTCATTTTACCGGACGACCACGGTCAGAATGAGGGGCGTATGCAAATTCTACCGGTACAGAAGACGGAGGGTGACAGACCAGCGAGAGTGCATAAAGAACCCCTCGATCCGGGAAATGAGTGCTCACGTCAAATCAATCATTGTCGACGACTTCCAACATGGTCTCCTTCTCTTCACTCTTCCTCGCGCTGACTGCTGCCGCTGGAGTCTTCAGTGCTCCAGCTGGTGGTGAGCTTGCAGAGAGAAATAACTTCGCTCCACTCCAGTGGCTCAACAAGCGCACGTCTCCTGGCACCGGGACCAACAACGGGTACTTCTACTCGTTCTGGACCGACGGCGGCGGTGGCGTGACCTACACCAACGGCGCCGGCGGCTCATACACCACGCAATGGAGCAACGTCGGCAACTTTGTCGCCGGAAAGGGCTGGAATCCCGGTTCTGCCAGGTAGGCCAGGCCGACCCTCGAACAGCATAGCATGCTGATGAGCACGCCACGCAGAACCATCAACTACTCCGGCTCCTTCAGCCCAAGCGGAAACGCATACCTGGCAGTCTATGGCTGGACCACCGGCCCTTTGATCGAGTACTACATCCTCGAATCCTACGGGACGTACAACCCGGCATCCAGCAGCGGGTTGACCTACAAGGGCCAACTCCAAAGCGACGGCGGCACATATAACATCTACACTTCTCAACGTGTCAATGCGCGTAAGTGGCCGCGAAGACTCGAAAGCGGGGCCATAACTAACTTTGTACCCTAGCATCCATTCAAGGCACCGCGACCTTTTCGCAGTATTGGTCCATCCGCACCAGCAAGCGCGTCGGCGGCACCGTTACCACGGCCAATCATTTCAAGGTGTGGAAGAAGCTCGGGATGAATCTTGGGGCGTTTAATTACCAGATTGTCGCTACGGAGGGTTACCAGAGCAGTGGATCGTCGAGCATCACGGTTTCCTGAGTGCAAAGGAGTGGCTCGTCCAGCAACACGGCCTCATGAGCATCGGACGCAGTGAGAAGGCGGATTACCGAACACCGGAATGGTGTAAGCGGTAGAGGCAAGGGGCAAGGGGTAGGGTACTGTATGTGACGTGGATCAAAGTTCGCTACCTGGGTAGAGACAGAGGCAGGCCTAGAGGCTGAGACTGTGCATGAACGAAAGAATCATGCCGAGTACAGGCGGACCAGTTACTCGGGTGAGATCCAAGACGTACGTTACCTACCTTGGTCCTCCGCGTCGTTGCATACCAGCTAGTCCCTCAGATAGGTTACGTTACCTACCCTACCCAGGTACCTAGTCCTGCGAGTCGTTGTGTCATCCTCATCAGAATACAATTACGTGCCACGAGTGGTGCGAGACTCGGCCACTTGACGCGCCTCTCCATGAAGTGCATACAAGGCTGCTCAGGTACAATCTCTGATATATGTGCTTGCTCGCTGATAGCCTTGTTCCACCAGCAGCAGCAGCAGCAGCAGCAACAGTGACCTAGTTAGCTAGTGAGGAACTGGAGGTCGGTAGGTAACAAGCAGGTAAGGCGTGAAAGCTCCAGACTCGCTGTTGTTCAACCACTCAATCTACAGACAATAATTCCTGTACCGGCACCGCCGTGTTGCAGCCGTGATCGCGACCGCAACCGCAACCGCACACAGCTTGACCCGCCGTGCCCGCCCATTCACAGATGCACCTTGATACAGGACTTAGAGGATCCAGCCTGACAATTCTTAGCCAAGTACTACGCAGTACGGAGTATGTAGCTACAGTGCCTGGGTTACCTGCTGGACCATTCGTCTATACAGCATTTTGATACTCGGATGCTCTAGGCTCATGACTCTAGGCTGAATAAGGAGTACATACTTACAGTACCTCCCGAACCATCCATCTATATTACAGAATATAATATTACCCGTGGGCCCCCTCCCTGGATGAGAGGCTCAAAACTCCACAGTGCAGTCGGAGTTGCAAGTTGAAGGTCGGTCTCGAGTTCAATTTGAAATTACACTACAGTTTTCGATTACAGTAATTATTGATACTAACACAACCAACCTTGGAAGTCAAGCAGACTGTCGGCCTGGCAGAGGCTCATTCAGGGGGAGCACAAGGAACGGGTCCTTCTCCTTCTCCCTTTTCCCTTTGGTTCTCCTCCTTCGGGCCCTGCAAATCCTTCCACACAACTCTCTTCATCCCCCTCCCATCACAAGTGCAAGAGGGATACTCGCCACGAAGGGGCCGTGACTAAAGCGTGGTTTCCCAAGTCTGGTGGTCCGCAAGGATACTCTCTTTCTCTTCACCTTCTCAAATAAGGACTCGGACAGAGAGTCAAGTGCAACAAAGTCAAAGGCAAGTCCATGCTCCGAGTCCAACTCTGAATACGAGTCCGAGTCGCAGTCGGGCTCAAAGTCACCGTTCGAAGCGGACTCCGGATCCCATGCCCTCGAACTGTTTCGACTCCCACCACGCCCCGATCTCGACTCCGACGCCGTCGACTCCGTTGCGAATATAGTCGTCGTCGTAAGGCGGGACTACGCCGCAAATCCACCAGACGTAACACCCGACATAGACGCCGCGGTTGCCTGAGCGTGTGCGTGGTCGTTCGTCCCGTGAGGCTGAGGCCCACTATGTGATTTGGGTCTGATTGTGAGCTTGGGGACTATAGAGCCCGTTAGCGATCGCTGTATGCACTCAATGGACCATTGGCTGCACTTACTGCTCATGCCGTACCCCTCCGTCCTGCCTTCTCGATCTCGGTTGTCGATCTCCACCTTTATAGACACGTTCAAGCCGCCCTTCAACGGAGGCGCCGCGGCCACGACGCTGATGCCATCGGCGGCCGGGTGGTCTGTGCCCGCGCCTTCCTCGCCGACATGCAGAGGCCCACGCCCATCTGGCGCGTCTTTGCCCTGGCGAGGACGTGATTTGCCGCCCTTGCCCGTCGAATTGGCCACCTCGGACACGGCTTGTGCGTTGCCGTGCACTTGGCCGTTCATAGGTTGCGTCGACTCGGTCGTGCCGTCGTCCGGGATCTCTGTGATGCATGCGTAGTTGCGACTAGGCATGGTGCACTGATTCCAGTCGGCGCCCTTCATCATGCCGCCGGGCTGTTTGTTGAACATCTTGAGCAGCGTTTCGTCGGTATTGCCGTCCCGGAGGTGGTGGATCTTGTTTCTTCGCGCCAGCAAGTTTGCGACCGCTTTTGGAGGCGGTTTGTTCGTAATGGCACTGGAGATGATGTTGGCCATGTACCGTGGATCATAAATCGGATCCATGTGAGTCGCTGGGGCGGAGAAAAATCGACCCAGTGCCGCAAGATGCACGTCGCCTCCTAAGATGGTGACGCGGACGGAGTAGTCGGTCGCCAGTTTCTGCAATCGGAGGAGCAGTTCGCGGCGCTCCGTCTTGTGGTGGCGCGCGGTATAGTGGTCGTCCAGATCGTCTAGCAGATCTACGGAGCCATCGAACGAGTTGAAGAAGCCGCCAGCGAGACCGAATCTCTTGTTGAGCAGGCGGATAGGGCCGATCAGTGGTGAGGACAGGATATTCTCCAGCCAGGCCAGGCGAGGGTACGCGATAGGCACGCCGAGGAGAAGAATGAGATGCTTGATTTCGCCTCGCGCAGCCGTGAATTCCTTCTCCAGTCTCGTGAAGATCAAGTTGTATGTGTCGGGGTAGTTGACCTGTTTCCTGGTCCGCTCGGTCCTCGCGTCGATCCCACAGAACGCGATCCGGCGACCAAGACGCATGTACAGGTTTCTTGACTTTTCTTCGACGTAGGGACCAGGGCGTTTCCCGACGATCCAGCTGGGGTCATCTGCGGGGGTCTTGTACACGTAGGTGTTCTTCAACTGGCGGGGGTCGGCGCCTGCGGTACCATTGGCATCGGCACTCATCGTCTTGGGCGCGTCCGTGGTGAAGGTCGATACCGGAGGGGCTGTATGATGTTGGAACAGGCAGTAGTATTTGAAGCTCACGCCACCCAGGCCCCGAAACACGGCGCATCGCATAAAGTGGTCGGTATATGACCCGAATCCATCGATAATGTCGTGATCGTCCCAGATATTGATCTGCGGGATCTGGGAGTTGGCCGACGCAAACGGTTCGGTCGAGTACCACCGGACATAGTTGTCGAAGTAGTACTGGTCGCATCGGTTGCGCATGTCTTCGCCGAATGGATATTCCCTTCTCTTCCTGGGATTGGCAATGGACGTCCACTCCTTCAGCGGGCCCTTGACTCGAATGGAATCGTTGTAGATCTGGTCACCTCCGCCAATCATGACATGGAACGGTCGTTGTTGATGGGTTCGCAGGACGTCGTTCCAGAGCACGGGACCTTTTGACGCCGTCAGTTTCTTCTGGCTGTTCTCTCCGCGGGATGGTGCAAGCGCTCACCTGACCAGAAATCCTCATCTGTGCCGACAGAGAATCCGTTGCAGGAATGGAACATGATGCGCATCGACTCGGTCGTAGAGGGGACAACAAACTGCCGCGAGGGCGACTTGCTGACTTCTGAGAGAAAGTGCATGTCTCGTATTGAGTATTCCCATTTTGCCTCTGCCTCGACCAACGGAACTTGGAGAGTGAACCGCCAAAACGTCTTGTACGGATCCGAGTAGAGTTTCAATCCTTGCACGAGCTGCGACTGCAAAGTCCTAACCCGTGCGCTGGGGTCCCAAGGACCTGCCAACTTCAGTTCGAGAGTGGGAATCTTGCGACTGGGTTTCGTCACGAGTAGGACGGAGCCGTGCCAGGTTACCACCGAGGGGCCTTCCTCGCTCATGCGCTGGTAGTTGAGTAGCGGACCGCAAAGCACTTCGAGTGCGTGACTCGAGTTGGCGACATCGGGGCCGGTCCCATAGCCCTCTTGAGACCCCGTGACCTGGAGGTGACCTTCTCTACCCTCGACATTGCCGTCGAATTGTCCTGAGATTCACGTCAGCTCGGCGGTGCGCGATTGCGCACCGGACAGCCTCACCTTCCATTTGACCAACCCACGCAATGTCGCGTTCACGATACCTGGTGCCGGATGGCTCGAATGCAAATCAATGAAGATTCCGAGACCCAATTGAAGTCAGGTTGGCGATTGTCGCAGACGCGAGAGTGAGGCGCAACTGTGGCCAAGAAGGACGCGCAAGGCGTGCTCCGTACACGTGGAAAGTGTCGAGATAAACAAAAGGAGTGGTGGCGTCTACGGTGCAGGGAACAGCAACGAGGCAATGAACACGGGTCAAAGAGGACTACGAATACAGCCAGCTGAAGATAAAGTTCGGGCCAGAGAGAGAATTACTTGTTTCCCTAAACAATCCCGTCGTGTCGCAAAGATAGTCGACGAGCTGATCCTGTCCTCTCCGCCCGGCGGCCACGGTGGATGATGACGCCAAGGTCATCCCTAAGCAGCAGTGGGTTAAGCGTGGACCTTCGCCCCGGGCAGATTGGAGAACGGGCATCTGCAATCACCCGCAGCCGATCACTGGGGCAGCCGCTTCAGCTGGCTCGTCCCTTTTGTACATGCCGCTAGAGCCGAGTTCCAGAGCCTCTGGCCACGCCGGAAGCTCAATAATGGCACAATTGATTGCGCCGTGCACTTGCGCTCGATGACGGTGGGGTGGCAAGCAAGTTGAGAAGGGTGCTCACTGGTACTTCCTGGAAACCTGGAACTCGGGCCTTGGAGCCTGGCATCCTGTTCTCAGGCAGTGTCTGCCATTCGCTCCAGCCAGCAGGATGGACAACAGCCACAATGCTTGTGATGGCTCATTTGCCAAGAATGCATTGCGCAAGCCGCGCCTGCTTGTCCTTGCTTGAATCTCGCCTCGTGCCACACCAGGATAATCTGTGGAGCGTTGGCGAGATCCGCCCAATCTTCAGCAGGATTCCACTGTCCATTTCGTGCAACAGAGACCGTCATGCTTCCGCGCCCATTAGACATCAATGCTGACAAGCATACTGGACTATCTCTGCAGGACTCCAACTGCGCCGTTGCTAACATGATATGCATTAACCCATCATGGATCAGTCTCCCGTCATCAACTACGAACTCAACCCTCCTTGTCATCTTTGGGCTGAGGATCGCCAATGCCACTGTCATATATCGCGAACAACGTGTCACTCTCCGGCAAACAAGGGCTGTCGTAGATCTTGCAAATGCGAGTCTCGCCACGACCCTTCTTTAGACTGAGCCGGGTGGTACTTGCGTGAGCAATAATGTTGCCGCCAATCGGTTTCTTCGGGTCTGGGTTGAACATGGCACTGGGACCGCCATCCACCTGTGCGACCACTTGATTCGTGATGACGACGGCGATGCCGAACTCATCTGCCAGTCTCTGAAGGATCCGCAAGAACTTGGCCATGTGTGATTGTCGAGCGGAGAGCTCTCCTCTCCCGTTGTAGTCTGTTCGGTACAACGACGTGGCCGAGTCGACGATGAGCAGAGAGAATCGGGTCTCGCACATCATCTGAGAAGCCTGCTGGAGCAGCTGTAGTTGATGTTCAGAGTTGTATGCTCGTGCGTACGCCACATTGTCAAGGACTTCCTCTCCTTCCAGGCCATACCGTTGCGCCACTGATAGCAGACGTACAGGTCGGAACGTGCCTTCAGTGTCGATATACAGACATTTTCCTTCCCCACCTCCCATATCAAACGGCAATTGACAAGTAACAGCCATTGTGTGACATATCTGACTCTTGCCTGTGCGGAATTCCCCAAAGATCTCGGTGATCGAGCCGGTCTCGATACCGCCGCCGAGCAGTCTGTCAAGGTTCTTGGAGCCGGTGGTGATGGAGATGAGGTCGCTTCGCCGGGCATGCATTTCAGTCGCGGTAGTGAAGCCCATGGGGACCAATTTCATTGCTAGGTCACAGTCAGCCTGGACGGAAAAAGTCAAGGGTTCTTCAAGGAAAGTTCAAGGATTCTTCGGGACAGTCACGGGTTCCTCAGCATACCTTCATTTAGCAGCTTGGATGCCTTCGCCTCCGAGATGCCCTTGATCTGTTCCAATTGTCGTCTAGGCCTGTTGCAGGGTTAGCCCCGGTCCGGGTGCTTTAGATGAAGACACCCACGTGTATGCAATAGACTCGACTGTATGATACCCGCCTTCCACAACAAGTTTGATGTCTCTTTCGCTCAATCCAGCGACACCCTAGAAAGGCGTCAGCCAGGTACTGAGCGGCCAAAGTCAACATGAGGGAATGCTCACTATTAGCTGCGAGATAGGGATAGGCGCGCCAGGTCCGCCAGGCATATCCTCGTATTCATCCTGAGGTGCTTCATTATCCTCGACTTGAGTCATCTCGGTCGATAGTCGATGAGGTGCGTGAGAGCGGAGTATTAAATTCTTGTGTCGAAGAGAACAGCGTTGAAGCAGCGCGTGTAGACAAGCAGCGATTGCACGTAGAGGCAAGTAGAGAGATCGCGGACCGGATGAGGAACAGTCAGTGGCCAAAAAGCGCGCCCTGGGTGAACGCGTCTTGTGGCGGGGCGCAGACGCGTAGTCACATGACTGATTTGAGAAAATACAAATATCCCTTGACGTGTTCTTCTGGTCACTACCACTTCATCCCCACGTTCCCCTGGGTACTTGGACACATACTGTAGAGGCGCCGAGGGCGACACAGTCTGGTTCGCCTGTTTTTTTGTAGATGGCTCCTCGATTAACACGCCGAAAACAGATCTGACTCTTATGTCGTCGACCCCCCTACACCCATTAATCCTGCCATTGAGATCGCCATTTTACCTGACCAGTGCCTGTCCCGTAATGTCGCCCGAAAGATGGTGGTGGTACACCGCAAGCAGCCTCGTGCTTGCTTGGAGATTATGTAAGGTTTTCCCAGCCCTTGAAAAGTCATGATGGCTGTCCCAGACGTGTTCGCGCAGACGCTTGCTCCTAATGCCCACGATATTTTCGCTTGTCCCAACCAAGCCAATTCCTGTAGTTAGCCAATGCCCCTTTTAGCGCGCCAGTATTCATGCATAATTGCTGGCTTAATCCCATCATTCTATCCATCTGTCGACGTAGCCCATGAAAACCTTGTCCTCTAACAACCGACCCATGTCAGCTTCTGCCATTTGGATCACAACTTCAAGGTAGTCCTTGCGGTCGTCGAAGGGGAGAACAATGCAGGAGCCAGGATCTCTACTCCACGGCTTGCGCACCCAGTCTGGTCGACCAAGACCCATGTCAAAGGTTGCGTCGTAAAGTTTCAGTTTCTCCCAGCTCGTAATATACATGTCGGCGCCCTCGGTTCGATCCATATTGCTGCCTTGCAGGTCCCGGACATCGATCTTCGGATTGGGATTTTCCGCCAGGGCAATTGACTGTCGGATATATGGTTCAGTCACTTGGTTGATGGCTGTACGGATCGCCACGGCAGTCTCGGACATGGAAACGTCGTCGAGGTCGGCGAAATGACAAAGTGGCGCTTCCACGGACGCAAAGTCGACGGCGGCGCCGAAATATGATTCGGGCAGCTTGTTCTTGATTCTCGTCCGGATGTTGACAGGAATGTTGAGCTTCGAAGTGGTGACTGTTGGGTTTTGTGATAGAGAAGGGATCCGAGCTTCTGTCATAGCATGCCAGATGAGGGTCATCAATACGTCGTTCCGACTCATGCGCTCGACATGTGCAACACTCATGAGACGCTCCTGCAAGCCAGCGAGCTTGGTCAACGGTATTGCAAAGACGCAGCCACGCCCAATCGGCTTGATCATATGATGTGAGTGTTCCGCCGTTTGCGCTGTCTTGTATTTCAGATGCCGATCATTGATTTGGTTGGCTGAAGAATACGACAATTCGCTTCTGACCTGACTCTTGTGCCGGGCAAAAGTGTCGAGTCTCATGGATAGACTAGGGATGTCGTGGTCTCCACCGTCCAAATCCCGCTTGAAGGCGAAGTCGTCTTTCAACACATTGCCCGAGATGAGCCACCCAGCCCCGTTGCCGTCCGAGATGCAGTGGTGCAAGTACACGGACACGATGATTCCTCCTTCAACTACGTTTGCTTGAACTCGGAACGCCGGTGCTCGATCTTCATCTGCGGACTCTCCCAACGCAGACACAATCTCGGGCTTGATCACACTTGGGGGCAAGCGAGCCTCGCAAAGCTGCTTATAGGTGTAAGGGACCTCTTCCTGCGTCAGATGACGAACACCAACATCTGGATATTCCAGGAAGTCTGTGTCTGAGAATCGGATCTCGACGGCGCCAACCCGGTTGCCGGGATTTTCTACAGCTACAACGTAGCCACTGAGATATGGCTTTGCGTTGACCGTCTCTCTGACGAAGTGGTTCAGCCGTGTCACTACATCACCGAGCATCTCTTGACTCGGGAGGCGATAGGCCAGGCAGATGCGGATATAGGAGCGAGGCATACAGTGTTCAATCCCGGACAAGCGAATGACATGGTCAGAACCTGGGTGATGGTATGGTTCAATTTCGCGGTCGCTCTCAAGACTAGGATGCCGGTGATTCGTAGTGGGGCCGCTGATGGATCCGTTCAGGTGAATATGGTCGCCGTTGATCTGAGGACCGTCGGATTCGCCGTTCAAGACGGGGTCCTTTGCCGAGTTGTTGAGCTTCAGATGGTCGGCGAGCTCAACATCATCGCTTGGATTGTCTGAGGGTGTAAGAGGTCTAGGTGAGGCCTTCCCATTGTGATTACCAGTTCCATTCGGAAGCTCTGCCATTGCCATTGTAGGGCCCGGAAGGATTGCGGTCTCTTGGTCGGGATCAGTCAAGGTCATGAGGGTGCTAGTTCTTCAGGATGGTGTTTACCGGCGATAGCTCGACTGGGACGGGCAGGATTGTTAGTGAACGACAGGGACTTTTGGTGTCTTATCGCAGTTCGCCAAGTTGGTCTGGGAGCATTCTGGCAAAGAAGTAGCATGATGGAAAGATGCTTAAATCGTCCCCCTCGAGGCGTCACTGCCCAGAGGTGACAGTTGCGAACAAAGTCGGTGATGAGGCAGTCGTGGGAGGCAATTCTCGTGGTCACCCGAGAGTGACGTCTGTAGACCTGGTAGTGAAGATGCTTGTATGAGTGGTGCCATATACTTATTCACAGCCGTTGCCCCCAGGTTGCAAGTGAAGGATGAGGTGAAGATGAGCTACGGAGCCAAGGTGAAGCCGGGAAATAAAGCGCTTTATTGCAGGCGACAATCTTCATATAAAAGGCAGTAAACCTGACGATAAGTCGGTCAGTGTAAAGGTCTAGGCCAATGGGATATCGCCAGGCTGACGTTGAGCCAACGAAAGGACCAACCCCAGAGTGAGTGAGCGAGTCATTCGACAGCCATACTGCAAGCGACTAGCCCAGTCGTGAAGAAAACAGGGACGAAGGAGACTAAATAAACGAAGCCGTCATAGAAGGCCCAACGAAGAGTTAAGAGAGAACGATAGCGCGCCATCGATGGCGGAGGAGGAGGAATTGGCTGCCGTTCTGCGCAAAGGGTCGGCAGTCTCCTCTGATCGTGGTGGAGACCCAAAGGGCTCGATGGTCCAAAGCTAAATGCCCGCTCTGCACTCTTGCAGCTGGACCCATGTGGCCGTCTATATTTGCTGGGTTAGCGCTGCCCGTTCGAGAGAGGTGCGTGCTGTATGAGCTCGTAAGAATGTGAGGTGGTCCATGTGCCAGGGTATGCGGTGCGGAGACCAATGCAGCAATAAGGACGGCCAAGTCGGGCAAAATCACGATATCCGCACTGCGGTCGTCCCGGGATGCTGCAAGGCAATCGATTGAGAGCCAGATGAGCGACGAGGGTTGGACGCAGGCCCTGCGCTGTGTCACCTCGCCACTTTGCCGAAGCGAAAGCAGTCAGCCTTGCTGCTCAATGTCCTGTTGGCCTACGCGTAATCAGGTCCATGTTCACTGATGCGCTCAACGTGCACTGGACGCCACTGAGCCATGCGAGGTCTGCAGCGGGTGGACTCACGCCGGTGCATCCAGTGTGTGTGTGCAGAACGAGTAAAAACCCGGGGGACGAGTGAGCTGCGCTCCGAGCGACGCCGCGAGCCTGCAGCGCGATCTCTGGTCAGCTGAGCGACATAGGCGGTGGAGGTCGGGCCTGCAGATCGGCGGCGCGGTGCTGGCGCAGGGCGAGCGTGAGGTGAGTGTGAGCACTGAAGCAGCCGCTGGGAAGACAAGGACGGGCAGAGGACGTGACCAATAGAAGGCGGGAGAGAGCAGAAAGCCGAGCCGTTCTGCTTGACATCGAGCACTAAGTGAAGGGTGCTGCATGCATGACGGGGAGGGGGGTGTGGGTTTCGAGTCGGAGGGGGAGACACGAGTGGTGTTGGATAAGAAACAGATAGCAGAAGAGCTGTCAGAGAGTGGGATAGTCGCGACCGGGGTTTCAGAGGTGTGACAAGGGAGGGCATGGGGCATCTCGCTCGCTCGTAGACCATGGCATGGTGAGGGTTTCTCCCCGCCCTGGCTAGCTCCTGGCCATGGCTGTCACAATCCCGTCAGGTGCGAGGCGAGCCTTTCCGCAACAGAGCAGGATAGTCGGGATAAATGCGATGCAGAGGGCACGAATGTCTACGGAGGCCCAACGGCGAAGCAGGCTGATCATGATCCGAACTTTGCACAGATTTGAAGTTGTCATAGAGTGGGTGACGTGGACGCTGGTTGGCGCGAGGTTCTTTCGTCGACGCTGATGTTCAGGCATGATTGCAACGCCTAACGCAACTCAGGCAGGGCTAGCCGCACGCAGTCGATACTTCCTGCCCAAGGAGCACATCGGAATCGAAACATCGAGTCAACTCGACTTGACTCGTGCGATGCCTTGTTCTAGAGGACGAGCTGCCGGGCACGAGGCATGTGCACAGTCGTCCTTCCCGCCGGACTCAGCCGGTGTCCTACATCGGCCGCAGACTCGCCTGGGACATGGGCGACGTTGACACTTGAGCATCCTCTCGTTCTCATGCGGCATCAGCCGCTGGGGCCTGTTCGCACCGGTCGACGGGGAAGAGGCTTCCCGCGGCAGGGGGCCTGCAGTTCCGCCTTTCCTGGCAGGCCAGAGAGGAAGTCGTGCAGCTTCTAGGCCTGAGGCTAAAGCGTGCCGCCCGGGCCTTTCCTTTCGCAGAACGATAAGGCATCCTGGCTTTGTCGGTGGGCCAGAACCGTCGCTCATTGCCTACGTATCCTAGAACCTCTTCTCTAATAATCCTCCGTACCTGCCCCCGAACTATAGCGATAGGACCTGGTGGCAAGCAGCTGGCCGGCCCTATCGCCATGTTTCGGCTACACCCTTTGAGACACAGCGATCTGTCCATTCGATAAAGACCTCTCTAAGATCGACCCCGAAACGCGACAGCCAGGATCACACGTGCGGATACGAGCAGAGCAGAAACGAGAGCCAGTGGTTTGCAGATCTTTGCATGGTGGAAAATTCCGCCTTCAATCATTCGTTCCGCCCACTACTTCGTACGTGCTTATACCCGACTTTAATAGGCCATATGGTACGAGGTACAGTCTCGCACGGAGTAGGCGGTTTGCAGCTCTGCATGCCGTCTTTGCTGAAGCTTTTTATGCGCTGTGCGACTGGCTTTAGGGCGTTATGTACGGAGTATCTCCTATGTTTTTCGCTTTGTGAGCCTCAGCAGCAGGCAGAAGGCAAATTCGATGTCCAAGTCCCGCTAGTTCTTACTCTCTCTGTGCCTTTCCCCCTTGCAGACAAAATTAGCGAGCCAAGTCGTCGAGCTTTGGCGAACGACAGTGATGTGTTATAGGCCCCTTTGCTCACAGCATGCATCGACCCACCTGTCCAGCTGGCGGGCATTCATCCGCGCCCAGGTGGCCCTCCGTGCATTATTGACGTGCGAGAAAGTTGCATTGAGGCAGACACAGGGGATTGCCGTCGGAAGGACGAGAAATAGATCATTGCGCCCTCCGATGTCCATTTGGTGCGTTCACCGCTATGATGACGCAGTCTATTCCAGAGCCTCCATCTCTTCTATGAGTCAAACAATGGAAGGCGATTGTCCAGTGTCGGGTGGCGGTGTCTTGGTAAGCGAATGCTCTTCGGCAAGACAATTTTCGGCCTGCGGGAGTAGCATGCGGTGTGGTCGAATGCATCAGCTTCCCAATAGTCAGCATGCGTGAAGAAATCCAATTCTTCGGTGCACTGACGACGTAAGTCCCATCTTCCAGCACCCTGAAATCAGAAGCATCTGCATAGCAGCCCAAAGCTAGTCCGTACCTCGCATCGTTGAACACATCATTGATTCGGAGGCCAAATCCGAGATGAGCTTTGCAGCGCCATTAAGCTTCTGGTAGAGGAGGTTTCCGTCCTTCCACCCGTGGTTCGAGAGAACACCTGCCCACACTACCAGTTGCTGCATTTCTAGTCGCCCGGTGGCAGGCAGGAGATAGGTGCAAATGCAAGTGTGGGAAGTTGCATGGTTGACGGCGTGGCGCTTCTAAAATGGGCTGTTCTTGTGCCTGTGGCTGTGTGTTGCGGGAAACAGCCTGTGGAAGGAAGGCTTAAGCGCGTCGTCAATCAACCACTCCCAATCACGCCCCTGTCTCCCACACCGTATCGCCACAGGCATGAAGGCATCCTCGCAGCACTGGTCCTGGCAACCCGCCACATGCCGCAGTACTTCCGGAGTCAGTGTCGGATCAAGTCATTTGTGTAACCACAGATCTCATGAAATTGTGCAACGGGATCACAGTGTATACCACTACGGACGTTAAATGCGTACGAGTACGGCTTGGTGCATACCGGGCGTTTCAGCTGTCGCCCACATTCTTTGCGCTGGCTAAGGGTGCGCTTGCTGTCTCGGCTCATGGCGCGGCGATTTGTGGACAGCGTAGAATCTCGGCTGCAGGAAAACCAGACCGGGGTTGACGACGAACAACAACCATCACATCCAACTGTGCCAGGCTAGCCACCACTGTGCTTCGTGGCGTGTCAAGCATGGCACGGAGGGCGCTCAGTGTTTCGCACGGGCAAAACATCACACCTCGGCGTAGTGGCAATCAAGAACGGCTGGAATGGCCGGCTTCCAGACCACGTAAGTGAGGCTGACAGATCAAGTGACAAGCGATCGGCGTCTACACAGTTAGCGTGCATTTCTCATTCCGTCAGGTGCTGCTCAATGAAGGCAGCTTGTCACGGACTATTTGATTTCATCCTGGTCGATGACCCGTGTTTGCAGCGATGATAATGCTCAGGGATCAGACCACTGCGCACGCATCAACGATGTTTCGCGATTGGATCCGGCCGAAAAGGGTATCGATCGGTAGCCCTCACGCCTCCTATATTCAGGGGGCGTAACATGGTTCTAGCACCTGAGGATCCAGGAAAAGCATCCGACTTGCGTGACGCTGGCCCTTGGTGGATTGGCACTTGAAAGGGCGAGAAGAGCTCTGCTGGCGTTCTACGGAGTACAAGGAAGAGCGTGCGGCGCACCGAGAAGGGCAGGTCGGTTGTGTTCTCAGTGCTTCTAACAGCTGGTGGAGCAGCGGGAGAAGCCGAGACTGTTGAGAGGCGTGCCGGTCTTTCGATTCGAATACGGGGGAGCCAAGGAGGCCATGGAGGACGACACCGCATTAGTGCCAAGGAGATCGTGAAGGGAAGATCGGAAGCCCATCCGAAGCGGAGAACGATTACAGCATAGATACCACGTACGGTTGTCCGTATGCTGCATAGTTAACTTGCCTACGTACGGAGTCCTGGGTATTGCATAACCGCATTGCTTGGGACCTGTATGAGTTGTGTCGCGTCGACGTTACGGTAGCTCAAACTTGTGTGTAGAAGACACGGTTTCATTTCCGCACTAATGGTGCGAGCGAGGCGGACTAACCGAGGCAAGGCGCCCAGTCTTTCAAAGCCACGCAAAGACGAGGAACAGGAACAGATGGAGCGCAGCGCAGTCAGCGTCTGGTAGATACCAGTGAAGCACTGTGCAGAATTGCGCTTGCGCTTGAAGAGTAGCGTCCGGCTCAGTTGCCTCTATCGGAGAGAGCACTAAGCACGTGACGGTGCTCCGGCGCAGTCGCGGGACTATGAACGAGGCATCACGGGTCTGTGGATGGCACCGCCGACCAGTCCGGCCATTGATGTTTTGATTGTCTCATTAACCCCTTTCTCTACCGTCACGGCTCTCTAGACAGTTACCCGCGATGTCCTAAGTGTCAGGTAGTCTGGTCCTATCGACGGTGCTGGCTTCTGGGCCACGGCTATCGTCCTAAACATGCGCCGACCTCGACACCGATGATGAAGCTGGCTGAAAGGCATGTCGTCTTGGCAGCCGTTGTAGCTTTCGTCGCGTGGGGTCTCGCCGTACGCGCTCTGCCCATCTTGCGGTTCTTGGGATATGCCTTCACTCTAGGCTGTCTGGTCACTTGTGTGGCAGGTCTGGCAGCGACCTTGACCGTCTCCAGGTCTCGCTCAACGTATCAGGCGCTGTCTGCCCCTCCCATTCTCTCCCCTGCTCTTCTCGACCCCCAAAGATGGCAAGCCGAGGTCTCCATCCTCCAACGATCTGGGCAGTACCAACCCAGCCAGCTCTATGCCAAGTCCCTCGTCGTCTCTCGGGCTCTTGATTCCCTGATCGGCCTTGCTCTGCGCGATTTCGTATCATCCTGGTACCGGAACATCACCAAGAGCCCGGCCTTTGTCAATGAGGTGGACAAGAATATCCGGGTTGCGCTACGCGAGATAAGAGATCGCATACTCAATGAGGACATGGTTAATGTTGCCGTGTCCAGGATCGTCCCCCTGATCACAGCACACCTGCGGGATTTTGACCAGGCAGAGCGGGCTGTACGGGGCCGTAGCTTGAACCGAAACGTCACCGAGTCAGAAGAGCTGGAGTTGGCCATCGCCGCCAAATACAAGGATGGAAAGCTGCATCCTGCTGCCGCTCTGGCCTATTCGGACACGAAGACGGTGCAGCAGGAGCACCTCCGCAAACTCCTTGTCCGCATTCTGCCAGACATCCTATCTCCAACCACGATGGCTAGTCGTGCCACCTTAGTGCTCGTCAAGGAGATTGTCGCTTGCGCCGTTTTGTTTCCTATCATGCAGATGCTTTCCGATCCGGATACCTGTAACCAGGTCGTGGAGGCGTATGGACGCACCACGTTACAGGATCGAAAGACTGTCCGCAAAATGAGGGCCGCGCTGGACCAACATGCTTCGCCCACGCCTCGAAGCAGACCTGGTCAGGATCTGCCTCGTCTGTTACCTAGCGATAGCGAACGAGCATTTGAGCGGTTTGTTAGAGCCATTCGTCAGACTAGAAATCTGTCCGATGCGCGGAGGTTCCGAAATTCAATCGCCAGCCAGATACAGCGAGAGAGCATGGTGGAAGGTCAAGACCCGGTCTATCTGCGCCGATTGGAGATGGCTAAGCGCGTCCTAGAACAGAAGATCGAGAAGCTGACTCAAAATGGATCCCTGCCACCCACAACTGCATCGCGACCAGATGCGCGGCCCGGTCCAGCTGTCAAGCCGCGCGAATGGACCATGGTCGAGATCATGCACACCGCTTCAGGACTCTCGTACATCATGGAATTTATGGACAGGCTTAACCGCATGTCGCTGGTCCAGTTCTGGGTGGTGGTCGACGGCTTCCGCAATCCCCTAGAAGACGATTTTGGAGACGAAATGAACCCAGGCATCCAAGAGAACTGGACGGATGCGGATCGCATGGATATCGCGCAAATCAATGAAAAGTACATGCTCAAAGCAGAGTTGAACATTCCTCAAGAATCAAAGGATGCTGTCAAGGCCTTTCTGGCTTCTGGGCGAAGAGCAACGCCACAACAGTATCGAGCTGCAAGGACGGCGATACTGTCCGCTCAGTCTGCTGTTCTGGAAGAACTCGAAACACGGTACCTGCCTCAGTTTCGCAAGTCGGACCTTTATTACAAATTTCTGGCATCCAGCGAGGCCGCTGCGGTACGTTCACGCGTGCAAAGCACGGGTAATCTCCTCGAGACGAACGAGGCACCTCACATCCAGCGAACGAAGCCAGCAGCACAGGCCCCGTCTATCGCGAGAACACACTCACAGCCCGCGACCAAGGCCAAAGATTTACGCCGAGCCGCTGTGTCTTCCTCAGATGTGCGGAGCTTGGCGTCTCCGAAGCTATTCGACGACGATGACTTGCCGAGACGTCCTGGAGCATCGGCGCCATTGTTTGATGATGGCTACGACACCGACCCCTTGGCGCATTCTACTGCCAGCCTCGGACAAGACTCCGTGAACGGGGATTCAGTGGATCAGCGCCAGGTGATCGCGAATATGGAAGCAGCCATGAACAACATCATGACGGAGACGCCCATGGATGAGACCATGGGATTCGATGACGAGACGCTATTCGGGTCGCCCGTGTCGGCTACGAAATCGGCAAGACAGATTGAATCACCTAGGAGTTCGCTGGATTTTCAGGGCATAGACCATGCGAACAAGCCGAAGCCGAGCCTCGCCGCGTTGGGCCTTGTCAACACGGCTTCCCGTATTGGTGTGTTTACTGATAATGACCTTTTCCCAGACGAGGAAAAGTTCATCGAGGATGAATACGTTGACACTGACGATGAAAAGGACAAGAACATAATTGAAGATGAGATCCATGAAGCCGCTCCAGGGGACCTAGGGCTTGCGGAGGCCATCAGCGCTCTGAACAATGACATCGAGCGTCTGGTCGCTCAAGAAGCAGTAGTTGACACACTGACCCGGAAGGCCGAGCTGACAAACAACGTCACTGAGCTCCGCATTCTGGCCAAGTCAAAGGCGAGTCTGCAGCGGGAAGTGCGCCGGAAAGAGCTTCAGCGGCAGCAATATATTGTTCAAGAAAGTGATAACAGCTTGTACGGGCGATCTAGTATCTCCATCAAATCGATCGTCGTCGGTAAGGAGGACGACGGGCGCGAATTTGCTCTGTACGTCATTGAGGTTCAGAGGCAGGCGGGCGATCAGATGCCAGCAGCAATCTGGGCCATTCCTCGGCGGTATTCAGAGTTCCATGAGCTGCACCAGAGACTGCGACGCCGATATCCATCGACCAGAAACCTGGACTTTCCCAGGAGGAGAGTGGTCATGAAGCTACAGAAACAGTTTCTCCAGAACCGACGTCTTGCTTTGGAACGTTACCTGCAGCAGTTACTTCAAATGCCCGACGTATGTCGCAGCAGGGAGCTGCGCTCATTTCTGTCGCAGTCCACCATTACCTCCCACCAGGATACGAGCAAAGAATCGAACGCGCAGGACATCGTAAGTCGAATCTACAACTCTGTTACGGAGGGTATGGACGAATTCCTGGGAAATGTCCCAGTCCTCGATCAGCTCTCGGCTGCCGGACAGAACCTGATTTCGGCCGCCACAAGTCAACTCGGAATGAATCAGGGTGATATTGTTCCACTCGACCCCGGCCCAGTTGCGGAGGCCGAAGCCGAATTAGCGGCGTTTGAAGACAAGGAGCTGGAACCGTTCGTCAAGCCAATCTGCGACGTGTTCCTGGAGACGTTCGAACTCAACCGAGGCAACAATTGGCTTCGTGGCCGTGCCGTGATTGTGGTTCTTCACCAACTGCTCGGGGGGACCATTGAACGCAAAGTCCGGGAAATAGTGACGGGCTTCGTGCAAGAGGATTCGTTGATCAGGTATATCGACCTGATCAAGGAGACCATGTGGCCTGGAGGCGGGAAGATGAGAGAGGTCAAACCGCGAACACCGGGCGAGAAGACGCAATCCCGCTCCGAGGCGGCGGCCATGTTGGCTACTCTGGTCCCTGACCTGGCCGGCAACGTGGTGGGCCGAACCAATGCGCAAGCGGCCGCCAGGAGAATCACAGCGACCATGAACAATGCGCGACTCAACCAACATCTCGTCTTTACGATCCTTGACGAGATTGTTGCCGTGCTTTTTGATCCTTCAAAGAAAGGATTCTCATGAAATCAGCAGGGCCAAGACAAGGAAGATCCAAATCGTGTTGGATGCTGTCCAGGCCACCCAAGCAAGCGAGCACATCGATCGAGTAGCAGAAGCGAATGGGCTGTACATTCAAGCTGACCATCTGATTGGGTTAAACGCAGCTCTCGATCTGCTCTTTTGCGCGTCAGGAATGGCGCAGAGGCTGTTCAGCGATGCTAGCCGAATCCACGGCTCGCGATTACGGAAGAGACCGTATTCCAACCACCGAAAGGACTGGGACAAGCAGTCGCGGAGACAGACGACACTGTACAGGCGGAATTGCCGGCCTGGATTGTCCAAGAGGTCTAGCACCACCGCGGCGCTTGGAAGCAAAGAAATGTGTATTTATGAATTGGATAAGGTGACCTACCTAAATTACTTACATTGGAGCCGAGTGAATTACAGAGGACTTGTAGCTACTTGTCTTGCACCTGTACTCGTACAACAGAACACAGGGAGGGAATTAGCTAGGATCCTGCTCGCGTCGAGCTGATGTCCAACAAGGTCGAAAACCCATTAACGGATCGATTAATCGATCACTCTGCATACTTGAATCACGCACTCTCCGGGATGCGGTGCGCTACGAAAGTTCATTGACGGGATGTAAATCAGAGTGTTGAAATCCCGTCATTCAATCGACAGGTTCTGGTGTCTATAATGTACATTGTACCTAGGTATAACGTGTCAATGAATTGTCCTGGTTTGGGCACCTTTGAGCACCCTTGCCCATCCTTCTATGCCCTTTTCCATTACAGTGAAAGCTTTGGTGAACCCCCCAGCCGACACTTGCGGAGGATGCTACTTACTTACGGAGTACTCGCTCGCTCACCAACACACTCTACCGGCCTCTTCCTGCGGTCACCACGGCCCTGCCGGCGTGGACACCTCTACTCAGCAATTCCCTGACCACAAGCTTCGTCCTCGCCACGCCGTGCCTCCTAGCGTAGACGATGCCCCAGATCAGGCCGACGAGGCCGACCAGCCTGACGAGCCGCGTCAGCGCCAGCTTGACGAGACCCTTCCTCGTGTATTGAATATTCCAGTGCCACCAAAAGGGGAACATACACCGTAACGTGAAATCGACCTGCGTGCGCGGATAGACGGTGGCATTCCAATTGGTCGCGCGGTCGACGTACCAGTTCTGGCCGCCTCCCGTGTTGAAGACGCTGTTGCGCAGTTCCTTCTGCAGCTGGGCGGTCCAGCGGCGCTCGGCGGTCTCCTTGACGTCGACGGTTGACACCTCGCCGCGCAGGATCGGGCCGATGAAGTTCAGGGCGTAGTTGACCATGTTCTCCGACGCCAGGATGACGGACGAGTGGCCCGTCGCGGTGTTGGGGCCGAAGATCAAGAAAAAGTTGGGGAACCCGTCCATGGCGGTGCCGAGGTAGGCCTGGGCGCCGCCGCGCTCGGCCCACGTCGCGTACAGTGAGCGGCCGTTGCGGCCCGTGACGTCGAGCGGATGCAGCCACTGGTTCGTCTCGTAGCCGTTCGCCAGGATGATCACGTCGGCCGGGATGGTGCGTTCTTCGGTGGGGGCCTTGCTGTCCGTTCTGGAGAGCGGCGGGTAGTGGCGGCCGGGGCCCAACGTCACGGAGCGTGGCTGAATCGACGTCAAGGGTAACGTAGTGATTTCCACGTTCGACAAACTCAAACATTTGAACCAGCCTTCGTCGACGACGCGGCGCTTGCAGAAGACTTCATAGTCTGGCGTCAGGATCTCGTGGTACTCCTCCGGGACGGTCTTGCGGAGGTAGCGCAGCAGCTCTTCTGCCTTCTTCTTGCGTCGTTGCCGGGCGGCCTCGTTGGGCGTGAACAGTTGCACGAATTCAATCTCGCTCATCGTGAACATGAACTTGCGCAGCCCGTTCTGGAACCCGGGGACGTACGTGCTCAGGAACGGGATCCACTTCTTCCACCACTCCCGCGCCTCCGGGGGCAGGAATTCCACCGCCCACGGAGGCGAGCGCATCAGCTGCGTGACGTGCTTGGCGCCGTACTCGGGCTTGACCAGCTGCGGCATCACCTGGCCGGCCGAGCAGCCCGTGCCCACGACCACGACGTCCTTATCCTTCAGATCGAGGTCCTTCTTCCAGCGCGCCGTGTGCACGATCTCGCCCTCGAAGGTCTCTAGCCCGGGCACCTCCAGCGGGGGTTTCGGCTCGACGAGGCCTCCAACGGCACTGCACACGATCTTGGCCCTTACGACCTCGGTCCTCAGCACCACGGTATGCACGCCCTTCTCTTTCTCCAACTGTTGGCGCTCGCGGGTCGATAGGTCTCCCACGCCGGGGGCGAGGTGATCAAGCTCGACTTCCCATTCGTTCGCGTCGTCGAGCCAGCGCACCGCCTTGACTGATGTGTCGAAGTGGATCTTGTCTAGGATCTCAAACTTCTCGCACACGTCGTACAGGTACCGGATGATTTCGGGCCCAGAGGGGAACAGCGACGTCCAGTGCGGGTTCTGGGCAAACGAGAACGAGTACATGATGGCGGGTCTGTCGGCGGAAGTCAGCACGAATACGTAGGCTTATAGGGATGGCGATGGAATGACTTACACGTCGCATGCAATGCCGGGGTACTGGTTCGTATGCCAGGTGCCCCCGAGCCGGGATCTTCGCTCGAAGATGCGGAACTGGTCGAAGCCTAGGGCCTGGCGGAGGCGGCAGCCCATGGCAATGCCAGACTCGCCGGCCCCGATGATCAGGACGGGATAGTAAGTGTATCCTGAGTTGTCGGCGCCGACGTGGCGGATGCGGTCGATTCGAGTCGTCATGCTGGACGTAGAGGGGTGGTGTGTATGTCGTCTTTAGGTGTCTTTGTGTCTGCGGGCACAAGTAGAGGATGAGCAGCGGCGTTGAGGTATTAGAAGATAGAGATCAACAGAGACAGAGGTAGCAGGTAGAGAGCATTGAGAGCGGCATGAATAGCTTTGGCTATTTCTTGAGCTCCCGCCTCGAGTTTCACTGGCGAGCCATCACCCTCGATATGTGCCCGATGTAAGACTAGTCAATATTCCCACGAGGTACGGAGTACAGATTACCTCGTTCTCGAGCGTAGAGCGAATCACTGGTATACAAGCACAGTATTTGTTCGGCAGGGAAGCCGATTGAGGCGTCCGGGGCATCATGGAGTTTCGATGCGGGATGACTCGAATTTGCCGTGGGGACGTTGGCGGGCCTAAAGGCACCTGAAAGGCCGTTGGGGGCTTACAAGGGCCATGTGTGGCCGTGTCACGCCGAGGCTGGGATGATTATGTAAACGATTGAGCGACTCGTACTCCGTACAGAGTACGGACTATTGGCTCAGGACAATCAACGCGAACCGAAAACACTCGATCCGGCGTCTCTGGTGCTGCGCTGTGCTATGCTGGATAGCTACGCGGCCCGTGACTAGTGCAGACAAGCATTGATTCATCCACCATCCTGGACTACATTAGCTCGTGAGCACAGTCACTACATTACCACGCGGTCATCCATTCATGCCATGTCTGTCCGGGGTCAATCCCATCAGGAGCAACCACGCTCTTGCTCCTGGTCATACTCTCCATCTCGCTCGCGGGCTCGTCAGATGGTACAACAATAGTACCGACATTGGTGCCAGTGGCGGCGGCAGTCGAATGGCATTGAGATGGGTCTCAGGCTCTAGGTCGTCAGTCCGTCAACTGACCACGTCAACCGTCGCAGGGCAAGGTGAACGACCAGGAAGGGGACCCCTTCGAGATGTCCCCGTACTGCCGTCCTGGGATTCTCAGGTCTTCGGGCAGGCCTTCAAGGAGGGTCTACCTGTACGACTGCCGCGATCTAGAGAACATCTCCCGCATGCGTGCTCCAAGTGGTTCATCCATGACGGGAATCCGGCGTTCGATCTCTTTGGGACGAAGCCACGTGGGGAGAAGCCCGATACCATTACGAGTGCGAATGCCACGTCCAACATCAGTGCCGACCCCGATACAGATTCCCGCACAGTCAACGTGCCCAAATCATCTGAACTACGCCCCTCCTTCTGGCAGGGATACAAGTCCACGATCGTGGCCCTCGAAGTGACGACGAGGCAGACCGGTTCCGACTCGGAGCACTTCGAACGCCTCGAAGGCCCCTTGGAGGTTCTGCTCGCCTACCTTTCAGCGCCACAGACACCTGCTGCCCCAGAAGTCGAGCAGCAGCAGCAGCAGCAGCAGCAGCAGCATGGACCCCCAAACCTATCAATCTATCTGGCGCAGAGCGACTTATCGACCCTTCCAGCCACACTGCAAGAAGACGTCCCCATCCCGACACTGCTGCGCTCACACACGAGGACAGGGAGCACGGTTATCAAAGGCGACATCTACGCCTCATCCCTCTGGATGGGCCGGCCCCCAACATACACGCCCCTCCACCGCGACCCGAACCCCAACCTCTTCATCCAACTTGCCGGCCAGAAAACGATCCGACTTTTGCCACCTGAGCTCGGCGACGCAATGTACCATGATGTGATGAGCACGGTGGGCGCATCGTCATCACCATTCTCAACCACGATCCGCGGCGCCGAGATGATGGTCACCAGCCCCGAGACGAGAGCTCTCCACGACTGTATCTGGGATGGACGCCAGTACGCCGACCTCCTGCAGGAACATTGTCGAGAGACGACTCTCGGCCTGGGCGAGGCCCTGTTCACGCCCAAGGGGTGGTGGCATAGCGTCAAGGGCGTTGGGGCAGGGGTCACGGCTAGTGTGAATTGGTGGTTTCGCTGAGATGAGCGTGGAGTGGAGGAATGAAGAGAAAGAGTCGGGTCGATGCTGTCCTGAATATCTCCTACTGTGTATTCTTATTTCTGGGTTACTCTTGTCGCGACACGATTATTCTGTACTGCATGATATCGACGTCATGGGATAGAGGTTTACAATTCAACAATGGATGTAATGGGATAAATTGGAATGGGTAATCATTTCATACTGTACTGTGCCGCACATGGTCTACGTGCGACAAACAAAGATGTTCTAGCTCCCTGTGTGCATCGGGGAAATGTTTGATCGTGAATACAGTAAGTCGGCTTCCAGGAAGGTGCGGGTCTTTGCGAGAAAGCGTATATGCGAAAGGAGATGCAGACTCGACCTAGACTCAGACGCAGACACGCTCAGACTCATACGCAGACTCGGCGCAACACAATGGACGGCCGGGCGGTCAGAATGAAATCGAATCGAATCAGTGGACTCTTCGCATACATGCTTGCTACAGTAGTCAAAGACGACCTCCTCGAGAGGAATAATACCCGTGACTCGAACAAAATCAAAGATCCGCCCATATGCTCGCTCGCTCGATCGCTCTCGTCCGCTCGCCCGCCCTCTGTGGCTTGTTCGAGATGCGCCTGCTTTCTCCTCGAGTTCCTTCTCTCTCTCTCTCTCTCTCTGTGTGTGTCCCTCACATCAGCATCATCCGTCATCCGTCATCATCTTCAATCGTTTCGTGGCCACACTCATATCCAGTTCCCGTCGCCGTGCTGCTGCTGCTGCTGCTGCTGCGCCGATACATCTCCCACCCGCGCTCCTGATTTCCGTCTAGACTTTCCCCGACTTCCACCTTGACTCTGGCTAGCCATCAAGGCATCACCATCCGCGTCAGGCTCTCGTTTTGACTTGCCCTTCTGTGTACTGAGCGCAGATTGCTGACTCTGCGTAGCCATGATAGCATCTCCGTCCTGATCGGCCGCTGCTCCGTCGTCCTCTTCTTCTTCGTCTTCCTCGTCATCAACATTATCATCATCATTGTCCTCTAGATCGCCGGGCAGGTGCCGCGACTCCTCATCCGGATCACCGTCCACGTTTCCGCCGTACCGTTCATGCCATAACCTCGCCTCGTCCAGTTCGTTAATGTCGACCGGTTTTGATCGCATCCACCGCATGCGTGGTCCGCTCTTTGCTCGCTCGGAGACTTTGAAGCCGTAGATTTTCGGCTCGTAGATCTTGCCTTTCCCCAGACCTGGGGCATAATTGTGTGTAGCCACGCCGTTGAGCGTGGCCGGTTGAGGAGGTAATGCCGTTATTGCGCTAGAAGAGCCCGGCAGCTTCTCTTCTTTGGCCGCTGTCACACCAGGAATGGCTGGGGGCTGAGGTAACGTCAGGCTTGAACTTCGGCTAGCAGTGATGATACCGCGCGAAGAAGCTGCCTCGTTAGGGCTCAACGTGCCTTCAAAATCGTCGTTCCCCGGATTGCTTGGATCTCGAGGCCCTCGTTTCTTCACCGGTGCAACGTCGAGTTCTGGAAAGGACATGAAGAACAGACAAGGAAATGTTGTCCCGAAAAAGGCACCGTCGACGGCCTGGAACCGGGAATTCGGAGGTGTGTACACGTCAAGACAGCTGGGACAGAAGAGCTTGACCGTCTGTTGGCCTGGAGTGTCCGTCAGGCCCACGGGCAACACCTTTGCGCCACCACAATATACCCGCGGACAGTACCCAAAGTGTGACAATTCGTACTTCTCCATCATCTGGTTGATGCCGGGTCTGGAGGTGATGTAGCGGGCATGAATCAGTCCGTACAGCAGCTCGGCCGACGACTCAATGACCGAAGTGTCGGACGAGGTACGACCATGTCTTCGTCCATTAGCCGACACACCAGACTGTCTCCGTGACCCACCATTTTGAGCGGCAGGTGGCTCGTCCAGCTCGTCTCCCAGGATGCCGTCATCCTCTTCTTCCTCTTCCTCTTCCTCCTCTTCCGAGAGTGCCGAGGAGTTTGTCTCTGAGGGCTCCACATCCAGTATCATCTCTAACGCGTCTTTGTACATTGGTACCTGCGCTTGCAGGCCCGTCAGGTTAAAGTCATCTTCGATAAAGTCCTCGCTGACTTCGGCAAAGTATTCGTGCCCGACCAGGTTGCAAAACGTGCCGATCCAACTGTCTGGACTCTGAGAGGAAGATTGTGACATTGTGTTCGATAGGGTCGCGGAGGAGCTGGTGAATTGCTGGTAGTAGAGGGACTCGGAGTACTCTGAGGCAATTTCGAGCCTTTCCAGGCCAGAGGCCAGGGCGGGTGTCTGTGCGGCAGACAGTGTTGAGATCGAGGCCGTGCCCCACCTTTACAATCGGAAGGGTCTGTGTAGTATGTGAGAAAGTATACCAGGCCAGGGCGTCCGTCACTTGGCGTGGGGTGAGAGGGGGCCCAAATCAGGGTCAGGAGAGGTGTGCGATCGAACCGGTGGGCAGCATGGAGCAATAATTGCGCTGTTCTGTCGCTTCGTGCGTCCGAGGGTTTTGGCTCTTTCTTTCGCTGCCTCTGTGAACTATGAGCAGACTGAGGCAGGCCGCAGCAAGGAGATGTGGATTGATCTGAAGGCGGGCTGTGGTGGACAATCGGTGAATCCAGCCACGATGTGGGTGTCGTGTGGCTTGAGAGCTATGTCACTTTCTTGGTGACGGTGGTTCAAAGAAAACGTATCTTATTCGCAACGCTACCTGTGCTCCTGTGAGCAGTTGTCCCGGGCTAGGAATGTGTCGAAACTGGGTGACTGATCACTGACCCTGGCCTGCACGCACTTCTGAATGCGCCCCGAAGCGAAAGTTGCAGGTTACGATGAAGTGGAAGCGCGGCCAATCATCAGCCGCACTGCGCACCTTGGCACCCAGTCACGTGGATCACCACCAACTTGGGCGTTGCTAAATGTGTCGAAATACATGACGGCCCAGAGGTGGGAGGAAGAGCACTAAGGGGTCACCTAACCATGGTCATAGTTTGTGCCATGGTGCCACATATGGTCGAGCAATTTCGCGCTGCGCTGTACTGTACTGTGTAGAGATATACCTTTAATCGCCCAAGCTGCCTGAGGCGGCATGTCAATATCACCTCATACCTATCCATGCTCAAAATAGTTCGTTCATAATCCTTGCGAATTCTGGCTCATTACCAAAGGCATTGAATCCCTCGGGCATGCCCACATCTCCGCTTGTCCCGACGTAATTGAAGGTATCGGCGCCAGGAGTCGAAGCACCGTATCCGCCGGCAAGCTCGAACAGACTGGACAACTCATTGGTGATCTGAAGCGCATCATCAGGGCTTACTCCAAGCTCCTGGCCTTGACCTCCATTGCCTTGGCTGGTGGAGCCATTTCCATAAGCCTGGTTGTAGTCGACCTTGTGTCCTGCCAGGCCGGCCATTGCCACAGCAGCGTCGGAGTGCGCATCCTGCTCGGCGTCATTCATGGTGCTCACTCCACGAGCCAGGAGACCGATCTTGTCACCCATGTCCTTTAGGCCTCTGATGGTCCTCCACAATCTTTTGGACACATGGGATTTGGTGCTGAAGCCCTTGACAATCTCAATCGCGGCGTAGAATTCCTGCCGGGTCTGTCCACAGAAAACAGCCGGAGCATGAGCCACAGACAAGAAAAGAACCGCCAGAGCCTGCACCAGGAAATAGTTATACAGCACTTGCTGAGTCTTGTAGATGTCCGAAATCTGGTTGACGGCTGTGAGTGTGTTGATGGTGTCCTTAGCCACGTCAATGACATTCTGAGCATAATGCCGATTCTCCATGATGCTGGTCGCCGAGTGGAGAATAGGTCGATAAATGGATATTCGTGCCTGGTTCTTGCGAAGGTACATCAGTAGTCGAAGTCGTCGCACTCCACGTCCCGGAATTTCAAGCTCGCGGGCCAGATCACGATTGTTGAACTGCAGCGAATCCGGTAACTGCGAATACCACTGCAGAATCTGGTAGTCAAGAAATCCAATCTCGTCCTTCTTCGTGTTCTGTCCAGCCTCGTAGGCAAGGTTGTGATACCAGACCTTCGTCGCAATTTGATTGTATTTTGTGATATGTCTCAGGTACGGATGGCCCTCGTCCTGCGCAATCAATTAGCAGAGATACCATTATCGGCTATAACACTTACTGGCTCGGGCAGAGCGGGATCCAGATCCGCGTCCTGCAGCGCAAAAGGCATTCCTGTGCCGAAGCTCCAGCGCCTGTCCAGCGCGTAGACTGTCCAGAAGATGCGGATTGCTTGCTGGTACTCGGCTTCATTGGTGAAAGATTTGACGAGCGAGTCTTTCCGGTGTAAGCCCATCTCAATGCACATGCGCGCGGCGATGCCGATGAACCGCCAGGCCTGTGCTTCTTCATCTTTTTGGAAGTAGAAAGTGGCCTACCGAAGTAGTCAGTGGCGAACATGTTAGCGCTTGAAAAACTGTTGATCTTACAGTCAAAACAGTCAAGACCACTGACTTGATATCGATGGCAGTTACAAGCTTGAGGTCAGTGGCTGGCTTTGCGGCGTCAAAGAACCTCTGGCCCAATTCACTGCGGCCATGGCCTTCGACTGTCAAGGTGACGGCCACGACCAGCTTGAGAACCGTAGTCTCCTCATCGTCAAAAGTATCAGCACCGGGCAGACTAGGCTGACCCAGGCCCGTCCGCAGAGATGCGCCAATAAACTTGTACAGCGAACTGGCCTGTTTGAGGACCTTGTCAATGTCAATCACGGGATACATGATTCCAATCTCTTCTTCGTAGACATGGCACAAGCGGACCACTTCGGAATGGTCAATCAACCACAGTGGATCTTTGCTAGGATGCGCCGGCAGCATCATGACCGGTGATGCAGCTCGGCTTCTTTCACGCGACATGAGGCCGTCATCCGCCACATTCTGAGTTATCCCCATGGTTTGCAGGGAGGATTTGGCCACATCCAATCCATATACGGTACTTGTTGGACCATGAAACTGTGGCAACGCCTTGGGTTGAGCTCTCTTGGGTGAGATGAGCGGAGGTAGCGTGCGCGATACGGACACTGATCGATTTGAGCCATCGTGGGAGAACTGCGGGTCGATGGACGCTGTGTAGCCGATGTCGGATCTGCTTCGAAGCTCATTGAGGCTCGCATAAAGGTCATTGACTTGTTCCTGAAGGGCGGAAATGTGCTCGCGCATCTGATTGAACTCGCTACGGCCACGGTCAGCAAGCCAGCCGCAATTCCCGGGTTGTCATGTCGGGCTACTTACGCTGAGTCCTTGAGCGAGTTGGTGCAGCAATTTGGCGCATAGACACACTCCAGGTTCAAGTTGCCGCATCGCTGGCACGGTGTGTTCCCATTGCATTTGATCTTGCGTCTGTGCAGCCGACATGTCAGCCTCGACTCACAACTGTCTCGAGGCTCGAGACTGGTAGAGGGGCTCACCGCTTGCACTCGTTGCTATTGCAGCACAATAATCATGTCAGCTCGGTGGCCTCGGTCTGGTTCTGTATTGCCATCTCATGCCTACCATGCTATAGAGATGTATCTATTCCTCTTGGATCGCGTATGTGTTTGCTTGTCCAAGCTGGACTCTGCCTCGGCCTTGCGCTTCTCGCCATGTCCGTTGGTTTGGGGAGGGGAGGCATCTGAGCCGGTGCCAGTGCCAGGGACGCTGGACACCATGGCGCAGATTCGGTGTCGGAGAGGGAACAGACGGTGGACTGATCGAGTGTGGAGATATTTCCGCGTTGACGATGAGGCGAGGCTGTTGCAGCTGATGAGGATGCGGAAATAAGAAACAAGAGGGGAAAGCGAGCTGTGTGGGAAACCACAAGGAAGCCCGCGCCGGGGAACGCGACTTCTTCCGGGGCATGGGGAAGAACCCGGGGCGGCACAGCGACCGATTTAGGTACCGATACCGCCTAAACTTTTGGTTACATCGGCGAGTGTTTCCCCGGCCTGGGGCCGAGGGGCTCTCTTAATACAGTCCAGGATCCCGGGGTACTGTAGCTCATGGTAGCCCAGGTATCACCCTGCTTCCCAGGCTAACACCACTAATACGCAAGACAAGAGAGACCAACGCGTTGACACTCGAAACAAGCCAGCATTCTACTTTTAACACCTCAGCAATTCAAGCGAAGGACACGAAGAGTGTGCCAGTGCGCTACTCACATAAAAAGGCCCCTTCTCGCACGCTAGGAGTAGGATGCTTCTTCCTTTCCAACAGTGCGAGTAGTCGACGTCTAAAGGACTGTCTCTATATACCGAGCTCTTGCTATCGACAAGCTACCGACAAGCATCTATCTTGTTTAACGATTCCACCCCCAGACTCTCTGACAGTTCGGCAGTAAGCCTCCTCCGCACCACATACAATCCCTCGCGTGCTGGCTCTTATCGTCATGGTTCGTGACAATAACCCCTGAGTTCCGCTACGAAACAGCGATATCCCGTCTTTTTGCTGTAAGCAGCGGATCGTGGGGTCCTTCCTGACACAGAGTCTTCTTCAAGACAGAACACAGATAGCTCGACAGAAATCTGTGAATTGCGCATTCGCTCGCTCTGTTCAACAGCACTCTTCTGATTCCCACCCACCAATATCTTGACCGGGGTTATTCTCGTATCTTGACAGGTTAGTTGATCGGCGGTGTACCACAGTATCTGCATTTCTGCCTTTGCTCCGCCGCGGAATATACCTAGGTACAGTTTTGAGGTTGGGCTTGGGTCCTCCGCTCGGCAGAGCAGCGGGGCATGAAAGTTGGGACGGGAAGGTCCGAGCCGGTCCGAATGGATTGTGACGCAGGCTTAGGCTGTCGCAGTTGAGACGGTGATCTCGATCTTATCTCACAGCAGCCTTCCCAAAGCATCAAGTCAATCGTGTCTTCTCTCAACAGCGGACCAGAATACCTCGAGAAAGATAGGAGAGGGTATTGCTTAAATGTCCCGCAGGGAGGATAGCCCCCGACCGGACGGTTCCCTAAGGGATAATCGGGCAGCAAGCAGGCGGCACAACGACGGTGAAAAGGAGATGGTCTTGCAACAAGAGAAGTCTGAAACTCAACCAAGTCTTAAGCCGCGCAGCATCGCCCACAATCTAAAGCAGGGAGACGCTACGAGGTATAAAAACCAATATATACCAACAGCCACCAAGGCTAACGAGAGGAGGACTCGGGCTTTACCGCAGGGGAGGTGAGAGTCCCAGT